TTTTTTTTTTTTTTGTTTTTTTTTTTTTTTTTTTTTTTTTTTTTTTTTTTTTTTTTTTTTTTTTTTTTTTTTTTTTTCCTTTTTCCCGTAGCCTTCTGCTCTTTGGGAGATTACTAATAATGGTAAATCGTTCTGGCATGTACAAGTCCGAGAGGGTAGCATTCAACGCGCAAGTGGCGGCTGTAGGGGTCGCCTTGGGCAGGCGGCGGTCTACCCAGATGACAGGACGGAGATGACTTGACGTGAACCTAGGCTGGTTACAGTACGTATGAGGGGCGACGACTACATGTGCCTAGCTTGGTTGCATTCGGTCTTTGACAAGGGGTAATACACAGCTTTGGGAGCCGGAATTGATGCCGTAGAGACGAAGTTTTTGTGAGATCTGATCTGCAAGCCATGATGCCAGTCTACCTGACGCATCACCATGTCCAAAGACCAAAAAAAACCACTATTGCCCGCTCTAGACTCTGAGGGCATGAAGATGATCTCTCCAACGGGAACTAGTTATCCCGCTTGACCAATCCTTGGCTTCCTTAGTTTCCATGCCGTCAATCTTTGGCGCGCGGAGAAGGGCTGATGTTGTCTCTAAAACCTCGGACAATGTCTTATTCTGGCTGTCTGTCTCAGTCTGATTTCGCCTCAGTTCGACTTCGCCTATAAACGCCACCAAAATGTGTCCATCAGCCCGTCTTCCCCGACATCTTCCCCGGCACCCCTGGCCCGCCCGGAAACTCCACCCTGAAGAGCCGGCGGCGGCCACAGCGCGCGTTCTTTTCCGAGAAGAGACATGGTTTCAGAAATAGCAGGTTGTTAGCAGCGGGAAGCGTGTAGTTGCCTATTGCTTTGTAACATGATGAAAAAAAGACGAGAGCCGAGAGAAAAGAGCAACTTTTGTTTTCTTAAAGATGGACAACGATAATGAGGTAACTGTTTGCGAAAATGGCATGCATGAAAATCTCGCTTGGCATGATCATCCGAAAGGGCAATTTACACATCATTTACAAGGAGTACAAGTAAGAAACGGCAAGCAAAAAGCCCCCCGTCTTTTGTTCTACTGTAGCAAGACGAGAGCACGTTGCAGGGCATGAATACGATGCAGAACAGCACCAAGCCCTTCTGCCTGTCCCTGCAGCTTTTATCCCTGTCGAACATGCAGGAGAGCTGTCGACTTTTTCCAGGCTTCAGCTAGCCACTAAAACACACAAAATCTCTCACTTACACCAGGGATCTCTGGGTTAGAGTAGCATTGAGTGGCTCAGAAAACACTAGGCAAGGCTTGTGCAGTAGTGCTGGGGACGTTGCAAGCCCGCAGCCCTTTCCAAAGCGACGGTGACAGAGGCACACTGATTGGGGGTTTGGGGATGGAAGGTCCAGACTTGAAGAGAACATTCGGAAGATTTTTTTTTTGTGTCTTCATTTTACTTGGTTGCCTGACATCGGCCGAATTGGCTGCCGAATCATGGGGTATAAGGAGATATTTCACTCGAATACCACCTTACCGGCATATTATACACATATATACTGTACATACTGCCGGCACTGGTGCTCCCAGCAGCACCGGCACATTGTCTGGCACATAGAGAAACAGAAACACACGGCGTGATGATGACCGCGGTTCGTGCTAATAAGAAGGACATGGCCTCCAGATCCTTCTCCAGCTTTCATCAAACCCCTCTTCAGCTCTCTCCTCAGCTCTCTCTTTCTCTGCCTCGCACACCAGTCATCAGCTTCCCTTGTCTCGGCTTCGGCCAATAACGTCTTCACCTACTGGGTTATTCGGGGTCACGTTCTCATACATACGCCGAAAGAAGCGCGGTCTTTGCTCTTCCCCCAGGCCTTTTTGAAAGAGGGGGGCCATATTTTAGCCCCAGCCGAGCAGCCAAAAAAAACTTACACGTTACTGCACATGGAGAGTATTAGAGCTCGTCTCTGCGGCCGCGGACTTGGCAATGCAAACAATCGGGGCTGCTGAGGCCCGCGCATCGAACGTGGTTTGATTAAGTTGCTAGCATTAGATTATCGCAAACTATCGACTGATGATGTCGCCAGAAAGAGAAGTAGACTGATTCTAATCCGGCACGCATTGAGCCGAGAGAACAGGTAAACTGGAGACGCAAGATGGGAAGGATTGTAAATCGAGCAGAACGAAATGCTGGATATAAGTCGGCCGATCCGCGCATCTTTGCCGCATAGCTAGTTCACTCATCTTTGGTTTTTCTCAGCTTCGTTATTTCCCACGTTCAAAAGATGCATCGTAGTCGCCTAGGAGCTGCGTTGTTTGCCATTGCGGGCTGCTTTGCGGGCCTTGCTCACGCTGCACCCGCAACGACTTCTTCGTCTTGCAAATGCTTTCCCGGCGATGCGTGCTGGCCCAGCGCCAGTGACTGGGCTGCGTTCAACAAGACTGTTAATGGGCGGTTGATTGCGACAGTTCCGCTGGGATCACCGTGCCACGAGGCGTCTTACAATGCGACGGAATGCCAGTTTCTGCAGGACAATTGGCTGTTTTCTCCAATTCAGTAAGTGGCATCTTGAAGATATTAGTAGTTCCCCAGATTATGCACGTACCGTTGTTTGTTCTTTGCCACCGATCTCGTCTGACACAGAGTCTGCGCGTCAGCTACAACTCGTCCTCGTCGGTTATGGCGCCCCTGTTCGCCAACGCGAGCTGCGACCCCTTTCAGCCAGAAAACACTCCTTGCACGCTCGGAAACTACGTGCGGTATGCGGTCAACGTGTCAACCGCGGCTCATGTCACTGCAACTCTCCAATTCGCGGCCAAGCGCAACATTCGCTTTGTCATTCGCAACACGGGGCACGACTACAACGGCCGCTCAACCGGGGCCGGCGCCCTTTCAGTCTGGACTCACCACCTCAAGGACACGCAGATTCTGGACTGGGATGACCAGTTTTACACCGGCAAGGCCCTCAAGGTGGGAGCCGGCATCCAGGGCTTTGAGGCGCTCGAGGCCGCCCACGCTGCCAATCTGATTGTCGTGACGGGAGAGTGTCCCAGCGTTGGCCTTGCTGGAGGCTACGTCCAAGGCGCCGGACACTCGGCTCTCAGCACAATCTACGGCCTGGCAGCCGACAATGCCCTCTCATACGACGTGGTGACGCCCAACGGCACGCTCGTGACCGCAACCCGCTCCCAGAACCAGGACCTCTACTGGGCGCTCAGCGGCGGCGGCGGCGGCAACTACGGCGTGGTCATCTCCATGGTCTTCCGGGCCCATCCAGACGCCGTCGTCGCCGGCGCAAAGTTCGCCATTGACACGTCCTCGCTGGGCAACAGCGTGCTGTACTCCATCGTCGACGCCTTCCACGCCGCGCTGCCGGCCATTGTCGACTCGGGCGTCATGATCATCTACTTCTTCGGCCCGGGCTTCTTCCAGGTGCCCGCCATGACGGCGTACGGCAAGACGCAGGCCGAGGCCGAGGCCATCCTCCAGCCCTTTGTCGATGCGCTGGCCGCGCTCAACATCGACCTGGCGCCGACTTACACGCAGTTCCCCAGCTACTTTGCCCACTACCAGAACTACTGGGGCCCGTTTCCCGCCGGAAACATCCAGGTCGGCACCGACTTGTTTGGCGGGCGGCTGATCCCCCGCTCGGTGCTCCCGAGTTTCTCCCCGACGGCGCAGAAGCTGGTCGAGCTCGGCGTCACCTTCATCGGCGTGGGCCTCAACGTCTCGCACTTTGGCGGCGACAGCGCAAACGCCGTGCTGCCGCAGTGGCGCTCGTCCATCGTCGAGGCGTCGCTGACGCTGCCGTACAGCTTCCAGGTGCCCTTCCAGGACATGGTGGCCACGCAGGACACAATCACGAATGTCGTGCAGCCCGTCATCGAGGCCGCCACGCCCAATGCGGGCGCCTACATGAACGAGGCGGACTTCCAGCAGCCCGACTTCCAGGATGTCTTTTTCGGGGCAAACTACCCGAAGCTGCTAAAGATTAAGCAAAAGTATGACCCGAAAAGCTTGCTGTATGCGAGGGCCGGAGTGGGCAGCGAGGTCTGGACGGTGGCTGAGAATGGCCGCATGTGCAAAACTCAGTCATGATGTGGTGATTGGTGACGGCATATATCGTAGTGTTCATTGACGTATGATGCAGTGATACTAGAGGCTTTGGATGAGATGATGCCTGATTTTGAATAGCGTTAAACTTACGAAAGAAAGAGAACAGTACAGGGACGACACCTGATGACAGAACAATAATGAAAAACTTACAGCTTGAGCATCAGATCCCAGTTGCCCCATGCGGCCTGTCAATCTGCTTGTCTAGACCCTTGAACGTTGACATGCCCGTAGCGCCAATTGATTGATAAAACGCTGTACAAGGCCCCATTCTAAGATTCACCAAGATTCACTACACATACAGGTAGCCCAAGATCTAGCGCAAAGACGGACGCTTGTGTGATTAGTGGGCTGTAATGCGCCATCTCGATCGGCACATCAGCCACTTGTGCTGATAATCGAGTAGATTGACTGCAGCGTTGCGGGATGCTACAGCGGAGGATTTCTCTTGTGACTCACTGCAACTGCAAGAAATACCAGAGGAGTTGCTTATGCATATATCGTCTGCAGCGCATTGGCTCGATTAGGGGTCAACACATAAGCAGCTTGTAGGGTCTGTATGCTGTGTATCTCGCTCTTTGGAGCACGACCTTCAGGACTTATTAGACGACGGATGCATGCAGTGCGGCAATTTCCATTCACGTTTTCAGCCTCACAGAATACGCGAAGATAAAGATCCATGGTACCGGACCCTCTCGGTGTCCAATCGCGTACTGTGCAGTTCCTCTCACTGCAAGCAAGATCTTTTGTAAACAACATTGCATTTCCGTAGAATACGATTTGTTATCCGTAATATAAACCTTGATAATATCCGAGGCTGAAATCCGGCTTGGTGGAGTTTAAAAGACGACGGGCCTTTTTTCCTCTCTCTCCTTTTATAAGCTCGAATATTAGACGACGGAAGTTTACACGGCAACAAGGTATTATTCCGAGCTGGAATCAACACCGCTCTAATAATCATTGCGCGCGCTCTCTGGCATGCATATCAAAGCATTACAAGGACCAAATACTGAATTGGGCAACTATGAAGAGAAGATGGAGCCAAGTCAGCCTCTTTTCCGACGATCTGAACCGTAACTCTACAACTTTTGCACCGCTCGGCCTACGGAGCAACGTGGGATAATGCTCAACATTCTGCGTCACATTAACGCATGTTCACGCAGAATGTAGGATTCATGGCCACTCGCTAATATCGGCACACGTAGTATTTGCACTGTCAAATTCAGGGTCTTGGCTCTATCAGGCTATTCTTAGACGGCCAAACTAAAAGCAAAGAGAAAAAAAAAAAAAGTTTCCGGTTTCTCCGCTACTGTTCCGAGCATAGTTCCAGCCCACCACCGTATCTTAGTTTACATGATATCGACGCAACCATTAAATACTACAATATTTCTCCTTCGCCCACTCTCCACAATGCCTCTCTCTGCTGCCCTGCCATAAACCCAACTCCGGCTGTTCAAGCCGTCATAAACAGTCGCCGCCATGGGAGCCTCTCGAATGCCGCTATCGCAGGTGCTGCCGCCCCTCATCCTGGGCACGGCCACCTTCAACCACCAGTACCACCCCGATCCCTCGCGCATGCCCTACGTCGACATTGTCCGGAGAGCGCTCGAGCATGGAATCAATGCGTTCGACACGTCGCCCTACTACGGCCCTTCCGAGATCCTGCTCGGCCAGGCTTTGCGACTGCTGACGCCGCCCCCGCCGCGGGAAGGATATTTCCTGATAACAAAGGCCGGCCGAATCAAGTCCGACGAGTTCGACTACTCCCCGGCTTGGGTGCGCTACAGCGTCTGCCGCAGTTTGGAGCGCCTGGGTACGCGATACTTGGATCTGGTGTACATGCACGACGTCGAGTTTGTGTCTGCCGCCGAGGTTCTCCAGGCTGTCAAGGAGTTGCGCCGACTGCGCGATCAGGGTCTGATTCGCTATGTTGGTATAAGCGGATACCCTGTCGAGACGCTCGCCTCTCTGGCCGAGATGATTTTGAGAGAGACTGGCGAACCTCTTGACGCTATCTTGTCGTATGGCAACTTCTGCCTGCAGAATACTCAGCTCGGACGATCCGATTTCCTACAGCGATTCCAAGCAGCCAGAGTCGAGTGTCTGCTAAATGCCAGTATGCTCAACATGGGCCTGCTGACAACTCGAGGCGTCGATAACGGCCCAATGGTGTCTTGGCATCCCTCGCCGCCAGAATTGCGAAAGGCCTGCACCAAGCTATCCCAAATCGCCCAAGACAGCGGCGAGCATCTCGAAGGAGTAGCTATCCGATGGGCTCTGGAACAATGGGCCCGCCTTGGAAAAGACTTTGGCACAACAGCCTACGTCGGGGCTGGTCCTCGCATCGGCGCAAGTGTCATGGGAGTAACAGCCATTACAGAACTTGACGAGACCTGGGATCTATGGAGAAGCGTTATTGGACCTGTGATTGGTGCCAAGGACGATGTCGCATTGCAGAGGAGTGACAAGATTATGAGGCTGGTGGAAGACAAGATGTGGCCTAGCTTGGGATCGTGGAAAGACCATGCCTGGGAGAGTGGTGGTGAGACGTTTGTTAATACCCGAGTGAATATGGGACAGATTCCTAATGACGAGGTGGCGGAGAGATGGGGGCTGGTTCCTTCAGCTGCTGCTGCAGCTTCCAAGTTGTAACATGCGATGCCTAATAGTATATAGACCAGCATAGCTTTTTCTTATTTCTTATTTTTTGTTTCGTTTCTCGGATAAATTCCTAAAGTACATACCACCGCAATACAACAGGTTACCGGTACCAACCAAATGTCTTAAGAGGCATTATGATCTTGGTGGCTCTGAAAACTTCTTTTTACGCCTGCCCATAGCCGTCTCCTTACTAAACCATCGTGTTCCCTTTCATAATTTTTACACCAAGCTTGTGATTTGATGGGATTTGTGACAGGAGCTTCAGCATGTCTGCTAAAGTACATGGAATTAGTCACAAGTCTTCCGAATTTGATGCTAGATTCGCCGTTTAGCATCAACAGACACATGTTTTGAAAAGAGTCCTGATGAGATAAGGTATTTATATATCTAATAGTTCTATCTAAACGAGTGATATGAATTTTATTTAGTTATCCTACAACGATCCCTGCTTGGCCTAAATACACGACTACCAAATACATTAGAGGTAGTAGTAGCATCAGTAGCATCAGTAGCATCAGTAGCATCAGTAGCATCAGTAGCTATGAATTGTTCAAGTCTTCTTCCAAAAGAGCAACAACTCCACAGTAAATATCATGAAGATCGTTTTCGTTTTCCAAATTGAGATGCTTCCCTTGAATTTTGCCATCGATGCAGCGGCTTACTGCAGTGCCATAGTTGGAACTAGCCTCGCGGTACACTCCTCTCAGGAGCCTTGATGCAGTCGTATAAAGTGATAGAGAATCGTTTCCGAGCTCCTTTTCCTCCGGCGCTTGAAGAGATTCTATAGGTTTCCCTTGGAGAAGCTCAATTAATAGCACCCCAATCGCCAATAGCGTTGGGTTCCGAATGGTGGGATTGTCGATCGTCTTTAGTTTGGCCTCCGATTGGTCACTTCTCGCCATGAGAAACGGTCGATCATAGTCAAAGGAGCTTCCACTTTCACTTTGAACGAAGAAGATATCTCGATTGCTCGGTATTTCGGGTAGCCATGGAGTCTTATAAAACTGCAGTACGCTTCTTGTAATAAGTACTGAAAGCTGTAGTCTTTGCTTATACGAGACTTGTACATTAGGAGATTCCAGGCTGTCTTTCAAGGACACCATTTTCCAATTTCCGGCGGATAAGGTAAAAGGAGAAACCGAGTAGCTTCTTGTGTTTGTGTGAGATTTATCAGAGATTATTCCAAAGTAATCCGATTTCTTCAACTCATCGCACAGGTCAATTGCCGGTTGAGTGTTGGGCTTAGCCAAAGCGACATCTATTGCTTCGAGAGACATGTTTGCTAAAGATGTTTCCGTCTGAACCATGGTCGCTGTGGTAGATGAGGAAAACAGAGGCAGAAACTTGACCTGCTTTTGCTTTGTTCGGCTTGTTATTGGCTTAGTAGTACCTGGTAGCGAATTACATATTTGGACTGGCATTTGTGGCGGTAGGCTTGATCGTATGAGGAGCTCTTTCCACCGTGTGTCATTCGCAATGAATGTGGACTCTTCAAATTGCGCCCGAGGAGTTGAAGTTGACAGGGCGAGATGTAGTTGCAGCTTTTGAAAAACATATTCGTCGTCATGATCAGGCGTAATGTCGGTTTTGTAATCTGAGACACGCATCGAGATGTGATGTTTGCACGCGCACGTTAGGCTATAGCAGACAGCGCGGTAAACGCTCGAAGATAGACTGCGTAGTATGTTTAGAAGCCGGACACGAGATCTGACTCTTCTCTTTGGTTCGAGCTCAATATTCATCGATGCTAGAGATTCGAGGCTCGAGATACCATCTTTCACAGTACTCAAGAGATCCTCATATGTTGATTGACGAAGCAGGAACTCGACACGCTTGAGCTCCTTGTTTAATAGAGATGCGAGCCCCTTCCTTAATGAAGAAGAGAGCTCGTTTCCCACCAGAGATGTATTTAACCGTCGTACCTAAGGCCACGCTATGAGCTCCACGACTGCCAAAAGATGTTACGGTGACTTACGTCGCTTCCGTCTCCTACCCTCTCGCTTAGGTACGTTATGGCTACCTGAATATCTCTCAATGTTTGCTGAAAGACGGTCCAAGATGTCCATAGCCTAGCTCGAATCTTTTCCTGAATCTCCTCGTTCGTCCATAGATCCCCATTAGGATTTTTCACCATGGCATCAATTTGGGCGGACAGAACTAAGCCGTCCAATACCTTTTCACAGACATTTTGAAGCCTTGCCCGCTCAATGTTGATATTTCGAATCAAACATTGTATAACGGTCTCGTATCTCCTCCACTTTTTTAATGCTTGCATTCCATGCTGATAGTGCTCAAGAGCTGAAATCAATAATGGAATAGTTCCAAGTACAGCCCCAGCGGCCTCAAAACCAGGCATGGCTATATGTGTGAACACGTCTTTTGAACAATATAGAACAGAGCTGGCCGCGGGCTGAACATGGGTTGCAAAGGGAGCGGGGTAATAATAAATCCTACATGTAGGTATATATATATGCACATACGTTGCGTTACACAAGAAACATGCAATAAATACCCCGCGTCGGAACCCAATGTCGCATGTGAAAAAGCGCAGCCTGATGCGCTCTGGCTTTGCTAATCTTCCTCGAGGACAACAAATGATAACCAATCTTCTTGTTTTTAAAGGACAGGGCAGCATTACCAAAATGGAAGATTCCGGCATCGCGATATCAGTCAAGGGATGTCTCGAGCTATTCCGAGCAATCGCCTTATTTCGGTTACCCTCGCCTGCCTTGAACTCCTCTCATCAAACAATATTGATGGCGATTGCGGATGAAGAGTCTCGCTTCAAAGTTTGGTCCGGAAATATAGGTGCACACGCGTCAGGGAGGAGATCACTGCAGTTCCGTCTTCGAGACGCTTCTCACTTACAAAAGCATGTCCTCGCGCTTTTGACAGATCTTTCGAGATTGCTAGAGAACGCCTTGGCAATTATGAAGGGAGATAAGGTGCCGTGGGATCAAGATGAAGATGACGACATGTCAGACAGCGAACCAGACTCGTTGGAAGACGACAGTGGTGATGACGAGCTTCCAAGAACAGAAATGGAGCAAATCGCCTACAATGTATCGGATTGTGTCAATTGTCTCCTACGATTAAGTGTTACTCTAAGAAATCCGGCTCCTCACGATCGTTTTGCAGCATTAGTTTCCATGGACGTGTCACATTATGAATCCTTCGATATCAAACACGTGCAGGACAAGTTTCAGAAAATAGACGGTATCCTAGCTCAGAGATTAGGAAATGCAATATCTAGACGACGACAGTATTTTAAATATCGAGAAAGCCATCACCTGAAGCTCGCTCATGGCATAGATCCCGAAGACCAAGCAGATGGCAAAAGTACTATTGCAAGCTCGATACCAGGCGATGCCAAGAGCCCTGGTTTCGCTAATACATTACCTGCGATAAATGAAGACGCTGCATCAGATGCAGGTATCTCTCAAACATCGTTTGCGTCTTCCCTTACGGACACTGACATACTCCGCATCCCACCACTTCCCAGAAGCGCTGAGATTGGCCCTTTTGAATGCCCCTTTTGTTTTATGATCATAACGGCTACGAATCGAATGTCATGGAAGTGAGTTGGAAGTATCAATCCCATATTCGTGAAACACAACAATTACTGACACACACCACGAAGGCGGCATGTGTTTGCTGATCTCCGACCATACATCTGCCTCTCTGAGGATTGCGCAGCAGCAGACAAATGGTTTTCCAGAAGGCATGAATGGATTTTACACGAAATCGAAAACCACTGGAAGTCTTATGTCTGCCCGTACTCATGCAACGAGACTTTCCAATCCCGACTTGAATGTGTAGAACATGTTCACAAGAGCCACCTTTGTACCACGCCAGAACGTCAACTTGAGGCTATGATCGATCTCAGTTCTAGGCCGATTCAAGCAGAGGGCGGAATACCGTGTCCCATGTGTCATGATAGTCTTGATTCATTGAAAAAGTATCAGCGTCACGTCGGGCGTCATCAGGAGCAGCTTGCAATCTTTGCTCTCCCCTCTGCAAGCCTTCTGGATGATGACGTTGACCTTGAAGACGATGACATCCAAAGCCGGAGCGGTATAGGCTCTGATGGAGCCAGTTCCGTTGATGCGAATCCGATGCAGCAGCAGCAAATGAATGCTCCTGATGCGGGCAACCAACAACAATCAATGCCACTAAATCGCATGCAAGGCGAGCTTCAGTTTCTGGTGGACTCGATGGATTTGCCTCCCACAATAGCAACTCAAATCCAGGGCCTGCCTGCAGAAGTCAAGAAATTGAGACATTTGAAGGCTTGGATCAACCAGAATAATCCGCTTCAACCGAGCGTTCGTGCCCAACTGGATGCTTTCCAACAGAAGCAACTCCAGGTGCTCATGAACCGGCGGGATAGGTATCTAGAGAATTACCTTTTTGATGCTGATGGTAACCCAATATCTTCACCAAGCTTTGGTTCAGACGCGAGCAGCGGTAGTTTAACACCCTCGCCACGCTCTGGTCACAGAGGCATCGATGACAGCGATGACGAAATCCGACATGCCAAGAACGAAGGCATGGATCATAATAACTTCGATCCAAGTCCGGAACTATACCCTCAATTCAGCAATGGTAGAGAAGAGGCCGCAGCTGTAGAGGTTGAAGGTTTTCAGGAAAGGAGTATGCCACCACAATTGCTTCAAGTATCACCTCAGGAGTTGATGCATATTCGAAGCGCGAAACCTGCGTTAGCCAACGTTCCCGATGATCAGATCCGAGCGATGATACTCGCAATGAAGAAGAATAGTTGGAAACAACAGCTGGAACAGCAACGTCTGAGGATCCAGCAAATTCATGCCCAGTTGCAGGAGATAAAAAATGCCACCGCAGCCAATATGGCTGGCACCCAGAGCCCTCAAAAGGCCATACAGATTCAGCAATCTCAACCTAATCTCACTCCTCAACAAACCCAGGCGCAGACGATGCCTAATACCATGAGCCAGACTGCCTCGATGCAAGCGGTCAACCTGAAGGAGGACAAACAAATCCACTCCAAATGGTCTGCTAACTCCTTTGACGACTGAATCACTACGTGAAGTAGTATAGCGCATCCAGGGGAGACCGCAGTCTGGACCTCAAAATACTATCACTGATTGGAACCAAGAACTAGATGGAAATCGCACCGCCATCCCTCCTTCTAGATCTCATAGACCTCCCCTTGATGAAAAATGGGCAGCCACAATTCACAATGCGAGGATTACAACGAGCGATCATGTCGTGATGATAGAGCACAACAAAGAAATATCACGACCTAAGTAGTCCTACTCCCTTTTCTGATCGATGCTAAATATGGCAGCAGCAATATCAGGATTCATGGAAGTGAAAAAGATGGCAGGTCTCGGCCCTCTTTGCCTACATATGGACTGTACCTTGAATAATTTGCGTTAATCTTTTTCAAATTTATCTAGAAAAAACATCCAACCGTTTCTTTTGAGCTCATTAAAGACAAGCTCAGTAGCAAAGGATAAATTTCACAGTCGCGAGCTTGATTACACGTATATATCCTGTGGAATAGAGGCCCGTACACCTGAGTGCTTCTTCCAGAGAGTATATCTTGCTTACATCGAATAAAACAAATAAAGCAAACCGACCTGTCTACAATTTATTGCGCGGTATTCACCCTCTCAGATTCTTGGATTCAAGAGAGAAAAAATAATATATAAACTCTCAGCTGCATGCAAGAAGCTACGTTTTCCTTTGTTGTTACCTCGCCTACAAACTGAAGAATTTCCGCTGAACTCAATTGCAATGACCATACGAATATGACACTACCATTCAGCCCAAGCCAACGCTGGTAGTTTACAAGCTCTTCGTAGCACATAAAAAGCATATATTTCAATTAATTGCCCATATCCTTTAAATGATAAGAAATTTCAGTATAGAAAATACGTCCAAAGCCTGGCGATGGAGGTTTTAAGTTAGTGATCAGAACGAAGGGTCATCTCGGCTCAAAGTTGTTATGTAATACCGACAGCTCAGACAACTGCACCCGATGCTTTCCACTTTTGGCTGGAGCTTCTGCATCCCATCCCACTTCTCTCCCGGCTTTTCGCGAAATCGGATCTTTCTTCTCTCTTCCTTCCACCACATGGCGGGAGGTCGTAAATCCAAGGTCGCGGCTCCAGCTCGCCCTCAGAACACGCTCGTCCTCGACAATGGCGCCTGGACGCTGAAGGCCGGCCTCGTTTGCGGCGGTTCCATCCCCGAGCCTCGCGTTATCCAGAACTGCATCGCGCGCGATCGCTCAAGGAAGATTTACGTTGCGTCGGAGCTCGACAAATGCCGGGACTTTAGCGAGATCCAGTTTCGACGGCCGGTCGAGAAGGGATATCTGGTCAACTGGGAGGCGCAGAAGGAGATTTGGGACCAGGAGCTGTTTGGCGACAAGGCACAGGTCAAATGCGACCCCAGCGAGACCAGGCTGATGCTTACGGAGCAGCCGAATGCGCTGCCCGTGCTGCAGACGAACTGCGATCAGATTGTCTTTGAGGAGTATGGCTTCTCGAGCTACTACAGAGGCGTTGGTATGTTGTCACTGAGCTCCCTAGTGGCATGGATGGCACAAATGATCCGTGGTCAAATGCTAACTCGCATACGCTGCTAGGCGCGACATTCAATGCGTATCACGACTTGCAAAGCCTCTTCCGTACACCAAAAGACGCCCTTACAGCCGCCAACACGCCAGCTGAGATTATGTTGGTTGTCGATTCCGGCTTTTCGCACACAACAATCACTCCCCTCCTCGGCGGACGACCCCTCCACTCGGCTATCAGAAGAATCGACATTGGCGGCAAGTTCCTCACAAACTACATGGCTCGCCTCATTTCCCTGCGCCATTTCGACATGCGAAACGACTTGTACATTGTCAACGAGATGAAGGAAGCGTCGTGCTACGTCTCTGCCGACTTCAAGGGAGATCTGGAACGCACATGGAAGGGAACGAGAGGAGAGAAGCGTGAGGACTACATCTCCGGAGCCGGAATTGTCAAAGACTACGTTCTGCCAGATTTCCATACTAGGCATAAGGGTATCCTTCGTGAATACGATCCTGCTCAGCATACGAAATCCAAGAAACTGGCCGCAACAGGGCACTCAGAAGAAGACGTCTTGACTCTACGAAACGAGCGATTCACCGTCCCCGAGCTCATCTTCCGCCCGTCAGACGTGGGCATGCGACAGCCCGGCCTTGCAGACGCCATCCAACAATCTCTCCACGAGCTGCCCATTGGCCTCTGGCCAGGTCTCCTCGCCAATATCGTCGTAGTTGGTGGTAGCTCTCTATTCGACGGGTTCATTCAGCGCCTACAAAAGGAGCTCGTGCAGCTTGTCCCCGACGACTGTATCGTCCGCGTCGCCCGCCCTGCAGACCCCATCACCAACACATGGTACGGAGCAGCGAACATGGCGAATCATCCAAATATAGAAAAAGTGGCCGTCACGAAGCAAGAGTACGAGGAGAACGGCAGTGCATGGATAGCCCGCAAATTCTCAACAGGCCTCTTGACTCCCTGAAGAAGGGCAGCGTCTTGGACACTTCATTGACACCCCGCAGCGCCTCTGATGCCTGGTTTAATCTTCTGAGCCGCTTGAAACGAAGTGGCCTTGGCGCAGGATATGCCGATACGACTACTCATGATCATTGGATACATGCGCGAATGCGTCTAAACGCGCCAAGGAACGAGAAAGCAGAGTGAGTTGGCATACTTGGCTGTTACGTATGGCAAGACATTATCAAGACGATACAAACATCCCATATCTTGGCACACAATATGAGGGATATTTATAGCGGCGAGCTTTCGGTTGAAGCCAAATGCAAGATAATTTCGCCAAGCAGTTGAAGTCTCTCTGTCTCGGGGAACGTTAACCTGCTACAAGCCGAGCAAGATGCCCAGATTACGCCGAGACGCGCGTAATGTCGTACGTGCAGCTGCACTGCCGCAAAGATACAACATCGAGTTACTGCAGCAAGAGGGGGGCTTGCGGGAAGAGGCATCAATCAGTCATTTGATTTGATTTCAGAGCCTAGGCTAAATGCTTCAAAGAACAAGCCACCCAGTCAGATATCATCTGGTTTATCGCCCATAAAACTATTCCATTTGCGGAGTATCAAACACGTCTATCGCACTTGACCCGAAAAACAAAAAAAGACTCGATGCGCCTCATGTCGTTCTTCGCACCTTTCGGCATGCTTCGGTATTTCGGCATTCCTCTAGTTTATATGCAGCGTTACAGGGCCAGATTGAGTGTGGATGGGTGCTAAAGTTCAAAGGAGATTCGCTCATCATACTCCATACGCCGTCATGAGTTGGGAGTCTTACGCCCAAACTGTCAAAGGGGGGAGGTTCCATTGATTAGTTGGAAAGATAAAGAAGTAGAGATTCTGTGTAGATCAGAGACGACCTAGGCCTCGACCTCGAGACACACACCCTACGTCAATAGTTAGCACTTACACTAGCTCAGAATTCAAGCCATCAGGGGGTGAGCATTACAATCGCACTATCATCTGATGCGTTAGCAATCTGTAAATTCGCCTGCCAGTTTGACGTGATACTTACGTGGTTCGTTGAACACCCTTCGTTGTGTGTGGTGCAATAACCAGCGCAGCACTTCTTGCACACTCGCTGAGTACGATAGATGCAATCGTCGCACTGGATTTTGACCCCTAATTAGTTCTCTTGCATAGTAAAGCTAGATGAAACAGGATCAATGCTCACGTTGTTGCCGCATTCCCAGCAGCTTTTAGAAACTCGAGGCTACGCAATAAATGTCAGTGGCATGTCCTTCAATGATAAACGCTCTGTAATTGTGCCCTCTTTTCATCCGCAGCAGCAGCAGCAGCATCCGAGAAGGCTAGGGGAGGAACAAACGCTGCGTACAAATTCGAGAGGTCTGTGTTCGAGACTGGCCTGATCGGCTGGTCTAATCCATCCCGGCTCGTCATGTCGCAGGCTTTTTTTAAGGGCCACTTTTGTCATTCTCCTCCTCCTGGGCTCGAGTGAGTGTACATGGATGACAGAGACCGTTTCGTACCTTGACTTTCATAGTCGGAACCTCGAGGTCCAAATCGCCAAAGTCATTGACTGTATCATCGTCAACGATGGCGATTTGCGTCGCATAATGGCCGCTTGAAATCTGCCCGGAAAAATCATAGCATGATTCGCACCACCATTTATTGCAGCTTGTGCAGTACCGTTCGCGAATGCAGTCCATACATCTGGGCACAAATGAGGTGTCTGCGTCTTTGGGCGTGGTTGCAGCCCGAAGTGACGAAGAGAGAAGAGGCAGCGGAGCCAGCAGCGGCAAGCTGGCATCTGGGCTGATGCCGCTCGGATAAGTGAAGCCTTCGGGAGCTTTGTGGCAATTCTCACAGCCCGACAGAGCATATGTAGCTACGGCGGGAGCGCTATCAGCGTCGGATCCGCCCTTATAGACCGGCGAGTTGCGATGGCGCGGGCCTTGGCAAAGCACAGCATCGAAGGCAATGATGCCTCGACAAGCGAGCAAACAGTTGGCCCACTCCTGACTGACAGGTCGAGGGATGATGCGGCCCTTCTTGTGCCACCAGGCATCTCCCTCCTGCTTCAAAGAAGATGCTAGAGCAGTTTGGCTCTTCTTGTTCCACTCCGTGCTAATAGACGAGGCGGATGGGCCGGACGGCTTCGCAGCAGCTAAGACATCCCTTGAACCAAAGACGTAGAGAGCCTTGAGCTTGGGAGAACCAGCTCGTCGAGTTGGGCGACAGGCATACTGCAGTGCCTGGCGAAGCTTGGCCTGATTCAAGTTCTTGACGTCCCGGATCGATAAGACGCGGACATTGAAGGCCGCATCGTTTATGATATCATGGCAGAGCTCCGAAGTCACGGAGAGTCCGTCAAGAACCAGAGTCTGGACATTTTCCAGAATGTGTTGCCGTTTAAGGGTGGACAAGATGCCCCTCAGCGGACCAGAGTAAAAGCTGCGATAAAGGTGAGCTTAAGATCGTATGACATTGATGACGATGCAGGGGCTTCAATGTTTGCACTCACTCATCTTCAGTAACATTTTCATCTAATTGAACATTGCGCCAGACCTCGCCTCCATGGTCGATCTTGTCAATGTCAAACTTGAGAGCCTTGATGGGGGTGAGATCCAAATGGCGAAACACTCCCGGGGTGCTAAAGAGGAGCTCTCGGAAAGCTCGGTTCGTTGCAGCTAGGCTCAAGATGCTCGAGATGGACAGGTAGGGAATAACGTGGCTCAGGACGAGGGAGTTGTGGATGGTGCCATAGAGGGAAGTGGTTGGAACCTCAGTCACCGTTGAAGCCAGTAGTTGGAGCTCTTCGCGCGTTGGGTCGTTGAAGGTAGCTAGGCTCATGTCAGGCTACCAGACCTCGCAGCACAAGAGACTTCGCGGGCGATGGAAGAGCGTCGCAGGCGAGGTTGAAAGGTTATATGTTGTGAACTCGTAATGGCTGAATTAAACCAGAACGAGGAGATATAGATGGAGGAATCAATATGGCTTCCTGAGGTTGCAAGATGATAAGGTGGGGTGAGTTTTGGAGAAAGCTTCCGTGTACTTCAAGTAGACCGCTGTACAAGTAATAGTTTTTAGACACGGTGAGATCTAGAAATCAGCGCTCAACGCTTTATCTCTGGAAAGTATGTAAATCAATAGATAGAGAAAGATGAGAAAGATTTGAGAACGCGCACAGCGTGAGGGTTGGGAGCTATGATATAGGTAGGTCACAAACTGCAGTCTGTAATACGATTGGCGGATTACCCGAAATGGATGCCCTACCTAAAGCTGAAAGTAATAGCTATTACTACTCCTCACCAGAACTGTACGTTGCGGGTACACGTGTTATACGCCGGTACAACCTTGCTTATAAGCAGTAAGACAGCTCTCAGATTACACGTCGCCGAGAACCAGAGCCGCCAGTCAGAGCAGGGCGGGCTACTTACTCGTGCGTTGCTGGCGCGCATAGAGCAAGACGTGGCCGAAGCTTGCTGTCTGGGAAGCGTCTGCATGGCACGTCAAAGGGCTGCTCCTACTGCCACATAGAGTATAGACGCTAGGCTTGGCCAAGACAGAGCCATCTTGGAACTAAAACAGCACTTTCTCCTTATCAGGAGATTGGGGGCGCCGGATGACCAGATGGGGGGACCTGTTGCTGGCGGGTAGCTCGTGCGCTGAGCTCCTCATTTCATGCTCCCAGCAGCGCCAGCGGCGGCTGCAGCACTTGTACCTAGAACGTGGTTCGATGGGTTGATTGATGGCTGTTGCAAAGGTGAGCCCAAGGGGAAGAAGCGCCGAGCACCGAAGCAGCCTCCACCAGGCCAGACCCTTCCCACGGATATGGATCATCGGCTGAGATGGAGGGATTGCTTGTGGCGAATGGGCGGCCAAGACGTAATGCGTTTATGTAGCACGTCTGGCCGGTATGTAACGTCCCTAGAGATTCGTCATTTCCAGGGAAATCTAAGGGACGAGTCAGGGCGGGCAATGATTAGCAGCGCTTGGGAGGTTGGTTCGCAGCTTTCATCTCGTCCCAACGGCTGGCAACCCCAATATCTGAATCCTTCCTCCTTTTGACGGAGGATCACCGACGAGGCGGCCGCATGCCGAATCTGTGTACTTAGAGTGCGGGGGACCACCTCCTTAGATAGAGACAGACAAAGTCAACGGCGTTTGGTCATTGCATTGTTGAATCACTGCCAATTAGCAAGTCATACTCGATGTCATGACCTCGAGTAGTACACAAGAATACGTTGTGGACGATCGCTATTGATTCGCCCACCTACTAGAATGCTGCGTTGACTACAGCTGTCTTACAGGCCCCTCTTGACGCCTCTTCGTTTCATTCAGGGTCTTCATGTGCCGGAAGTGCGGAGAGATGCCGTTCACCGTCCGGACTGGTGAGCAAGATCGCTTGGCGTGGGGGAGAGCTTTGGATCTGGTCGTATCGCGGCTGAATAGCGAGTAGTGCTATTTGCGGGGCATCGTGGCCCGTCAGTGGCATAACGACTTTCCCGTATTTTTCTCCTCTGTTTCTAACCAGTTTGTCCTGGTAGCAACTGTTTGTACTTTCTTTGGAGTCATCCGTCCTTTTCGTACCTTGAAAAGCAACCCCAAATCTGGCCGTTGACCAGATGATAGGCCCGTGATGGGGATATTTCCCAAGCAACAAGGTGGCACATGCGGCCCACGTGATACCGCACGTGTAACCTATCTTATCGCAGCCGCCAAGAGTCTCCCTGCATCTGTGCTACACCGTGGAAATTGGCAGAATGCTGACTTATCACTATTGCCCCTCTAGGCGTTTCTGGCCGCGTCTTCAGCTGTCGCCTCGTGATGGCGTACAAGTAATCTTGCTTTCGGTTTATAATCTCAAGACTCGCGATAGCTATTGACACGGAAGCTATTTGGCTTGAGCAACTTCTGTGCAATTCTGTAGCTCCTTGCCCTCGTCTTTCTCCTGCAATTCACCTTCTATACTTGTTACATAGCGCAAAACTGCCTTTGGGCGCTTATAAGACCGAGTAAGGCAGCACCATGGACGTGCCAGTCTCTCTCCGCTGGTCAGACGCGTTCGCGATCCTCCCTCAGTCCGATCCGATCTGCAGCAAGCTCCCGGGAGACAAAATCATTCTGCCTCCGTCTGCTCTTCAACAGCTGCTCTCAGCTGCGTCTTCTCAGGCAGCAACGTCTGGCAGCAACAGTTACTTCGGCTCCAGCCACTTTACCACTCCAGTATACGGGCAGGAAACTCAACAACTCCCTAATCCTTTGATATTCCGACTCGTGAACCCGAAAAATCACAATGTGGTGTATGCTGGTATCAGAGAATTTTCTGCTCCCGAGGGGACTATGGGCTTGAGCTCCTTGTTACTCGAGGCTCTTGCCATTGGGCTTGATGATTACGTATCGTCGAGCTCAGACAATGCAGAGGTTGAAGATACTGAGGATCCCATAACTCAAAATGCCGTCGCCAAAGGCAGTCGGATTACAGTACATGCTGAGCAGCTTCAGAAAGGAACGTATGTGCGGCTGCGACCTCTCGAAGCTGGATATAATCCGGATGATTGGAAGCCATTGCTAGAACGCCAGCTACGGCAAAACTTTACAACATTGACAAAGAACACAGTCATACCTGTTCAAGGCGCACAAGGAGAATCCTTCAAGCTGCTTGTGGACAAGTTTGCGCCCGATGGTGACGGTGTCTGTGTAATTGATACAGATTTGGAGGTTGATATTGAGGCCCTGAATGAAGAGCAGGCCAGAGAGACAATGCGCCAAATCATGGCACAGGGGCAATCGGTCTCCTCTGAGAGTTCCAAGGGCGGCGAGTTGGACATTTGGAAGGACGTCGAAGGCCGGGTGGTACCTGGTGAATATGTCGATTACACGCTTCCGTCCTGGGACCGATCACAGAACTTGGTCGTCACTCTAAGTGGCATATCTGATGCGGACAGCTTGGATCTTTTTGTCACCCCCAAATCGCGTGAACAAAGAGCTCTACCTCGAGAGGCTGTCCATGTCTTTGGAAATTTCCAACCTGCTCAGTACGGCGCTAAATCTATAACGATAATGCCGACAAATATCGAGCTCGAAGACGCGGAGAGTCTACTCATATCTGTCCACGGCTATCAAGATCCCGATTCGGATGCAAAATCATCAACGCCAGTTGCCTACACTATCCGGGCAAAGGTTGCTCCTCTGGACGGACCAACAAGCGAGGCACCGATGGAACTTGACAAAGAGGAGCATTCTGCGGAAGAAGAGCAATGTACGAATTGTTTGCAATGGGTCCCGAAGCGAACTATGGTTTTGCACCAGAATTTCTGTTTGAGGAACAATATTCTCTGTCCCATCTGCAAGTCGGTATTCAAAAAGGGCTCGCCCGAGTACGAGGCCCATTGGCACTGCGATCACGATGAGGCTCACGGAGATTCGCCTCTAAGCAAATCCAAGCACGATAGAGTGTATCACACAGATTACAACTGCCCGTCTTGTGAGTTTTCGACCAACTCGCTCGCAGATCTAGCGCGCCACCGCACAACCGTCTGCCCAGGAAAGATTATCCTCTGCCGTTTCTGCCATCTTGAAGTGCCTCAAGAAGGAGACCCCTTTAACCCGTCACCCGAAGTTGTGCTTTCAGGAATGTCAGCCCATGAATTGGCAGACGGGGCTCGTACTACAGAGTGCCATCTATGTGATAAAATCATTCGCCTGCGAGACATGGAAACCCACCTGAAGCACCATGAGCTTGACAAGGCGGTCCGATCGAAGCCCATTGTCTGTCGAAATGTCAACTGCGGGCGAACACTGTACGGCGTTGGGCAAAGGGGACAGATCGGCACCCCGAGCTCGCCCGTCAGGGGCCCGGCAAACGATATTGGCCTCTGCTCAATTTGCTTTGGACCTCTGTATGTCAGCATGCATGATCCGGAAGGAAAGTCTTTACGACGAAGAATAGAGAGGCGATATCTCAGCCAGCTGATTACGGGATGTGGAAAACCGCATTGCACCAACGAATGGTGCAAAACTGGGCGAGTGAATTCTGGCCTTGAGCCCAAGCGGTCATCTGCCGCTGCAGTACTCCCCATCGTGAAGCCGCTTCTGCCTGGGGCCCTCAACCCGTCGGAACCAGCATATCTCTGTGTTGACGAAACGAGCCAGACCAGCCGCAAGCTAGCAGACCTTTTGGCCGCTGAAAAGGCTTATGATCTGGAATGGTGCGTTGCCGCTGCGGAAGGCGAAAGAGCAGACATTGATAGGATGAGAGATTGGCTGCAATCGTGGGCCCCGAGAAGATGACTCGGCAGTGAATGATGAAATGATGAACAGTTGTTGCATGAGATTGCACTGCATTGCATTGTACTGCGTTGATCAAAGACAGATACCCTAAGAATGAGCTCTACACTTGAGACGAAGGATCAGACAGTCATCTAATAATCAAGAGCATATATAGACTCGCCATAGAATTATAGCATTTCGTTTTACTTTATTTTACTTCTTTAGAAACATATACTTGATAGGTCTTCAACAACTGCTTCTACACATGTAGGTATCCACCTACGACTACTAGCATCAATCTGAAACTAACCTCAGCTAATCTCTTGGCCGGCTAAATGCTTCCCACGGCCAAGTCGGAAGCTAGGGGCACTATTCACATGCGTGCCCTGATGATGACGTTGACTCGCAGGCATGCCGATCAATGATCTCACCATGAGCAACCGCCTTTCCTTAGTAGGCAATTCAATGTCTGTAGACATACCTCAGGGCTGCGAGTCTGTCTTGCGAAGCTACTTTGTAAAGACTGAAAGTTCTATCTACCTAGGTATCATAGAGTCGAGATATAGTGCGCAAGCAAGATAAATCAAAAGTACAGCACACCGCTAGGATAACGGATAATGGTGCGCGCGCAGTCATCCGGAAGGATTACGGACTAACGGTTTTGTGCATTTGCTAGATGAGGCTTAACTGAGACGAAAGTCCGGTTCCGGTAGTCGCAGGGTTTGAAGGAACTCATCAATACACAGCCCAAGGGATGAACAAACAGCTGTTGGATAGATTATCGAAAAAAGCCAAAATACCCAATGAAAACCAATCAAATGGTAAGCAATAAGCAGCCCAGGGATTACAAGTTACAAGCCCATCATCGTTTATATTATTGAAGCAAGTAATTTGAGTTACCAGTCTTTTTAACGTTGCGAGTAAAACTGCGGCGCCTACCAAGATACGTACGCGTACGAGTGGATGAATCCGGCTGTCCCGAAAGTACCGTTTCGCAGAGCGGTACCTCTGGGGGGCTGCTGACCGGATTATTCTATAAGGAGCTTGATTGCACCTTGAGAGAGGCGATGCCGTATATATTGTTTGACTGTCGGTGAGAATTTTTTTTTTTTTTGAAAGCAGGGCTAGACAGGCATATTCTGTTTACGAGATGGTAAGGCTGAAAGAACCTTGTTGGGCAGATGTGTAGTTGCATGTTTCAAGTACTCTTGGCCTAGCCGTAGCTTCAGCGCAATCCAGCTGGGTGCAGCATCAGGGCTGTAGGTGGCGTGCTGGCCTTAATGCTGAGATAGAGCAGCCAAGAGCTAGGGAATGCTGTAATCATGAGCACACTGCTTTATCTATCATGGTGTGTGCTATTGTTTTTATCGCATTAGCAGCTGCTGCATTTGATCAGAGGCCTCCTATATGCACGAGTATAATCTGTAACTGGCGCAGTTTCCATAATTTTGTCCGCAGACGCATATTCCTGGTCGTGTGCCGCATTGGCTGCCAGATATCGCTCTTACAGGTGCTTCTGCTGCATGAGGCTCCTGTGGAGCATGTCAAGAGTTACTTCGTATAGCTACAAGCTGCTTCAACTGTACGCCTTTGCACGTGCTATGCCTGCTATTCCTGCTATTCCTGCTATTCCTGCTATTCCTGCTATTCCTGCTATTCCTGCTATTCCTGCTATTCCTGCTATTCCTGCTATTCCTGCTGAATGAAATACTTTTACTTGAATTGATACATTAAACAAACGTTCATGAAAAAGAGGATTTGTACTTCCATAATATAGCTCATATATTCCCAATTGCGCATGTGTGCGTGTATTGTCTGTCGTTTTGGCGGTTCTTTAGCAGCTCCGGACTCCGGATTGTACCTCCCCTGGCCGGGGTACCTCTGCTTCGCCATTTTCCTGGCGCAGCCCGAAGCTCTCCATCTTGTTGCGTCTTTCAGAAGGTGGGGGAAAGCGCAATTCTGCCCAGGCTGACCGCGACCGACGGAATCACCTCCAAGCAACGGCCTTGTGCTCTGCTCGTCCCGCTTTCAACAACAGCAGCCCCAAAAGCAGCATCGCATTCGCATCCGCTCATCTTTAGCTTCATCTGCCTCGGTATCCGTCTCTGCTGCTTCATCTTCATTTTTGTCGTCCGTATCTTGTCCATTTCACTCTCCAACGCCCATCCGTCCCGCCCGCTTTTGCGCATTGCGCTATCGCCAAAGCCAATATCCATCCGGCCCCGCTACTGGCTGGTCGGATCGAGTTGCTGCTACCAGCCGCGAGCTGCTCCTCGCCACCGGCATCTTCGAACCTTTGCCCCAGCACAGCGCCCGACGAATCTCTGGCTGCAGCGAGGCTCTGGCTGCCTGTTACGGGCGTCGATTTGCGAAAAACAACCTGCGCTATGCAACATCTGCCCTGTGCAGCCGTTTGAAGTCGCTGAAGTCGCTCCCGTTGTTTGTGTGGCGGATCGCTGGGAAGCTGAGGCCTGGTGCTTGCCGCTCAGCTACTCCTCTTCGTGCCACTGTTTGCACTCCCAGTTGTCGAGCGCCGTTTTCCAGCGCATGATTGAATTGATTCCTGGGCATCTCTGCACCAGCTGCTGCGAATAGGGTGCATCAAGTCCGGATTCAAGGCTTGAGGCTGGAGAAGGATTGGCTCACAGTCGACTCGGCGATAGGTCACTACCTGGCGGCTCTTCGATTGCTGTCCCTCTACGGAAATCCATCTCCCATCCGCGTTACCATCCGAGTCCTTTTTTGTTTCTTTTCGCTTTTTCTACATCTTCCTTTTTCTCACATTCTAGCACACGCTCACTCACAATGGGCAATAACAACACAAAAGAGTCTCGCTCCGATTACCCCGAGGGCTATTCCGATGGCCGGGAGCGACGCTTTGAGATGGGCGACGGCCGCGGCGCCTCGGGGGAATCACGCCTTCTGCCAGGGAGGACTGAGCGTAGCTTTCTTAGCATAGGAAGTGGCTCTTCGTCTCGAAACAGAGAACGACCGGATGTCCCGTTCGAACATCGCGAGACAAAGCAAGAACGAGAAGCTAGGAAGCTTGAGCGCGAGCGAGTCCTACGAGCCCAAGAACGTGAACGGAGCATAAGAGACGAACACGTTGATGGAGGCTATCTTGTCACCATGGGAACGTATGTCGGGACTGAGGATTTCAACAAGGCTGTCGTCAGACAGCTGCAGGTGCGTTGACTCAATGTCTATGCTGTTACTAGCCTCTAACTCGCAAGAACTAGATTGAGCGAAAATTGGCTCCTTTTTGGCGCGGCCTTAATGACTGGTCCTCTAACTGGGCTGAACACCAGCTCATGGCGGTCGCCCGTGGTCTGGACGTCCCGGAGGCCGACGCGCCTCCTGATCCTGAGTTGATGCCTCGACCGCCGCCACCGTCAAGTGATTTCCTCGCCGGTCCTAGTCTTAGCAATCTGACGGTAGAGATGGGACCCAGGACGCTCTCAACTGCCTCAGATGTTAGTGGCTCAGGCACAAACTCAGCGTTACCGTCTCCATCAACGGCTGGGCCCTTGAAGGGCTCCATCAAGCCAAGGGCGAGAGCATTAGCTGCCGCCTTGAGTGTCGGCTCCCGCAATGCATCCTCCACTGACTTGAGCCCCAAGGAGATTCAGCTTCCCCACGATCCCTTCGTCAACGGCCAACCGCTCGAGGTTAATCTTTACAAAGCTACAGAAGAATGCCCCATTTGTTTCTTGATGTATCCTCCTTACCTCAACCGTACAAGATGCTGTGATCAGCCGATTTGCAGCGAATGTTTTGTCCAAATCAAGCGAACCGACCCTCATCTTCCCGAACACCACCCTAACGGCGAGGCGCGGGATCCAAACGAGGGTCTTTCCGCAGAGGACTCTCCGAACTTGCTTATATCGGAGCCTTCCGCCTGTCCCTACTGCCAGATGCCCGAGTTTGGCGTTACATACGAACCACCTTCCTTTCGACGCGGCTTGGCTATTGCACCAACAGCGACGTCCGCCACCGCCTCTAATACCGCCATGTCCTCTCAAAGCTCCCTCAGCTCTACTTTGGTCCCAGGTACTGCGACGACTGGGCGGAGAAGGGCGCATAGTTTGTCCGTTAACGCACCCAACGTAATCACTACTGATCGCATCCGACCGGACTGGGCTACCAAGCTGGCCGCAGCGCGTGCGCATCAGGCACGTCGTGCTGCAGCAGCCACTGCTCTCCACACCGCAGCCTTTTTGATAGGAGGCAATGAGTCTCGGTCTAGGATACGTACCAGTAGGTTTGGTAGGAGAAATACGGGGAGCAGCGGCGGCACAACCACTCCCGGAGGAGGGCAAACCGCGGGCGGAACCGAGGCTACAGAGAGCCAGGAGCCTGCCGAGAGGACGCCAAGTCGGAATCCAGATGGCACTCGTCGTTCTCGTATGGAAGAGCTCGAGGACATGATGCTTAGGGAAGCGGTTCGACTGTCTCTTGCCACCGAAGAAGAACGAAAACGCAAGGTGGAAAAAGCACTTCAAAAGGAGGCTAAGAAGCGAGAAAAGGAACGTGAAAAGGCGGAGCGAAAAGCTTTAAAGAAACAGGGCAAAGATCCTTATGGGGGTGGCCTCAGCGGAGCCAGTGGAAGTAGTTTCTCCTTAAGCCTGGGTCGTAAGCGAGGCAATAGCGCAGCTAGTGAACTCAGACTCGAGGCGGCAATGCAGGCGGCATCGCAATCATCCAAAGGACCAGATGCTCCAAACCACGATAAGAAGGCAGAACCCGCCGGCGACAAGGGCAAAGGGATTGATCGAGGGCCGCAGACTCAACCTGGCGCAACGGAAGCGACTTCGTCAACCTCGCTTCCTATTCCTACCTCAAGTCCCCGAGCAGGGTCGCATTTAAGGCATATGAGCAATGCATCCTCAATTGGCTCTTCGTCAGCAGATAGTCCTGCAGGAAGCTATCCTGGGCAGGGATTGGCCGGTTCAGATGCCAATGCTGCCAAGAGACAAAGCATGGGCAATCGCAGCGATAGTGGTGACGGCGAGACGGAGAGCGAGCCCATGCTAAATTTCAGCAGCTTGGCTGAAGCTGTTGGCTTCAATATCAATGATGGTTCTGTGATTAACCAGACAGAGACGGCTGAGGGTGTGGGCAGTTTACTTCCCCAGGTTGATGAAGAAAAGGAGGAGTCTGGCGTCGAGCACATAGAGCGAAGCCTTAGGGTCGAAACTTCCGATATGAGCAAGGAGTCTACTTTTAGTGCTAGCGACGCAGCGAACAGTTCACACCACATACCGCCTTTCCTCGACACACCGGAGCTGACTATTACTCCCGACACTCCTATAGTCGAAGATGGCGCTGAAGATAAACAGCTAGGACAGTCTAGCGTGTTTGAACATGAATCTGGTCAGACTATGCATTAAGAAGTGGAAGGGACTTGGGGGGTAAAGATCGACGTATTGGAATAGAGGGGACAAGGGGGTGCAATTCGTTTATCGATATGGTTACGGAGTTGATGGTAGCTTTATGAAACCAGGATGGCAGCGTTGAATGGACTTGCAGCTTGGAACCTTGATGTGTGGCATAAGTATATAGTGAGTACGGTGTATGCATTAGCGATTGTGGGACGTTTTGCTATGAATTAGAGTAGCATCACAAGATGAATACTGATCAGCGGTTTTTTTATCCAACTTGTATACAGAGAGTGTGTGTTCGTGCCGGCACTCAAGATTGTTTCCGACCGTGAACACGCGGCTTGGCTCTTGAACGGAGCGGGAAAAGCGTCGTCATATTTGTCGGTGCGTATCATTTACGGATTTGGGTTGCAATACGCGTGTTGGAGCCCTGCAAGGAAATATGCATATATATTAAGGTTTTTTGGGATTGAAACAGCTTCTCGAATTATTATTTTCAAATTTTGATATTGAGTGAGACATTCTTCGTCACTGAAACCTTTTTCTAATTTCAACTAAGATGTCCTTTATATAGGAATTTGTTTTACGATTTCATTGTGATACCCTCTTCATTGAGATACGCTCTTTACTGAGGACTGTTTTACAGTTTCATTGAGTGGTCTTCGTTACTGGAAAGCGTTTTACAATTCTATTCGAGCATTCTCTTTATTACAAAGCGTCTTACAATTCCACTGAGACGCCCCTCTCTAAAACAACTCGTTTTACCGTTCCATTGGAGCATCCTGTTTGCTGCAAACGGGTTGAAAATTTCTACAAGTTTTACTTTACCATGGCTTCAAGGTACCATGTTATTGATATCATGGGGAGCATACCGATGCTAGGGAAATGGAGCATCTTGCGAGATCGATTGAAGGCGATGATGGGCTGGCAGTGGTTGAAATCAGTTTTTGGGGGTGGGCATGAAAAGGGAGCACAACAGGCGTGAATCAGAGGGGGGACATAGTCATTAGCATATCAATTTTCTCCAACATTGTATTCCAGCAGATGTGATAGGGCCTCATGGAGAGCAATCAGTATAATCTCTACTAACTTGTCTTTACACTTCATAGCATTTTGTACCCACTCTGAGGCGATAAATGTAGGCAGTACTAGTAATTTTACCAATCAATGGCTTGCACGTATCGACCGGTGTTGTTCTTTCACAGCATTTTTAACCCTCCCCAAGGCAACAATGTATTACTATCACCAGCATTTTTAGCAAGAATTGGGTGATGAATGTGTCATTTGCTGATTGATACGCTAAGGTGAAAACAGTCTAATACCCAAGGTTCTATGTGCTGTACGGTTTTTTTATGCCCTCTTAATCTCCTTTTGAAACTTTTCTGTCCACTCTGTAAACTCGTCCCGCGAACCATCCCAGCTCACACTCAGCAACTCACTGACGGCAAACGAATCAAGGAAGCACTGGTCCATGGCGTCGTCAATCTCCTTGGGCCGCAGCTCATAAAACGCACCAGCAAGGTCTCCGAAACTGTCAGGAAGCTTCTGCAGCAGGGGCGCAAGTTCGTTTAGTCGCTGCGTTGTCGTCGAGTTGCTGGCTGCTTCGCCTTTTGAGAGAGATGGGAGGTTCTTCATGCGGCGCTTGGTGATGGCTGTGTAGAGGATGATGACGAGGCGGAGGCGGCGCAGGGATGATTCGAGGCGGGGGCGGATGCCGTCGGGGTCGGAGGCGGGGATGCTTTGGTGGGAGCTCATGAGGTCGTCGAGCATGTTTTGGGTGGAGATGTGGGTTGATTCGGCTGCGTCTGCAAGATCATCCACGTCGTCGTCGCCAGCATCATCTTCATCTTCGTCGTCTTCGTCGGCTTCCTCGTCGCCCCATTCTTTGACCTCTTCCATGATATCGTTGAGAGTATCCTTCCATTCATTCATCTTTTGTACAAAGAACCCGCTGACGTTGCCATTGGCAAGAGCAGCGAGACTGTCGCACGCAGACCAGAGAACACCAGTCGATGCGATGCTGCCTTTTCCCCCAGCGCCGAATCCTTCCTTGTCCTTTGCCAAGACTTTACCATCCTTGGGTATCTTCGCCAGCAGCTCGGCCAGCCCTGACATCACGCGCTGGCATCTTGACGCCAATTCGCGCCGAAAGGCCAAAGTGTAGATATTTGGATCACATGCTTGGACGGATGCTGCAAGACCAGGTATAGGGCCCTTGACCAGCTCACGCACGACGGACGAGACTGCGCTGGGGGTGAAGGGCTCGTTGATTATCAGCAGAGAGACTTTGGTGGCGTGGGCCCTGATGAGGGTTGCTGAATCACGGGCGAGGGCGAGGGCGTTGAGAGGCGTCGTTGAGGCGGAAGAGGTCGCTGGAGCTGAGGGAGCGTCTGGCTTGTTTCGAATTTCGCCGAGGACGTCTTGGAGCTGCTTCAGGAGAGTTCCAGCGGTTTGGATGAGGGTTTCGAGGCTCTTGAGAGCCGTGGCGTCAGGCACAGGGGCCATGGTGGCTGAAGAGAAAAAGAGTGCGGTGGTGTAGAATAATTAGAATCTGTAGTAATATGTAGTTGAAGCTGAATCACTTCTTTTTTTTTTCTTTCCGTTTGGAGGGGTACTTTCTTGCTGGTACCCCGCGATGTGGGGAGTGACCACCTTATCTTGGCGTACCGGAGCTTTGCCGGATTCTAGCTAGAGACCGGCTAGGGTGGGGAGAGCTGCCACTTTGTCTACTTGGAGTTGGCGACAGGTTGAGCTTGGGCTTCTCCTCCAAGCCATCTGCGTGTCGACATTCCAATTGCCTTTGTCTTTTGCCCGCGATGCAGCACCCAAAGTCGTTGGCGCTCTTGGGTGCCGTGTGCTCCTTCACGGTGGCTGCTGCTGGCAGCGTGCCACGTGGAGTTGGCCCCGAGTGTAAGTTTGAGCCAGTCCATGCTATATTGCAACTGCTTGTTGTCACTGTCACTGGTCCAATTGGAGTCCAATTGCTGATTTATACACCCTTAATCTCCATCTAGTCGCCTCCTACTACCAGAATAACGATGTATTTGCCTGCATCGCCAACCCCTCCATCAAAATCAGCCTGGATCGCGTCAACGACGGCTCATGCGACTGTCCAGATGGCTCAGACGAACCCGGCACCGCTGCCTGTGCCTTCATCGACCATCTTTCCCCTGAACAGCCCCTGATTGGCAGCCCAACGGGGACTACAAATACCACTCAGTCCTTGCCTGGATTCTGGTGTGCCAACAAGGGCCACCTTCCAGCCTACATTCCGTTTTCCTACGTCAATGATGGCATCTGTGATTACGATGTTTGCTGCGACGGATCAGACGAGTACAGGCATGCCAATGGCGTCAAGTGTGCCGACCGCTGTTCAGAGATTGGCAAAGAATACCGAAAGCTCGCTGAGGCGAGAAGGAAAAGCGCGGAAAAGGCCAGTGTTATAAAGCAGCAAATGCTCAAAGAGGCAAAGGAGCTCCGTCAGGAGGTCGAGCGTCGCATTACGATACTGGAGCAAGACAAAAGGAACATTGAGGCTAGAAAAGCAGATCTCGAACAAAAGTACGCCGAAGCCTTGAAGGAAGACAGCAACAGAGTTGTTAAGAAAGAAGGCGCTGGCGGCAAGCTTGGTGTCTTGGTTGGCCTTGCCAAGGACAGGGTCGAGGAGCTCCGAGAGGCTCTCAGACTGGTAACAGAAGACCGCGAAGTCCTGCGTGCCAAGAAGATTGAGCTCGAGGCCATTCTCAAGCAGTTCAAAGAAGATTACAACCCTAACTTCAACGACGAGGGAGTCAAGGCTGCCGTTAGGTCATGGGATGATTACGCGGCCCGTGAAGCTGAATCTGACCAGGCCGAGTTCCATGAGTCTGACATCAACGAAATTCTTAAGGAGGATGACGAGAGCAATGGAGTGAACTGGAAGGCTTTCGATGAGTTTGGCGAGGACACAGACGTCCGTAAGTATTACCAGCTTACCCCCCTTGTTGGTGCTTCTATTTTTGCCAAAGTTTAGTTATTTTCCGTGTTTGCTGACTTAAGACCTCTTCGTTTAAGTTTACAACTTCGATGCTTACCTACCTCCATTTATCCGCAACGTGCTTCAAGAAAAACTCAAGTCTCTTCGCAAATGGCTCGTCGAGAATGGCCTGATTGCCGCTACTCCCAGCGATGGATCAGAGTCAAAAGAAGTCAGGACTGCCCGAGAGTACGCCGAAGCGGCTGACGTAGATCTCAGAAACAAGATAAGAGATCTTGAGGCAGACCAGTCAGATCTCCAGAAGGACTATGGCCCATCCGACATTTTCCGCGCCATCAAGGGCAAGTGTGCTGAGATTGACTCTGGCGAATACACTTATGAAATCTGCTGGCTTGATAAGACAATGCAGAAATCCAAAAAGGGCCACGGTTCCACCAACATGGGCAACTTTGATAGAATCGATATTGAAATGGCAGACGATGACGAGAGGGTGGATGGTAAGAGCCTTGGCAGTGGACCTAGGATGGTGATGCGGTACAACAACGGCCAGACATGCTGGAACGGCCCCCAAAGACGAACCGACGTCTGGCTCGGATGCGCGGAGAAGGAGGAGGTCTGGAGAGTAACTGAGGCCGAGAAGTGTGTCTACAAGATGGAGGTAGGAACACCAGCCGCTTGTGAGTATGAGGGGGACGCGATAAACTCGCACAAGAAGGATGAACTGTAAAAGGGCAGTAGAGCGATAACAGCCGAGGTGCCGTAAGATGGGGACAGATAATGCCGTTTCATACAATCATGAACGGCAGGTGGCAACTATCACGGAGAATACGACATTAGAGGACACGGATAAAGTCAAATGATAATTGGATTGATTATGATGCTGACGACGACGACGACGATGATGACTGTTGCCATGATAGTTGAAAGAACTGGGGTCGAAGCTTTTTCTATATTCAGCATTTACTAAAAACAGGCGTGTGAAAATGAGAACGTGGTTGCGGATCACGGCAGCCATGTTCCCACAACTAACTTTTTGTGGCTGGAAACCCAACAACTCAATTCATGCCAGACAAGCACGCACGCACGCACCACGTTTCCACGGCCCACGGCCCCTTTTGAGCACGGAAATAGGCACATCTAAAACTGGATCCTCTTCAGATCGCATCTCCGATCCTGCTATCCAACAAATAGCCGTAAGACAAACTGGCTCAGTCTCTGCCGAGTGGCGCGAGATATTACTCCATTCGCCAAAATCTTCCCGATCACATACCAGGACAAGGGCCCGGGATGCGGACAAGGACGAGACGGGATTCACAATGGAGTGGGGATATGTGGAAATGTCTCTGAACGGCAGTTCTTTCAAGCTCACGCACAAGCACAAGCACCAGTGACGCCCAGGCACATGCAGACTGGCCCGTGGCTGGGCTCGCGGCGCGAAGCTGAGGCTGGAGAGTCCTCGAAGCTTGGGGCGGGGCCAACGTCTCGGCCTCGAGCGAACCTTAGTGCCAGCGCTATTTGGAGTGTTAGTGCGAGGAAGCTTGTCTGAAAGTCCCCAAGTTTCCCAGGGCTGGGACTTCACCGCATTGAGCTTGACGCACCAGTTCCGCGGTGTCGCGCAGAATCCCGCCCGATTGGGCCACATGTCGGATTTGGGAGCCTGTCGCGCGGGTGACTAGAACCTGTCGGCTCCGTACGTCGTGCGACGTCGGTGATTAATGGGGGAAAATATAGGGCATGGCCATGCCGAGGAACGAATGATGGCCAAGGGCGGAAAAAGGCTTCGCTGACACCGTCCAACCCTTTTGTCTCTTCTGCTTATACGATACGAAGATTCAAAGAATCAGTGGATCACCAAACAATATTAGTGGCCCAGATCCGGGATACCCACCCTTAGTATTGAAGGGACAAATTGAAGCTGCTAACAATGAAGAGAGGGGAGGCCAAGCAATTATGAGCTGCTTACAGTTTTGGTTGGTGCACTAATCAGACCAATTACCTATATATATGCCTATACACGAGATATACACCAGTCTGTATATATGGCTAATAAGGCCGTACGTAGTCTGTTGGTTTCCAAACAAACTTTCTCACGATACAAGGCCATATATATCCCCCTTCCTTCCACTGTTCATTTTCATTTTTCTGTAATATATCTCTACGAAATTCAGCCCTCTGATACAATACACAATGAGTGAGTCTGATACAACGCATCTGAAGCCGTCGCCAGTGGAGCAGAACGCCGGCTCGGCCACTTACACACCGTTCTTGCTACGACTCTACGATTTCTGGGTTCTCGGAGTATCAAACCACTTTGCCTGGCAATGCTCAACAACAAAAATCCAGCTTCCCCTCTTCAAAGCTACAATAGGAACAAAACATCTCGACGTGGGCGTCGGCACGGGTTACTATCCCGCCAAAACCGTCGAGACTTCAACCCCGTGCAAAGAGATTACCCTCGTCGACCTCAACCCCAACACGCTCAACCAAGCCGCCGCTCGCATCAACGAAGCACAAAGTAGCATCAAGGTAAACACCGTCGTCGCCAACATCTACGAGCCGCTACCCCTCCCCGCCGGCGAAAAGTTCGACTCCATCAGCACCTTTTACCTGCTCCACTGCCTCGCGGGCCCCCCTGAGAGCAAGACAAAAGTGTTTGACGTGTTGAAAACCTACGTTGCCGACGACGGCGTCTTCGTGGGCACGACAATCCTCGGCGAAGAGAGGCCGATGAATTTCTTCGCCTCGCGGCTCATGAAGATCTACAACGAAAAGGGCATCTTTGATAACTGGCAGGACAGCAAGGCCGTGTTTGAGGAGGGCCTGCGGCGGAACTTTGACGAGGTTGATATTCAGATTATTGGGAGGAGCATGGTCTGGACGGCGAGGAGGCCCAAGAAGGAAGCATAATGCGCTTTGGGGGCAAAGGCATGCACATCACATGATGGCTTCAGGGGGGGTTGATTGGATGATAGGGGAGTTGTGTAGGAGGGTAGGGAGTGAGATGCATGCTTAACTGCAAAGTGGCGTTGGCAGCTTTTGTTTTCCTTTTGATTTGATTTGCGGACAAGCATACGTAATTTTTCGCCTTTGCATACAAGGAAACTTGGCTGTTGCCTTTTTCGTTTTCCTTTTATCGTATGTTCTTGTTCAATGTGTTGTTACATCAAGCTATATACAAGCATACACGAATACCATCGAGCATCTCTCTCTTTTTTCAGCACAAACATAAAGTTCCCCCCTTTTTTAATCCACATGTACACTTTCAATTCATGCCCAGCATTCTACACCGTACACACACCCTACTCCTTTAGCCGCATCAAAGCTGAAATGTGCAGGGGCGGGGTCCCCATGCAGGATGACTCTCAGCTGCCAGACGTCTTTAGTTTCATATGCCATCAATCAGGGGCGTACAGAATAAGACGATGGCATTTTATTGCTCCAGTTTTGCTGCTAGTTTTGTGCCACTAGTTGTTGTACAAGAAGAAAGCATGCAACCCAACGCTTGTGATGGTTGATAACTCTTCCTTTGCAAGGGTCCGTGAGTCGGACTAACGGAAGATATGCACTACAAACAAGACCTTTTTCTAATACAATTTTTCCTGGATGTATTTATTCTCGGGAAAATCCTTCCGAGTGACATTCTGTTGTTGTTTGCTTATTACTCAATCTATACTTTTTCGAGAACGTGCGTGATACACAACCTCTAGCAAATATGGTCGCCATTCATTTGCATTTCGTCCAGAAGGGGTCTATACTATACTTGTTGGTACTCCCTTATCACCTCGTATTGAGACAGCAAACTTCTTTAAAGCGATCTGGATAGCGAAGTTGGAACTTTCCAACGTTGGTGATAGGATTATCTACTCCAATCATCTGACGCACCAAGGCGCTCTCACTTCATTGACAGATTTTTTGCTGTCGATCGTTATGCTGCATTGTTCATGAGCATGTTTAAACATGTGCTATCAGAAAAGAGACAGACAAAAGGTTGCGATGAAGCGTCTCAACTTCAAGTTCAATCACGCCGGCTTATTTTTATTATACGTTGGCTTTGATTGAAAGATTACAGACGTTGAATTTAGACGGGCGCAGTTTTCCAAAGAAGTTACTGAAGCCAAGCCTATTTTACTTGTGGCAGCTTTACTTCTCATGTTTAACCTTACTCCTGCTAGACAACCGAGATCTCGGTATTAGTTCGCTACACGGCAGCGCAGCATCATCTCCTTCTATCCGTAGTCCCAACTTCCATCAATAACATAGCCTCAATTCTCGACTCAGCTTACGCAATTTTACCACCCTTTTTCATCAGCTTATTATATATTCCTCCCCAACGGTTCATCTCACTGTTGAGTGGCGCCACGAAACCTAGACGGAATATTACACCCACCACTACCCAGATGAATAAGCTCTACTCACTCAAAGAGCTCGATATCCCGGCGACGCGGATAACTACTCGTATGCATGACCACAGCGCTATTCATTATGAGGTTTGCCATAATGCCCCTTGTTGGGGCTTCGTCTTTAAGTAAAAGATATTTATGCGGTTAAGCTAGCAAAAGAGGGACGATAAGCTAAATTCTTATTTGAAAGACATTAGAGCATGGTCACAAATCTGTCAATGTTTTTCAAAGTTTACTTGCTTTGTTTGGTAGAGGTTAAAAGCCAATGACAAGTAAGTTCCGTATATCACTTAGGTTGCTGATATGGCGTAGATGGGAAGACCCAAATGGGCATGTGAGATTGTGATAATGCATTGCATATTGCTACTGGCCACACTTAATGAAGACAGCCACAAGAGCCAGAGTAAACTCACAAGATGAACGCCACAATGCCATGCTATTCAATCTTAAATCAGAAGTTATATGTTGTTGAGTCAAAGAAGAATAATAATTGCTCGCTCGTCAAAATAATTACAATTATACCTCTCAGGCCGGCACACAAACAAATCTGCCATAGCCAAAATCCCCGTCCTCCCCTCCAAAACTCCCCAAGGCCACACCCAGAGAAGAGAGAGCGACTCGTACACCATACGTACACATTTGCTGTAACTTCCACCACGCTGCCCAAAAAGATTCCGCATTCAAATTCTTTCCCTGAATAGTTCTAATGTTCAAGTGCTGCCAATAACTCTGTAGAATACGCTCTCTCGCTATGCCTTGCCGGGTTTCTCTTTCCGCTAACCATATGCCCTTCTTTCAACACATTTACCAGAAACTACACCATCCAATGTAGTGCTGACACAAATTCTCCAACTTCGTAGCTTCAATAATGAGCTTGTTCACTTGGTTAATAACATCCAGCTCCTCATTAGGCTTGAAATCTCGCCCCGTAAGCTTCTGAGATACCCGGTCGAGAACCTCGATTGCTCTAGCGTTCTGACTCTCTCTCTCTTCAGCGCCATTGGCCTGAATGCCATCTGGCACCGCTGAGCTATTCGTGCGGGCCCTGTGCCTTCCGGGAGGTGCCGATGACTCAACATTTGCCATCAGCTCAGATGGAGCTACATCAGCGTCCAAAATAGATTGTCGTCGTGCCCGCATGGCATGAGGGCCTGCTAGCTGTACTTCGCGTTCAGACCGGAAATTTGGTCCAGTGGGAGAAGCGGCATTTGTGAGTCTCCAGGTAAGTAGCGGATCATGAATAAACTATCACGTTAAAATTAGCTTCAGATCTCTTGGTAGAGTGTCCATTTCTGTGTTGATAACTTACCGCTTCTAGCACAGCCATTACACTCTCCTTATTATCGCGCAATACCCTCATTACATGTTCACATGTGATTCTGAAGCTTCCTTCAATGTTGCTAACCTCCATGGCGTATGTCAACATGCGCGTAAGTCGGAAAGGCACTCTCTCAGGGTATTTTTCACGCTTGGTGGCGACCTCAAAACAATCACCGAAATCGATATGAATGATTTTGCCCGTGACGCGGTCCAGCATGAGATTGGACGGGTGGCGATCTCCCAGACCCAAGATATATCCTACCATCGACATGACACCCAGGGATCGAGTGTAGTTCGTCCGCCGTTCTAGCCAAGCTTCAGACGATTTAGACTTCAACCACAGCACACGATAGAGATCTTGACCTGTTGTGTTGTCCAAAGCATATCCAAACACTTCAACCTTTTGCATGAGCGTAAGATTGTCATAATCCGGAGCCATCTGAAGCATTATGCGGTGCTCAATGTTGAGGAGGATTTTGCGACTTTCACGATATTCCCTGATGAGAACATGTAATGTGTCGCTATTCGGAACCCAGCCGAGAAGACCAGAGTTCTGGGAAAGTGGAATAGCGGGGTAGCGCTGGATATTAAGGTGTCGTTTGTAACATTCGGAGTCGTTGGCCAATAGGGTGTTGCACAAGCCGAATAGCTGCATCACACGCTCGTCCTGGCGAATATCTTCATGGCCCTTGAGCAGGAAAGCGTATGAAATACCATCGCTGCCATTAACGTTGAGTTTTCTCGGCCTCTGCTTAGAGTTGATTACTGTGAATGTGGAGTCAAAGGACATGATCCTCACGATGGGCTGTCCACTCTTGTATGTCCCTGGAACAGCCAGATCAAGATTCTTGGCGTTTAAGAGCTTAGGCGAACAGTATGTGAGTTCTAGACTTGTGACCTGCGGCAGCTGCCTAGTGATGCGGCGGAACACTTGGTAGTAAAGATCCCACGCTTGATTGAGGTCGTTGACATCACCGCTCGTCTCATACTGGCGGCACCAGTCTTGAGCTTCCTTAAGGTCTCGCCCGAAAGCTTGAGCAAAAGATATCTCTCGAAGCGTCTCCGGTCCTCGCTCGAGTTGCGCGTGAAGAGGTTCCAACGCTGCAAACATACCTTCGATGTTGTGATCACCAAAGTAAAGTCTCGATGCTTCTTCCAGACCTTCGTGCCAAAGCTCGTGCCAGAGTACAGCCACTCTAATCAGCTCGTGGCTGACTGTATCTGCTTGGGCAACGAGATTGGCGCTGTGTTGGCGCATGCTATCCATAATTTGCGCCGCGGACCTGGAGCGCCGGCTATTCTGCCAAGACTTCATAGCAACGGTGAGAGGGTAGACCAGCGCCTGCGGGTGCGCTCGACCAACATCGGCAAGGAGGTTATGTACAGACTGCTGGACACGCTTGTTGGGTTGGTTGATTCTAGCAATAAGCTGAGGGATAACCTCCAACCAAGTATCGATGCTGACATTGGTAAAGCCCTCGGTTACAGCCGTGTTAACGTCTGAATTGCCTCCGTGTGTAAACCACAGCGTCAATAGACGCAGCGTGTCTTGAAGCGAGCTGCCGGCAGATAGCGCAATGGATTTGAAAAAACCCTGTATAGCTGGAACAACATGTTCAATGATCATTGTCTGATCCGCTCTTGACATCTGTCCCTCGTTTCTGGCGGCCAAGGTCTGTACAATTTCAAAATTGGCGAGCGCCCAGGCATGCCAGGCTTTGTACCAACGAGGATTGTACTTGGTAGCCTGCGAATATGAGGCCAAAATGTCCTGGATCTTGGTATTCTGCCAGTCATCTTTGTTGAGCGCAATCTGCCATTCGCCTTGTCGCAAGTAGCATTTCGCCAGCAGCACCGTCTGGTCAACCAATGCTCGCTGCGTTTGCGGGCTCATTACAGATGGGTCAATCTGGTTCTGGAAGCCATATTCCAGAGACAGAGTCACGTCGCTTCCAGTCTGCGCGGTAAGATGGGCCTTTGCAAGATCGAGACGGTGGGCCGAATCATTAGTAAAGCGCTGTAAGCAGTACAGAGTCCGCTCGGCAATCCCTGACGCCTTCATGGATGGTTGCTGGCCAAGTTCCCATTGGTACTTGAGCATGCCGTAAATGACCTGAGCAGCAGGAGGGGTGCGTGGAGCTTGCCCTGGTTGCGGCTTCTCGGCCGGCTTGTTGTCATCCCAATAAGGAATCAAGCTTTCAAGCGACGCATCTGAGCCAATTAGTTGCTTCAGTGACTTCTCAGCCAGTCCCATACGTCCCGATTTGCGACAGAGATTGGCAAACTTGATCCACATGCGAATGTTTTCTGAAGGAGCAATCACCAAGGCACGCAGCCGCAACATCCGCTGCCAAACCTCGACGTTGCGCTGGCATCCTTCCAGCCTAGTCTCCCAGGTCTTGCGCATGGTGGCTTGTTTCTTCTCATCGCACTGCTTGTATACAATCAGCTCTTCCAGCTCGGCAAGCATCTGGACTCTGACGACGACCTGGTATGCCCGATTATACGACTCGCTGACAAGGGCACTTAGTTCCGTATCTAAGCCCTCTCGAGCTTGCTCAATACAGGCAATGGCCTCTCTGAACTGGTTGCGGTGAAGAGCCAAGATGGCGCCAAAGAATGAGCGGTCTGGTGAGTACCTCTTGAGAGACGAAAGGTAGTTATCCATTGAATCCCATTTACCAAGACCCCACGCAGCAGCCGTAGCAAGAGGTGCAATCATTCTCTGGACTTCAGGGGCAGAGTTAGCCCAGGTGCTGCCGGTTAAGCTGGCGAGCGCATCCCATTCGCCCAGGGCATGGAGACAGCGCATCTTGCCCATGACGATATCGATGGGGATTGGTTGATCAGCAGGCAACTCCTTCTCACGCTTGTGGTAAGAGGCCAACGCTTCTTCCCATCGCTCCAATTTCTCAAACCATGTTTCGCGGAGCTGAATGCCTTCCTTGTACAGTTGAGCTTTCCGCAAAATACCGATGGCTGCATCAGACTGCTGTAGCTGGTTATTGATTACAATAAGAGCTTCTACAGCACCACTGCTTTGATCTTGCAGAAATTCCAATTCTTTGTAATGCAGCGCCTTTGCATAGGCGTGGCACCGAGCCGCTTCTCTACCGAGCACTCGAATATCAATGGGCAGCGCCTTGTCATCGTGTTCCATGAACTCGGCCAAATTCAGCAAAAGACCGAGCAAATCAGGGGGTACATTCTCCGATTTGATGGCGCTCTCGATATTCTGGATCAGTTCGTCTTGAAACTGTTCATACAACTCGCTCCAACAAGAAACGAACGCAGAATTGAAGAGCTCCCGTGCCAGTGGCAAGTAGACGCTTGCAAGACTGGCGCACGCTCGCAAGGCATGGTTTGGCGATTCGGTGAGCAGCGTTGTGCTAAACCGTCGTAGCCATTCCTGCCAATCCTCTTTGGTTGATTTTCCCTTTGTATCCCATGCAGCCTTCAGGTGAATAGCGTTCATCTCCAACTTCTTATTGTTTAGATCCGCAAAAGGAGTTTCATCTCCAATATCCAAAAGCTGTGCGTCTGAGGTCAAATCTTGCGGCAAAACTTCTCCTTTCTGCAGCTTGCTAACCAGCAGATCGTAGTTTTGGTGTTGGATCTGGTGCTGATTGATGACTTTATTCACGGTCCCCATAAAGTGTATATAGTCTCGTCCAAGCTGTTGGACCAAAGCACAGAGGGTATCAAGCGCAGCTAGTCTCAGCTGCGGCTCTCCCGTATCAAGCACTCTGGTTAAGGGGTGAATAATCTTGGCCGCAAAGTCATTCAAATTGACTTGGCGAGAAATCTTGCCAATGGTATCGATGGCTTGCTTCCTGAGAAACGTTGGGTGCCCCTGTTTCTCAAAAGTCCTAACGATAACAGGGATGATGAGATGCATGTACTCTTCGGCACTGGCTCCAAAAACCAGAAAAGCGTGAAGTACTTTCTCAGAAGGTGTTCGCTTTGGAGATGCGTCCTTGTCTAGCACACCAAGCATCAGAGGGAGAAGAGATGCCAGGTAGATTTTGAATTCGCCCTCAAGAGATCGCGATATGGCTTCGACCAAATACAGAATCGTGGTTTGCAACGATGAAGATTTGTTCCAGTATTCTTGAAGAATTTCCACAATTTCAGGAAGATAGTTTCTGATATGCTGCCGCACAATGCTCACCAGCGTCGCCAGCTGGTTAAAGTACGACTCTAGACGGGTAGGGGGGGATGACCGAATCACTAGCAGGAATGCAGGAACGATTCTATCCAGGAACGACACGCATTCTAATCCCAAAGTCCTGAAGATATTCATAATGGCTTCAATAACAGCGGCGTGATGCTGAGCCAGGGAGTGGTCCTTGAGAATTTGCAAAAGGGCGTTGATGACGACAGTGGGGAAGTACTCCTTGTTGGACGGTGTTAATCCAGTCATCATTAATGATATGTCTGTCAATTGGTTTGACTCAGAACGTCGCTGCATTTCAGGCGTTTTCTCTTCAACCTGCTGCATTCATTTATCCATTAGTAAAACTTCATGTGGATTTTAATCTGGATGTTTGGTGTTTGAAGAGAAGGTGTCTAGCCAATGGGGGAAAACGGGAGGGCAAGCAGCTCACCTGATGTTTGTAAGGGTCCAAAGCGCCCAAGATGCCCATCAATTTTATCGTCTCCTGGCGCAACGGCCCTCTCTGGTCTTCTGTCCTAATAATGGCTTGCAGGATTTCTAATAGCTGAGGATATTCCAAGTAAGGCGTTATGACATATCCAGAATTGCTGGCCAGCTGGCCAAGAGAGTGAAGAGCCGCCTCTCGTTTGATATTTGAGCTCTGATCTTGCAGGGCATCAAGGATTAGGGGCATTAGGCGATCCTTGTACGGTAACATATCTTCTCCGCCGACGGTGGCCAGCTCTCCGATGGCTTTCAGAATAGTAGCAGCGACCGTGGGGCTGGGATCGCTAGCCTTGGGAAGAAGGACTGAGATCATCGGATCAACGTATGGCTTAATGAGAGATTGTGCGTTTTGGACCAAGAGGCTCAGCAACTTGGCACTCTCCTCTTTGTTCCGGGCCACGTCCGAGAATTCAAGCTCAGTGAGCATCTGGATGAGGGTCTTTCGCAAGGACGGAATAACATATGCGGGGTTATATCTAGCAAGTCGGCCGATGATAGAAATAGCCACTTCTCTGATGGAGAAGATTTCGTCATTTAGGGCAAAGAATAGGATACGGATGTTTTCTGCCTTGGCCAGGTGACGATCGAACCGTTCGTCAAGAGCAGCCAGCACAGTCCGTCGAATATTCGGCTCTGGATCTGAGATGCCGACAGTAAGTAGTTTTTCAATGACATCACCAACTACTTGGAGGGCATGGTAACTGGTCTGGTTGACAATTGGGTCCCGAACGTAGAGCTGGCAACAAGTAAGAGCCGCAGCTTCTCTTATCTCTGGGTCTTCATCTTCCACATATTTGATGGCCACGTCTCGAACAAATTCATTGAGAACATGGCCAGAGAAATCAAAGCTCCCCAGCGTGTTGAGGGCAAGCTTGATCTCCGTCTTGCGATTTTCATACGCCTGTGGATCTTTGGCGTCCTTTGTGATGGTTGGCACTGAGGTCAAGGTATTTGGCTGCGGCGCACCAAGAGGCTTGAAAGGTTCACCGCAAAGAACAACGCTCAACATATCGAGCAGTCTTTCTTGGATGATGGGTTTGACAGGTGGGATATAAAAGGCCATGTCAACAAGAGCCTGTGTCAGCTTAGGCGTCAAGTCGCAGGCAAAGATGGGGTCAAGCAGAGCCTCCATGTATTTACTCAGCGTCTGACCGACGGCCACTGCAAGACGGCTGATGCAGTCAAATACGGGGTCAACAGAGCCCCTCTTGCGAGACTGTACACTGAGGCCTTCTCTCACATAGATGAGAACGCCGTCAAGGTACGGGGCAATGGCACTCTTGACGGAGTTTGCAATGTTTCCGATGGCGAGGAAAGCATCGTTACGCTCTTTGTCCTTCTTCAACATGCCAGAGAGATAGACCATGAATTTGTGAAGCCACGTTTGGGCGAAATCAGCTGGAGAGTAGCTTGCCAGATCGGGTATTAGCAGGACAACTGTCTTGCGAGTGGTTGGGTCACGATGATCCTTGTGCTTGAAGACGATATCGCAGGCTTCCTGGTAATGGTCTTGCATGAACATTCCTCCCTGTTCAAGGAGCTCCTTCAATACAAGCAGGGAAGCGTGGATGGATTCGACCGTGTTAACTTTCAGGCCCTGTCTTGCCTCGTTGTAGATCTTGCTCATCCATATCTGCTTCATCTCCTGGTCTCGCTCACGAATGATGCGGAAACATGCGCTGACAGTCTCGGCTGAGGTTTCGCGGATGAGCTGCCTTGGATCGCGAAGGCCAACCCAGATCCAGTCGAAGATGGTTGGGATATACTGGTACATGAGGGTGGGGGCGTTTCGCGCAAGCTCCCTAAGAACAAGAACAGCGCTGTAGCGACGTTCCTCGACCCGATCATTCTGCAGCCATTCAAGAGCTGTGTTTACTTCTGAATCGACCAACTCGGAGATCATGGCTCCTCCCGGGCGGCAAAGCTTTCCGAGGGCAATCGCAGCGTGCCGCATAGGCATGGTGTCCTTGCCACGAAGGATGGTTTTCAGGTTCTGAGTAAACCGGGTGTATTTAGCCGCCACATCCACTCCCTCGAAATCGACCAGAGAGTCCAGGGCATAGATGCCGCCGAGCCTCTCTGCGGAGTCGCTGCCATGTGTGATGAGTTGGGTGATTTTGTTGTTGACGTTGTTGTAGAAGGATAGAAATTGCTCGGGGCTGAGATCTGCGAGGTTGTTAATTGAGCGGTCCCTCAAAGGCGGGAAGAGCAACACGGTATCGCCTCACCTCTATGGCATACGACCACCAGCTCTCGAAGCTGAATTGCTGATCGTTTGCGCACATCGTCGCTGGCCCTGAAGATTAGACAACCCAAGTCAGCCGGCTGCATCACCCGAACAATCCCCCCCGCTATGGCAGCTCACCTTGACCGCAATCCCTTTGTGATGTACTCGAGTCGCTCGAGAGCGAGCTGCTGTGCCTGCGCCATCGTCCCCAAGTCGAGCTAGAGCTTCAATGGAAGCGTCCCATGTAACCGCACCGAGGCTGAAGATCGCGGAGGCTCGACTCGATTGCGAGGTCGAAACCGCACCAGGTAAATAGGATGACGCGCGACGGACGATGAGGTGTAGACTAATGAAAGTTCGGAAATTGTCGTCGCAGAGTGGTAAGTATGAGAAATGTAACACAAACAAAGGAATGCCTCGCTGGCAACCTACGATCACGCTGTCATGACGTCCCCGACAGAGTGCTTTGAAAGAGGTATGAGGTTGGGGTAGGACCAGAAGAGTATGTTAAGCCTCATGTATCGCGGCGCGTTTGTCCGCACTGTGCCTGCGCTGCTTTTGTATAGGGACGAAGCTCGGAGTACAGTGCAGAATCCTGATGCCGGCACTGACAGCGGCACATGCGCGGAAAGCTGCTATCGATACGCACTGGCGGCCCGCGGGTGAGCTCCCTGGCGCTCTATTAAGGTCCAAGAGCCAGGCACTAACAGCAGCGCCACTATTCTCGACACTTTCGGCGGCTTCTCCGTTGAGAACTCTCTCACATGCAACGCCACATGAACTGAGTGACGCACAATCGCCAAACTCTGTGAATCCTTTTGATTATACTTATCCCTATACCGTTACTACAAATCATCACGGGCCACCAGCAGCCATGGGCAATGACGGCGGATCCATCCCCAAGCGCCGCGAGCTTGTCCAGAACGCAGCGCGCGCACCGACGATTTCAGAACTCAAGGCGACGGCCCTCGAATCTCTCGCCCATGCGTGGGCGCACTGCGCCCTCAGCGACGCGCCCATCGACCTGGAAGCAGTCGTTTCGGACTGGCGAGGCAGACTCTACAACTACGAAGCAGTTCTGCAGGGCTTGATGCCTTCGGACGACCCCAACGAGGTGACACCAGCAGCCCTGGGCATCCGCTCGCTTCGCGATGTGGCGAAGCTGAAATTCTCCAAGAATGGCGACAAGTGGACTTGCCCAATATCCATGAAGGAGATGGGACCGGCAACAAAATCCGTCTATCTGGTACCATGCGGCCATGTATTTGCAGAGGTTGCCATCACGGAGATCAAAGAAGAGGCCTGCCCGGAGTGTGGCGAAGCATTTACTCAAGAGAACGTGATTGCCATTCTCCCAACTACTGAGAAAGACTTGGACAGGTTACAGAAGCGGATCGAAGATTTACAAGCAAATGGCCTTACACACACGCTGAAGAAGGGCAAGTCAGAAAAGAAGAAGAAGCGCAAGGCTGGAGAAGCAGAAGAGGAGGCAAACGGGGAAAAGAAGGACGAGAAGTCTAAGAAGAACGATGCTAGTCGAGCAAAGAAGGAAACAGACTCAAGGATCAAGGGCATCAACAACTCAATGGCGGCGACGTTGACAGCCCGCGTCCTCGCCGAACAAGACGAGAGGAACAAACGCCGGAAGCTGGCCCAGGTGGCTTCGTGATCCACACTCTCGTCCAAGTAAATGCTCGACCATGATTTGCCGCCAGCTAGGTGACGGCTTGGTCTCGTGTGTAACCCGTAGAGATTGATGTACTACTCCTCGCTGTATTATTACTCCGTAGCTATTAATCAAGATACCCCTTTTTCAAACTACATGGTATCTCGACACTATTCATGTAAGGTGCTTACAATCTTAGGACACACCGAGATAGTGGGGATGCTGTCACCACTCGAGAAGGGCACGACGGTTGCAGGCTAGAATGAGGCTCAAGTTGCTGTTCTAGAAGACCAGGGCACAGGTAAGTGTGCCTAATAATACACGCGCTATCGCTGCTGCTCCATACTGCTAAGAATAACGGCTCCCGTAACCGTGGACTCAAGCTCGCGCCCATGACTGCATCTGCATCTGCTTGTCCACATGGCGACTCAGCGCCAATCCTTGCCGGCCAGCATCCTTCCAAGTGCAACTCTAGGCAGCGTGACACGATGTCCATCACAGCCAATTCGTATACACCACCATTTCGTGCGGTTTGATTCATGATTTGCTGGCGTCGGCAATTCAGCTCCATGCCAAGTAAAAGCTCGTCCCGACTGACTCTGGCGTCTGTCCGGCCCTCATCTCCCAGTCGCCCTGCCTGCCTGCGAATGGGCACTTGCACTTGCATTTGCAGTGGCATCTGCATTGTTCGTGCTTTGCGACATGTAATACTCCAGCTCTGATGCACTCGCCTCATGCCCATTCGGGCGGTTCTGGGTTGCGGCATTGAACGATCTCGCTACTAGGCGATCGGGCAGGCTGGTCCTGTCATACAGGAACCTGGAGAGCATGGCCGGGTTCTGGGCTGTGCTGCTGTAGCGTTGAATGTTAGCGGACATTGCCGAGTACAGCGACTGGTAGTGGCTGGCTTAGAGGAGGGAGCCGATCTGCCAGTGGGAGAATGGGGCATAGTCTCACTTAGACGGAGATCGGTTGGAGGCTGAGTTGCCGTTGCGAGGTTGCTGGGAGCTCATGATGGCTGGAAAAGGAAATGGGATTGAATAGTTGTGGGCTATGATGGTATAGGGTTTTACAGCTGAGTTTTGAACAATCTGGAAGGCGAATGCAGAAGTTTGAAAGATACAATTGAATCCTGTTGAATATATTGTCTCATGCTCAAGTACATGTAGACTCTATTCTCTTCTTATAAGCCAGCAGCTACACTACATAGACGTAAGGTATTATCAATCTCGCATCTATACATGTCCACACATCTACCAATGTCCTACACTCTGAGGCCTAGACTTTGTAAACTTGGCAATCCCAACAAGACATCATCACCATCATCGTCATCAGGCCACGACTGCCTATGCGCAAACCTCAGCCAAGAGCTAAATCGCCCTCCATGTAGGTCTACTTCACAACTGGGCCCCGTTGTGCAGCAATTATAGAATCATGCCACTTCAGGACAACAAGGCTCACTCAGAGCATCGGTGATGTACCAGTTTGTCTCCATGAACCAACGAGAGGCGAGAATCGGATTGTCAACGGCCAGATTAACGAGCACTGGACATGGGACAGCTAAATCTACGGCCGCCGCCATCAACAATCTGCCGTCACGCAGGTTGTCTCTCCCACGCTGAAACGTTATTTTTAACCGGCCATCGCTGCTTCAGGTCGTGCTTTCCTGGATCAACTGACACAAAAGAAATTAGGATAAACAACAACCTGCTCTTGTTTGGTGTTCTCTGCCTCCATAGGCGCTGTGCTAATGCGAGCCGTCCCGCTGGATCAGAGATTAAGGCACGTCCTACCAGGGGGCCTCCCCATCGCTCAATGGGACGATGACGGACATTCAGCTGGCGCTTACTGAAGCCCCAAATCGGAGCCGGGGCCGTTGGCAACTGGTTCGCCCATCCGGCCCATCTGGCCTCAGGCAAGCGTTGAAGATGGCGTCTTCTTGTCCTTGCAGTCTTGTCCTTGCAGACCCTTTGTGCCTTTCCGCGTTTGGCGGCGTTGACAGGCAGCGAGGCCCGATCAGGATGGTGCCAGACGCGACCACTTACTGCAGGCCTGTCCTCATCGCGATGCGATTCAATGCGATGCGAACCATAGGGCTGCCTCGACAGATCGTCTCTGCCTGCGTCAGCAGCGCTCCCCATGCAACAGCCGCCACCATGAGCGAATCAGAGGCGCAGCACCCGCTGCTGTCCCCACGAAGGATGCCTCTCTCTGGCCCGTCTAGGCAAAGACGAGACCCCAGCGCGAGACACTAGACAGTCCGGCCAGTAGGCAAAAACCCAGGACTGGAGTCGAGAAGGCGTCCAGGCTGGCCACTTTAGCAGTCGGCAAGGCACTCCCAGCGCCCTTATCTGGGGGATACGGGATACGATGTGCTGATAGCGCTGCTAAATACAAAGGATCCTGCAGTCAACAAACGACGAGGCATTCTGGAGAGGCAACCTCCCTTTTCCGGCAATTCTCTTAATCGTTTCCTTTCGTCCCTTCGTTTTCCGTCTCTTTTTTGATATACTATAATTTTAATGTAGGTTGGCGTTGCGCGCTCTCTCTCCCAATCGCTCTGTTTTATTCCTCTTACTCCCCAGCAGCGGAACAAGATGTCTTCACCATGGCGCTGACAACACACAGTCTGCTGGTGTATTCGTGAGCCACAACCGGCTTCCGTATAATACAAGAGCACGCTTCAGCACCCAATGACCGTAAGGCGAGCAAGTTTCTCCGCGGCTCATTCCATGGCCGAGAACTCCATCGATCAGGGAGATCGCACACCAGGCCTCGCCGTCAACCACATCCCGCTGCACCTGCGCCAGGACTCGCGGTCCAAAGAGTCTCTCACGACGACGCCGCGGTCCAGCATCGAGAGCCAAGGCGTCGCCCCCTTTGCCCAGCGCAAGCAGTTCCCGGAAAACCTGCACTTTGCCCCTCATTCATTCCGCCTGCGCTCCAGGACCGCCTCGACCCGGAGCAGCATCTCGTCGGCCAACGTGCCCGACTCGGCCACCACTTACTCGCACTCGACGCTGGCCAGCCCCATCAGCACCAGCTACGCCAGCGACCTCAGCGACTTCTGCGGCCACTCCATCGACACCTCGCGTCCAGCCAGCCGGGTCTACCATCGGCGGCACCGCTCTTCCACGGGATCTCTCTGCTCAGCACACGCCAACGACGATGACGACGCCTTTTCTTTTGCAGGATACCCGGACCTCAGCGCCCGGCTACTGGAGATTCACGTAGCCTCCCCAGTCACTCCTGTTCCTTTGAGTGATAGTGACTATCTGGATCAATCTACAAGGCAAGCACAGCGGCTCTCTTGAGGCAGCTCACGAGCTCGTAAATATTGACTTCTCCCGCTAGCTCGTCCAAGGTCTCCCCTATCAAGGAGGAGGAGGAGAGTCTGACGCCAAGTGACTCCTATCAGTGGCCGCAGCTTGAGACCACCACTGAGCCGTCTCTCTCGCCCAAGTGGGACACTACGTCGTCTGCTTCGGACGACGTGTCTTCCCAGGACACAGAGGCCATTCTAAATTACACGCTCCAACTAGTCTTTGGGGTAGATCTTCAAGAAGAGTCATCCAAGGTGACCCCGGCGGTACGACGCCTTGTATGCAAGTTTGTCGGTGATGTTGGAAGCTCCTTTTGGACCTCGTTATCGGACGCTGATATGACACAAGTCATGTCATCGTCAAGCAACTCCTCGACTCCTTCCCAAGGCGGCAGCTCCCAAGGGGGTAGCGGAGGCGGGGATGCTTCATCGGCAGGCAAGAGAAAGAAGCAAACCCGAGGGGATGAAGATGACGGCGAGTTCTCCGACGGCGAAGGCTTGGGGTATAATCCTCTCAAGAAGCTGCGCCCAAACCCCAAGGATGACGAGAATTTACGCCTGAGCTGCCCCTACAGGAAGAGAAATCCGTCGCGTTTTAATGTCAGGGACCATCATTCTTGTGCCATGACTTATTTTCCCAAGTTTGCAGAGCTAAGGTAAATGCCCTGAAATACACATCCTATCCTGTCCAGCCACATACGACTGCTCGTATATTTGAGACTGTCGCTTACACGCATCATAGACAGCACATTGTTAAACAGCATAAGCGAGACGACCCTTCTGCATTCGTTTGCGATAGATGCAACCGTGACTTCCATACTCGGAAAGAGCTTCGTGATCATCAGCGTCTGCCCAAAGAAGAAATGTGCGACATCTTGGATCATGATCCAGAGTCAGGGGTTGATGGAACTACCTCGATCAAGCTCCTGTCTCGAAAGAGGGCCAGTGGAGCCTCTCCCGAGGCTCAATGGAAAGAAATCTGGAATATCCTGTTTCCGGACGATGAAGACCACCAGATTCACCAATACAGTATGCATTCCATCTCCAAGGCGAAGAAAAAGAAAAAGATTATACATTCGCTAACTTCATTCACACAGATTTTACTCCCGTCATCGAGCACTTCGAGCTTTCCAATTACTACATGTCATCTTTCGAAGTCTTACACTCGTCCCTTCGCGACAAGATCTCAAACCCCGCAACGCTTGAGACTCTGACCTCCAAGTTTCAACAATGCTTCATGGAGGCCGTAGAGCGCTGCATAGGCGCCGCACAGAGCATGCCCTACACCAATCGCAGCAACAAGAGGAACGAACCACCTCGCGTACAGAGCTTCCAAAGTCTTATTCCCCGAAAGGGAAGGGAAATACTCCCACGTCCGGACTCTGGCGTTGTCATGATGGACGAGTGCTCTGAAGAGAGCGGCAGTATCAAGAATTCTGTTTACGGCCCCCGAGACAGCGTTCGAACCATTGTCAAGGACGGCGGGCAAAGGCGCGGAAGCAACTTGGTTCCTGAGCCGTCGACGACAGAGCCTACACCGGCGGCGATGGGCATGCTGGATCAGAGCTTTTCGGGGCACATGCCGTTCATGGCACCTTTAGCCGTGACAGACCCGATGGATTCTATGGCCGTTCAGTCGTGGAATAATGGCGTCTCAGATCCTAATGATGGAGACATAGGCAACAGTTTCCCCATGACTGATCAATTCTATGCTCCGGGAGAGCTCACGCCACACGGAGACCTCGGAAACTGGGGAGGCGACTATTATCAGTCCTCATTCCATGGACTTGATGACCGGTTTAACCCCTTTAATGGCGGGATGGGCTAAATGAAGTTGTAGACATGCGATGGTTTTATCTATGAGGTCCCGTGCATGAAGAAGTATTGTCAATTCTGTATTATTAGATGTATTACTAATATTTTGTCTTGCTTTTGATTGCTTGAATATTGCTATCGAGCTAATAGTTGCTGCATATAGCCAGTCTTTGTACTATAATTCAGTGCCATTATTCGACACTTGAAATCGTAGGAATTGCCCCGATCAGGGAGAGAAGACATCAAATAAAATCAACCAATTGATCCACATCAATGGAACGATAATATTCTTTTGCGGGATGCAATCCCAGGCTTTACGCCCGCACTTTATACATGTATTCAGCACACGAATGTGCATACTCTCCACGCGTCTCCTAGTCAAGCTTGACAATACAATCTCTTCGCTGATTTCCGTACTGGGTGTTGAGAGGCGTGTATCCCATCAAACCTTGGCATGGATAACGCGCTTGGGAGTGTGATTGATCATATTTCTAGGAGAGATGTATCCTCGATGATATAAAATATGTTTAAATCTGCAAATAGCTCTTCGTGGTGGAAGAACCGCTCTCCGAGTAAAATCGGCTCTCTTATTCATGATGGAAAAATCGCTTGCTTGCTTCTCGTAGTCTGATATGAGAGTATAATTTCGCCGCTTGATTTTCGTTCTGGGACTTGGGAGACTAAAACATCATGCCTTGACGTGAATAACACCCCTGGTCGAATGGCAGAGGTTCATAGGAAGGCAAATCATTGCTAATTTGAACGATGATCAAATAGGAGATACCTCCTCATGATGTAAAAGTTGTGATAGGACTCGTTCGATTCGGTGGAGCCGGGAGTGAAGATATAATCCACTCAGTGGCCATCATTATCGCTTTCGGTGTTGCTGAGCGATGCAGCTGTTCTGCCAAAAAGTCTCCTACATTATACCCAACAATGAGGGCCGTTCGAGTATGTCTTGTGTCAAACGCCATCAGCCGTATTATGAGGAAATCAACCTCTCTTGGCGTCCTAATCTACACGGATACCTGGGCAATCCCATAGCTTGCCTTGATGATGTCGATAACAGAGTCGTCTGAGGCGTTGGGGTTGTCCCCTTTCTCGACGTACTTCTGGTGCTGCTCTTTGACATGTCCAATGTGCGCGGCGTAGTCGTTTGACTTCGTTGTTTTGCATGTCTCGTGCGGCTTTCTCTGAACTTTTTCACCGACCCCTGATGGGATAATGCACGAGACAAATGTAGCAGTCTCTTAATGATTTATACCCATTTCGGTCACATGTGTCTAGATACACATTTTAAGGGAGTTTATAGCTGGGAGTTTACCGCCTTAAACTGAAAAGAAAGCGGGTTGTAAAACGTTGTCCAGTAGTTGTATCTTCTTGATATCTGGGAGATTTGCCACAGATTGGTTTGCGACCGAAATAGCACATCTGTCAATTCGTCCATTCTCAGCCTCATGTGTCTTCGAAATGAGATGAGCTTGAGTCAGACTGAGTCATGAAATCAACTTATTTGATTGAACTTGCTTTCTTTCAGTGGATTCGCATGCAGTCGATATAGGTATACATGAGGTCATGGCCTTGATAAGACGCCCGGTTTCACCGACAATGATAATGACAGAGACGATTTTGACTGTATAAGCTTGTCAAACCGAGGTTTCGATGGTGAAAAATGTTGTTGTAAGTCGTAAAATAGAATCGCTTTGTCAGATATATTGGTTGATGAACTTGTCTTGTTTCATGTGTCTTTGATCGCGAAAGCTCTTGAGCTGGTTGGTTTCAGCACATGTAATATGATCGTCTGAGTGTATGTAAACATTCATGTTGCGTATAATCATTGGCGGCAAACTTTCGCCAAAATGGATTTGAACGCTCGAAATAGCCGAGATACGTTGATGTTCGATCTTTGCACGTTCGCCAAAGCATCGGAAGGGCAAAGCTTGAGCTGTTCGACGCCACAATGCACATGCGCCTGTTGCTGCTTAGCCTACCAAAACGGGCGCAGACAGCAATTCGTTTCAATCAAATCAAACAATTTGACTTTGGCCCGGCCGAAAAGCTCGAGAAGGTTATAGCTCTGCTGTATCCAAGGCGTATCGCGCAGAGTATCCATGCAGAAATCCTGACATCCCTCATCACAATACTATGAAGAGATGAGATTTCTTTGCGTAAGCAACACTCTGAACAAGGTTATAATGTCCAGAAGACCGATTAACTCAGTTGCGGAAGTGATGATGGTCGTCTGCCTTTGCTGGTTATCTTTGTGACGGTATTGAATAGCCCGTGTGCGGATCGCTTCACTCGATCACTTCCTGGGCTCGCTGCGATACCTTCTTTGGCAGTTTACTGCGAATTTTCGTTAGAGCCAGGATTTTGGCTGTCTCCTCGTCATCCCTTCGGATGTCACCGGTGCTATGGTGTGTTGGAGTATTCGTCACTGGCAGGCTTCTCGACTTCTCAGTTTCCCAAGTACGCCTATGTGCATCACGGTGCTCTTGACGCTTCTCGCGGCAGCGAGCAACGAACATGGCGATCACACGGGGAATGGCGAGCAACAATAAGAGGCCGACCAGGCAGTCCATACAAAAGGCAAAGTACAAGTATCCCATGCCTGCGATGGCGGATAGGACGTCGTTCTCTTCGCTGGGTAGGTGGTATTCGTCATGATGAATGATAAAAGTGGTTGGTGATGGTAGTGAACTTGATAGCTTGCTATGGGAGAAGTGAGTGGGAATTCTAGCTGAGGAAAAGATGGTCGAGGGTAGAGGATAAGGAAATGAGGAGGAGATGAAAGGGCTCGACATACCAATTTGCTTGTGCAATCAGAGTAGTATAGACTCCAGCTTCATATTGCATGGTAGTCAGCGTGGTAATAAGAGATTGAGAGATAATCCAAAAAATATAGGCGTACTTTTATAAGAAGATACTCGTAGGCATCCAACGCTAATCAACGGGTCGTATATACCGTCGACATGGCTCATAACTAACATTCAACAGTCTTTTGCCTTTGGGTAAATTTTCTCTGCAAAAAGCCCCCAGTTGCTCAACGCTTCCGTGCCTCTACTCGCCTAGTCATTGGTAGAGAGGTCGGGGTGCAACACCTCCGGTTTCCTCGATAGGGGTCGAACAGTGTCTTCATGTTGATTACCACAAGAGCACCAACAAGCTTGAATGTGGGTGACATTGTGGTCCGCACCAGCGAGAACAAAAGACTTTCCATTTAACCAAGTAAAATCCAGCCGACTAAATGGAAACCAGGACGCCGATATGGAGACCGCAGCCAGTTTCACGCTTGGGCAGTTTCAACTTCACCTTCTGGATGAAGTTGAACACCGCGGTGGCGGGGGAGCTGTCGGGGGCACAGATTCAGCTGATGTTCGAAACGCACTCTCAGACTCTCTCACAGGATAGACAGGTGGTGCTGTCCTATAGGTTTATATGCTGTAGTTTGTAGTCCCTAGACATGCCGTAAGAGCAATGCCATGCGTCAATGGTGCCTGCGGTGCACTGTCTTTGCAAGGACTCGGCTACCACAGCCGTCCGGTTGCTTGCTATACCGTGTTGTATTTCCGAGTAGCTCCATGACGATCCTGGGGCGGTAGTGGTGTGATAATTGGCGTCAAATAATGTTTAAGACCATAGATCACCAGGTTTTTGACGTCGTCTGGCGCTGATCGCGCTGGCTATGCGATGACCTGATGTGTCGCACAACTAAGCCGATACGTTTCAAAAAGCGATCGGGATTGTAGCTGAGCCGACACAAAGTTGGTTCGCTCGGCGGCGATTCCGTACCGGCAAGCAGTGGAGCTGATTTAGTTACATGTCTGATATTAATGTAAATATAAGCATACTGTATTCAAGATTCGAAAATTGCGGACAAGGCCTGGATAGAGACTGCGGTAGTGAACTCACAATACTTCGATAGACTCATGATTATAACGATCAGGACTTTCATCACCGGTGTAAATGACATCCACGTGTTCTATAGAGTGGAAGTTTGGCACAATCCCTCTTCGCGTCCGACCCAAAGAAGAAGAAACTAGCACAGCGCCCGAATCTCAATATTAAATACCCTTGGATGCAAAGATTCGTGAAGCTGTATGATTGCACCTCTTGTCCTTTGTTCCGCAATCTCACTCTCAAACGTACACCCGGTTGGTTGAGTGTAATGCCTATAAAAGGAATCCATAATTGTAGTTGAAGAGGGCGTCATATTGCCCGTCTGTAAAGATCTAGTACAAACGTTTTCATGGATTCGGGAGGACTATAGCCAGGTATAAATAGCAGAACCGAGCAGAGCAAGTGAGCTATTAGTCCTACAGAGCCCAAGTCCGATCAACGGAGTGAGTGTTGTCATATGTAACTTGTGGCAACGGGAACTTGCTGAAGCACGGGAGGTTATTCGACGGATACAAGCAGCCGCATCACAAACTTGACAAATCATTTACATAACCATGTCACAGCATATTATATCGTATGCTCACTCAGCATCTCATATACCCCAAGAAGAAATGAGCATATTGCGGTGAGAATTGTGAAAAAATTGGATAGCATTCATCAATATACGTGTACTCAATATCTCCACTGGAAAGCCGGGTGCTTCCAGTCCAGGTTCTCAACCTGCTCCTGAGTCAGGCCGTTCAACTCCGCATCAATATCTTTGCTCCCCCTCTTCTTATTGTCCCGAATCATCCACAGCAGCGTCAGTGTAGCCAAAATCAAGACCGTTCCCGACGTGGCCAAATTCAGTCCATTACCGATGTGGTAATCCGGTGCATCAAAGGGAAGAAACGCCCACCCACTGATCAGACCGCCAACACTGCCCATCATGGCGTTGGTGCCGATTGCCGCGCTGCGAGCCGTGTCGCCGACAACATTTGCGGCAACCTGCGCATTTGTTAGGGGCCCCAGCGCGAATGCGGAGGAGGCGATGAGGAACGTTGCGCCGTATCGGACCTTTTGATCCGTTGAGCCAAGGAACATTGCATATCCTATCATGACCATGGGCGCAGAGAGTATGATAAAGATCTGCCGCCTGTCGAGGCGCCAGCTCAGGAGCGGGAACAAGACGGTGAAGAATGCTCCCACCACGTATGGTGGCACAGTCAGCAGCTGCTGTTGCGTTGTCGTCTTTCCCTTGAACAGAGTGGCAACGATTGTCGGGGCAAAGAATGCCAGTCCCTGGACTGTGATGTTGTTCAAGAGGAATATGAAAGATGTGCTGGCTGTCACAGGGTTAAAGATGCCTCTCTTGATCCTGCTCTTGTCCATACTATCAAGAATGGTGGTGGTACCAATTCTCTCAGACTTGATACGCGCAATGGCCAGATCTTTCTCGTCCTGAGACAGCCAACGCGCCGTTTCTGGGCGATCAGTCAAGGTCAGAAAGCCAACAAGACCAAGGCCAATGGTGATGATGCCCTCGACAACGAAAATCATCCGCCATTTATGAACACCGCCAACGTGGTCGAGATTGAGGATAGCAGATGCTAGCAAGCCTCCAAACGCTCCGGCCAGCGGCGACATGACAATGTATAGAGATAGTCTGAAGGCCAGCTCGGAGCGGCGGTACCAGCGAGATAGATAGTACGCAATTCCAGGCATCATGCCAGCCTCGAAAATACCGAGCAGGAATCGGACGGCGGCGGCCTGGCCCATGGTATTGACATACGCAGTTGATAAAGAGCACACGCCAAACAGAACCGTTATCAGGGGAAGAAACCAGCCTGGTCCTATGTATTTGCAGGCCAAATTTGCCGGGATCTCGAAGATGATGTAGGAGACGAAGAAAACAGAGATGACGGCATTGTAGTCGTATCCTTCCAGTTTGAGGTCGCTCGCGAGACCTGCGATTTTTGCATTACCTGTGCATCATTTTGTAAGAGCGAGTTTAACAATCAACACATGAATAGACAGTTCGCTATCAGCTTACCAATGTTTGCGCGATCGATAAAGCAAAAGAGATACAGCAGCGACACTGTTGGGACGATGTAAAAGTCAATCTTTAGTCGCAGCCTGCGCTCTGTTGCAGGATTGTATGCCACGAGGGCCGCGCCATATCTATAGCATTTCAGATAACATCAGTATAATTCAAAAAAAATTTTAATTTTTTTTTGGTTTCTGTTTATCCTTTATGCTTTATGCTTTGAGTTGTAGGAGAAAGAGACATCTCTCTATAACCCGCGCATTTGTGCTGGCTCACCTGTCTGTGGCGGTTTGGCCTATTTCAGCGGCCTGGCGCACATCACGCGTTGACACTTGGACCTTTTCATCCGTCTTGAGTGACATTTTCAGTGCGATATAGCTGCTGGTGTATTGCCAGGCAAGCAGACGACAGAAAATTTCAAAAGGCAGGGAAAAAAAGCTCCAAGCGCAGGATCCAAACTAAGTGGAAACCCCTTACATATAGCTGTTTATCGCAGATCACCCTCTCCTACAAGGGAGCAAGCCCAAATACGCCAAATACGACTCAACCAGGCTTCATTTTACCATTACATATCCATCTACAGCTACAGCTCCTCAGAGAGGGGGATACGACGCCGAGAAGACCGGCTTGCATGTGGGCGGCCTTAGTTGGATGCAACCTCGTAGGATCGCTGTAGAATCTAGGCTATATGCCACCACAACCAGTCACAAGCCCTGGAGATTCGGCAGTAGAAAGCGGCTGTTGAGCTTCTCTTCCAAAGAGAGAAGACTTCTAGAGCGAATGTGTCATCTCTGCACCCCAATCACGTCCTGGGCCGGCAATCCTTGGATCAAATTTGTCGCTAATGCGGTCCGTGACAAATGGGGGCGGCTATTTTATGCTTCCCCAGAAACTGCTAACCTTAAAATGGTACTACTGTATCTTAATCTCATTTCGATCGTGTCGCAGCATGCAGAAAAGGCATTAGTCAGTGATGACTACCGGATTTCGATTGTCGTCGTGGCTTTGAGTGGATGTTGGAGGAGGTCATTGACTTTGTTCAAGTGTAGGCTCTCCTATATCACTTCAAAAGTAGAGCGGGTGACAGCTCAGACAGATCAATACCTGTGCAAGTCGATTCTTTATTAGGTAGATAGTAGGTGTGCAACGAGCATATACGCATGCATCTTTGCCAGCAACTCTTATCAGCACCATTACTCCGCCAGGGTTGCATCCCGCTCAGTAGAAACAGCTCCAGGATTATGAGGTATAGCCGACAAAGATTTAGCGTATTTTATACTGTAGCATCCGCCAACAACTAATAAGCTTGTCAAGAGCGCTTTCATCCAGAGCTAACAAACGCTTTTGTCTCTTTCAAATACACGGGCTTCTACCTAACTGTCGCCTGTGTTATCTTTTAACGCAAAGAAGACATTTCCCAACTCCAGTTATGGCCCTTGACTCAAGTATCTTCACTTTTACAGGGTAGCCTCATACTCCGCTTGATCCATATACCATCATCATGGTCCAGAATCCTCGCCACAAGCTATTTGACAACAACAGTGTTAACTAAGAGAGAGAGAAAAAAAAACAAATGATTGGCAATAATCGAGCCATGAAAATGGCCACTTGGCGCATCTTTCGTATCCTCTAGAAGCGCTTCTTAGGCTGCAGGCATATGCTTGGAAATGTCCGATTGTTGATTGGCCAGCTGTCTCGCCCCGTTCGAACAGCCAATCAGCATCGTCGCAATCTGACCCAAAACGAGTGTCATCAGCCCAGCGGCGTCGAGGCTGAGTGGACCGACAATCAGGTACAAAAGACGTCACTGTCCGGCCAAGCAGACACTGGACGTCTATATCAACTGCTATTCGCATCCGTATCTACTTCTACAACTCGCATCCAATTCTACACTTACTCACACGCAATCTCTTCTTCTTTGACAAACACCACAAACACCATCATCAAAATGACTGTCAAGGCCACCACCTGCTGCCGCCAGGGCACCGACGCCGAGTGTGCTTGTGGTGAGTTCCGTCACCCATCCTCTGACTCAATAACAGCGGTATTCTAACAATCAATCTCGCAAACAGCCCAGAAAGCCACCTGCTCATGCGGCGAGCAATCTGCTCTTCACTGCACCTGCGCCAAGGCCACCACTGAGAACGTCCTCGAGGGCCCACGCTGCTCATGCCGTGCTCGTCCTGCCGGCGAGTGCACCTGCGACCGAGCCTCGACGGAGAATGCGCCCGTCTCAGGCTCAACCTGCCAGTGCGGTGCTCGACCAGCTGGTAAGATTTACTCACCATCTACATGTGCGCTACAGAATGCGAATGCTGACATCTGGATGAATAGCTGGCTGCACTTGCGAGAAGGCCGCCGATGGCACTTACAATCCCGCCAACGAGATCGACTTCACCAACTTCGCCAAATAAAGAGAGCGAGCTACGACTTGCGCACTTGAAAAAGTCTTGCATATATCGTCCTTCTTTTCTATAATTGTCTTCTCATCTTATTTCTCTCCCTTTTTGGTCCGAGGTGGCGTTTAGGGCGGCATTGGAATGCGGATTTACGGGTTCATAAGTTGGCTGCAGGCTTAAGCTGCAGCTGCATACATTTTACGAAGAGGCTGCATACACGTACATAAATTTGGCAGGCCGGCGATCGCCCAATCAGCGGGCGTGTTGCTACTCCGGGTCTGGATCTGGGTTTGTCCCGTTGTTATTGTTGTCCCGCATCAACACAATTGGGAAATGGCGTTTGGCGGCTCAATATACATGTATCCTCCCTCGCGAGGCATTTAGATAATAACAATACTCATCACAATATTTGAGATCAATAGCATAAACATAATAAGCTAAACACTAAGCGTATTGTCATCATTTCCCGAAGAGATTACGATTCGCTGGTTCTTGTTTTCTGCTGCTCCTCCCTGCTTATAGTCAGTCCAATGTGAGATGCTCAAATCACTTTTATTCAATGTCAGCACATCAGGTCACACACGGCGCATTCTTGTCTGCTTGTCGTCTTATGTAATCGCGGGCTGCGATTCACCGCTCGCGCGACGAGCCAAACAATGAGTTCATTGGCCATTGATGTTCTTACTGCCGGACAAACCAAAGGCGGTCAGCCCTTTTTGGGAGGAGCTTTGGTAAAGTTCCTACCTTGTGTGGGGCCGCTTCTCTGAGCCACCCACCAGGGCTGGGCAAAAAATCTCACCTGGGCGCGTCCTGCCATCATCGAGCCACTCCTATATCTATCCCGCGGCACCTCACATCGCGCGCTGTTTCTTTTTCCATCAGGGAAAAAAATTGGTTTCCGGTCTTTTGAAAGCATTGCATAGCGTCTGTCTCTGCAATTGGAGCTTTTTCTCGCCCTCTCGCTGATTAAACCACCCCTATATTCGCTCCCCTTGTTCGCTTATCAAAGCAAAAAGCAACAACATCAACACAAACCCTACAATACAGCGCGTCACAATGCCTCCCAAGGCCGCAAAGGCTGCTGCCCCCAAGGCGGCTTCGGATGCTAAGAAATCTGCCGCGACCAAGACCAGCTCAAAGGCGACATCCAAGACGGCCGCTGCTTCCAAGGCGACAACAAGCAAAGCCGCCGCCAAGGCTACCAAGAAGGATGAGAAGCCAGCCAGCGCCCGCGCAAAATCCGTCGAGAAGACTGCAGACGAGCCCATGACGAATGGTGCCCCAGCAAGCAAGCGCAAGGCTTCGGAGACAGAGAGCGAACATGATGAAGATGTCGTCATGGAAGAGCCCCAGGCCAAGAAGACCAAGATCGAAGACGCACCCGTGCGCGAGGCTCGCCCCAAGGCACCTGTCAAGGCTAAGAAGACTGCCCATGTCGCAATCGGAAAGAAGATCAACGATGCTCCCACGCAAGTCTTGGACATCTACGTCTTCGGTGAGGGCACATCCGGTGAACTCGGGCTGGGAAGCAAGCGCGCCAATGGCAAGAAGCCGATCGACGTCAAGCGTCCTCGGTTAAACGACAACCTTTCGGCCAAGACAGTCGGAGTTGTGCAAATTGCCTGCGGCGGCATGCACGTCGTTGCGCTTACCCGCGATAACAAGATCCTCACCTGGGGTGTGAATGACCAAGGTGCTCTGGGTCGAGACACAAACTGGGACGGTGGTTTACGCGATGCCGACAAGGCTGAAGATTCTGACTCGGAAGATGAGGATGATACTGGCATCAACCCCAAGGAGAGCACACCTACCGCCCTTTCCGAGGAAGACTTTGCTCCCGGCACCAAGTTTGTTCAGGTCGAGGCGAGCGACAGCGCCTCCTTTGCGCTGACGGAAGACGGACGTGTGTACGGATGGGGAACCTTTCGTTCCAGCGATGGTATCCTGGGCTTCACAGAGACTGTTCGAATTCAGTCACGGCCTGCGCTCATCCCCGCCCTGAAGAATATCAAGGCTCTCGCTTCCGGAGCCAACCACGTTCTTGCTCTCGACCACAAGGGCAATGTCGTCGCCTGGGGATGTGGCCAGCAGAACCAGCTTGGCCGACGTATCATTGAGCGTAACAAGATGTCATCTCTGATTCCTCAGGGTGTTGGCCTGCCCCGAGGCAAAATCGCCAAGATTGCCTGCGGCTCGTATCACAGCTTCGCCATTGACAAGACTGGAGCCGTTTGGGGCTGGGGCCTGAACAACTTTGGCGAGATTGGTGTTGAGAACAGTGCCGGCGAGGATGATGCTGTCATCCTCAAGCCTGTCAAGATCAGCTTCCTTGCAGACCACACAATCACAGACATTGCGGGTGGCATCCACCACTCTCTGGCCTGCTCTTCCAAGGGAGAGCTGTTTGCTTGGGGCCGTATCGATGGATACCAGGTTGGCTTTGAGGCCGAGGCCGTCGCAAAGGTTGACGAGGACTATGTCATTCGTGACGAGAAGGGTACTGCTAGAATCCTGATCAAGCCCACCAAACATGAAGGCAAGTAGAGCGGTTCTTTACCTTTGTTCGTGCGCGATTTGCATTATACTAACCCTTTTCATTAGGTGTTTCTGATATTGTGGCTGTCTCTGCCGGTACCGACAACAGCTTTGCTATCAGCAAAGATGGCAAAGTGTACTCGTGGGGCTTTTCTAGCAACTACCAGACTGGCCAGGGCACACTTGACGACATCCACGTCCCTACTGTGATTGACAACTCTGCCATCAGAGACAAGAAGATCATCGCTGCTGGAGCTGGCGGACAGTTCTCTATCCTCATCGGCGTGCCCGAAGAGGCCACCACGAACGGCGAGGTCAACGGCACCAACTAATTCGCCAGCCCTTTTCAGCAAAAGTTATATATAAAGGGAGGATAAGTGACAACCAAAAGGATGTTTTTTCTCCAAGATTGATAAGGCTCAGTGGCTGCTTTAATAATACGAAGGGCTCGACTTGAAGAGGTTCTTCCATGCATTGTTCATTGTTTATTCCATTGCCTCACCGAGGAGGCATCGAAGGTTTGCAATTGGACGGACGGACGGACGGACGGACGAACTTGTCTCTGTAATATAATGACGTGATGGATTTGGTTCTGCAAATGGTGGACTTATATATGGAGCTTTTCGTGTTTGTATAGCCTACTGCTTTGATGACATTGCGCATTGGCGTTGGTACTAGTTGATTTATGGATTTATATCAAGATTATTTCAAGAAGGTTGCTCTCGTGAAATGCTGGTAGAGTGTTCTTTCTAGGAATGTATGTTTGCAATATATCGTGTTACGGTGTAGGTTAAGTCTCATGACTGGACTGATGGGTGGGCGTTGTTATATGCATAAATCATTGCCCTTTATGATTCTGAAGTTGTTTGTCTAGCTGGAATGGATGTTCAGATCCGGTACTCTTCGGGAAACGTCAATAATACAGAGATACCAGCAAGTACACATTCAGTATCAAAGGAACCACTTCTCAACAGATTGTTCCCGTACATTTTGTGGCACTCACTACAACAGATGCTCAACAAACCTTATTTACAAGTCAAAAATTGGCAGATATAACTCGATCCGTCCTCTCCAAAGCCCGAGGCAACTGAAATCTTCCAAAAAAAGAAAAACAAAGGAACCCAACTGGAAGCGAAAATCGCTATCTTCTCCCCATGCACGCCAAGGGTACTAGTAGTAGCATTGGAGCGGCGAGAAAAACTACGGAGTAGCGAGATTACATCCAATTAAACAAGCCAAGGGAGCTTCTTCTTTCTCTTTCTTTTTTTCCGTTTTCATAATTTTGAGGAGATCTGGATCTTGCCTTGGAAACGGGTGGCTGTTGGGTTATGGGTCGAATAAGCTTTTTTTTTATGGGCAGTAAGGGGGGAGAGACGTGGAGAGATTAAGATCCAACGAAGGGAGATGGAGGCGAGACGAGGAGGCCTTGACCGCTCTGGGGGTGGGTTTCTGACCGCTGTTGGAGATGGAGATGCGAGCTGCAAGTTGGGAGCATTTGAGACGTTGTTCTGATAAGAAACTCCCTTTGGGGTGCCGGTTTTCGAATATCGAAGCGGTAACTATCACAAGCCGATTTCAAGACATTTCTCCTTCGCTTACAGCTGAATTCTCCGCCATGGAAAAACATCTCAAAGTAGCGAAAAACAACGGGGGAATAAATCACACACCGCTGCCAACTCAGAAAATGGAGAAAAGAGAGGAGACAACAGTGGAGTTGGGAAGAGAAAGAAGAGAAAGGGATCGATTCCAGATTCCAGAAAAGAAGCTCCAGCTGGGATTCGATGGAGCCTTTGCGGGCAAGGCTTACGGCCAGCGCTGGATTACGGCCGAGCCGAGTGCCGCAGGGGGTCGACCCAATGGAAGTGCTAAAGTGAAAACTGGAATTTGATTGATCAGTTCTGTTTGCAGTCTTGCTGCAGTGAGCAAGGGCGGCCAGGGGAGCCGAGATTTGGACGAGCTTGTCTGTTCGTTTCTGCGAGCAATGCGGGTGGGTTATTTGCGCCCGGCTGCCACGGAAAGGGACCTGGAAGTTGGACGGGACGGGGGCGGCCTGGTACCTGCAGCAATCCAGGGGCAAGCGGCCAGCGCACGAGCTTCTAGAGCTTCCAAGGGCAACCACCCCTGATGCGCGCTGTGTGCACGGCCAGCAGGGGTCTATGTAAATATTGAGCGGGCTACAAGAGACTGGAGAGAGAGAGAAGAGGCAAAACTGTACGGTATAGCTGAGTGAGTGAGTGCTCTGGTCGATGGCAAATTCAATGAATTGTTCGGTTAGGCCAATAGCGCCCTGGATTAGCGGTGCTGTTAGCTGAGGCGGCACCCGGGTTTAGCGCTGGCTGCTGCCGAGAGTCCGTCGGGAAAAGGGCCCTGAGGCGTCGATGGCCTGAAACCTGGGAAAAATGGAGAGAGGTGAGAGAGAGCTCCAAGCAGTGCAAAAGCTTCGTTCGGAGACGGCACAACCAGGCTCGGGCAGTATAAGACCGTACAGTATGGTTGGCCCAGACGTGTACTGGGAAAACGGGCATCAGCAAAACGGCCGTCAGAATTGGAGTCCATAATATTAGGATGCATTTTACTAGTATAGGGAGGAATACGCTGAAAGAAAAACACCGCAATACGCAGCTTCTTGACTCGGCTGGGCCAACCTCCCTGTTACAGAAGGTCAACGGAGGGAAATTAATTAATTACGTGCGACTCGCCGTGGCTGTAGCAATACTGTAAAAGTAAACCTGAAATGTTATACTTTCGTAATTGAAGAGGCTGTGTCTGCAAACTATTGGCTGCCAGCCAATACGTGTCGCTGATCTGTAACATTCATTTCCATTCAATGGAGCATGTTGCCGCTTGGAAAAAAGTTTATGGCTCTATTGATTTCTATTTTTTGACACACACACGCACGCGGGATCCGGTTTATTTCGCCTCCCTTGCAGATCGTGTCGGGGATTTTGGGCGGCCGCTGTTACAGCATGTCTTGTTGAGCTTGATTTACTTGAAATTGATTGATAGTAACACGAGTGCGGTGGCAATATAGCGGCACGGACAAGCGTTTATCAAACTCGTACCTTGCATATTGTGGCGCGGTGATCTGTCGGAGAAATTGTCAATGAAATAATAGGTGTCCGAGACTGGCAATAATTTCCCATTCTTTTCTATTTTAACATTTTGTTTTTGACTAGTGGCCAATAGCCAATTTCAATTCCAATGCGAAATGCGAAGAAGAGTGTAAAAAAAATGGAAAGGCAGCCGTGTTTCCGATGCATCGCGATCTTCCCAATTTCGCTCCCCTTTCCCGTTGAAACGCTCGGCACGGTTTCACGACAAAGGTAAAATGGAGTGCCGAGCGCGAGCGTGTGACGTGACATGCCACTGTTAATACCTAGCAGCTGAACGATGTAGGTAGCACAGTATGCTTGCAATACTTGTGTATCTATCGGAGGTTGGTTTTTTTGCTTCCTTCTCGGAGTCTTACATGCACTCTGTTCTATTGCCAGCTGCAGCTAGTGGTGAGGTCTGTGTGCACGCACTAGCTGAGCAAATGCGGCAGTTGGCAGATGTGCCGCTAACTAGACCTGAAAAAAAAAGAAGAAAAACAGCAAACACCACATGCAGTTCCATGATTAATGCTGCATGCTTACTGTGATTCCCGCTCATCTGCTGCACCAACCATTGGACCAGTGCAGTGCATCCAGTCCTTCCCATGTCGAGGCCCGGCCGTCCACGCGAGCAGCGCCAAGAGATACAGTAAAGAGCAGGGAGAAGTGGAAATGGAAATGGGGGGGAAAGAGGCTCCTCTCTTTCGCGGCCACATAAAAAGAAGGAAGCCAAGCTTTCCCGAGCCATGATCCCAGATCGGCAGACGCACGGCGGTTTGAGAAGATCCACCGTTATATGGAGCGCCGGATCCACTGCTAATCTTCTCGTCTCCTTTCAGCCTGCACTGCTTGGCCCCAACCCTGGGCCTGGCAAATTTACCTTGAAAGGGGAAACCTGCTGCGAGTGCGTTTGTTTCAACGGAGGGGAAGAGGGATTAAAAAAAAAAAGCGGCGAAGATGGGGTTAGCTAACAGCAACAAGGAAATCTAGCCTGGAGAGCAGGAAAAACGGTCTGCCGGGGTGAAGCAAGGAAAAAATGGAGGAGTAATGGGTGCTGCAAGTACAGTACACGCAAAGTAGGTCGATATGTTGTGATGTGAACCTTGAAAGTGTGAATGCCAACGGCTAATGTACAAGTATGTACATGCTAGGATCAATCCTACTTGCCTACCTATGTTGCTCCTGCTACTGCCGACGCTATCGTCTTATACGACAGGTTACATACATGTCCGGTACAACGCTGCTGCGAGGCGACGGGCGACCAGAAACGCTGATGCTCGCAGACAACAGGCATCCAGCATTGGCCAAATCTCCTTGTCCCCAGTCACGCCATCACCAGGGCCCAATCGCTATCAATGCACCAGCCACGAGCCATATCATATCGGATGGGACGGTGTACGTCCATCTTCTGTCTTCGCTCAGTCTTTTTTGCGCGCGCGCCCACTTTTCTGCCCAGTTTCGAAAAAAATTCCCGCCCTTTTTTATTTCTCTCGCAAGTGATGATGACGCGTATGCTACTTTTTCCGTCTTCCTCTTTTCCCGCACTCCCAGATCCAGAAGGGGGAAAAAGAGGATCCGGGTTTGCTCTTCGCTTCGTCCACCCACCAACCCACCAGAAATTATTGGATATTGGAATGTCGCAGCGGTGGAGCGGGCATGGAAGACAGCGTGGGACAGAGGTGGGCTCTGGTTTGCTGATCGGTGGTCGGTGGCTTGAGAGGGCGGTGGCTTGCCCCCCCAGCCCAGCCCCCAGGCTTCGGTAGCGGAGGAAGAGTCAGTCGGGAAGCTGACCTGTGCTTGTGTCCAGCCAAGCTTATGCTATCAGTGCTTCGCTTCTACTTCTGTGGCCTTCTGTCTATTCCTCAGCAGGCGTGTGGCTTGCGGTGGAGCCGGATGGACGACGCCCCCAGTTAGTGCTGCGCTGCTGCTACTTGATGTGGCACTACAGTACATGGCCGTTGATAATGCCCATTTGTTCACTTGCTCGGACGAGTTAGAGCACGTCGAGATAACGCAGAGTTGCTGAGGCTAGTGACGGTACTGGCATGCTAGCCGCCGGCCAAAATCAAGGCAGAGGATGTGACAGAGATACGCACGACGCCCAGAGATAAGGCTACCATGTTGGTGTGGTGTGGTAATCTATAATCTGTACTCGAAGCGGGCCGGTACTTATCGCACAGCACAAGCGTCTCACAGACGAACAACATGGAGATGATCACACTGGTAGGTACATGCGTTGGCCCTCTTTTTCTCTCTCTCTGCTGCTTCTTGCTCTCTCCATGATTCAGTTCAACTCTAATCTCGCTCGTGCCTGTCATCATCTCGAATCTCCGTTTATGCACGAGGCGGAAATCTTGCACGGAAACACACAGCCGGCACTCCGTCTACACTCGTATACAGCCGTCTTACTCAGTTCACTGTCAAGCTTAAACAGAAAGGAACGTGGCACGGCTAAAGTCAATGGCAGCCGCCCTATCTCGTACGATGTATTTGGTAGCATTGGATTGGCCCTTATTCACCCGGTGGCACAAACAGGCAGCCCGAAACTGAAAGATCACAAAGCATAAAAATGAAGTGGTCGGGGCTTCCGGCCACCGCTCTCTCTCTCTCTCTTTCCCACAAAGAGAATGAGGTAGAAGGAAAAAGGCTTGCGTAATTTCTGTCATCAAGGTACCTCTCCGTACACGGCATGGTGAGCGTGTACTTGTGCTCCAAGCTCCGGTCTCCGATGGATGAGGTTGGTTGTACAAGATAGCAGTACTGGTTACATCTGGTGTGGTACAAGACGAGGCCCAGGCCCAGGTAGTTGTACGAAAGCTACTCGCCCGCTGCACTGTAATCTGCCTTGTTCTATATATATACATACTTGTATTGATATATCGAAATAGCATGGGGGCTATGTGCATACACTGGCACAAACGCTGTTAGCGGCATAAGGCAATGAGAAATGACCCATCTCATTCCATATCCACAGCCCCAGTAATCAGTTACATGGGCCAGCAACAGCAGGTATGATGGCTGAGCACACCATACTCAGAGCAGCTTCAGCGTGGCGGCTGGGTGCTCGCTTCTGGACTACAATCGATCCTGACTGACTGAATAGAGACCATCGTCACCCTTCAGGCAAGGCAAAGTGGCGATACATATGACGCGATAACCAGCCTCCAGCACAAGACGCTCATGACTAACGTGGGATCTGCTGGGATCACGTCCCGACCCACCCGCCTCCTGGCCCCTGGAGCCTCCCAGACAAGGGGTGTGATAGACAGGGGCGTGGGCGTTTGCAGGTCTGGTGTCTGTGTGGGTGGGCTCCTTTTTTTTTTCTCTGGAGCCATGCCATGGAACCGGAGGAGGCCCATGGTCTATCATCCCATCAGACCAAGATATAAAGCAAGCCAGGCTTGCGCCTCGAGCTGTCTTCTCTTTTTCCTTTCTTCTTTATCAACCCAACTTGCAATCTTGAACTCTTCAAGCTTCAACTACATTCGTTAATACCACTCCAACAACCTTCACCTTCAAACCCCAAAACACCAAAAAACCCCCCAAACAACCATCAAAATGCGTGCTGCCGCTTTCGTCGCTATCTTCGCTGCCACCGCCATGGCCCAGACCGGCGGTCACGCCTCTCCCACCAACGGCACCAGCGTCACCAGCACTGGCAAGCCCACCTCTGCTCCCACCAACGGCGCCAACTCCCTGAGCCAGAACGTCCTCCTCGGCGTCGGTGCTGCCGCCGTCCTCGCTGCCGCCCTCTAAGCGACTTGACAATCAACAATTTTTTCCATTACTACATGGTTTCCGACGCCTTGAGGACCTAAATGGGGCGACTTGTGAACTTTTCGGGACCGGGAGGAAAGAGGATCCAAATATGAGGGAAACGATGGAGAAGATGCGAAAAAGACACTGAAGTCGCCGGCAATGTCGCCTTTTCTTTTTACTGAAAAAGCGATGACAATCTACCCTTTTTGTTTATATCTTCCCTCTCCGGAGCCGGCGAGACCGGGGCCGCAACTATTTCGGGTCCTCCGCCAACTTTTTTAAATTATACCAACGGCTGGCTCGGGGGAAAGAGAAATACTAAGGCGCGGCAAAATTTCATCTCGTGTTTTTTTAGACCGTTTTTTCTTTTCAACTTAATCTTTTTTGCTATTTCTCGATTTTTTGCATTAAAGTGCAGCTTACAATACCCCCATCGATAGATGTGTGTGTTTTGCTTGCCGCGGGAAAGATGGCGTTTTTATTCTCTACATTTTTTTGGACTTGGAAATAATTTTGTGTGTTTTTTTTGTGATGCGCCGGGCAGATGTGATACGAAACAAATTTCTTCATTTTCTGACTTCGGACTTTTTTTATTTGGGAGTGGTGCGAGAGGTGGTCTTCGCAAACGTTTTTTTCTTCTTTGGATAGCTGCAGATAATAGTAATTAATGCAAAAAGGCAATTCCTCAGAAAACAAATGGTTCTTTCAATTGAGTTTTTTTTCTTTCGTGTGCGCCCAAGAAGCAATAGTTCAAAAATGACAGACATCGTGACAGACGCCGTATTTCTCTTAGTGTGATGTGTGATGGGCTTTGAAAAGACGTGATTGTTCAATACCACTGGAATGGACGGGGGGGCAGCTATTGAAGCTACCTACTGCTACTACTAAGGTAGGTAAGGGGGGGTGTGCAAAGGTGAGATGATAACAATCCCTGCCATTATTGAAAAAAAAAAAAAAAGTTGTCTAGAACATGAAAAAGCTGTTTTTAATGAAACAATTTTAAAGCTGGATTCAACGTTACCGCCTTGATACGAGGTACCTATCCATTTTCGGTCATCGTAGCTTTTGCGTGTAAGTATTAGGTAGGGTATTGTTTAGTCTTTTTCTCTTCCATCTTGCCGCCTTCCATCTTTTGGTTTACCGCTTATATCTCGCCGCCATTATCCTTGTACACTCGATGAACCTGTCAAAATCGCGCATCAGGCGCGGAAAGTCCTGGATAAGCTCCAGCGTCCGGGCCTCGAGCTCTGCGGCCTCGGGGCCCGTCTCAGGCTCAGGCCCAGGCTCAGGCTCAGCCGGATCCGCGGCATCGTCAGAAGCAGCAGCAGTGGCTGCGATGATAGGCGAGTCTTTGACGTTGCTGCTAGCCGCCACAACTGCTGCTTCTGTGTTCAGATTTGCTCCATCGCCCTCGCCGGTGCCGCGGGAGCCGACGACGTCAGTGACGCTGTCGTCACTTCCACTTGCAGCACCGCTTTCGCTCTTGTGGCTTTTGAACCAGTGGGCGTTCATGGCTGAGATGCGTAGCTGGAATTCGTCCCAGTCGACTTTGCGTAGCGTCTCCTGATTGCCCGGGGGGAAGTGCCCGGAACAGTTTAACATCACATCAGCCTCTTTTTTATTTTTCTTTTTTTTTACATTTTGGTTTCTTAAATCCGCTGACAGGAAGGAAATAACGTTACGAGAATACGATGTGCGCGTGTGTGAAAAGGCAAAAAAGCATCGCTTGATACATGTAGGTACCCGGTCAGACAGGTTGCAGAAACTGAGTCATCATAAACGACCACCCCAGTAAAACATGCAATGAACGCAGAAAAAAAAAAGCTCGTAATCGACAAAACAGCTACTGTATGCTGTTCATCACATGTCAAGCTTTTTTTTCATGTTGTTCATGCACTGATCTTCCCCCTCGTCGCCAGGGTGAACCGGTGGAATGACTATCACATCAGTCATGGCCGTCTCCGTCTCCGTCCCCGTCCAGCCCGGATGCGGCAAACCCGTCAAAACTCTCTCGCTAGAGCAGCAGAGCCCAACAAGAATGCCAAATGCGTCAGGCGCACGTGTTTGCTTTGTTTTCGGCTGGGCTTACTCGGTGGAGCAGGTAGCCCGCACAGCTGAATGGAGGAAAAAAAGAGAGAGAGAAAAACACAATATTATGGAGAACGGGCGTTTTTATGGTTATGATGAAGGGGACGAGTAAAAAAGAGACGGGGAGAGGCGGATGAAAATGGGTCCCATTGTGGTAGTGCCAAATGAAAGAAGAGAGAGGCGCAAACAAAAAGAAAACATTGCAAATGAGGTCATAACACACCTTGGCCAGGGCGCCGTAGCGCATCATGAAGAGCATGCTGTCGTCTGCGTAGCCGGGGACGTTGAGCATGGCGCTGGTGATCTCCGAAGCTCGCTGGGAAGCTGCCGAGTTGCTGCCGGGAGAGCTCATCTTTGCAGGGTTCTTTTCTTCGTACTGCTCCTCCCCTCGTGGTGTCTTTGCTCAGCTGAATTGGGAGAAAAGATATTTATAGCTCATCCGCTTTGGTCTGGATGTGGCGGGGCGTGTAAGTTGTTGTGCGTGAGGAGGAATGGAAGAGTGAGGTGTGGTGTGATGTAATCTTCGTAGGGCAGAGGGACGGATACCGCTCGCTAGACGGTTTCTCAGCCGCATGAGCCTCGCTGAGGCGCCCTGGCAGGTCGGTGACTGGAGGAGGATAAGAGCGAAGTTGAGGTGAGCAGCCCTAATTGATGACTGGACTTGGCTTGGTCCAGGTTGCATTCAGAAGACGATGGCCAAGGTGCCCGGCAGTAGCTCGTATGCACTTCTCAGCTGGCACAGCCTTGTGACGCCACGTGGGGCGGTGCCCTTTGATTGATATCTACTGTAAGTTGCTGCTGCTCGGATGTGTCTCAAAATAGCCAACGGCTTCTAATCATTACATCCATGTGTCCAAGCTGTCCATTTGGTAGAGCTGAGCAGAGAATAGAGAAAACTTCCTACAAGGGAACACAGCAAGCAGAGATACATGTGCATGTGCCCTGGCTGAGCCTAACTGCTGCCTGCCTAAAGGTCAGCATCAGACAAGGCTGCCTTGTGCTGACAGCTAATGCGAAGCTGCAGATGGCCTCTTGCTGCGGCTTTCTATTGGATAGAGAGCGATACACCAATAAAGATGAAGTGTACTTCTTCCTAATCTCACGTTATTACAGCTGTCTTACCAGAACTCCTCGGAGGTGGCTCAAGGACTGTACCAAGCGATTTTTAAAAAAAAAACAAGGGACCGCAAAATGAATCTTCACACACAAAGTAATAGCAAGAGCACTGCTCATGTAGGTCGCTTCCATTATTTGTATGCACATGTTTATTTCGATGTTCCTTTTGTGTGCAAGATCGCCAGATTCCCTGGTTTTTTTGATGTCCGCTTGTGTACGCTTTCCACAGCACTTTTAACCTCCCCCAAGGTCTCGATTAAATATAATGAAGGCTTGCAGAGGCACTAAATTGCTGTGAAAATTTCACAACATTTTTAAACTCCTCCTAGGCTTCGAATAAATTCTACTACTATGTAAAAATGGAGGCTTGGGGTGGGACTATAATTGCTGTGATACTTAAATCCAGATTTAACCGCCTCTGGATTTTCGATAACATACGATATTAAACGGAGGCTGGTAAGGAAACTAAAATTGCTGCGAAACTAAGAGATAATTGATCATGTGAGTTTTAAGTGGTTTTGGTTACTCAGCTGCATATGCAAGAGACCTCGGGGAGGATTAAAAATGCTGTGAAACATCACCAACACAGAACCCGGCGGGAAAAACCCCCTCAGAAGACACTATCGAGCATCTACGCACCGATACACTGACTCAGCATATACACATTTTGGTTGCGTGCGTGATCCTCAAAATTGATATATATATCTAAACTTGGTCGACCATATTGCTTATGGTACCATGTAGAATTAATACCTACCTTATGTGGTCGAAAGCTAGATACCTAGTTACCTGGGCACCCCGATGGCGGCTCCAACATGTTCCTAGTAGAAGAGACAAGAAATAGACGCATTATCGTCATCTGTTACGTCTGCGCTCATGATGTGATTTTCCAACATGGTCGTACTGGTACATAACAAGTAATTGTATCGCTTTGGTAAGCAGCAAAGAAAAAAACAACGCCAAAGCGCTGAGAGCAAGTTACATGTAATAATGCGGTGAGAACTCTAGCAGGTGGTCCAATTGTGTGTATTGCAGACCTGAACTGGGCGCTATCTTCTATCGAGAGCCCGCAGAAGGGATTGGAATGAAGACGGTAACGTATCAGTACCTACTCTAGGGAGATTGTATTTGAGCACACTAAGGCCCTCCGGGAGGTCCAGAAAGGCTATGAAGAAAAACCCGCGGGGGCAATTTGAGAACTGGGTCTTCATCCTTGGGGTTATATGTATGATTCAGGTCTCAGGGATAATGAAAATGCTGTGAAACCAAGACCGAAACAGACATTAAGGGAGGGTTGAGTCTTTGAGCCGCACGTATGATTTGGGCCTCGGGGAGGATTAAAAATGCTGTGAAGAAGGACATCAGTTATGGTTCGGCGTTCATGTGTAACTCTGACTGGTGGGTTCCCCTGATGGTTACCTACCTACCTAAGTTAAGGCTTATTCCTTACGTTGCAGTATATGTACATGTAGCACACATGTACATTTGAGGCTCGTGCCCTGAGAATGACATGACGCATGTTGAGCCAGTGGCCAAGGCGCGAAGCTCAGTTTTACCGTCATGTCCCTTGGCCGACAGATTCGAGCCTCACGGCATCATTAAACTGCGATATCCCCAAAGGCAATTCACGCAGTTTGCATTCTTTAAATGGCAAATAAGATCCAGTGAATTCATTATTCGTATACGCTAGCAATGATAATAGTAAGTATCTCATCTTTTTCGTCTTTATATCATGCCTCATTAAACAAAATCATCAAAAGCCAGCTTTACTGACAATTGCGTCGTATATACGTCTCCCTAAGCATTGAGAGGCTTCCTCCCAATAATAAACCGGTAGCTGGTGATGAGCCGGAGATCTCGATTTCGCAATTCGCCCTTGACGCCCTCCATGAGGACATCGGCTTGGTCTCTGGAATAGTTCAATGCGCGAGTGAACAGAGCCAGCGTGTGGGAGTCTACGGCCATTTGCATGTGAGTATGCTCGAGTCTGCCCAACTCCTTTAGAGTAGGATCTTTGGCCCATGGTCCAATCGGTATCTTGCCAAAGAGGTTGATAGTTAGTATTCTTCTTTTATTCAAGCAGAAGTGAGTGTTCACATACCCTGTATACCCTCTCCTCGACATCCTCAAACCCGGCATCTATCATCCACTGTTTTTGATACTGGGCCACATTTATCGGCTTGCCGTACAGGTTGCTGGCAGCCTGTAGTTTATCGAGCCATTCCATTGTCCACGGGGCGCGGTCACAGCTATCGTCGTCGCTGAATATCCACGCATCGTACTCCTGCATCTCTACCCATCCACCCGGCTTGAGGTTTTCCATGACCTGGCTGTAGAACCGCGGCCAATCGCCAGATGTGCCGCAGAGGGATCGTCCATGTATATAATCGAATTTCTCGTCTTCTCGGAATGTCCACTGATCTTCGTAGTCGTCTACATGAAAATGGCAGTTGTTCGGCACCCACTCGGGCTGGATTGGCGACAGGTCGATACCATAGACTGACGAGTTTGGGATTTCGTCCGCCATGTCAATGGCCCAAATGCCTGTGCCGGTACCCAAGTCGAGAATGCGCAGCCCATCTTCACCCTCGGGCGATGCCAACGGTGCTGTGAAGAGGCGGCCGCCTAGTAACAGACGCCATATGTGATGCTGAAGCTCTAATCGTCCTTGCTCTTCCTGATCATTAGGTAGCACGTACTGGCCCTTTCTGTACGCGTGATAGCGACGGCCGTTTTCGTATTGGTAATTGGAGGTGGAAGAGGCGATGGAGCCAGCATAGATAGAGTCTTGGTCAGAGCCATAGGTTGAGTCGATCTCTTCTGGCTCGTCTTTATATGCCTCAGTCTGCGCCCGGATAATAGTGAGTGATTGTATCATCTGCGTTTTACATGGCGTATTGTTTGTTTATCCCGTCTTCTCCTTCCGGCATCTCGTGTTTCCCCATGGGGTTTTATGCGGCAGCATTCACGCATTGGGAATTATTTACTCAATTGAGGGGTGGCTTTGGGCGGCTTGCAACTCACATCAACTTGGACAGGAACTGGATTCTTAGCATCGCCAGCCACGGGGCCTGCTAGCGGAGTTGCTACACCAGCAGATCTAGATGGAGATTGGAGTGGAGAACCGGACGGAGACACTCCATTGCCCTTGAGAGATGCCATACTAGGATTCTGTCGTAGCAATATGGTATGAGAGAGGAATCTGCTTTTTTCCCCGGCGGTGGCTCTCTGGCGGCAGCGAGATGAGAGATCCGCAACTTGTTTCGAGAATCAGGAGTGCTGGAGGGAAACAGGAGGGCAGACAGCTTCCAGTGCCTTTTCCCTTCTACTGTTGCTTCTTAGTTGGAGCTGAGCGTCCCGCACTTTCGGCGCATCCTAGCGGCCGAGGGACGGCAGTTCATCCGGCACGAATCACGGAGCAGAGTGGTTAACGAGCGGGGAGGTGGCTCAACACGTCGACGATGGGCGGTTCGGGTTCGGGAGGACTAAGACACAAGAGCACTAGCAAGAACATCGGCCTGGCGATGAGGGATCAGAAGGCTAATATTACTCCGAATGGAGCACAAGGGTTGGCACTACGAGCGCGTGAGCGTGGTGATCTGGTATTGATGAGGCATGGTATAGCTCAGTATAAGCCTAGGCTCAGTGGTGGGATCAGATGGCCACGCAGAACTGCCGATACGACCTTGCATACATGAGCTAATCTTTTACAAAACGCCTGGTGTAAATACCCGCTCTTCACTGTTATTTGATTCCAGTTGCATTCGCTGCATTCGCTCTACGAATACACACCGGAGCGGTTGCTGCCAGACTCATGCATGGGATGGTGCCCGGGCGTTTGCCGTTTACGTCCAACTTTCCAACTTCTCATCCTCGGTCGCGCTCCGCTCTCACGCCACGGCAAGCACTCGCTGTTCGCAGGATTGCTCACATCTCAAATCACTGCAGCCAACCAGCTCAAATCGGAGTTGTGGCTCGCCGCGAAGGTGGGCTTCCGAGGCTGTGATAGGCTGGCGAAGCTCTTCGATGCATCTCCAAGTATCCACACAACTTTCTTCAACCCCCTGACCCTGCAGAATCAGAATCATGCTGCACGTGGTTTTAGCCGTCTAAGCCGTAGCATACGGGGACTGGCCCTGTAAGAAGCCGACGTCGAGGACCAACTGCATCAAATATTCCAAATGCTGCATGCACCAGCTACATGCACCAGCTACATGTGTCTACGTTGCTTTTGAACTCAGCCATGTTGGTCCCCAGACCGCCTCCTTGCGATGACAGATTAGGATGTAAGCAGATTCTTGTTCTGTTGCTGATTGCTTGCCTCGTACCTCTCATGCTGTTGGCTGGGCGTGTGGGTCGCAGTAAAAAGGTTCAGGTAAAGCTACTCTTCGTAGATGTTACTGAGATCAATTTGTTTTTATTACCTTAGTATTTGATATTATAGTGATGTGTAGTCACTTTAGAAATAGTGATAGGAGATGGGGAGAGATACATTCATATAACTCCATAAGTCGATGAACTTACATGACTGCAACGTGCCTCCCTGCTGCCATCCTGCGCGTCATACACATCAAAGCGGCGTTTGAAAACTTTACGTAGTCTCTTGATTTTCATTAACGTCTCCCAGGTCTGCTTTCCTGCACATAACGAAGATGGGGAAATTTCCGGTTTGAATTTCTAGGTTAAGCGCGTCAATCTTTTGGCCTGTTCTTATTTGAATGTGACCTTCTCGTCGAATCGAGGCGTGAATTTATCTTTCCATCTAAGCGTCATATCCTACACTCAAAAGTCAAAACGAGTGTCGGAGGAGTCTTATAGCATTAACAAAGTTCAAAAATAGCCACAGCCGATAATGCCGAAAGTTACATGTACGTACGCATTCACAACGCTCCGTTGGGTGGATTACTCTAGCGCCGAGACTCGAGAAACTCAAGACTTCTTAATATCATACCTATTTGCAACGAATAGACAATGAACTAAATGAACCAGATGAGATTTATGATAGTATCATCTACAGTACACGAATTTGAGCTTGAGACCATTCGCTCAGCTACATGTGGACTCGTGTTAGGTGCGACCAATAGCAGCAGTCACCTTATCGCCATATTTTGCTGAGTAAGCCACGCGATAAGCGATACGCGCAACCAGATTTTGACTTTGGCAGTATCGCAAATCATCCTCAACCTCCCGACTCGACATTTTCTTAATAGCGCGGCATAGCGCATTGCTTCTTATTGCACCGCTTTGTTTTGTGTTATACTGCTCCAGACGTGCATTGCGCTGAAGCCCATCATGGTGCGAAACAACCCGAAGCGGCGGAATGATGACCGCGGACGGAACGGCTACGGTGACGATAGAAACCACCATAGCTTCCGACGCTCACCACCGCGCTTCACTCCATCCCGCGATAGGCCTTATCGCGACTCTGATAACTGGCGATTCGGTGACGGTCGGAGGCCAGACTCGAATTCGCGACCGTACAACGATGACCGCCGCGGAGGGGGCGGCGACTCATACCGGCCGCATGCCCCTCAGGGCGACTTCACTTTCCGCATGGACAAGCCAGCTGGCATCTCCGACTACGTGCCCAACGGCCAGCCGCCGCACAGACGCCCGCCGCGAAGAGATGGCCGCGGAGGTGGACGTGGAGGTGGCCCTCGCAGGGGCGGCAGGCCTCGCTGGCAGCCACCTCACCCCTCTGAACGAGCGTTGATTTCAGGCGTCTCTACAGGCCTCCCCGAAGAGAGTGTGCATACTGGCGAAGGCGCAAAGTTTCGCGATCTGGACGAGCTGTCGGATGATGATGAGCTTGAAATGGATATATCCTCACGATCATCTGTGTCTGATAGCGAGGAGCCCTCCAAGAAGCGAGTGCGCACTGCCGAAGCTGACGAGTCTGCTAATGCGGCCCCCAAGTGGTCCAATCCAGACCCGTATACAGCGCTGCCGTGCCCAGACGAGGCTACACGCAAGAAGCGGGATGTTGTGAAACTCATTCGCAAGGCTAGAGTGGAGGACAACGCAAACAAGCCCCTCGTATCCACAGAAGCTGAAGATTTCCTTTCGTTTGACCTTAGTGACGAAGGTGAGGATGAAAGTGATATCAAAGTTATCCAAGCCTCAGAGTTACCGCCGCCGCCGCCACCACCGCCTAGTGAATTACCACCCCCACCGCCAGCTTCTGGAAACTATAGTAACAACAACAACATTGAACCTATGAGCAGAGGCATCCACTCTCTTCCAAACAAACCAGCTGCACCGCAAGACGGATCAGATCCTCTTGGTTCTCGCAAGCGCACTCACGACGACGAAATTATTCAACCACCAGATTACAAGCAGTTCAAGAAGCCCAACATGAGGCCCTCAAAAGGTACTCTGGTGCCAAATTGGACACCGAAATCAAATGAAGAGCCTTGCCCATGGGCAACTGTCGACCACTCTGCAACAACCAATATGGCTTTTCGGTAAGCTTTATCCATCTGGTCTTTGGCCGACCTTTTAGGATCCGCCGTGTGCTAACCACTCACCAGACTGCACAAAGAAATCACGGACTTCTATGAGTTCGTCAAGCCATGTGACTTTGAGCAGACGATTCGCAATAGTCTGGTTGAGAACTTGAAAAAGGCCATGAAGAGGGATGACAGGAATTTTGCCAACGCCCAGCTTTTCCCATTTGGTTCATTCATGTCTGGGCTGTATCTTCCAACGGCTGACATGGATTTGGTCGTTTGCTCTCCCAGCTTCATGCGTGGCGGCCCTCCTACCTTTATGAGCGCTAAGAGCTGGCTGTATAAGTTCCGAAAGCTTTTGGTCGCTCAACGAATTGCAGAGCAAGATTCGATCGAGGTTATCGCCCACGCTCGAATCCCGCTGGTGAAATTCATTGATAGGGCGACTGGGCTGAGAGTAGATGTGTCGTTTGAAAACCTCGGCGGAGTCAAGGCCATCGACACCTTTTTGCGCTGGAAGAAGGAATATCCGGCAATGCCTATCCTTGTCACTGTGATTAAGCATTTTCTTCTGATGAGAGGCTTGAACGAACCTGTCAACGGAGGCCTGGGAGGATTCTCAGTCATCTGTTTGGTCGTCAGCATGCTTCAGCTCATGCCGCAAGTCCAGAGCCGCAGCCTTATCCCAGAGCACCATCTCGGAGAGATGTTACTTGAATTTTTTGAGCTATACGGACGGAACTTTGACTATGAAGTCAATGCCATTTCGCTTACCAGCCCGATTGGATATATCCGCAAGGTAAGTGGTTTCCATCGATATGATTTGCAGTCTCAATTTTTTTATTTTCATTTGCTGACGCCCTACTCCAGAGCCAAGTATCAAGCTTTACATACAAGAAGACGAACCGTCTTTCAATCATTGATCCAAACAACCCTGCCAATGATATCTCTGGCTCTTCATCAAATACAGAAGGCGTCCTATCTCGCTTCTTTGATGCGTATCTTACTCTACGAGAGCGTATGCAACAAGTTGCCAGCGATCCTAATTGTGGTGGCATTCTCGATGTGCTTTTTAAGGGCGATTACTCCTCTTTTAGGATGCAGCGGACATTTCTCCAACATATCCACGAAAAGCGTGTGTAATCACGCTTCGACCGAAAGGATGCATGCCATTCTATGACTATTAAATGGAATATTGGCGTTTACGGATACCTAGATGACGAACAGTTGCTTCTGGACGGAATGAAGGCTTATTATAAAAGCAATGTTTTCGTGGCGCGTGGAAAGAAGGATTCAGCTTTTTCTTCATCCTTTAGTGTCTTTTTTTTTTGTACAATTACTTGCAACGTCATTGTTTACTTCTGATGAGCGGATACATAGGGATTGGCTTTTCTTTAACTTTTATTGGTCCAGGAAATTGTTGGTGGCTGCCAACTAATGGATTGATCAGGACTTGCGACAATTTGAACCTACCTGTTACCTGCGCTTTCTATCGACTCGATCGACAGCCATTACTACTGACAGGGCCGTGCAGTGATATGAAGAGATGATGGACGGTGTTTTTGCTGACTATAGTGCACAGAGAGACACTCAGCTTCAGCGACGAAGATGCCAGGATGGAACGCGTTACTCCTGGCAGCTTTTGTTGGTGGTGGCTGAGATTGGAGTTCACGGTGACTCTGGTCGCCATTTTTCTCACTGCAGGCTCTGCTTTACGCGGGACTGTGGAGAGGGAAAGTCCCGAGTTTGAAGAATATGCTTCTCTGGCGTGAGTGGCTTGGAAGCTACGACGAAAGAGAAGATTTGGTAGCTGAGTGAACAAACTTCCACGGTTGCTGAGCAACAAAAGCTGCACCTGGTTGTTCTTCCTTTGCTGCACGATTCGAGGTTGCCCGGAAGCTCGATGAGCTTGGCGAGGGCGTTTTTGCAAGAAAATATCCGGTCATTGGCGTGCCACTCTGAGCATCATCTGCTCAATCTCTGCACACTTTTTTGTTTGGTTCTGTAGAGCCAGGCTATCATTTGACTATCTCTTTAGCTTATTCTGTTTTCTTTTCTTTTGCTAGTCAATATGTCGTTGCTCACTGCTGGTCGATTTCTGATCACAAACCTTACTGGCATATGCTGCATTGCCGCCATCGGTAAGTTTCATCACACATGTGTCTGATATGGACCGAGGGAAAAACATGCTGTTTTCCTTCTCTCCAAGGGTATCTAAATGAGACAATATCTAGGCGGCGCCACCATCGGCCTCGACATATCGTCCATGCCCGGCATCCTGGGTATCCAAGCCTATTAGGACCGCCTTGGCTCCCCTGAACCGGTGGTCAAGAATGTCATTACTGCCATGATGCCCATGGGTTCGGTAGTGGGCGCGATCTGGTCTGTTCATCTGAGCGCGAAAATGACACCAAAATGGGCGTTGGTATATGTGTGCTTTATCTGGGTTTTTGGATGTGTGCTTCAGGTCGCAGTGCCAGACAATTCGATGCTGTATATCGCGAGAGGTATTGCTGGAGCCGGGGCCGGGGCCATGAGTGCTATCGTGCCTGTATATCTGGTATGTCTGCCCTTGCTCTTTTGGCGACGGAATCTGGATGATGCTGCGTAAAGGGTGCAACATTTGCTGAGTTGAAACAGGCTGAAGTCGCACCATGGAGGACTCGAGGACGGACCATTGGGTATGCAAGTTTCAATGTCCTTGGCATGAGAACGAGCGTATAGGAGCAAAGTCTGACCTGCGTCGATAGATTCTATCAATTTGGCATCGCTTGGGGCATCTCCACGCAATATCTCATCCAATACGCCGCGATGAAGTTTTCAGACCACCACAAGAGCATTTCTGATCAGCAAAGATTTGCCCTTCGGTTGTCATATGGTATCCAGCTACTATTTGGATGTTTGTTTCTCTTAGGCCTCATTGTCCTCCCTCATAGCCCGCGGTTGTTTACTACTAATGACCTCTTGGGGTCCGCCCTCGGCATGGTTGCAGACCTCCACGCAAAAGGGGACGTGCACCAACCCGAAGTCATCGCGCAATGTCGAGAGATGGCTGAGGAAATCCGGATTGAGCGCGAAAAGAACGTTTCCGCGTTTTGCACGTTGCTACGGAAGCCCTTGGCGAGGAGACTTTTCCTAGGAATGAGTATCCAAGCGTGGAACCAGCTGAGCGGCATAAACATCATGATGTGTATGTCTGCCACGGGCCTTTGAAACCCCAAGTCTCTTGCTGACACCTGCTTCTACAAATATAGACAACCTTGTATACGTCTTGGCTGGAACCAGAGCCGTTTCGCCGTTTGTGATGGCCACAGTGCAGTACCTCATTTACTATGTCTGCACCGTGCCAGCCATATACTTGGTGGATAAAGTAGGCCGAAGACGAACGCTGCTAACTGGATCTTTGGTGATGATGACATGTCTCATGCTCACCGGTGATTATGTCCTTTGTCCCTTGTCACGTTGTATCTGGAGATTCTTAGGAGGACTAACTCTTTTGGAAGGAATTCTCCAGCAGTACAACGGCAAACCTACCTTGGCACAGTCAAGAAACCAACCCTCCTGGATGATGGACGGAAATCAACACGTCACAAGTGCCATGATGTCCTTTTCTTGCATCTTTGTGGCTGCATTTGCTATGACCTGGGGACCGATATCATGGATATACCCAGCAGAGATATTCCCGACTGAAATCCGTCCTAGGGCCGTTGCCTTGTGCACGGCAGCGCGTTGGTGCTGCAATGTGGTAGTTGCTTTGGCTGTACCGCATCTGTGTGAGTGGAAAATACACCCCCAAAAGGTCTTTTCTTGCCAGGCGAAGCTCGGCTAACATGACGCTGTTTACAGCATGGGTGCTCAAGTAGGGTCCCCCCTTTTTTTCTTTTCGATTTTTACATGATAATTATTGACATGGAGGCTCTGGCAGATACAACACGTATTATATCTTTGGAATGCGTACGTTCTCTGTACACATGTACCAATTTGACACATGCTGTGAATAAGCTGATCGATTTTGTGTTCTAGTCAACGGGTTTGCGCTCATACACATGTATTATACCGCCTATGAGACCACGGGATATACGCTGGAGGAAATGCACGAAGCTTTTGCCTCGGGGCTGCCCCCATGGAAAGTTCGTCGAGGGGAGAGTAGAATCGAAGCGCTGGCATCACGTATTCAACAAGATCAACAACGGCGGCATCAGCAGCAACAAGCCCATGGGAGGAACGGTATCCGAGCAGAGGCCATTGTTGCTGAAGAGGACGAAGGATGGCCATTCAGAAGGAGGTCATCAATGCAGACTCAATAAACTGTTAGACATGGAAAGGGGACTTTTACATTGTATTCTCTGTATGCTGCGGCTTAGGTAGTGGGGTTGCTACTTTAGGAAAGGAGGCTAGATGGTAGAGATTATGACATTGAAATGAAATATTGGTACTTTTATTGGCACGAGCTTGTTTACTTGGAGTAAGACTGCCGATAGTTTGTGTTTGGGGGTTCGGGCATCAGGTCATACGGAAGAGACTGAGGCTGTAGCTGTCCCCCAAATTGTACAACCCGCTATGGCTATTCATTCAATCCCGCGTCATGACCCCCACCGACTAGTTTTGTAAGTACAGTCTATTTCTCCTCAAGTTTTAGTGATGAAGAGCCCCCTCTGCTGTGGGGGAACCATATCGCAGATGGATTGGGGCTAGAAGTCAGATTGTGGAACGTTATAATGAGGGGCAAATATGGGTGAGGGGCAGAGACTAGGTATTGGAAGCTGGAGGCAGCAAGCCAGAAGAAAGCAACTTGTCTTGATTAGCTGAACCGTAGCTATCCGATGTCGCAATAAGCTCCAAGGCAATCTCTCGTCTCTATCTATACTCTTCTTTCAAAGAGCATCTGGCTAACAGCGAGTGGGTGATTTCGACACAGCGAGCAATTAGACATTGGCCAAGCTTTGGATCCAACACTACCAAGGGAACTCTAATTGTTTTGTGAGGAGAAAAAGCTTCCATAAAAAAGAGCAGACAAAAAAAATGTCTTCACTCGTCTTCTACCCAACCTCGCCCAAGGAGGCGCTGGTCAAGGAATTCGTGGGCAAGTCGATTGCCGAGGTGCCCACGCCGGCGGCGGTGATGAACGTTGCGGCGGCGCGGCGGAATTGCGAGCGGATGCTGGAGGCTGTGAAGAAACTTGATTTGGGGTGGAGGGCGCATGTGAAGACGCACAAGGTGAGTGAAAGAAGCTTTTGCAAAGGGGAATTTGAGGATGGTGGTTGCTAATTGGGTTGGTAGACTGTTGAGTTGACGAGATTGCAAGTTGGGGAGGATTTGTCGAGGCCGGCGAATTTGATTGTTTCGACGTTGTCGGAGGCGGAGTTTATTTTGCCTTTGCTGGAGGAGTGGAAGGGGAAGGGGAGAGAGGTCAACGTATGTATAAAGATATTTAGGAGTTCCTTTGGTTACAAGGCTAACAAGCTGAGTGATAGTTTGTCTACGGCCTACCCATCTCCAAGGGAGCAGTGCCTCGGTTGGCGGAAGTTGTCAAAGTTCTCGGCGAGGGCAGCATCTCGATTCTGCTGGACGATCCTGCACAGCTGGAGGCTGCTGCGGAGCTGAAGAAGCAGTCTGGCGTTGCGCCGCTGGCTCATATCAAGATTGATATGGGAGGACGCCGGGCTGGTGTTGTGGAGAGCAGCGAGCGGTTTGTGGAGGTTACGAGTGCGGCGTTGGAGGCGCACAAGGCTGGGAACGTGATTCTGTCTGGGCTGTATTCACATGCTGGACATTCTTACGGGGGGGACAGCCGTGTGGCTGCTATCAAGATGCTCCATGCGGAGATTGATGCCATGCTGAGAGGCGCGGATAGGGTCTCTCTGAAGGCAAAGGAGCTGGGGATTCAGGTTCCGACGCTGGTCGTCTCTGCGGGAGCTTCTCCTACGGCACTGTCGGTGCAGAATCTACTTGGAGGACAGGACGAGGTGAAGGACAGCGAGACGGGCACGCCGGAGCTCAAGGCCGCGGTAACGGACCTCTCAGAGCTCTTCAAGACGGTCAAGAGCAAGGGGCACGCGGTCGAGATCCACGCAGGCGTCTACCCAACGCTCGATCTGCAGCAGCTCGCCGCCCACAGCCTGACGTCGTCGACGCTCTCGTGGCGCGACATTGCCCTGACCGTCGTGGCCGAGGTGCACGGCGTGTATCCCGGCCGCGGCGACAACGGCACGGACGAGGCGCTCATTGGCGCGGGCGGCCTGGCGCTGGGGCGCGAGTTCTGCAAGGCCTACGACGGCATGGCGATGGTGACGCCGTGGGGGCGGAAGGGCGTGCAGATGCCGACGTGCGATGTGGAGGATCACGAAGGGTGGACGGTGGGCAGGTTCTCGCAGGAGCACGGCATCTTGACGTGGGCGGCGGGTAAGGGGAGACGCGAGAAGGAGACGCAGCCACGGGATGCGATGGAGGCGGGACAGAAGGTGAGGCTGTGGCCGAACCATGCGTGCATCACGAGTAGTCACTTTGGGTGGTATTTTGTGGTGGATGAGGATAGGGAGGGTCATGAGGACGAGATTGTGGATGTTTGGATCAAGGCCAGGGGGTGGTGAGACGGATGTGTATACGGTAGCATTGATGGTTGAGACGATTTTGATATGAACTAAGGATGTATATACGGAATAGAATTGGATTCAAAAGTTGTCAACTATGAAATCTTCGAGGTAGCGAGATTGAAGGCTGTCAAGAGGATGATGCTATTAGTCGTCTTCAGATTATCCATCATTCATATTCTGCACTATTGAAATGATGAATTGCAAGTAGACGAGCTATTCCATGGGCATGTGAACGGAGCGGCAACTCTAGGCATCACCAAAGACCCCCACCGATGAAGCAAGGGGGAAGAGAGAACCGCCGGGGGCTCTCGGGAGAGCCAAAGGATTCCAGCAGGATGGCTGCAGTTGAGTTGTGCTTCGTATATGCCGGCAATTATCTAGTTGACACGTGTTTATCAACAGACCAAATCGTATCTCCCTTTCGGAAGAATATGAAAGTGTCACAGCTGCTTAAACACTCTGCAAGCTGCTGCAAGGTCCCGAGGAAACAGAAATGGGCTGACTACGATGCTAGCAGTAGTTAATGCTGGGGTCTTGTTCAACTCGGATTAGCACCGGTGGAGACAGGAGATGGAGAGAATCAAAAGACGGCAGAGCCCAATTCCCCCACATCTTGCTTGTCTCTTGTTCCCCCCAAAAAGACGAGGAACGTAACTGTGGCGCTGGACAAGAAACTCTACTGAGAGAGCGGCGTTTGCCTCCCTTGCCTGCCAGCGGAGCTATACGGAATGTGGGTGAAAAGAGTTGCTCGGGACACAAAATATGGAGAAATCCTACTCCAGTTATTTCTTCAGTCTCCAAGATCAGCTGTTCTCCCTCTCTCCTGTGATTTGCTTCCTTCTTGCTCTATGGAGAGCGTGGGGGTACCGGCTTTTCTCTAGGCGCTTTTTGTGTCCTTTTTGGCCGATGCCATTGAGAGGGACAGCATGGCAAATTGCTACTTGCTGCCAGTAGGATCAGTGCTGCTGCTTCTGGAAATATGCTTCGGCAAATAAGACGTAGCATGGGGAAAGAATACCTACCTACATCGGAGCTGGCCATGGAGCTGCTAATGTAGGTACCGCAATATCATGTGCCAACGGGGCCCGACTTTCGTGTTCCTTCTTATTCCCCTGGTTTTCTGTTTGTTATCTCTGTAGACCCTTTTTCTTCTTCTGTTGATTTGTTTGTGTGAAGCATTCTGTTGCAGTTGAGGCTTGTGAAACGGGTCTCTTGTGTCTTGTTCTCTCAACTTTTTCTATCCACCAGATCTCTTCTACATCTCCTTGCTGTTCTCACCATCTCAACACAAATAAGAGATTCACAGCCCTCACATACCAATAAACAAAACACAATGTCTCCTTCTGCGGATTCCTCTGCTGCGGCAGCTCAGGTTGATCGTCCCTCACGACCTCTCATCCGCGGAATCTACGTGCCCACTGTAGCCTTTTTCGACAGCGAGACAGATGAGCTGGACGTCAAGACTGTGTCACGGCACGCCGTCCGCCTCGCAAAGGCTGGTGTATCTGGCCTTGCCGTCCAGGGATCCAACGGCGAAGCAGTCCATCTTGCTCAAGATGAGCGCTCAACCATCACGCGGACCACCAGAGCTGCTCTTGATGCTGCGGGCTTCACTTCCATGCCCCTGATTGTCGGCTGCGGCGCCCAGTCCATCATCGAGGCCGTGAAGCTGTGCCGAGACGCAGCGGCCACTGGCGGCGACTACGCGCTGGTGCTGCCCCCGAGCTACTACGCCGGTCTGTTTGATAGCTCGACTGTCGAGAGCTACTTTGTCGGCGTGGCTGATGCCTCGCCCATCCCCATCATCATCTACAACTACCCCGGCGCCACGCCCGGCATCGACATCAACTCGGACACGCTGATCCGTCTGAGCCGCCACGCCAACATTGTGGGCTGCAAATTCACCTGCGGCAACACGGGCAAGCTGGGCCGCGTCGCTGCTGCGGTCAAGGCGTCGGGCGACAACTTCCAGTGCTTCGCCGGCAGCTCTGACTTTCTGCTGGCGTCCATGGCCGCTGGTGCCGCTGGAGTGATTGGCGGCCTGGCCAACGTCTCGCCCCGAGCCAATGTGCGACTCTTCAAGCTGGCAGAGGCTGGTCCTGAGAAGGCGGCTGAAGCTACGGCGCTTCAATCTGTTCTGGGCGCGGGAGACTGGGTTGCGATCCAGACGGGCGTCGTTGGCGTCAAGGCAGCGCTTCAGGCGTACTTTGGATATGGAGGATTTGCCCGGAGGCCGCTGCCGAGACCGGATGATGTCAAGGTCAAGGGCATTGCAGACGGGATGAAGGAAATGATGGATGTGGAAAATGCGCTGCCTGATGTTGCGTAGAATGGTGGATGAAGGAGATGGAAAGGGAGAATGAGGGGCTTTGAGCCTTGATGACGACTTGCTGCATTTGGACTATCACGAGGCGTATATACACATTATGTTATGGGATACACGAATTTACTGTATTTGAAGTTACAAAGGCACGCTTTGACTCTTATTGTGATGTCACATGCATTCTTCTACATTAATTTTTGGAGCAATCGGTTACTCTTGGTCGCAGTCTTTAAGTAGGATGAGATTATGAGCTGCACCAATAGTAAATCACAGAGTATTAATGAACAATTACTTCTATAGGAGCGCCCAAAGATCTTATTTATTCATAATTGAGCTATTCCCTGTATGCTATTTCCCATTTTCGCCTTTTTATGGTATCATTCAATATGCTTAATCATTTACAGAAGAGCAGTGCACTCAATCTCGACGTCGGTGTTCAGGGGCAGAGTCTTGACGGCGACGCATCTAAGAAACAGGCAACATTAGCTCAATCAATCCTCGTCAACTTCACCAATAAATGCAGCAGATCCGCGAGTAATCGGTACGTGACGCGACTCTGTTTTTTCTCCCTCTCGTAAACCCCCACTACAATGTTGCATCCGATAGCGGGGCGCTTATTTCTGATGGAGGGGTAATCAATCCAACCAAGATGAGGGGACCAGCATCTTAATTTGAAAGAAAAAGCGAAAAGAAGCAAAAGACTTACGTTCGGCAGGGCTTGACATCGCCCCAGTAGGTGCTGTAGACCTCGTTCATCTTGGCAAAGTCGGCCATGTCGGACAGGAAGACGTTGACCTTGACGACCTTGTCGAGCGTCGTGCCGGCGGCTTCGAGAATGGCAGACAGGTTCTTGATGCATTGGTGCTGTGAAACATGTCAGTTGGCGACCTGGTGTTGCACTGAGTTTCTTTCTCTAAGGCTCAACGTACGGTGTGAGCCTGGATGTCACCGGGAATCAGCTCCATGGTGACGGGGTCCATGGGCACGGCGCCAGAGACAAAGACGAGGCCGTTGGCCTTGATGGCCTGGCTGTAGATGCCGGGGAGGGGCTTGGGGGCGTTGGAAGTGAGGACGGGGACCTTTTCAGACATTATGGCGGTGGTTGACTGGGAGAGTTGTTTAGAGGGAAGTAAATGTGAATTGAATGTTGATTGAGGAAGAGAGAAAGAAAGAAAAGAGAGGAGAAATAGTTAAAGAAATGGATCTACGTTCGGAGTTAACAAGCTATATAGTGTTCCCAGTCTGGCATCTTGCTTCCCACTATCATTACTTCATACATACTAAGCCTGTTTGCTGTTTACTCCATACACGTATTAGCACTTGGGCATGATCGGGTAAAGCTGGAAAGCAATGGGATTGAGCATACCTAGCACGGAGGAGGCTATAAAGTTGCGAGAGCTCTCCACTATGAAGCGGAAACTGGAGTAAATGTGTAGCAAAAGGCAAAGCTGGGACGCCTTTGGAATGACGACCGAGCTGTTTTGGATGGAGTCTTGGGCTCAGAACATTTCGTAATCTTTTGGAAATACAATCTAGATTATTATCGAGATTTACAAAACAGATAATCTCAGCTTTAATTCTCTCTAGCTCTCGGCGTTAATACACGAAGGCATCAAATCGCTACTGGGACTAACATCACGGCTGAGCTATCATGGTCATTAGTGATTCTCCAAATCTCCTCACCAGCATCACCATGTGGCTTCCCAGTTGACCCCCTCCACGTTCCCTCCCCCCAACTCAATATTAGTGGGCTATGCGTAACAGCTGGACTGCTGAGCGAGGGAGCGAGGGTCCGGAGATAGCCATTAACCATGGATAGCTAAGCGCTAAAACCCTGCCCCCCGTGTAGATAAATAGAAGGCATTTCCAACTGCTCGTATCTAAAAGTTATCTGTCCCCCACGTTGAGTTCCCCCACTGAATGGCGGTCAGATACTCAGATATGGTATTTGGCCGAGAAGTGGCTTTTCGTGGCGGCGAGGGGGGCGAGTTCCTGGATTAGGAGAGGATTGTTGTGTAAACGACAAATCAAGTCTCCATCGTGCTCCACTGATTGCACGAAAGATACTCATACTGTAACTCATCTTGTCTATTTCGTAGATGATCAGGATAGCATCTATGCTCCATATCAGCAGAAGAAGCTCCATAGATCCGAAGATACAGACTGCTGTACGCCATTTCTCATCTTGGCAGCGGCCTCGCCATCCATTTGAATCAATTCCCCTCACCTAGTCTCTCCGGATTCCCCCCACCCAGTCTAAGCAGGACCATGACAGGCTAGCGACTCGTAAAGGCGTCCAGGATTGGAGATTCAGCGGTCCTTGGGGTCAGCTCTCCTTCGCGCCGCCCTCCCTTCTGCCAATGCCACGCACATTCGCATGAAATCCCATATACGTACCTCGTCTTGTGCCATATGAACAGAGAAGCGAAAAGTGTGGGGTAGATAGGACTGGCTTCTCCAGGTTTTCCATCTCTTCCCCACGGAGAGGATTTCGTGGAGAAGGGGAGACCAGAGGCTTGGGCCTGGGGAACCCGGTGCGCCATCTTGACTCGTTTTCAAAAAAAAAGAAACGAAAAATATTCTCTCAAATCGCTTGATGCCGGCTGACCGAGATGAGTTGCATAGCCTAGACGTCAGAACCTCGTGGCAGTCCCTATCTCTAGATACCTATCTCTCGCCTTGTCCGATTCCTGGCGTGGATCTAGACAAGAGATAGAGAGATAAGATATTTGGGGGGTTGGTGGATACGGGCCTTCTAGTGACCAAGGCCCCCCAGGATTCTGCCCTTGGAGGAGGTACTTGTTCTTCTCAGTGCTAGAGACAGCATCTCAGGCACCTGGACGATGTATGTTACCCAATCTTTCCACATCTCCGGGACTCTCTAACGGATTGGTGGCCCGACTACTGGTGAGTCCTCACACGGCCCTTTCTTATCCGGGACAGTTTGGGGGAAAGGCAAGCCATTGGAGGGGGTCATATTTTCTCGTTGGACTCACATGCAGAGAGAGAAGAGGGCAAAAGCAACAGTTCAAGCCAAGGGGACTAGATTCATCAGCTGAACCAGCCTGCCTACTATCTCTCTCTTCTGTTTCCCGCAACCACCCCCTGGATGGCTGAGTTCTTTAATGCAATCGTAACTAACTTCGTGCCCTTTGTAAGTATCTACAGTTACATTATCATAAAAAGCGCCTGGTCGCCCACCACCCCCTGCTGCCGAGTTTTCCATCAGCCAGGAAGCTCGGGCGCTTTTTTCCTTGAAACGGTTTTTCTTAGCTATTTGCCCTGTCAGCCTTTACATTTTTGTCAATCTTACGCTTAGCTTGGAAAAGGCAACTATTACTAGTAGCTGAAATTCCCGGGCGGTCTTAGCCATCCCCTGGTCGGTGTGAGAGTTGACTGCTACTACTCAATCAGCCTTTTTTATAAGAAGCTCCCGGGCTGCGACCCCAACTTGGCAACTCTTTGCCTCTGCCGATCTTCTTCTTCTTCCTCCTCCTCCTCTCCTCTTCTCTCCATCACAGACGACCATCGTCTTATATACTCGTTTGCTTCTTTATATCTCAAGTCATCCAGTGCGGAAAGGAAATAGAAACAAGACATAGAAGAACGAGAAAGCCGTCGCCATCATGGGGTCTCACGACGTCGACAACACCGTGTCCAAGGACATGGGCACCGACCATCTCGACCGAGTGGAAAGCCAGAAGGATGGCTTCATGGAAGAGACTGCGCGCGTCGTCGACCATCCCGCCGAGCGTGCTCTTTGTTTCAAGTTTGATATCCGGATCCTGCCCGTCCTGGCCCTTATGTGTAAGTCGGCCTATGCTTCTCATGTCATGATCGACGCGTTCCATCGAGACAGCTTCCGCCTGTTATCATCATCAAAGTGTGTGTTACTGATTTCTCCTTGTACAGACCTTTTCAATGCACTCGACAAAGGAAACTTGGGCAACGCCCAGACCAAAGGCCTCAGCACCGGTACGCACCCCCCCCTATCTTGTAATACTCAGTATCAGACTATAAGGAAAAACACAAAAACTAACGCCTCACCTCATCGATATAGATCTTCACTTCAAGCCCAACCAGTACAACCTCGTCGTCTCCATCTTCTTCGTCCCCTACGTCATCTTCGCTCCCCCCTTCGCCATGCTCGCCAAGAAATTCGGAGCCTCCCGCGCCCTGCCGCTCATGATGTTCACCTTTGGCACCATGACCCTCTGCACGGCTGCCACGCAAAACTTTGGCGGCATCTTCGCCGTCCGCTGGTTCCTGGGAATGGCCGAGTCCGCCTTCTTCCCCACCGTCATCTACTACCTGACCACCTTTTACCGCCGTGGAGAGCTCGCCCGTCGCCTGGCCATCTTCTACGCCGCGTCCAACATTGCAAACGCCTTCTCGGGCCTGCTCGCGTTCGGCGTCTTCCACATCAAGGACAGCAAGATCTTTGTCTGGCGCTATCTCTTCATCATTGAGGGCGGTGTCACTTTCCTCTTTGCCATCTTTGCCTTCTTCTATCTGCCCCGTAGTGCTTCAGAGGCAAAGTTCCTCACTGAGGACGAGCGCTCTCTTGCCTTTCACCGTATCCAGGTCGATTCATCCTCCGAAGTCTCTGAAAAGTTCGACTTCAAGGACGCCATCAAGATCTTCACCAAGCCCTGGGCCTATGGCTTCCTGCTCATCGAAATCTGCCTCGGCGTGCCCATCCAGTCCGTCTCGCTCTTCTTGCCCCAGATCATTGCGCGACTCCAGTATTCCACCGTCAAGACAAACCTGTATACCGTTGCCCCCAACGTCACCGGCGCCGTCATGCTTCTCGTCCTGGCCTTTGCCTCGGATTTCACGCGCCTGCGTTTCCCCTTTATCGTGCTCGGCTTCTTGCTGTCCTTTATCGGCTTCATCATCTATGCTTCCATCGACGACGTTACCAAACAGCTGCACGTTGCCTACTTTGCCACGTTCATGATGTGCTGGGGCACTTCAGCTCCCTCCGTGCTTCTGTCTACTTGGTATAACAACAACATCGCTCACGAAGGCCGTCGTATCACTCTTACCTCCGTCGGTGTGCCTCTCGCCAACGTCATGGGACTTGTTTCTAGCAACATCTTCCGAGCCCAAGACGCCCCTCGATACGAGCCCGCGCTCATCACTACGGCTTGCTTTGGTGCTGCTGGCGCGCTCATTGCTCTCTGCATGGGCCTGTTTATGATTTGGGACAACAAGCGACGTGATCGTCAGCAGGGTGTCAAGATTGATCCTCGTGATATTCCCACTTCACGTTTGAGGGATGGCCCCAACGCCCCTGAATTTAGATGGTTTTTGTAATGGATGTTTGAAGTTTTGCTTGTTTTGATATTTCCAATTTTTGTATAGTTGAATGAATGGCCGCAGTCTGGCTGAGCGTTATGAGTTTTGGATGAGAACGAATTCTCGAATTTATGATTATACATAGTGGTTGTAGCGTGTTGTCTATATCTTCCAGGCAGTTGGCCAGGCTCTAATAAAGAGATGAATGCAAATATATTACCACATTAAAATCAAATGTCTCTAAACATCCACCTTTTGACTTTGCCAACGTTTTCTGGCGAATTCAACGCCGCAGATTTGGGTATCACAGTGATCTTTCCAACAAATTCGATCCATTCCCCGCCTGAGAGAAATCTTCTCCTTGCAAAAACAGCTGTAAATCGCTTAATCCGTCATCCCCCTGACTAATGAGGTTGAAATACTGCTCCTGGAACTCTTCCACGGCTAGGTAATGTCCCGGCCCGAGATTCGGTATCGTAATATCATAAGCTGGCGCAGGGTCGTATTCAGCGTGGGGGCTGGAGCGCAGATTCGCGTCTGCAGCTGATGTATCCATCGCTGTGTTGGACTTTAAGTCGCTTGCATCTTTGCTAGCACTTGGTAAAGGGGGCACGGGGGCGTCAGGCTGCATGCCATGTAGTCTGGCGGCAATAGAGCGGTCGAGGTACTGTAAGAAGAGGTCGAGGGTGTTGTTGTTGATGCGCCAGTACTTTTGGACTTCTTTCAAGCAGAGAAGGCATGTCTCGGCGCGATGTTCGGCAAGGCGCCTCGTAAGACCGGTGCCTCGGCGGATTGTAATGGTGTGGATGCAAAGAGCAGAAAAGATGCTTGTGATGCTACCAAAAGGCGTTAGAGTGAAAAGAAAGTCTCGTACATTTAGAAAGCGAACTTACAGATGCATTTGTCCGTAACGGAGTATTCCTTGAGTACACATGTCCTCGGCGATGCGGCTGATACGACAAGCTGCTTTGAGGACAATTTGCGAACCAGGCGTGGTGGACTCGAGGCGCAGGAAGCTATTCCTGTGTATCAGGATCTTGAGGTGGCTACATATGCACGAGTTAGCGAGGTACTTTTGACAAAAACGTGTGAAAGGTAGATAGTCATTACTTATATGCGAGGTGAAGGAGACATGTCCATACAGAATCAGAGCCTTCTTCTGGAGAGTACTTGATGTGTTCCGGAAGACTTTCTCTCCAAGCTTCGAGAGAAATGTTGAGATCTCGAAGGGTATTTGAAGAGGTCACTGATAGTGAAGCGTTGCCTGGGACAAAATGGACATCGATGATTTTACCCACTGGGAAATAACGTTCTTTTTAGCCCAAATGCTCTTCAATCATTCATAGGATGAAGATGGGGAACAAGGTAAGATAGTACTCACGTAGCTTGGCAATTTCCACCATCTTGATTGCGTACGTAACGTGCTCCGGTAAACAGGAGCCAAAGGGAGAGTCGGGGCCGCTGTTATCTGTTTCCCAGTCCGATGGGCTGAGCGGCTCAATGTCACAGTCTTCGTCTCTTATTCTGCTGGGAAGGCCCAAAGACGCAGCTGCTTGTCGCTCCCTTACATAGACTGTCCACCATATCCTTCGTCTCATTCGAGCTGTGTGTGAGTCCTTTGACATGGACCGGGATCTTGATTGATACGAATGTCAGCATTTCATTGGTAGAATCTCACTAGAAGAGGGATGAGTGACTCACGAACGATGAAATCCGTACGACTCAGCAAGCGTAATCGCAATCCCAAGCCAGTACCGCACATCTCTCACATCCGTCGGCGCTCCTCTCCAGAAACTCATCAAGAACAGCGACTGGATCAGCACCGTTTCGTCCTTTTCCCAATCGGCGTGGAAGAGCATCCTGGTTCTTGTGTAAAACGTCGTCTTGGCCTGATATCTGTCTTCGAACCCCATGGCTCGAATTGTCGCTGCGTCACAGTACGTCGCCCCAATGAAGAGCATTGCCTGCAACAGCATCCGGGATATATCTACCGACGAGAAGGAAGTGGCATTTGCTAGTCGTCGCGCAATCTGCGCTCTGTCTAGAAGGGGCCAGCTCGGATGAAACCAGTCAAAGTACGCCTCTAAAGCTGGCAAGCAGCTCTGAAGATCCGGGAGTGTTAATGCACCCTCGTTGCGCAGATAGCGCATTGTTCCAGGACTGAGATCGGTACGGCCTTCTTTGGTCTGAGAAGTCGACTGCGGCGTGGCCGGCAGGGGAAATGTGAAGCGCTGTTTCTGGCTGTTGGCGTTGTTGCCTCTTGCGGTGTAAGACCGACTTGAAATTTCCTCCTCGTCGCTGGGAACGAGGGTGAGGAAGCTTGATTCGCCGTAGAACCGAGTGCCCGGCACCGGACTCGGTGAAGATTCCTCAACTTCTTGATCCTGAGAGTCTTGCGAGTCCTGAGGCGTAGGATTTCGTGGGTTGGAAGCGCCTTGCCTTGAATCTCTGGGAGGTGGCGCATCAAAGGGAGTTGGATACGCTTTGAGAGAGCTGCCGGCTTCAATTGGAGGCTGAAAGTGCTGAAGTAGCCGGCGAGATCTCCGAGGGTATCTTGAGGCTTGTCAGTTACGGACATGTACTGTCAATCTGTGTATTTTCATAAATTTCTAAAGTTAAAAACCAAAAGTAAAATATGGAAATGATTATAAAACTGAGTTAATTATACCTTCCTCTGCGCGACGGCAGAATCTCGCAATTCGCCCCCGCCGCGAGACAATTCGAGCACGGCTGCTTCTCCGTCACATCGCAGCGCACTCGGCGGATGTTGCACTCGCGACATGCGTGCTTGGCCCGCGACTTTTTGCCGTCTGCTTTGGCTGGGGACGGCGAAGGCGTCAGTTTAGGGGAGGCCATGATGATGCTGGAAAGCAGCGATTGAGAGGCATGTGGGATCTGGAGTTGTTGTTCTGCGAGATTTGTGTTCGTGTTAGTTTTGGGAGTTGCCGAGCCCGGCTACGGGCTGGTGGAGGATATAAACGGCGGCGGCGATTAGTGGGGCGGAATGCCTGTCCCGGCCGATTTACGTGTATTTTCTCTTGCTGCTTCATTCAGTCAATGAGGCATTTGTTAGTAATACTTGTGTATTTCATTCATATATAGAATAGAATATACATTTATGGTCTATTTCTAGCTTGGAACCAATGAAAAGAGGGTCAGTTGAGCCGGAAGCTTGTCCCCTCGGTCTTTCTCCCTTACTTCGTATAAGTCTGCGGGTTTCCGTATCTACACACATCAAAGTATATGCTTCGCCAATACCAGTCAAACAAGGCTATGTGTTTAATAGCTCTTTGGTAGCTCAAGAGCCTTTTCTCCAACATAGTTCAAAATCATCTCCCTACTCACCGGCGCTAGTCGTGGCACCAGGCACTCTCTAAACCACCGCTCTACATCATACTCAGCGGCATATCCCATCCCCCCATGAGCTAGCACTGCTCTCTCGCAAGCCACAAAAGCAGCTTCTGCAGCGAGATACTTTGCACTATTCGCTGCTACACCAACGGCCTTCTGTGTGATGGATGAGTCTGTCTTGCTTGCGTCATACAGCCTTGCTGCGTGATAAGTTGCCAGCTTGGCTGCCTCGAGGTGCATATACGCATCAGCCAGGGGATGCGCAACGCCCTGATTCATGCCAATGGGACGCTGAAAGACGACTCTCTCGCGGGCATACGATGCGGCTCGAGTCAACGCCGCATAGCCTAGGCCGAGAGCCTCTCCTGCCAGGAGACACCTCTCAGCGTTCATGCCGTGAAGAACAATCTTGAAGCCTTGGCCTTCTTTCCCAATCAGAGTATTGGCAGGGATACGGTAGTTGTCGAAGAAGACTTCATTGGCATCGACAGCTCTGCCACCCATCTTCTTGATCTTCCGCATTGATAGGCTGGGTTGAGTACGGTCAAGGTCGATGCAGAAGAGTGAAAGTCCCTCACTGGGTCTCTGTGCCTCCTCATACGGCGTAGTCCGGGCCAAGAGAATCATCTTGGATGCGACCTGCCCGCACGTTGTCCAAATCTTTTGTCCCGAAATGACATACTCGTCGCCCTCTCGCTTCGCCGTGGTGGACAGCCGCAGCGTATCCAGTCCAGCATTCGGCTCCGTTACGCCAAAGCACGTCCGCCATTCTCCCGAGATGATTCCCGGGATTGTTTCTCGCAGCTGCTCGTCCGTTCCAAACTTTGCCAGTGGCTGCGTTGCATAGACATTGGCGTGGATGGATTGCGCACCCGCCATTCCAGCTCCAGACTCGGCGACTGTTTGCATCATCATCGTGGCTTCGGAAATGCCCAGGCCAGAACCCCCGAGATTCTCTGGGAGGGCAATGCCCAGCCACCCGCCTCGGGCGAGGGCCGCATGAAACTCCTTTGGGTCTTGCTCATTCTGGTCGTGCTCGCGCCAGTATGTATTGGAGAAGTTGGAGCAGACTTCAAAGACTGCTTGACGGACGGTAAGCTGGGTCTCTGTGAAGCCCGTTGTTTCCATGAGGCGATTATGAGATGTCGATGAAAATGGTCTGTGGTTAACCCTAGGATTATTGGCAGCGATGGTACGACATGATGCTTTATAAGAGCTGGTTAACCAGCGGCTTAATGGCAAATATCGCGATTTTGCAGTGCAAGCCATGATGAGTTTGAGCTGCTCAAGTTAACGCCAGCATTAACTCGATTGACATCCTTGATTATCATATAAGTCTTACAGATATCGCAGCTCATCTCAAAGATGAAACTACAGAATAGACATGCACCACCAATATGATGCTCCGAGGGCTTAGTGACGGTGGTGGTTCGGCTAATAGAATCTGGTTTTAGTGGAGTCCTCACATCATATAGCCGACTTGATTTTGGGAGCTTTTGTAGGTACATGTATACAACGGCGGCTTGAGATTCGGCCGCAATGATCTTAAATCACAATGGCATTTGTATACGAGAAGAAAGAGGAATTTTAACTACTAGACCACATAACTGGAAGTATGTGAAAAAGTGCTAAATCTAGTTGTGAGCATCCAAGTTCTGTTACGGCTACCCGCTCACATCATAAGCACAGTGACCTCAAGCCACCTTCGCCTTATCCCAATCGAGTACACGTACTATTCAAACATATTTTCTTCATATTGTATATTTCAAAAATTATACTATGCCAGCCGTATCAAATAGAACGGCGGGCTGTGAGATCCATGATCCTAATCAAGCCACCGGCGTCTCATGAAGACTCTTCCTCCGCTGCATCTGTCCCTGGAACACCTTGCGGAAACGAAGACCGCAAAGATCCCCCACAGTCTCCTTGACACCAGCCCAATTCTCAGCCACAATTTCTCTCGTAGGACGCGAAAAGACGGCGTCAATCTCCTCGAGCGTCTTGTCCTTTGTCTCGGGCATGAAGAAGATTTGGTAAATCTCGCCGACAAAGGCAATGCCTCCGTAGAAGCCCAGTGTAAGACCGGTGCGAGTCATGGCCTCCTCCATGGCGGTGAAGTTGTATGTCACGACAAAGGAAGCGAGGAAGAGCAGAGCGTCCGAGGTGGTCATGCCGTAGCTTCGGAGGTAGGTGGGGTATACTTCAGACGGGACGACTGCGAGTAATGTTAGTAAATATTCTTGTACCAGACTTGTACCAGAGGATATGAAGGTGAGAAGCTCGACTTACCCCATGTCAGACAGGCATATGAGCCAAAGAACATCATGTAAATGATCAGACCACTGAGGTAAAGACCCTCTGCAGCTTGGAGATTGGTATCAATGGGGATTTGATACGCAACTCCAATCAGAACCAGACCGATAAAGAAGCCAGGAAGCATCGTAATGGCCCAGAATCGCCGTCCGCATGTCTCCATGAGGAAAATAGCGGGAATGGTTCCGATCAGCAGAGATCCGCCTCCGACAAGAGACATGTAGGTAGCCTTTTCGTCGTCGAAGCCAATCTGGTTCATCAACACAGACATGTAGTACATGATGGCATTTACACCAGTCAGCTGTCCGAGAAGAATCATGATGTTTGCGTAAATAAGAGCTCGGCGAGCGCGAGGGACACTACCATCCCAGTTAGTAAAAGACGGCGCTTCATCTTAGTTAAAGATCACTTACGTGAAAAAGTCCATCCATGGGAAGCGTGAGTTCTTGGCCCCTTCGTTTACGACAACATCCTCCTGCTTGACGGAATTGGCCATGATGTAGAATTCTTCGCGAGACTCGGGAGACTCTGTGCCGCGGATGCGCTTCCAGACTTTGTAGGAATCGAGGACTCGGCCCTTGTGCATGAACCAACGAGGACTCTCCGGCAGGAACAGCATGCTAGACAAGAGTTCATCGTTAGCATGAACCATTATATGCAAACCATTGATTATATCAGAGTGCAACTTACCCAACAAACATGATGGTAGAGAATAAGAGTGATGAGCCCAAGATGAAGCGCCAGTTGCCAGGAACCTTGAGGAAGATAGCGGCAATAGCGTAGCCAAGGACTTCACCAAGCGCAATGTTGAACTGGTATAATGACACGAGATTGCCTCGAATGCGACGCTCAACCGTCTCGGCGACATACACAGGGACTGTACCGCCCTCCAGACCGACACCAAGTCCCAGGATCACACGTCCGGCGACAATCATACCTGAGAAACACAGCATTAATAAAGAAGCTCATAATAAGTCTCTCAAGTCGAGAAAGGATACAAGCTCAGCTTACCAAAGTTGATGGATCCAGCCTCCAGCGCGGCACCAACAGTATAGAGAAGAATAGAAATGATAATGGCCCATTTACGTCCACAGTACTCATTAGCCGGCGACAGCAGCAGCGCGCCTCCCACAGCACCCAGCGGCATGCCCGAGTTCACCAAACTATTCTGCCTCGAGTCCAAGCCCAGGTCCTTGGGCAAGAAGAGGTTGGCGCCAGAAATCAAGCTCTGGTCCAGGCCGGAGAGAAGACCACCCATGCTGGCAAAAGCGACGAGCAGCCACGTAAAGTGTCGCGGGTCGCGGAACTTGATGTTGAAGATGCTCGTCTCGAGACCTCCGGCGGCCTCGAGCTGGGCGTCCATGTCGTCAATGAAGGCATTGACTTCGTGGACGTCTGGAGTGAGGGGCGCAAAGTCGACATGGCCCTCGACCTTTGCCTTTTCATCGTGGCCGTCGTCCGACATGATGAGCGAAGTACAGCTTTAGTAGGTATACAAATACTACTATGGAATGTGTGTGAAAAAAAAAAAAATTAAACTTGTGAAGCTTCTGCAGACGCGCAGAAAGCAGGGGCGAGTGAGAAGGAAGAGGAGAAGCAAGACATGCAGGCCCCAAAGGGAGTACAGATCGGCGAGTTTAATGATACCATCGCACGACCTGTTGGCTATTTATACAACTTGTCCGCAATGCTACCTCTTCTTACAACCTCATCTCACTACTCCGTCATTCACCAATCTCCATACTTTTCCCCCACACGTTCTATGCTGAAAACAATCACGAGCGTGACCGGAGCCCCATGGGCCTCCATTGAAGCTTTCCCTCCTCCACACATGCATTCCCCATCGGAAATGGAGATGTGGAGGGGCAAAGAAAAAAAAAAGACTCTTCCCCCATGTCGATCACGGCTGGGGAAGTTTTGAGTTGGATGGGTCGGACAACTCCGCATAACCACCCACACGTTTCCAGAAGATAACGTGTTGGTCAAATGCAACGCGATGCGCCATCCAATGATTATGGAAAAGCATTAGTCTTCTAGAATTGTAAAAGCCATTTATCAGGAGCATCATTGTCGTTGCTGCCGATATCCGGGCCTTATCCCGCCAAGCTTTTTTGGCTGGTCAGTGGCAGATCATATTAGTCCGGCAAATGAAAAAAAGCCAAGTTTTGTACTATCAATAGCCGGACCACACCACCAAGCGGCAGTTTTGACCGTATGCACTACACCATCACCATCACAGGGGGGGTTCAAACTGTAGCTGAAAAAGCGCCGCGTCCTTCTAGAAGAAAAACAGACAGCAATAGTCAGGCCCCAAACAGCAGATCTTCGGCCCTGCTCAGCTAGTCTCCCAATAGCCCCTGCGCATCAAACACGCGCCCATCTCGTCTTCATCGCTGCGATATGTCATTTCACCAGCATGGTTGGTGTGTGCCTCCCAGCCTCGCCTCGAGTGACGCCGTGCAAGTCTCCTATCTACGCATGCATCTCTTTCTGAGGCGTTTGCTCCCGCGCCGCCTCCTCCCGCACCTTTCTTGAATCATGTCACTCCCTCCATAGCTGGATATACAAACATCCGGACGTTGTCCAGCCAGACTCCACCACCGGCACCAAGCACGCAGCTAACAAGTCCCCGGGCCTGGGGCCCCGTTCTTTTACGACGCGAGCTTGGATAGCTTCGAGCAAAGTGGCTTTTCGCGGCACTGGCAATGGATGCCGTGCTCCATAATAGTGTTATTGGCGGTCGCAACACTAGTAATAATACCGAGTAGGAGTAGGAGTAGTTGCTCTTGTTTTCTTGTTAGAAAAGCTCGTCTCTGAATCAGCGCTGCCTCTTTGAGTAACACTCGGCGTAACTAGCACGAGCGTTGGATTTTCGACTTCGCCATCCATTGGTGCATTGCAGCAGGCTCGCCTGTTCCTTCAAACCAACCAGCCAATCAGACTCGAGGGGGGCCGTCCGTCTCGGAGACTCGCATCTCATGTCACGCCGCTTGTGGCATGGCATGGACTGACCTGTGCCAACTTTTGAGTCATTTTTTGGTCTACAACTCCAGAAGTCATGTAGCAAAGTCGTCTAATACCCAGCAATCTCCTTCCTCGCCAAAGTCACTCGTTCGCAGTTCTCTAAAGGCCCGGATGACGTTATAAATTCCACACTTTACTTCCCAGCCTGTGGAGATTTGATCGTTCTGATTGACTGTTGCCTGTTTCACCCCTGCTAGCGAGGTAGCAGCAGCGTATAAGTGCTTACCTAACGCAGAATGCCACTCCATGTACGATTCAGGAGATGGATTCAAGCAAGTCAGTCGAAAGAGTAAAATTCAAGCTCAAAAGACTAAGGTATCTAGACAATGCGCCCCTCCCAATACTCCATATTTACCCCGAAGCCCATTTGTGGTACAGTTTTCTGTTTTGATACCCACCGAATAATTCCGATATCTAGTTCCCCAGTGTACAATATGACAAGGAAAATAGTTCGACATGTCCCATATTCCAATTTGTTTATACAGAGCGGGTCGAGTCGGAACACTCGCCCAGAGACTCGGTTTGTGTCCGGATCTCCCTCTCCTTGTGCTGTTGTGTTTCAGCCGATATATGCTTCTTTTTGTCGTGTCCGTCAAAGATATACGCCAATTCTTCCAATGTCGGTCCCGAGGTTTCAACAAAGAAGAAATAAACAAAAATAAAGATAAACGCCACCCAAATGCAATAATAAATGTAAAATTTCCATCCAATGTCTTGTAGCGCAATGGGATTCACATAGTTCCCAAAAATGGTGGCCACTTGGATTGTTAGCAGGACAAAGGCCCATGTCTTGGCTCGCATTTGGTATGTAACCAATTCGAGAGGGTATGTCACTACCAAGTTTGTCCAGGCCATTGTGTAAAAGGCTTGGAAGATGAAGATGCATGCGAGAACAAGTCGGCCAGCCGCAATAGAGCCATGATCCAGATATTGTTGAGCGCCAATGGTCCAGGCAATAAATGTGAGCGAAACCCCCCCAGAACCAATGAGGAAAAATGTGCGTCGTTTAAACTTGTTGATGCAGACTGTGACGGATAGCGCCACGATGTACTGCCAAAGCGTCACCATACCGTTGACAAGGGTAATGTCTTTTTGAGACTTGACACCGGTATCTTTCAAGATTTGTGTCAGGTAGTTTGACACGAGCAGGTTACCAGAGCTCTGGCTAAAGACGGCCGTCGCGAAGCAAAGAGATAATCGCTTCAAGTTCGGTATAGAGGAGAAAAAGTCGACCCAGGTCATGTTAATCGCAGCTTCCTTTGCCAGGACTTGTTCAATCTCGGCGCATTCGACATTGACAATCACAGAGTTTGGGTCGCATTCGCCGTGGTATTTGACCAAAATCTTGCGTGCTTCCTTCATCCGACCCTTTGCAATCAGCCATCGAGGAGACTCGGGACAAAAGAATATGAGGCTGAGTTGGTAGGCTGAGGGTATTATCTGGATCAACGTTGGCAGCCTCCAAGACCACGACCCAGAGATGCGAAAGCAGCCGTATGTCGCCCATGCGCCAATGACATATCCCAGGACGATTGACGTATTATAGAAAGTGGTGATTTGCACTCGCTCCTTCGGATGGCTTAACTCCGTGACCAGCACTGGGGCACCCATCTGGATCAGCGAGGACCCAAAGCCAAGCACAATCTTGCCTCCGATATACATGTGAAGCGAGGTGGCGAAGAATTCGAGGAAGACGCCCGCGATGATGACAATGGAGCCGAGGGCGGTAGGAAGTCGTCGTCCACATTTATCACTGATCCAGCCGAGGAATATGAATGGTACGACGCCGCCAATGGAACTCGATGCGCCGAAGAAACCCAGGCTTGAGCCTTGCGGATGCCCAAACTGATCTTGCCACGTTGGAAGAACCTGCATTCCATTCGTCATCGACTATGGCGAATCCCAAGGTTAGCTCAAGTTTCCAACAGCTCATTGAGGAGACTACTCACTCCGTCAATGCCGAGCGCAGCGCTGGCAAGCAGCGACGATGTAAGTAGAAAGTACAGCAAGATGCCATTCTTGCGCCGCCAAAACGGCGGGATCAATGCAAGGTCAATTGGCGACGAAATGCCATCGGCCGTATGTGCCGCAGAAGGAGCCATGATCCGGCCTCTTCTCTCTCTGCCCAGGCTGAGCCGCAATGTTGAGGCGAGGATTCAGCCCGGGCTCAGCTCGAATGCTCGATCAGATGGTAGTCGCGCCATTGTTCCCAAGAGAGTTCACCGAGCGCAAAAAAAAGCGACCGGCGCCGCCCTGCTTAGTCAACCGGTCGCCATTCTCGGTGTAGGCGCGCAGCCACAGACACAGCGCTGGACAGCTGCCATTGCGCCCAGCCTCGACATGAAGCAATTCGAATTCTCGATCGTGAAATTCTATCGTCTCGGATCACGGATAGCAATCACCAGATTGATAAAGCTAAATAAAGGCTACCGGCGATCAGTCAGCATGCATGCGACGTGCAGAAGGACCCTTCCCCACGGGGGGATTAGATCGTTATCTAAATCGGCGATTCGGAGAAATCAGCATCCGCAGAACAGCCAGAAGCCAACCAGAAGCGCTAGCTGAGCAGACTTTTGATGAGGCGGATAATGCGACAAAGCCGGCAAAATCCGCATGGCCAATCACTGCGAGGCTGCTACAGCAGGATGCTCGTCTTTATTTCCCCATCCGGCCGTCTCCGTCCTGACGGGCACGGGGTATTGGGGCTCGGAGCACGGTTTTGACGGTCCTGCAGCATTTCCCCAGCCCTTCTCCCACGTTGTAGATGGGGAAAAGGGTACCAATCTCGAGGCAGACGGCCGTCTGGAACGTGCTGTTGGGCCGGAGGTGGGTTTTATTTGCCACGGGGTGCAGGAACCGTTCTTGACGGAACAATGGCTCCCGAGTCAATAGGCTCTATGTGTGGGTATAAAGGCGTTCCCCCGAGGGCGAGGCCGCTGACTACAGCTGGCATCCTCCCACGATGAGCCTCACCGGGTCGGTCCGTTTCAATTACGGGCTCTTGTTCCTTCTGTACATTCCTCCTGTACACTATTAGCCGGCGCGAGGTACTATTCCAGCCGCTGCCCCCGTCCGGCCACGAGCAGACACATTCGCACCTACAATAACACCGCCAGGAACAAGCAAAAGATCAGCCACCAGATCTCTCGAGAATAAGCCAAAATGTCCGAGTCGCTAGCTTTGCCGAATGATTTTGAATGGGGCTTCGCTACGGCGGCCTACCAGATCGAGGGAGCTGTCAAGGAAGGCGGCCGTGGGCCTTCCATCTGGGACACGTACTGCCACCTGGAGCCCTCTCGCACAAATGGCGCCAACGGCGATGTTGCCTGCGATCACTATCACCGCTACGACGAGGACTTTGATCTCCTGACCAAGTATGGTGCCAAGGCCTACCGTTTCTCCCTGTCCTGGTCTCGTATCATCCCTCTTGGCGGCAGGTTAGATGCTGTCAACGAGGAGGGCATCGAGTTTTACAGCAACTTGATCGATGCCTTGTTGAGGAGGGGAATCACGCCGTGGGTGACTCTGTATCACTGGGATCTGCCACAGGCGCTTCACGATAGGTATGGCGGTTGGTTGAATGTGGAAGAGGTGCAGCTGGACTTTGAGCGGTATGCTCGGCTGTGCTTTGAGCGATTTGGAGATCGAGTGAAAAACTGGATCACCATCAACGAGCCATGGATCCAGTCCATCTATGTGAGTATTTACATCACGTTCCATTTTCTTATTGTCTTCAATACGTTTATACATTTGCTCATATGCCCACGTCCATGCTAATATCAAATCAGGGCTATGCCACCGGCAGCAACGCCCCTGGCAGGAGCAGCGTAAATAAGCACTCCACCGAAGGCGATACAGCCACAGAGCCATGGCTTGCAGGAAAAGCCCAAATTATGAGCCATGCTCGCGCTGTGGCCGTCTACAACCTAGACTTTCGCGCCACTCAAAAGGGGCAAATAGGCATCTCTCTCAACGGTGACTACTACGAGCCTTGGGACATCAACGAGCCCAGAGATAAGGAGGCTGCGGAGCGACGGATGGAATTCCACATTGGATGGTTTGCAAATCCCATCTTGTGAGTAGCATCAACAGCAGAGTCTAAAAGGTCTTGGGTACTAACATTATATGTAATAGTTTAAAGAAGGACTATCCTGCCAGCATGAAGAAGCAACTGGGCAACAGATTACCGGCCCTTACTCCTGCTGACTTTGCCATCCTCAAGGCCGGAGAAACTGATTTCTATGGTATGAATTACTATACCTCTCAGTTTGCCCGCCATCTCGACGGCCCCGTCCCTGAGACGGACTTCCTCGGTGCCGTCCACGAGCACCAGGAGGACAAGGCAGGAAGCCCTGCTGGAGAAGAGAGCGGCATCCACTGGCTGCGGTCTTGCCCGGACATGTTCCGCAAGCATCTCGCCAGAGTTTACGGCCTTTACGGCAAGCCCATCTACATCACGGAGAATGGATGCCCTTGCCCCGGCGAAGACAAGATGACTTGCGAGGAGGCGGTCAACGACCCCTTCCGCATTCGATATTTTGACTCGCACTTGGACTCTATATCGAAAGCCATCACGCAAGATGGCGTGACAGTCAAGGGATATTTTGCATGGGCTCTGCTCGACAACCTGGGTATGTATACTATTGCCAAGCCCTCATCCTTATCAAACAAGCCCATTTCTCCCCATTTCTCATCCTTAGCATCCTTATCATCCGCCCTTGCAATCTTGAAAAGCATTTTACATCAAACTAACAAATCCTCTTTTCAAAAAACAGAATGGTCAGACGGCTACGGCCCCCGCTTTGGCGTCACTTACACCGATTACAAAACTCTCAAGCGCACGCCCAAGAAATCTGCGCTGGTGCTAAAGGACATGTTTGCCGATAGGCAGAGGGTTAAAGTGGCCGCTTTAGCTTGAGAATTAGGCTTTTACGGTTCTTTGTCACCTTTATTTATCCCTCCTCCCCCTGTCCCCCTGTTACGTTCTTGCGTATTCTGCCGTTTTCGCACGTTTCCGTTTTTGCCTGTCGTTACCTTACATATACATAACATACCCCTTCCCCAGGCTTTTTTTTTTTTTGTTCTTTGCCTATAAGCAGCTTTTAGCAAGTTTAGCCATGAGACCACATAAACAGCGCCAATGCAATGCTACTGAGCCATTATCTTAAAACGGAGGAGAGAAATGCATGGGATTTGAGCTCTCCGTATCCATATGGTGTATCACTTCGTAATGTTGAAAATTATACCATCCCTGGTTGATTGATAAAAGAGACACCATGCATAAGCCGTATATACTCTCGGTATACGACCGAACGGAGAAATCGCCAAGGTCAAGAACGTTACGTCCATGTTTCTCCGACGTTTTCCTAGCATTTCCCCGATCGCTTCGTATTTCATCGTCTTTTACTTTATGTCTATCCCTTCGCTTATTCATCTCACATAAGGAGGAAGCTGCATGCATCTTCCTAGGACAAGGTTTTATGCTTCAGAGTCAAAGTGGAGAGGAGTATTAGGTAGGGCTGTATGTATGAAACGGGAGATCTTCGTCCATCTCAGTTAGATGTAAAAAGGAAGAAGAAAAAGTACACTAACAGTACCTACTACTACAATTTGCCTCCCCCGGTAAAGGTAAAATTACAGCCACACACTATTCGCTTTTTACCCAAAGAAAAGTAAAGAAACACGCCCAACTCGCTAAAAGGAAAATCCAAAAAAGATCCCTGCCCTATTTACACGATTAAAATTTTCTTTGTTTTTCCTCTGGTACCTTGCAGAATTTAGCCAACAACGGTATTGGAAGTATTCCGAAGCTGATCAGACGCCTTGGAGTCTAGCCGCGTCAGAATATCCAAAAGTACTGAGAAGTCGCCCCTTGCTCGGGTCGCCAGGGGGTTATCCTGATGCCGATGGATAATAGCTAGCAAACTAGCTCCGATAAGGCGTATCTTTTCAACCTATCGTATCAGATAACAAGGTTAGCATATAAGTGCCGAAGCTTAAAAAGTATAAATAACCGCAGGCATTATGAGAATCAAGGAAAAGGGAGATGGACAGACAGGCAGAGAGAGACGGCAGGGAAAAAGGAAAGCAGCTTACATTTGGCTCGCCGTTTGCTTGGAGACCCCAAAACGGCGCCTCGTTCATCACCCTCAGCATATCTCGCACAATCTCCGACTTTCTCAAGTCTGCTTGCTCAACTCCGGGAGCAAAGTAGGACAGATCCTCAAATTTCTGCGTGATTACCATCCGCAGGCAGTGGAAAGTCACCTGCAGATTCGTGCATTGGATTACGTACTGCTTCGACTCCGCAGACCCATTACCCTCGGCCATGGCCGCCATGGCCAGAGTGCATGATTGGAGGTATGGCGGGAGGTCGTCCAAACAGGTAATGAACCTAACATAGAGGGAGTCGAGGTGCTGCCTGTCCGCAGACGGCAGCACATGATTGGGGGGCAGGTTCCCGCGGAAATGCTGCATCATCTGGTCTTGGAGCACCCTGATTTCCAGTAAAAGATCGGCCGCAGACTGCCAAAGCCGCACATTGGCGTTGAAGCCGGAAATAAAGCTCTTTCTGGGCGGCTCGGAAGCCGTAATTAGGAACTCGTCCTCAATCCCCGACGGGTACAGGGTGGTGATGCCCGTATCAAAGCAGTATTTGTGAATAGTTATGGGACGGTTGTTCAATATGGCTGCGGATTTGTCCCCCAGATACAGGATCCAGAAGCAGCGCCGACGGAACTCTGCCTCAATGGGGACAAGCCCTTCCAGCGACGCCTCCTCGTGAAGATGCATAACTTGGGCCAGGCGAATGGCCTCGCCAAAGATGTGCCACGAGTACTTTGGTTTCCCCGCGGCGTGGAGGCAATTGGAGTGGAAATACCGAATGGCAATTGAGTTTGCCGTCGGATTTTCCAAATCGGCCTCGAGATGCTGGTGAAGACAGTCTCGAGAAGCTTCAAGAAAGATTTCGGAGACGGATTCTCCTTCGGGGAAAATGTCTTTGGGTAGCATAAATGCTGCCTCTGCGCAAACAGCTGTGACCAGGGTGAAGGTCGAATCGGCCCAGGGAGCCAGCCTGCTGCCAACGGCTCGCGAGCCATTGAGCTGCGCGAAGCCGGCCCACGACTCGGCTGCGCTGAGGGGGGTGGTCCCGGCCGTCGGGTCTGGCGTGAGTTGCGCGATAGGCGAGGGTTGGTTCATGCCGGGTATTGGCTGCGAGAAGATGTATGCAAGGACCTCCCGCAGGGCCGGCTCGTACACCAGGGGGGTGAGAGGATAGAGGTAGTCAAAGAAGAGGTCGATACATCGCTTCGACACTCGTTCCAGCGTCGTGTTGCGCAGCGTCATGGCCTGGGCAAGGTGTAGCCATCGCTGGCGCGTCGATATGTTTTGGATAGTGGAGAGGCCCGGCAGATCGCCCATCTGCTGCCGCGGCAGGCCGTTGTCCAGGCTGAGAGGCTCGCCGGGCTCCCACGGGGCCTCGGGCGACAGAGACGACGAGTTGAAGGGCTGCAGTCCACCTACTGCGGGGCCGGAGAAGGCCAACGGCGGCGGCATCTGGGCGCCGGCTCCACGGGCGCCGGTGGAGAGCGCGCTCGGATCTGAAGGTGGCTGGCCGGGCAGATCGCTTTTCTTCCTGGCTTTGGGACCGCGTCGGGCCAGTGGCAAGTCGAAGGTGCACTGCACGTGTGCATCGCGGCAGTGCGTGCAGCTATCGACGGCGCTGAGGTATTCGCACTTTTGGTGGGGGAAAACATCTGTCAGTGGGGAGATCGCGAGCGTATCAGGGTATTGGACGGCGTAACGCAGCATTAGAAAGAAGGGCGGCGGGCGAGCATGTACGGGCATGCAGATGCAGATGAGGATATGGGTGTAAGTGTAAACGCAAATCTCAAGTTATGAATACAAATACATACATGTAGCCATGTATGCACAATGAATCCATGAATCCAGAGAGGAGGAGGAGGATGAGGAGAGGAGAGCAGAGAGAGGCGGGCAGGAAGGAGCAGGGACCAGGACAAGGACCAGGTCGCAAGCAAGCTGGCAAAACGGGCATTCGGGCTGCAGCTAGTATGTAATAGCAGTACCACTCACCTTAGCTTTGCGACGACGGCATCGATCGCAGGCTCTGCTCACAAGACGGCCTCGTGGATGGTGGTGGAACGAGGATGCGGTAGACGGCGCTACAAGCGACTGTGGCGGCGTCGACGTTGAGGCTGCTGGCGACCCGGGCTGGCTGGACGCTGTGGCCGATTCGGGCGACGTGGTGAGAGCGCCGCCGCCTGGAACAGCTAAACCGTCAGTTAGCACGTCCAAATTAGGCGCTGTAGTGAGGCCACTGGCCACTGAATGCACCGCCAAAGGGCGACAACCGCAACCACAGCTGGGTGCCACTGCAGGCGCAGGCGCTGGAGCTGGCGCTGGCGCTGGCGCTGGAACTGGAACTGGAACTGACCTGACTGCCCTCCCGCGGCTGCTACTGCGCCGGCTGCAGCTGTCACTGCTGATCCTCCTCCTAGCGGTCCTGTGGCCGCTGTGGCCGCTGTGGCCATGGCTCTCTGGGGGGCCGATCGCTGCTGGCGGTCGCTTCCTCTGGCTTCGCGCTCCCTCTCCAGCCTCCGCTTCCCTTCCCACAGGGCGCTCGCAGTCAGTTTCCGGGTATCGGAGAAACGCAGGGCGCGCAGTCGATGTCGCGTTTCCGGTCGGAAACGCCTGGCTGGAGACTCGAGGCGAGACGGGGATTTATCAACGGTCAAATACAGGGAGGAAAAGTGGGCAGAGGCTTTGATTTTTGATGTCTGTTTGGTGCCCTCCACTTTTAAGGGCGTGGAGAAGGAGGAGCCATTTCTCCGCATGGAGCCGGATTATCTAAGTTCGAGGCCAGCGCCAGAAGCAGAAAATTTCAGCGCAATGCAATGCACGCACTAGCAGTCTGGTAGCTTGAGCGGCGAGATACAGCGCGCGTGCACTGCATTCGGCGCGGCGCTACTTGTACCTTGGATCTGGTGAGATTGCCAGTGCACCGCTCCATCAGCATAGGAATCAGCATCATCTCAGACGCTTCCCCAGCTCCACGCCGCAGCCCCGGCTCGGGTGCTAGCCAGTCGCTAGCTGCTCCTGAGAGCTGGGGAAGACATGGGGGGCTGCCACAGGCGATGCAATGCTACGACAGATGCGGCGCGCGTCCCGGGCTCGAGCCAGCACAGCACTTCAGGCTCAGGCGAGCCGGCATCGAGAATCAGCCTCTGCCGCCTTCTTTCAGGGGCTTGCGCATGGCCGTCTGGTCTTAGCCAGTGATCAGGAGGCGCCCATTTTAGCCATCCAGGCCCCTTGATGCGTCCATATACCACTTGTAGTACCCATCCAATCCCATCCCATCCCTCCACCCGCTCCTTTGACGCCGAGAATAGCTTCCTAATGGGCAATATGTGAGGAACGAGAATGCGGGGTTTGCAGAAGCTACCTGATGGAGGGCACATGTACACGCAGCGTATTCCTGTGGTGCCGTCGCCGTGCAGCGGCTACCTGCGCAGTACCTTGCCGGCTATGAACCACGGATGAAGCTCAAGGAATACCACCCTGCAAAGGTAGGTCCCCCAACATGCTTAATATAAATTTTCAGCGTTTTACATGCTCGATGCGGACTCAAGATGAATCGGTCCAGCTCTGGATAATGACGAAGCTGCATAATGTCGTGTCACATTGACCCCGTCGTATGACTCCGACTGGCCAGCTTTCAAGAGACAATATAGCCTGAGCACGGCGATGGGATCAGGGGCCACATGCAGGACAGCAATTGAGGTTGGAGGATTTACGAAGCCATTGCCAGGGCCCTTTGCAAGCTCATCCGGGGTTGTGAATGCCTTCCTCGTCGCATTGCCATTGCCCGTCACGGCTGAATCGGCCACGAAAGCGCACCATGGCCATGACTATCAATGCAGTTTTAGCTTTTCTTGCCTCTCGCCTCTACAAATAAAATCAGGCCTGGCACCTCCATGCCGATTCGCCACCCAATGGTTCGAGTGAAGGTGTCGCGTTTGCGTGTCGAGTGTCAACACGTCGTCGATGATCCGGAAAGAAAACTGCCAGCGGGGTCTGCTTGCTGGGAGGGTCAATTGCATCAGGACAATGCTTTGATACAGTGCCGGAAAGGTCTGATGGCACAGCCGGCATGATGGAGTCCAGAAGAAGGGGCACGTGGAAGGCGAATTGGGATCAATCAGCCTGGTCTGGGTACTTTGTACCGCCAGCAAAGATTCGAAGTGAGTTGCTTCACCTTGTTCAGCTCTGCTGCTGAATCTTGCAGCTGTGCACCATCGGTGGCCACCACCAAACATCTAAATAGACGCACGTATAGAAAATGTAGAAGCCATAGCAAGAGAATCGTCGGCCCAAGCTTCGCCTCGCACGTATCGCAAATAAGCAATTTGAACGCCCTCGCGATTCAGGCTCACCGCAAGCCAGCCGTCTCACCCCACACGAGCCTCAAGCCTCCAATTTGGCAATGTCATGGAACTCAATCCGTTTGATGCGCGAGAGAAGCGGAGGATCAGCTTCCGCTGCAGGGAACATTGAACATACATGTATGCATAACCCGGCCCCAGTGGTCTATATCCGTGGTATCCGTGAGCCAAAAATCGAGCCAGTAGACTGGAGACAGGCTTACAGGCCCAGGATTGGGGCCCATTGGAGGTCGAGATTGGGTAAGTGACGATACAGCGCTGTTGTCCTCTCACCACTGGCACCATCTCTGCAGTTTGTTGTTGGCTTTTCAATGCAGTGGTGAAAACGAATAAATTTGAGCTGCAGCCGCAATTTTGTAGCACAAAGATTGCCGACATCTGTTCACTAATACTTACAACCAGACAGAGGCTCTTGATTCTACCAAGGACCAGGTTTCAAAACGATGCAGTGGTCAGCGACTATTTAGAGTCTACAGTCGAGTGGAAAGTCAAGGTCAGTCCAATGCACATACCTGGGTTGGCGCATGGTACATGTATAGATGTTTGAGATGCCACATGATGAAAATGCTAATTGAGCATGCAAGCAGACCGCATTTGCCTCTTTCGCAGGGCTTACGGACGATCCCCCGGACTTTGATGCAAATACCAGAAAGGCTAATCCGATCTTTTCCCCTTCTTATCTACGGAGCCGCCCCGGAGATGCTTCTACAACGTCGGCCTCGTTCTCTTTCTGACAGCCGTCCCCAGGCCCCTGCAGCCTCACAGTGCTGGAGACGACATTGAAGACAGCTCCCCGCTCGACGCCTCGACCGACCTCTCGATATTGGCTACACGTCGGTCGAACGGATCAGATATCTAATCTATTGCAAATGCTAGTAGTCTATATGGGACACAGAGCAACGCCTTAATGCTACGGCTCCGGGCAGGCTCCAGGCAAGCCCCAGCGTTCGCAACGACATCCGGCTCGCTTAGCAGCAGCATGAGTTAGCACCAAGAAGCGCTGCATGGGTGGCCACACCCTCTCTACAACCTCAATATTATATAACCGTACTTGCATCCAATAACACGTCGTCGACTCCTCGCGAAAAGCGCCGACTGAGCGAAAAATCCGGCGGACCGAGGCGCATCATCACATCTCCCGAACGAGGTAGCAGCGCATGATATCATTATCCAAAGAGGGGAATGGCCGTCTCCAGCTCTTTCTTTGTCATGGAAAGGCTGATGTCTGGAGCTGCCTGCGACTCGACGTGATATTAGAGCGGAACCGTTGGATGTCAACACTTGAGCCAGACGAACACGGTGTGCTGGGTGCTACCGTGGTCCCCCCACGGAGAGGAATCAGTGATACGGAGTTTCGTAAACGCTTTTTCGGGAGGCTCACGGAATCTTTTTCATTTTTGCGACATTGCAATTACGTATGCGACTGCGAAAGGCCATGCGGCACAAATGCTACCTTTTATTCTGTTTACATGTGTGTGCTGGGGTCGTACCTTTGGCGCGTACTACCTATCGAAAACCACAACTTCGTATAATGTAACAATAGGTAGGGGGTGACGAAATTTCGTATATTGTCATGACCTGGCTACTCTAGGCTACTTTGACTCTTCTACCTTTCTGCCCAACATCCAGCAACTCTGCTGACTTGGCGAAGGAGATGGATACATGTACTAATTGCCCATTTTCGTCTTGAAACCTGCCTTTTGTAGGGTAGCATATCTCTAGTAGCACCGCTACAAGTAACATTTTCCAATCAACAGAATTGAAAGAGCCCCTCTAAGATTAGTAATAAATGTCTCAATGAAAAGAAACTTTGTTATACTAATGACTATTTGATGACTTCTTGTGGGCAATCAAGTATATTGATTGGTGTTCGTGTGATGCAAATACACTCGTCGTTGCAAGCTTATGAAGCACTAGTACGATGGCCACAAAACTACATGTACAAATTTTCAGTACCAGAGCATCCAGATCTTTAAGCTTTCTATTTTTTTTAAGAGTAATTTCGACTAATTGCTTGCTTTGCAGCGAGATTCCAGAGGTGAGATCTAATTTGGTGAGTGGCTGAGACAAAACTATGGCGACGCGTGCCTATTTTACGCCATGTGTTTAGTTACTTCAAATATGTGACTATGTTAGGTATGAAATAAATACTTGTGTAGCCTCTGAATTCTTACTATATGTGGCGATAATCCACGAATCCCCTGGCGATCTCAACTTTTGTTCAACCGGAAATAGCATTATAGTAGAAAGAGCATGGTATAGTATACAATTCGTACAATGCTAATGATTTCAGCCTTCTGAGTCGCTCATTACTGTTGAGGCTGCTCAAACGTGTGAACTAGGGACTATGTATAGCAGACAAGAAGGAGAGTGGGACAATTGCTCCTTTAGGTCCACATCACCCCCGTCTGTCCAATTCAATATCCTCCTCGCAGAGACTGATATCCCCCTCATCTCTCTGTGGGGCATCGTTCGTCAAAGGTTAATAGTTTCTTCTAGTCAGCCTCCTCCGCCAACAGCCCGCTTGGCTAAGCGGTATAGCGTGTCACTAGTACTTCTTTGGCATGACAAGGTGATCAGTTCGACTCTGATAGTGGGCATTGTTTTTTGATGGTTCTCGGCTTGGACTCATTCAGGCCTGATTACGTGTCACTAGTAGAATATTTGACATGGCAAGGTGATCAGTTCAACTAATAACGGGTATTGTTTTTTGTTCGTGTCACTAGTACTTCTCTGACATGACAAGGTGATCAGTTCGACTCTGGTAGTGGGCATTGTTTTTTGTTACTCGCTACTGATCTTTTTGCAGTACTGGCTCAGTTCTAAGTAACATGACCCTTTGTGTGGAAGTAGAAGAAACACGAGACAAAAGAAAACATGTGGTTGCCGCAAGGGCAGCCATATCACATCCTATCCCATCCTCACCAAATCGTGAGTCATTCAAAATCTTGAAAAGTCATTTCCTCCATCGTAAAAGCCGTTAAAATGTTTTCCTCCTTGGAGAAGAGCTTGGCTCTTGACTTAGAAGCTGATGGTCAAGGCCAGAGAGCCGTGAAGCTGGCTCAACAGGGTCTGAGCCTGCTGGGCAAAGGCTGGGATGCGGGCAATGAGAGCACCGGCCAGGTTGACAACGGTTCGCTCAATCAGGTTCAGGACAACACCGATGGGGCCACGGAGGAGAGAGTTGGAAACGAGGCCATTGGGACCGAGGAAAGCGTTGATGAGCGCAGTGTTGGAATTCACAAGCTGTCATGAGAATGTTAGATGATACCGATATCTTCTTCTTCGCTTTGAAAAGATGAGCTGAAGCGTACCTGGGTGAAAGCATCGAAGATGGCCTGCTGGTCGGCAAGGCTGAAAACGCCAATGACTGGGGTGGTGATGATGCTGCCTGCGTTTGTCACGATGTTGCCAGCCAGACTGCTGATAGCAGTAATGACAGCCTGAATACACAGAAGTTAGCATCTCATAACAGGAACTGGGGTAACTCATTGTAGTGGTAACATACGGGAAGCTGTTGAGCCAGGGTAGTAGCGGTAATGTTGCTGATTGCGTTTCCGGTGGTTTGGAAGACGGCGCTGATGCTGCCGAGAGTGCTGGTAATGGCAGAAGCATTCAGGGTTGGAGCTCCAACAAGGAGAATGCCGTCCATTTGCTGCTGCTGGGACTGGATAGTGTGCGCGAGGTTCTCGAGCTGCTGGATCTGCTCGCTCTGAACACTCTTCTCGTTTTGCTTGATCTGGCCTTGCTGGGTCGAGGACATGGCAAAGACAGACGAAGCCGTCAGGGCGGCAGCGAAGAGAGTCTTGAAGTGCATTTTTGTGGTGTTTGGGGTATAATTGGGATGAAATGAATTTGATGAGATGGATACTAAAGGACTAGAGTTGTAGAACTGAGTTGTTGGCTGGCGAGGAGAGAATATCCTTACTCGGATGTTGTCTTCTCTTTTATATCTTATAAAGTTTGGTGTCATGCATAAGCCCAAGGTTACGATAGTAAATAAATGACGTTATTTCGTGAGAATATTGTCGTATTCGCAAGGCCGGTGTCGAGACATTCGACATGGAGATCCATTCCTTGACCTGGACATTCCGAGACATGCAAGGGGGATGTTCAAAGGAGCAGCCCTTACCGGCTTCAACGACTAACTTAACGGTTAGTGGCAAGATAAACTAAGACTAGTCCTGGGAATGCGAGGCTGCTCCAATATTGTTGCTACTAGGCTCGTGACTGATAATCAGGGAAGTGTGCTCGAAGCTAGAAGTGATGTGATCTCCCCGAGTCATGAAATCTCCGTGCCCGGGCAGCCTGGCGAATGGAATACCACGAATCTCAGCTTTGTATTGAATCTACATTCCAGCGTGTCTTTAACTTCTTCGGAATGCTGACAAGATCTCGCAGCGGCCCGGGAGACGTTACGAGTAGCTTCTCGCCACGAAGAAGAGCGACGAGATACACTCTTCGATCTGCCACCACAAAAATGGGTGGTAGATTAACTGCAATGGTTCAAGGATATTAGCCTATAACGAAATGAAACTACGTTCCATGAGTGTCATCAACAAGAAGCTGATATTGAATTTTCTTCTTGTTTGTTGATGTAGTGGAAACGGTACTGCTCGGGCTTTTACTGAGATGAAAGCATGCCTTTCATTTCTTGTTTTCCCACATCACCTGCCCCTCATTCCCCGCGACATAAAGATGAGGAAATAATGTGGATTAGTGGTGACAGAGGCAACAGAGGCAACAGTGGCAAAATGGTAGCCTTGAGACAAGATATTATTAGCTACCGTAGTGGGATTCGCATGTCATCTAAAGGATGGAGGTTTTGCTGCTTGCACGGCAACTGAGTTGCCGAATTCCAAGTAGAAGCAGCCAAAGACAGCTGTTTGATTCAGCTGAGTCTAATTTAAGTTTGTCCTTTCGATCATGCTCTGTTGTACAGATCGTAGGGTGAATCATGTTTCGAAGTTCGCTAATGCTGGGCCGTGATAGATCTAAGGCTAAGCTTGAACCCAAGCGTCGATATTGGTATATCTTCCTCGACCAAGCCATGGTATCTTATGAATCGTAAGGGTCGATATATTACTAGTAGTTGAGATATGTATGATGTACCTTGGACATTAAACCATCACATTGGCATGTGCACTGCATCTCAGGCTCACTCCGTGATTAGTACCGTCAGGTATCCTACGCCAAAGTGCACATCTTTATCTGTGCATCTTAGATATGGCTCGATTATTCCCTGCCTGCACGTGTTTTGCCGCAAGGAGCTTGATCCTGGGACGGGAGAAGCTTCCTCTTTCGCCCAATGGCCTGCCGTCCCACGAAATACAGGAGTGCTTGGCCCCGCAAATAACGGTAGATGCCAGGATCCTGTATAGGTGAGGAGGGGCTCAACAAAAAAAAGTACAGCCGAAATGACAGGCTATCAATTCGTAAAATCGACAAGGAGAATAATGATTAAATAACTGCCACTCTAAAACCAATGATGAGATTATCTGAACGGACTCTGGAACTGTGGCTCTGGATAGGAGGCGTCTAGAAGGCTTCTAAAAATGCATCCTAGGCGCCAGTCATAGTCCATCTAGCCGCTATGCTTTTGCGCCAAAGCAAGATGGGGGAAGATAATTGGCTAGTATTGAGCGCTGGTGGAGAGAGCCGGCGGGCCGCGCGGATGCCAAGCGATAATACTTGAGTAAAGCTCTGCCAACGAGTTTAACGCGGATAGTGATAACTTTTCGTATTCAAAGAGCTTATAGTACAAGTAGCTACAAATTTGAAGACCGCAGTCCAGACGGCAGCAAAGGAATGGCAGCACCATCTGCCCCAGAGCGGACAGTTGCCGAACTGGGACTTACAGAGGCCTCTCGGAGCAATCAGGAAAGTCTGCCGAGCTAGGGTCTGGCATTGTACATGGTGCTAGAGCCGATGCAGGCAATATACGTTGGAACGCTTACGGGCATTGGCCCAGGCATCGAGCAGCCGCCATCTCGTCTGTCTGCCGAGTCCCAAGCGAAGGTCCTTCCGAGGATGCGATGCCCGCCTTCTGGCTCCTTTTGGCTCGATGGAAGCTCGTCTGGAAGCTCGTCTGGAAGCCCGTCTGGAAGCCCGTCTGGAAGGTCGGCGGAAGATTCTAGACGTGCCCCGTGCTCGTGGGATATAGGAGGAAATTGCGTGTCTGGGGCTGGAAATCTGATAATCGAAATTGCAGATGGAAATTACCAAGACTGCTCGACACTGTACCTTGCATGGACGGGACGCAGAGAGAACCCTGCTTGTGCAGTTTTCCATCTTTTCTGCCCTTGGACCATGTCGTGGTCATGGCCCTTGCCACGGCCCAGGCATGGAGTACAGGCATGGAGTATACGGCTAGACTGACAGCAGGGACAGGGCCGAAAGCCTGCCGACTGCCTAAGGCAAGTCACCGCGATAGCTCTGCAACGTTTTAGCTTGGAGAGCAGAGGTCTGGTGTCATTATGCCGCGCGCTGCAACTACTATGTACAGCGTAGTGTCTGCAGTAGATTGAGAGACGCACGCGGTTGACAGCTTGGCAGACAGTCTAAAGCTGAGCTCCCGATTTGTTTCCTCCAAGATCGCTTGTGCGTGCACGTGTAAGTGTCCAGACTGACTCGGTGCCCAGCCTTCAGGTCAGACATTGGCATCTCAGCTTCTCATCTACAGTCTCCTCCTTGCCTTGCATCGGCCGTTACTCGCGGCACTTACCGCTACAAGCAATAGCGCCCCGGACCCCATATGGAGTAGGCGGGCTGAGCACGGCACTTCGAAATGCAATTTTGTCATCAGCAAGGAGACGGGGACAGAAGCACAAACAGACAGACGAGTGGCCTGGGGGAAAACGCCATCGTGGCCCAGACCGTGATGTCTCGCTTTCACCGCCTTCAGCTCTGCCATCGTGTCCTTTGTCGTAGTGCCGCTGGCGGGTAGAAGATGCTGTATCATTGATGTCTGGTGTTACTTGGGCACGGCAACTGGGCAGGCGCTCTTGCCGGCGTGAGTCACGAGAGGCCCTCGCTTGTGCAAGTGCGGGTGTTGCACCTGCTGTGATGAAGATCGGCTGCACGATCGGGTGGAAGGCGACAACTGTCTGCGCCTTCTGGTAGCATGTGAAAGTACTGTACATAGGTAAGGTAGGTATGCAGCTATTTGCTGCTACTGTAGTAGTTCAACACCATTCACCACTCGTGAATGCTGCCAAATCAGCGATTGAATGGATCAACGCTTCTCGGTCTACGAACTAAATCCGGTACATGCCTACTGCAAGTAGCTGACGCACTGCTCGCCACCACACGATGCTGCGGCCGATAGAACACGCATGCCCGAGTCTATACTGAGGCGAGTGGCTTACGGTCTTCATGTTGCTAGCTTGTTTGGCAGACTATACTCCTCGACTCTCTTCTGGACCCCAACCGCAAGCCAGAAGCAAGGGAAGCACAAACGAAGAGTCGTGCTTCTTATCCTTTGCCCTCACAGTCTCGACGGGCTGCCTCTCGTTCTAGCCGGCCGGAGTATTTGTGGCGGATTGCTTCCCCTAAGCCCCCTGCGGCTACACCATCTCCGACTCGAAAGTGCAACTGATGATCATGGCGTCTTGTTTTAACAGAAAGCCAAGTCCCGTCCCGCAACTCTCTTTTTACCCGTCTGTCCAATGACGTTTCCGGAGTGCCAGCGATCGCAGCGACATCGGATGTCACTGTCCAACCACCACCCTCTAGCTGACCACATTCTGCTTCGATTCGCCCTGCTTCGGCTCAACTGCGCATGACCTCTGGCGCGCAATGCCAGCCGCGAGCCTTTGGATGCAAGTTGGCTGGTAGTGCACGCGCAGAGCATGGCGCCGCAGCGCCGCCTCCACTTGGCCTGCAGCAAGCAAGGTACGAACCTCTGCGTATGAACGCCCAGAGCTGCGCGAAAACCAACCACGCGAGACCCTCCAGGGCTGTGTCGCCGCATCTGATTCGCCGCGGTGTGGCGCCATGTGCTTCCGGCCAAGGAGGCACAAGGACCCTTGCGCCCTGGCTTATAATAGCAAATGTACTTGGTAGCCCGTGTACTTGAGACAAGCCACGGCGGCCATCATGACGAGCTGCCGGAGCTGATCTACGCACATGACAGGTACCTGTACGGCCGACACACATGCACAGAGAGTTCCCTCGGCTGTGATTCTTTGATTCGACATCTTGCCATGATCTTATTAACCTATGGTTCCAGCACACGTATCCGCCTCGCTCTCCATCGAAGCCCAAAAGCCTTGGGTCCTTTGTTTCTTTGGGTTTGCAATAGCGCCCTCATAGCGCCCTCGTCTGTTCGCCATTTCCACTTCTACATCATTTAAGCGTTCAAGACCACGCGAAGCGAGAGGACCCGTCGAGCAGCTCTCCACTCTCCACTTCGCACGGAAGACCTAGCACAGGTGCTACTCGACAGACTGGACATCAGCTTCTGCCGCCTGGCAATGGGCCTTTCCCAACCGCCAACCCATCCTGGGCACTGGATTCTGGGTCCAATCGATTAACCACGCGACGGCGTCTCTGCAAAGTGCCCTCTGTCGATTACCTATTACGAGACTGATTGCTCTTCCAACTCCGATCTTGACGCCCTCTCGACGCCTTTTGCTTGACTCGGCAGGACTTGTGCTCTTCGCCCTGTATAAGCGACGACTGTTTAGCGCCTATCGTTGCTGTTTCTGCTACGTACCCAGCCCTCCTCATAAGAAAACGACCGTCTATAGGTGAATAGAGACAAGATACGAGGGAGTTGCCCCTTCGAATCAGGATATCAAAATTTTTCCTGAATCTCGTCATCGCCAGCCAACCCTTGTTCCTGTGGTTTGAACATTCGCTCACCGCCGACTGGTGATTCGATTCTGTCGCTTCAAAGACTCCACAACTGAACGCACTGAGACCCCGGTCCTACATTCTGTCCAGGCAGGGATCGGCTCACTAGCAACGGGTCCCCCTACAGAGTGGCCCTCTTGAACTTTTTTTTTCTTTGCCCATCCCCGCTTGCCGTGGGCTCTTTAATCGGACGCCGGCAACCGAACCAATCCAGGCGTTTGCCGTTGTCAGTCGCAATCCCGCTTGTCGTTCTCATCGATTCGACAAGACCAGGCGTCTCCGCGAGACCTGGGTGTACGATTGTTTTATAACTTTGCGTTACGATCCTCCTTTGTGGCTTGTTACTGCCGTAACTCAGACCGCAATTTTTTTCTTGTTTGTTTTGCAATTTCCAGGGGCCTCCTTTCAGTGCGGGAACACTTGCCAAGATCCATCTGGGTGCTTACAGATATATACCACTCCATATCGCACTCTTGGAACTTTTTGCCCTCACAATACTTTTTTTGTTGACATTCCTCGCGGTTGTGTAATAAAGCCAAAGCTGGCTGCGGCCTTACCTTTCCCCAACTCCCTTCTCGGCCTATATTAAAACATCGAGTAATACGCTCGTCACCACTTATACTGTGCCGGCCACAAACGCATCAAGAAGACCAGCAACATGGCGTACTCACCACGGCGCATGTCCGATACCACCTACCGCAGCTACCATGATATTGAATTGGTAGACCCTCTATCGTCGCCTCCCTCGACCTCACGGGGGCGCCAAACCGTCCAGTCTCTCAAGTCTCCAAGAGGACATTCTCCAACCATTGTCCAGGTCCAACGCAAAGATTCTGGATACGAATCACATACCTCTTCGCCACGCAATTCAGCCACCTACTTTCGACCCAAGCCTACACGGCGCTCTTCAGGCCTATCCAAATATGGGACATCGTCTGCTCAGTCACTGCGATCTCGAATTCGACCAGCGATGCGTCGGCCAGCCACCAGCCAAACCGCCGCTTCATATCAGCTTCGGCCTGTTGGAGCTGGCAATCAAATGGCGTATTATCAGTTCCCAGCTTCAGACCTTGTTGAGGTTACGGAGACAAGCCAGGAAGCCCCTAGTGCTTGCTTGCCACCACAGACCACTCATTATTGGACCAGTGACAGGACTCGTCGGCTGGAATATGCTGCCATTGACGCAGCAAGTAAGGGTGTCAAAGGTTGGATCCGAAGGAACCTACTCCCCGACTGCTTTGCTGGTAAGAGGCACGTGGCTTTTGACGATGACTCTGGCAGTGTTCGTCGGTACAGGCTAGACCTGGAAGACGAACAAGATGAGAAGCGTGTGCTTGACTGTACAGCTTCGACTTCATCTCCGAACAAGAAACGCTTCTCCATCCGAATTCACCGCAAGAGCGTCAGCGCTTAACCATTTCAATTTCTCCCACCGCTTTACGCATGTTCCAATTTGCGATTAATTTTTTTATTACTTTCGACTTTGCATTTCGGCGCACCACATTATTCGGCGTTGTATACCCCGACTGCTTTTTCATTTCTTTCTTCAAATTTTCGGACGACTTAAGATACCAAAGACTTTTATACCAGGAAAGCGATTTTTTTTTCTTCCTTTGGCTTTTCAATTTTCTTTCAATTTGCATAGACATGTAGGGGGTGGGAATAGATACCTGAGAATGCCCTTGGGATGGCATCCTTTGTTACGCCTTGGCTTATACAATTGCGGATGGATAACGCCTGTTGCACTCGAGCAAGCTGGGAAGTGCAGCGTCCAACGGTGTGGATGAGATGAAATGACCAATGTTGGTTTCAGCTGCAATATGGAATAAAGAACACAACAGGTCATTGAGATTGAATGCAACAAGAGTGTAGAAGCGACGATAGGGACCTGCAAATGGCCCGTGAGGATAAGCAAAGCTGGGTCTATGCCCTTTGTTTCTCAATTCGTTCTTTAGCATAGAACAATCAAGGACACTGTCACAGTGTTTCAATGCGCAACTTCAAAACAAACAATGACCTGTGATTTCCTGTTGCCGTTATAAAATGGATGTGCCTTCGTCAATTCTGTAATTGTGTGAACACCTGTTGAACACCTTTTGAACCACTACTCTGAATCCATGTCTTTGCGACAAGCTACCTAATCGAAGCAGCACAATAATCGCGAGCCAACCATAGAAAAGGACCAACTCTCCCCTCAGCCAACAGGCAGATCTGGCATTCCAACGAACCTTTGCTACCCAATACACAAGCAGTGTCCGAAGCGCCACCTCGGTACTTTTTGCAGCTTCTCACACCATGGCTTTACTTACAGCTCCGAAAGGGCTTTCGGCAGACCCACCCGGCAGCCGGTCTTATTTGCGGGGCTCTGGAACCGTCACTCCGGATTTCCGAAAAGGGGAGTTGAAGAAGATGAAGAAAATGATGAAAAAGAGGAAGGAGGAGAAAAAGAGAGAAAGCCTCTCGAAAGGTATAAAGAATTCATCGCTCGTAGATAGAGTGCCTGCGGATCTGGCGAGAGTCGTGGTGAATATGCAGCAGTACTACGCGTCGGGGGTGGGCGAGCTGGCAGAGAAATTAGGCAGTGTGGAGGAAGAGCTGAGGCGGGCGAAGGAGGAGAATGTGATGATGAAGAAGAGGCTGGATATGCATTTTGGGATGTTGGGGCAGACGGCGGAGTTTATGCAGAGGATTAGTGAGGGGCTTGGAGGAGGGATCATGGGGGGCGAGGAGGTGGGAGGAAAAGAAGGAGAAGAAGAGCTGAATCAGGGATTTGGTGAAGATGCAGATGATGGAGATTTGGCAATGGATGGAGTGGATATGGAAGTGCCGCCGACGCCGGCGGATGATGACAGGTTGCCTATGAGGAGTACGGGTCGGATGGCGAGCAGTAGACGGATGGTACGGGAGAAGAGTCCTCTTCAGAAAAGAAAGGGAAAAGAAGCGAAGAGGAGGACGGCTGCGAAAGTCTTGCCGATTAGGGAGAAGATGATTCGTCCTCAAGACAATGGGGATGCTGATGAGGTTGACGCCAACTTGGAAAGTCTGCGACTGGAACAGAGTCATAATGGACGCGAGGACAACGACATTGCCGATGGCGAGGATGATGCCAGGGTGTTAGAGGGAGCGCCTCGTTTGCAAGAGGCTATTCGGCAAGATGCCTTGCAGCGTGCTATAAGTCGAGATATCATGCGTCGATCGCGCTTCACGCCGATTAACCGTATGCCATCTCGCCAGAGCACGCCGTCATCAGGCGAAGACAACTCTGATTCGGATGAGTACCGCCCTCCTTCTTCTCCATCAGCAGCTTCATGCTTCTCTTCGTTCTCATCGTCGGAAACACCTCCTTCTCTTTACGAAGAAGAAATCACCCCATCCTCATCAACTACCACCGACGCGAAACCAGCCTCCCCGCCAAACCCTCAACTCCCAACTCCCCCACCAACAGCAACATTATCATCATCATTATCATCGTCACCCCGCCCTCGATACCGCGAATCAAGACACACCACAGAAGACCGGCACGCATCCGGCCCCCCAGGCAAACCCTTCAAGTTCCACCGCATGGGCCGCACCGTCCTCGACGTCTGGACCGAATACAAAATCGGCTCAAAGGGCAACCCGGCCATTGAAGCGCTGGAGCGGCAGTACGGCACGGGGTGGCGCAAAGGCGGTACTGGTGGCATTCAGGATCTCAAGTACGCGAGCAACTATGTTAGTGTGCGGCAAAAGGTGGTGCGCTATGTGGAGGAGATGTGCGAGAGGGAAGGGATCAGTGAGAGGGAGGCGATGAGGAGGTTGGATGAGAGGGTGGATGGGAGGATGCAGATGCTGATTTCGGCGGTGAGGAAAGGACAGGATCCGTTTGTGGTGATTCCCAAGAGGTGAATTTGGGTAGACTGTACTATTAAGCAAATATTAGAAGTGGGTATTGTGAAGTTGAGTAAATAAGTATGATAGTAACTATTAAGATATTAAAAGAAAAGTAATGTTCCGTCTGAGGTACAACCAGATAGTATCTCGCTCCACCATTTCCACTGTCGCCCATTGTTCCTGTTCTGCCATCAAATCAAGTCAAACCAGCTGGTATCAAGTTTTATTCATTCCTTCTTTTCCTTCATGAAGTAGAGATTGCCCACAGAGCCCACGCATCTCTAGTAAGTGGCCTTGGCTCTAGCCCTCACCCTGACTAAAAAGTCAATGGGGCGAGTGTTGAACCATCCGTCTTCCTCGAGCTGATACTCTGGGCTTGCTGGCTCAAAGTCGAGTTCCCTGATCAGCATTGCGAGCATAATGTGACTCCACTGCAGAGCATACTGTTTGCCAATGCACTCTCTCTTGCCATTGCCAAACCACTTCTTGGCGCCAGCGGGCAAATTATCAAAGGCCTCGCCCATCATACGCTCAGGCTTGAATACCATCGGCTCCTCAAACACAGCGGGATCGCGGTTCACTCCTTGCAGAACGATAATCATGGGCTGGTTGTGAGCAATCTGGTATTTGCCCCCGCCTAGCAGCACAGGGCTCTTATCGCCCTCTTTTGGTCGTGGTTCGATGTTGAATCCGGGAGCAACGGAAGAGAGGCGCAAAGATTCGCGCATGATGGCTTCGACGTACTTTAGCTGTCCGAGATGATCAAATTCAAACTCGCCAGCGCCAATGACTCGGTCCATCTCCTCGCGAGCTTTGGCAACGACTTCTGGGTTCTGCAGGAGATAGTAGAGGGAGTAGACGAGCAAACAGGGCGCGGTGCTGCTGCCAATGGGCATTGAGACTATCTCATCAATGACCTGCGAAGGGGTCAAAGTCTTTCCAGTTTCCGGATCCGGAGTGGTCATCATGATGGACAGCATATCCTGTCTCTCTGTCGGGTTATCGTTGCGGAACTGCACTAGCTCTTCGGCATACTCTCGCATCGCCTTGTTTGAAGACTTGAACTTGCGGCCGTACACCAGCCAGTTGAGCAAACCAGGCCGCGTAGGGCGCTTCATCGCCTCAGAGGTAGAGTCTTCCATTGCCTGGAGCATTGGATGCGCAGGACCAGTCAGTCCGTTAAGGCGCTTGCCAAAGAAGACATAGGTGTTTGTCTCGAGATTCAGCCTATTCAGTTGATCCAGGGGGCTTATGACATGGCTGCCTCCAAGGCTCTTCCAATTATGGAAAAGCTCCCCAGCCAGATTGCGCATTTCTCTAAAGTGAGTAGACACAGCTTCGGGCTTCAGCTGGGGATAAATGATTCGGTGGGCAATGCCCCAGCTAGCCTCATCGTCATAGGCCGTGAAAAGTGCGTCGTGGACGGCAGCTCGAATCTCGACGATGGGTCCGCCCACGTATTTGCGGAAGCGCTTCTCATCACAGAGCTCTTCAGCTAGAGCAACGCTGGCAACGAAGACGAGCGTCTTCCCGAGGACTTTGATCTGAAAGATCTCGCCATACTGGTCTGAGAGCTTCCTGAGCGAATCCCAAGTGTTACCAGGCTTCACATCAAAGATGTTGCCTAGCAATGGCACACCAGGTGGCCTCGGAATGGGAGTTGGTGATGCCATGATTTCCCGTATCGTAGATTTGAAAGTACAAAGACCTATCAAGGGACAGCAGAAGATATGGAAAAAATGAGAGAGAAGTGGAAAAAAGCTGGGGAGGATCACGGCTACGGACAGGCAGGGCCTGATGGTCCTAATATATGGCAATCCATTGGGTGCCGCCAGCATGTCGTGGAGCTGTGGTAAGACATTGGCTCTTCTTTCTTGTGCTACCACGGGCAATCACAAATACGGCCGGCTTGCTTGGTTCGCGGTGCCAGCTCATCCATGCAGCAGCAGCCACTAGCCCTGCAGCTCCCAGCCAGAGCTCGAGATGTCTTTGGATCTGGCCCCCTCTTCTCATTTTGGGGCGCGAATTGCAAGCTGCAGGCTGAGACATTCCCCGCCGCCTGGCGTCATTTGGCCCATATCGGGAATCAAGCTGTCTTAGCAGCTCCCTGTCGCAGACCTGCATAAATCAAGCAAGCCCGTGATATGGCACTTGTAGTCATAGGGTGCTAGTGGCAGCAGTATTACTCGTGCTCGCCGCTGCTCTCCCATGGCATTGGCAGAAGAGGATCAACAAAGCGGCCGGCACATCGCAAGGGCTGCATTAGCGCCCGGAAGCTGGATGGACGGACGGCGACTAGGAATCGGCCTGGCTGTGGTGCAAAAGAGCAAATTGCCGGCCTCCTAGTGGCCACCTCGCACCGGCAAAGTCCACTTGGCTGGATGCCAATCTCATCTCGGATGGGATCTGCTGCGATGCTGGATATCACCGATGGCCGTGGCCAGACGCCACACCTGCCAGAGCACAGCTGAATACAAGGGTCATTTCGGTGCAAGCAGGTGAAAGCCTGGTGGAGGTGGGAGCCCAGATCTGCCCAGGAGCCCATGCAGCTGGTGGAAAGCTGAAAGACGATTGATCTGAACGAGCGGATGAGGTCCTCTCAGACGCTGCTGGCCTGGTATCTGCACCAAGTGCATGCAGCCATGGTGTACGAAGCAAATTCAATGTTCCAAAGAGCCAATGAGGTCTCGGGTATCCGTATATCGTATCAGGATTGTTAGAGAGCCAGTAAACTTCAAAAAGAGAAGAACACAGCAGATGATGAAAACGTTTGTTTGCCTGTTTGCCTTCAATGCCTGCAGCCAGACGCAATTAGCTGTACTGTAGTCGCACCCGAGGCAGCGGCTTACCTAAGTCAGCCTCCCTCTAAAAAATTACAGGGTGTTCACAAGAAAACGCGCCAAAGCAAAAAAGGCTGCGCTACGCTACACGTCTCCAGAGCTTCCCGGCCGAGGCGCCACCTGTTTGCTACAGCACCTCAGAAACCACAAACTTCGCAAGGGGGCCCAAATTCCAAATCTCCCACGAACATCCGGCGCGCGCCAATCGCAGATCCAAAGCCCTCACACGCTCATTATTCGCCTTCGTCACGCTCTTTCTTTTTTTCTCGTCGCCCGTCATGACCCGCGCTCAGCAGACTATTTCTCTCGGCCTCTTGGTCTCTTCTGTACGAAAGCCCCCCCCCCCCCTTCTTCTTCTCGCCGGGAGGTTTACTGCAATGCAGCCTTTTGTTGTTCAAGGCCTATCTGAAAAGCTAACCAATTGTCGCTTTTGATTAAAAATAGATTTACTTTGCTCTCTTCCTCGAGCTCATTCCTCTCCCTGATCTCGTCCAGAAGGAAATCGTCCCAGTGGTGCGTCTTAACCCAAAATCAACCCTGAAGCCATCCTCGAATCGACCGATTGAATCATATGCCTACCTACTTATGCATGCGACTTTGAACCTCGACTAACTCTTTACGACACATTCTGTAGCTCCCCTTCTGGGCTCTCATTTCTTTCGGCGCTTTGCTCCTCTTCCGTCTCGGCTGGGGCGTCTTTACGTTCAACGATGTTCCCGCGGCGCACAAGGAGCTGATGGAGGAGATTGAGATGGCAAAGGTCGACCTGAGGAAGCTTGGTGTTGACGTGGATTAAATTTACAAAGCATACCGTGGCGCAATTGGAAGGAGTACACCATAATTCATAAAATAGTGGGCAATGCAATATCACTGTGGGATCAAATATAGATCGTTCTCCGTATACTTGAAGTCCCCTTTTCAGGGCTTACTGTCTGTTTGTCATTTAATGAATCGAGTCAAGCGCTCATCTTGAACAAGATCGGAAAAGGCTCTTGCTTGGACTACCGTAGACCTTGCTTTTTATACATCATAACTCATTAACAGAGAAGCATCTCCACTTCATTGCTCTCCTACAACTAATGCCACAATAGTCTTCACAGCGAGGGATGGGTCCTGCCCGCCCTCTACGAGATCTTCAAACAGTTTTGGAAGCTTCCCCAGCACACCCCGTTGGTCCGCCTTTCGCCCTGTAGGTAAATTTATTAGCTCTTGTACTTGTACTTGTAGCGTTTTGGAACGAAGTGAGTTCAACTTACATTTGCCTGGTACGCCAATCATCACAGCCACCTTATTTTGCGCCTCCCCAATCCAATCGAAATCAATCTTCCACTCTAGCCGTACCGATGATGTAGGGTCTGATCGCTTCTTCGACGGAACATCAAACTCAAACGCCTGCTGACCCATGAAATGAACCAAATCAGCCTTTTTAAAAGATGGGGTAGACGCTGAATGAGCTTCCTTTTCCAGCTCTTCGGCTGCTGCCCTTCGCGCCGGCTTCTTCTTCCGCGCCTCAGCAATGGCCTGCAGGAATTCTCCTTTGGAGGCCAGCTCGCGATCCAATTTAGACCATAGATACGCCCTTTGAACTGCAGCCTGGTACCATTCTCCCATAGCCCATGAGAGTATCCCGATGTTACGCTGCATGCTCCTGTTGCAATCGCCCTCACATAACTTGGTGACGAATGGTCCCAGCTCAGCCCTTGCTGAAGGCTCCAAGGAAGGAACCTTCAGCTCCATGATGCTGGAATTCATTGCATTCACCACCATCTCAACCTTGGAGGTAAAAAGTCCAGGCGCATCCTTTGACCTGAAAGTCATGATACGCCGTTGTCGCAAAGGCTGTTCCTCATCTGAGTGCAAGATAGCCACAGTCGATGTGACGTCGAATGGGCTAAACAGCTGCAAATACGGCAGCTCTTCCTCTGCTGTCATTTTTATGGGATGGTGCGACTTGATATCTGATATCTTGACTTCATCTTCTGTCGTGGCGATAACGGGAGTCGCCCTCCCAAAGGGTAGTAATGCCGCAGGGTTTAAAGCTGCCTTTAACAGCTGTTGCGATGGTGGCGGCGGAGGTTGTGTTTCAGAGTCCACGAGATGCCGCCGTACCACATTGAATACCTCTTCTTCATCTGCAAAGCTCAAGATTCGGCCAGAAGTCTGCATCAGCCGAATTCGATCGTTTTCCTTGCTCACAATCTGCAGATCTCGCTTCAATTTCGCAATCTCTTCGTCCAAAGCCAGTTTTTCCTTTTTCTTTTCTCCATCTGGATCAAACGCTGGGACCTGGCGAGCCGGGTGGGCTTTGTCGTCTAAAGAAGGCTCTTGTATACTGCTTTCGCTTTCCTTCCCCGGTAGCTCGAAACTATGCATTGGCAGCCCAGGTTTCTTGCCAGGCTTTTCAAGGGGACGGCTTTTCGAGGGCTTCAAAGGAGAGTCATGTTTCGTTCTAGGCTTGTCTCTCCATCGTGACGGACTGCTGTGTATGCCTTTCGGTGGTGTGAAAGAAATGGCGTCTGGGATCGATGGCGGCAGCTCGGGCTCTGGGTATAAAAGGGGCCGGCCTGTATTTGGTGATCGTCGCTGTCTTCTGCCCAAGAACGAATCCGCCTCATCGTCTCCTTCAGGCGCAGGTGGAGGTAGCGGCCGTGGTCTCGGTTTAAAAGGCGATCTTATAGGTATATTGGGCATAACGTCGCTGGAGTGTTGAGAAGACGGCAGCGACCCAGAGCTCAACGTGACCCCATTCGTGCCTTGCGCTGTACCACTCGCTGCTGTACCACTCGCTGCTGGCGTAGGAGCGGTGGCTGGTTCGTGAGCAGCTTCTCCTGCCTCTTTGTCGCTCGAAGACGCAGCCCGCTGTGATCCTGTCGCTGCGGGTCGTGTCTTGGCCAAGCCCTGCGGCGGATGACGAATTTCATTAGCTCTCGCGGTTGCATCGTCCAGAGGGCGGGCTATCCGAGCTCTTGCGGGCTTTGACGGTGTCGACGTCGCGTCGCTGCTGCTGCTGTTGTTGACAGAAGAAATGCGTGGTGAGACCCGACGTCTCTTTGACGCAGGCTCATCCATTGTGGCAGAGCAATGGAGCGGTGAATGGTAGTCTCATTAAATAAAGCAGGCGGATTGTAAAGCTAAATGAACAAAAAGCGGGAAAAGGGAAAATTATCGCCGGGTATGAACAGCTTGGCGATGCGGGATGGTGTTTTTGGCCGAATGGAGCGCGTCACAGCCAGCTGCAGCCCAAACAATGCGGGCTTGGACCGAAGCAGTAGGCGGTCGCTACCGGGGAGTCAGAAAACTACCCGCTAAGCTTTCTAGCGGTCTTAGCACTATTAGTGTAGTGAATGATTGTTTACACAGCTACAGGCGATGCATTTCTTACGATTCTTGCTCTCTCGTCTGGCATAATGCAGTGAAGCTTAACTTCAAAAGAATATTTAATAGTCATAAATCAAGAACAATGTACTCTAATGCACAATCTTAATACTTTACTCCCTCTAAAGGCGCTTCGTGACTCTCTTGATGCCATCCATCACGTGCAGCTCAATCGCCAAAAAATCCTTGCCGGCTTCCCGCCCGATGACGTCCGAATTGCCCCCCACAAAAGCTTTGCGACGCCGAACTGCGAATTCCGGGCCCTTTGCGTGTCTCTCTTCTCCGGCTTTTTGTCTTATATATCTGCCCTATGCGCTGCGTCGCATCCGCCGCAGCTCGATCCTCACAACCTTGTCAACTTAACAATATGTCGTCAAGAACGTTAATATCACGAATAGGCCTCGTACGGCCGAGCGCGGCCTTGTCGCACGGGCAGTGCTGTCAACGATGCTTTGCCAGCACCACGAGAGCCGGCGCAGATGAGCAATGGCCGCAGAAAACACCGCTTGGAGCATACTACGAAATCATCTTGAAGAATCCTACTGCATATTCACCTACCGCAACACCGAAGAGGGCCCCGTCCCAGGATCCAACAACTCTGAGTCACAAGCCTCAAAGCGATGCGCCCAAGACTTTGCTTGGCCAATCAAGCCCAGCAGTCACATTTCCGTCTCATAAAGAGCCTCTGCCGACAACTGCAGAAGACAGAGCGCGTGTTGTTTTCGGTTCCCGCCTCCTTGGCCCCGCCGAAGAAGCAGGGCTTCTTGCCGCCAAGAAGGCAAAGTCTACATATGTCGCCGGCATCCTGATACCTCCTCGCCCAGAAGAACCGGACAACTGCTGCATGAGCGGGTGCGTCAATTGCGTGTGGGACCGGTACCGAGAAGATTTAGAAGAATGGTCGACAAAAAAGGCAGAAGCAAAGGCACGATTAAAAGCCGGAGGCAGCACCATGGATGTCGATGGTGGCGGATCCGAAACGGCCTGGTCGAGCAAGATTTCCAAGGATATGTGGGATGAAGAGGCCTTTCGGAATGTCCCGGTTGGCATTCGTGAATTCATGAAGCAAGAGAAGAGGCTAAAGGAGCGGCACCAGCGAGAGGGCACATTAGGGGGCTAGAGAACCTACAGAAAGAAAACAAAGAAGGGTAAATAGATATTTGATCTAGGCTACAGCGGGCGGCATGTTTTTTTGGCTCTTACACAGTGTATTATAAAGACATTACGGCATAGAGTTTTTGTATTCAGCATGCGATACGTATTGATAGACGCGGAGGAGAGTACATTTAGAGCAGGAAACAGGAGCAATGATATAATTTTGGTATCTTTCACTAATTTTTTTTATACATCTATATTTTACTTCTTCGCCAGCTTAAATAGCAACATAGAACACATTATGCCTTCTTCTGGGCAAGTCGGTCGTGCTCGTCAATGTCGATGGCCTCCCAGGGATAGTTGATCCAGGCGTCGCCGCAAGTGACGGCGGCGATGTAGCGGCTGTTGACCATCTCGTCGGGCAGCTGGCCCTTCTTGGGCTTGTCCTTGTTCTGTATCCAACGTTAGCAAAAAGCCACTCCCGTTCATCATAGCCAAGATAAAACCCACGTGGAGAACAAAGATGCTAAACTCAGCCTTGGGGGCATCAGGTCCGAGCTTCTGGCGGGCCTCCTCGACATCCTTCTCCAGCTCCTTGACGGCATACTCGAGCGTCGTCCGCGTGTCGTCGACCTCGTCCACGATCAGGACGCGCTTGCCGATGAGGTTCTCCATCTCGCCCAGGGCAGAGAGGTCGAGCCACTGGGTGCGGGTGACCTTTGTGCCAATCTCCTCGACCTCGCTGTTGCCGAGCGACTCGTACAGCGAGAGGCCGATGGCCTGGATGGGGATGTTGGGGGATCCGGGCTGCTTGAGGAACGAGCGCAGGATACGCGCGGGGACGTAGCCGCCGCCGCCGATGGCGATCATGAGCTGCGGCTTGAAGTCCTCGAGGATCTTGGGAGCGGCCTGCTGGCACAGCTTGTGGACCTGTTATAGTGACGCCGGGTTAGCGTTTGTTTAAAACTCTCTCTTACAGCAGATGCAGAGAGAATGGGCGCTTATTCGAGGCTTCTCCATACATCATTGTAGGTAACGTAGAGCTTCTCGACCATTGTGACGGCTTTAACGCAAGGGCGTGATTCGTTAAGAGGGGGGTATCAAGAGAGGAAATGAGGTAACTATATAATTTTGAGAAATATGAAAAAAGATACGAGACGAAGCTGGTGACTTCGGGAGCGATGCTGAATGCCCAAGAGGAAGAAAGAAAAAGGAAGAGGAGAAGAGGAGAGAAAAAAGGGAAAAGAAAAAAAGCGAGGCAATCACCAGAAAATGGCTGCCCACATGCTTTCGGCGGCTTCCGATAATTTTTTTTTTTTAGTCTTGTTTCCCCCCCCTCCCCCACCATTGGTGCCGTCACTTTAACTGTGATTCATTTCCGTACAGCTTGGCTTCGCCCCATATGTAAGCTGCGGCGGATAATTTTTTGGGCCAGGGATCTTGATCGAATAAGCGTTGGCCTAGTGAGAATTTTCTTTGCTTGTGCTTTATAGACTACCGGGCCTGTTCTACCAATATCTACATGCCACCAGTTTTGACTTGACATCCAGCATCCGGGCGGGAAAGGCCGTAGGCAGCAGCATATTGCCCCCCATGTATGTGCATCTAGGTGTAAGGGGAAGAGAGGATTCCAGGCGTGACTCAGTCACCGGTGCCTTTGAGCGTATAGCTGCAGATGTTTACTAGCCGGGTTAAGAATAGTTGCCTTGACGAATATAATCTCCTCTTTTGGCGTGTTAGTGAATGGATTAACAGAGGACTGTTTCTGATTCACCGTCTATGAAATGAAAGTCCGGTATTTTTATTAGGCATGAGCTGCAATACATTGTTGTGAATCCCAAGAGAGAAATCAAGGTGACTCAAAAATCTGTTCAATGAGGAGACATAAACACCTCTCCCACTTTTCGATTCCAGTTGCTCTCGTCAGCAAGCTTCCTCATTACGTCTGCCAGGTCATCACAATACCCGTCTACTTCTTCCGCATTCAGCTGTGCTGTATCCCACGAGGCAATGAAGAAGATGTTTTCTTGATCAACCATGAAAGCGCTCCAAAAGAGCCCACTAGTAGTCGTTTTGTTATTTCAAGTAAGTAGCATGAGATAATATATTGATCAACTTACCAATCTGGCCAGTCATATTTGGCCACTGGCTCCAGAGTATCAAAATCACTGCGGAATCCTCGAGACGCTGCGACTCCCATGCTCACATCCCACACAAAAGATTGACGGAATGACGCATTCGTTGCCACCTCGCCCTCTTCTCGAAGCTCCTGTACAATCTTTTCCCACGGCGCGTGTTCATGGCGGTGGATATCCTCTTGTTCGAGAACCATGCGGTGAATAAAGTCTGCGAGAACCTCCTCGCCATTCACTTCAAACATATTGAGAATCCATTCGACTGTCGGGCCGTCAATGCTCATGGGTGGTTGAAGAGCATTTGCTATCCAGTCGGGGACAAATGGCCATGAACGAGCGCTCTCCCACGAATTGAACAACGCAACTGATGACTTTGTCTGAATCACATTGAATAGCACCAAGGCACACTTTGTGAACAGCATTGATTCCAGGTTATATGAGTTGCGCAATTTGAACAGACCTGGTAAGCGGACAATCCTGCTTCGGCGCGGGAATCGAAACTCTTCGGCTCTTGCCTGCCATTCGCCTTTCCATACGTGATCTCGGGAGTTTTGGCGCTCAGAGAAGTAGAATGAGTCTTGATCGCCGGCAATCATCATTCCTGGAGCGCGTTGCTTGGGCCATATTGCGTTCTTGTAGCGGGAAATACCCCTCAGCCGCTGAACGTGGAATGATATTGCTTGTTGAGCAAGCAGGCTCTCTTGATACCCCTCAAACAAGTCTGCAAACAGTCGATACGGTGTTTGTCCGGGTATGACCGTGTTGTAATTGTGTATGAGCCGGTCAATGTCTCGGTGCCAAGAAAGGAGAGTCAAGGCATCCATTATAGAATGGTTGTACGTCAGGCAGAGGAGGTATCGACCCGTTTCTTTTGCTTTTATGATGGTCGCGTTGAACATGAGCATCGGAGAGTGAGTGTTTGTAGAGCCGTCTTCGTAAACATCTTTTGCTTCTTTTTCCGTTTCTGCAGTGACCTCGTGGACTAGTTTCTGGAAAATGTTGTGGTTATGGCGCACAATTATATGATAGAGCTGTCCTTGAACGCCCAAGAGAATTGTTCGCAGGAGAGGTCTATTCGCCATCCATTTGAACAGTCCATCGTAGATGTGAGAAATAGTTGCGTTATGGACTCTGAAGACAACACGGGTACGATATGACTGTGCTCTTTGACCAACAACTGCCCGATACATGGAGTGCCTTATGGGGATGATGTCTTCAACATCGGATCTGTCAAGGTCGAATCTCTCAACTTGATCTTGTGCCGCGGCCAAAGTATCAACAGCCTCGACTTTGGAGACCAAACGTTGGCTGAAATTGTATGCTTGCTCTCTCCTAGAGAGTGCTCTGTGGTCATCATTCTGAACAATGATTGGCCTGTGCATTAGTCCAACTCCTGCTCTTGGAGATGCATCTCTGGTGACTAGCAGCTTAGCCTGAGTTTCGATGGTATTACATCTACTCAGGTCCTGAAGGTAAATGCGTTTTCCGTATGCTCGGAGAACAGTGTCACAATATCGAAGCAGTGTGATGCTGTCAGCCAAGCAGAAAACGTCATCTGTCCTCTTTGGTCGAACTCCCATCAGCTGTTCCCATATTCCCCCCAAGCGTTCTTCTAATACCGCTACTTCGTCATCTTGACTTCCAGTCTTTAAGCTTTGACTTTTCTCAGCAAGTCGTCTTTTTGTTACAGTATCGGCCAGCACCATTCTTTTAGGCTTTCCAATAGAAGTTGTTGGGATACTCTCAAGGCCCAACTCTGCAAACGTGTACACGGCATCGAGCGTATACTGAGGGCCCAAGAGTCTTGCCTTTTCCAATATCTTGGCCTTGGTTACTCTTGAAGAGAGCCTGACAATAGCAACAGGGACTTGACCGGCAATGTCATCTGGTACTCCTACAACAAACGCCTATAAATTTTATTAGCTATTGTCATCTCAAGATGCAGAGTGTAAAATTGCCTACTTGCTCAAGTCCTGGGACCTCGGATAACGCCGACTCGATTTTCCAAGGGTTGATATTCTCACCCCCTCGGATTATCAAGTCGTTGTATCGCCCAAGGATGTAGACAACTCCCTTCTCATCGATCATCGCTTGATCTCCCGTCTTCAGCCACCTTCCCGACTTGTCATTGTAGAATTTTTCTTCGTCATCTTCAACACCGCCAAAATAGCCATGTATAACCGATGATCCAGAGATATGTAGTTCTCCAACTTCCATTCGAGAAAGCACTTCTCGGCTACCATGGCGACACACTCGAACTGCAGCTCCAGCGAGGACTTTGCCAACCCCTGGGTGGTATCCATCTACAAGCATGTCATCTTGTCGCGACCAGCTTATGATTGGTGCTCCTTCACTCATTCCATACGCCTGGATAGCATCTCGTGAACCGAGCCCGTCTTTGCAGAGACGCACATGCTCTGGCCCAACCATTGTCCCTGAAATCGAGACAATAGACAGATTCAGGTCTCGGGGACTCGGAAAGGAGTCATGAGATAGCAGGGCCTTGACCAGAGTTGGCGTGGCTGACATGACAGTACACTTCTCCTCTACCAAGGCCCGCAACGTAGCGTCTATATGGAAAGACTTTGCAGCGAATACGACTGTGTGGCCGTGCCGCCACGCACGAAGCGCGTTGTTGATGGCAAAGACATGGCACACGGGCGTGTGGACCAGCCAGCGGTCGACAAACGACGGGTCCACGTTGGGATCGTAATTGTAGGTCTGCGACACCAGGTTGCGGCCTGTGAAAGGGCATCCCTTGGGCTTCGCGGTGGTTCCACTCGTGAAGACAACGAGGGCGGGAGCGTCGCCGTGACTCCCGCGCATTCCGTTGGCTCGGGGCGGTCCTTGATCGTCTGTGTCACCAGGCCACTGATCCCCCTGAAAGGAGGAATCCCGAGCCAGGAGGTCGTCGAGGCTCATCCATCCATCGACCACGGTGCTACTCCTCCCGCAATGGATACGGAGGACCATGTTCGGGAGGCTGGCGTTTTGCTTGGTCAGGTGCGCCGCCGTGTCTGCATCCTGAACCACCAGTACCCGTGGTGTGGTTGACTCCAGCATATAAGCAAAGTCATCTGTCGCACGAGCGTCGATGGGGATCAAGGTGGCCCTGGCCTTGGCGCAGGCCCAGAAGAAGAGGCCCCATTCTGCGCAGTTCCAAAGGACGGCGGCGATGTGCATGCCGGCGCCAACGCCCAGCTTCTCCAGAGCGGCGGCCAGATGCTCAGCTTTGTCCCGGAGGTTTCCATACGACCATCTGAGACATTGCGATTGCGCGATCGGACTGGGATCTTCCGATGATTGGGTGGCATCTGCAGGTTGCCAGAGAGAGACGATTGCTTCTCTGTCGGGGTGAGCAGAGGCTGTTGCTGAGAGGATATCCCAGAGTTGCTGATCGAGGTCTGAGAGGAGCTCGCCATGGATCTCTGCAATGGCGGCGTCAGAGGTGGATGTGTAATTGTTATCATGGGAGGCCATCTTCAGTTAGTTTGGTTGAGAGTTGAATTATAGAATAACAGGTGATATTTCAGGGGGGCAAAGGTAAACGATGTCTTAACGTCAAAATTGTCAGATCAACAAGATATATATAACCCAGTTGATATTGGCTAAGAGACCATGTGATAGAGAGCCAAGATGTTGAGAGCATTTTGAACCGTCTGAAAACTTGCATTACTACCCCTTATCTTCTAAATTCTTCTTTCAAGGCAGCCATTTAGTACTCATCCTCCAAGATAGCTTACTGTAACGATCGTGAGCAAAGCCGTTTCAAGCTCTTCATTAGCTTGGAAGCCTAACGCACATTTGATCCACCTTGCAGATGTTGGTTGAGACATGCTGCACCTTTGTAATACAAGAGCTGGCATCTGTCCTATGATTTGCCCAGCACGGCGCCGCTCGCCCTGGCAGCGAACCGAATAGAATCTTTATATAAGGTGGCACCACACTGCCAAGTACCGGCAAGTAGCGTACGCAATTTTAAGACAGGTGGTCTAATACGGCGTAGACGTATGGCTGGAATCTCGACGGCAATTCGGAAAGGGGGGGCTGGCAGTAGAAGTTGGATGTACCCGTGGCTGACTTGTGCGAGGTGAGAGTAAATAAGCTCTTGAGGGTATGAATTGTTGGTCCGAAGTTGCACACATCTTAAATGTCTGAGACTCTCTGCAGCCGTGAAAAGGCAAAAAAGTCTAGATGGCGCTGGCATACCCCATTTTCTGCAGGCAAGTCAATGTTCGCTTGATGTCCAATCCATTTTGACTTGATTGAACTTGAACTGGGATCTACCATGTTTAATGTGGTAGTCTGAGGGATCATTTCAAGTTGTTAGCGAAGATTTGTTGATAAGTAGAGGTAATACAAGCAGTGAGGCGCCTTCAGCCGATACATGACATGAGCGTAACGTAGCAATTAAACAGAAGCCGGTACAGAAGGGAAGGATGAGCACCGCCTCATCTTTGTCTCGACTGATGCCGTCCTAATTTTACCTTTATATAAAGTAGATGAACCTTTTGTACAGAGACTTTGGATCAAAGTTACTTGGTAGCGTTGACAGTACAGTCGTCAGATTTGACTGTTTCAATAGTGATGGAAGTAGCTTTTCTTAGGAATACGCTGACAAATAACTGAACAGTTCACATATTGTCCTCTCAGGCTGTAAATACGACATGTACTATGTCATTGAGAAACGCAACTCTGATCCAATTCTCCCCAGCCGTGTCTCGAGTGGTTGCATCTCGTAATGTCTTCACGTCACTCACACCAGCACAATCCCGCGCCCATTGGCTCCACGTTGCTGCGGCTAACCACTTCGGCGCGGTAATTCCCGGGACAAAGGAATTGCTTATGCCGGATATCTGCTTTTCCTCCACGCTGTCGGCGTGCAAGGCCACTGTCGGATCGGCGTTGAGCCATCTGAGCAGCACGATCCTGTACGGTTGCGAGACATACAGCTGTCAGGATCTCAAGCCATCCCAGTTTTGAATGCTGCAATAAGGCAGTGGATAATAAATGCTGTGTGTGACTGCATGGTGCGGAGGAGGCTAGCGGTCCAGATAATATATTTCTCCCCCAGGAGCTGGCCGAATTTGGTTTCAGGGGGTGCTGTCGAGTATTGATTGAAATGACTGATCACAATCCGTCAAAACTTCTCTCCTCTGTCATGAGATGCTATTATTATACACCTTGACGGCAGATGGAAGCCAATGGCGCATCTTCTACGCGTCGAAATGGGCTTCCGTACATACTTAGCTGCTGCGCCCAAAAGTTCCACAGCAGAAGACAGGAACACGAGCAGGAAACTATCGATATTATTCGGTCCTATGTGTGCAAAGCTTCTGCCTATATACTATTGGTGAAACACACCTTTCCTAGAAGTGCTGTGACGTATGTGAAAGGGCATAGAGCTAGCCCCTTTTCCCGAAATCTTGCGTCCGTAGTTGGATGCCAGGACCCATGTGCTCCCGGGACTCTGCACATGCCCCCATGACTTTGTTTCTTGGGAAGACGTGTATGTTAGATAATTAGGTACCTTGTGTATGTATCCCTTCGAACCGAGTATCGACGTGGGCCCCTGATCTGAAAGGTGGAAGCGCTCTACTTGGAGATATGTCTAAACGAAGAACCATGATATTTCATCTTGGCACACCAGGACCGCTTCAAGGGCAACTGATATTATTGAATATTGAATCTTCAATAAAGAAACTATGAGCAATGTCTTCTCTCTTGGACAGTCGATATCTAATATTTTGTCTCTTCTCCCTTCTCGTCACTTACACTCTTCGCCATATAAGCCATCAAATCCACCAGCGCAAAGTTTCACAAGCAAAAGGCTGCAAAGATGCCCAATCCAAGGCCCCAGTCAGGGACCGCTTCATTGGACTTGACTTTATCTATGATTGCCTCTTCACAAAACCCATCGACAAATACCTCGACTACACCTACAAGACGTTTCAACAGCTGGGATCTACCTATGTATGCCAAAGATGGACATGGGAGGCGACATATACATGTGACAGCCGGAATATTAAACACATCCTGGCTTCTGGCTTTGATGAATTCAAGCTTCCCCGCCTTCGGGTCAATGCCATGATGGGACTTCTCGGAAGCGGCATCTTTACCTTGAACGGACAGTCTTGGTCACATGCTCGAGCCGTCTTGCGGCCTTGCTTCGCAAAGCAAAACAAAGAAGACATGATTAGCATGCTAGAAACGCACTTCCAGGCTCTGCTTAAGAGAATTTCTCTTGGTGGGGATACGGTTGATCTACAGCCGCTCTTCTTTTGGCTCACCATGGACTTTGCGACGGATTTCCTTATGGGTCACTCAACGCATGTGCTTGATCGCGCATCTAGCCACGCCAAAGAGAAGCAGTTTGTTGACGACTACTTGGCATGCTCAACGGAGATTGTTAGGAAGATGCAGCTCGGGCCACTTCAGATATTTTCCTTCAATTTTGGGGCGATGAGGGCACGAAGCCGTGTGTTTAAGTACATTGATGACTTTATCAATGTATCTTTAGACAAGGAACGAGATGACGATGAGGCTACAAACTCCGGACTTAATGTCCTACAAGGGTTAGCAGCATTAACGACAGACCGAAAGCAGCTGAGAGACCAGATCCTTCATATACTGGTTGCAAGCCGAGATACTACGGCTTGTCTCCTAAGCAACTTGTTTTTCGTTTTGTCCAGGAAGCCGCATGTCTACGAACGGTTGAGGCGAGAAGTCTTTGCAATTGCAGGTACAGAACCGGCGACAAGCAATCAGCTGAATGGCATGGAGTATCTGAAGTGGTGTGTTCAGGAATGTAAGTCAAGCGTACTCACTTCACTATCGGTATCATTTAGCTGACTTCGCCAAAGCTTTGAGACTACATCCTGTAATCCCGACCAATGCGCGCGAAGCCTCCAAAGACACGATTCTCCCATATGGCGGCGGCGAAGACGGCAATTCACCTCTTCTCATCAAAAAAGGAAACCTTGTCATGTATAACATCTACGCCATGCATCGGGATACTGAGATTTTCGGACCTGATACTGAAGAATTCGTGCCCGAACGGTGGAATGGACTCAGACCAGGTTGGGGATATCTGCCCTTTAACGGCGGACCGCGAATCTGTATTGGCCGTAAGTAGCCTGAGAGCCTTGGAGACTGTATTAAATACTAATATTCCGGCACAGAAAAGTTTGCGCTCTTAGAAACTCACTATCTAGTATCAAGAATGGTGCAGACTTTCGAGACGATAACAACGAATGAAGATACAGAATGGGTTGAACTCTATGCTCTTGCAACAACTTGCAAAGATGGAGTGAACGTCAGCCTAAACAGAGCTTAATCTGCGCCAGTGTCTTGAAATAGATGTGACTATGGCGTTTGGATGTTTGGGATTTGTTATAAACAATGCGAGATGTACCTAATTGTCTTTGAGGATGTCGAAACGCGGCAGATCAGAACTTTGTATATCGAATTGTCGATTAATTGCCTCCCCGTCAAAAAATTGTAATGTACGATAAGCTATTCAGAGCTTCTATCTAATAATACCTTTCTAAATAATTTGAATAAAAACATGCTTGAAAAACAACCTCTTTGTTATTCTTCGCGCATGTGCTCTCATTAAGTTGGGATGTATTTAAAAATGTAGAGTGCCCTCCACTACATGTAGTAGCAACAAGGCGCAACTTGCGATCTATTTCCAACTTTGGACTTATTCATATGATTCATTTAGTTTCTAATTATACCACGACTACTCTTAGGCCCGCTTTTACCATTGCCCTCAGAAGCAATCTGCAGCACATCATCATTTCGCTCCGCCTCTTCAAGTGTTGCAAAGACCTCGCTGTGAGCTAGTGGCTGTCCCTCTTCAACGTTACATCGTCGATATTTACGCTGAGAAATAGTAGCTAGAAACAGCCTTAGGTAGGCAGACAAGTACAGACGCCATGACGCGATCTGGATGCAGAGGCTGTGAAATTAGGCAGCCAACGTGTTTAGACAAATTGGTTTACATGTGTTAACGCTACCTACATGTATATATTTAGGTATGCACCACCTCTCAAACAGATCCTTCTTGACGCCATCCTTACCAACATTCAACTTGGTTGCAATTTGAAATGGAAAACGTCACGCGATTTCGATACGAACCGCTTTCCAAAGACAACGATAAGACAAGGTCGATCCGCTTGCTTCATCTCCGGCCTGGGTCACCGGGTGAACCTGTTAATTGCAGCATTGTGCATCAAAATCTCCGTAACAAGCCAGACTTTGAAGCCTTGAGTTACTGCTGGGGCGATGCTGCAAATCCTCTGCGTATTTACATTGGCAAGGATTACATTGACGTAACCCAAAACCTCCACGATGCCTTGCTCAAGCTACGCGACAAAGAGAACACAAAAACTCTCTGGATTGATGCGATATGTATCAACCAAGACGATCTTGCGGAGCGATCGCAGCAAGTGACCATCATGAAGCAAATCTACCAACAAGCCAGAAAGACAGTTGTTTGGCTTGGCCCAGAAAATGCAGATACTGCGAGGGCCTTTGAGCTAATACCATACCTCATGGTGGTCTTCACAGACGCATTTCAGGGAATGCCACGCCCGATAAGTTATGATCATAATGTCTTAAGGCACCCAGCTATACCGCGAGTGTATCAAAAAATGCAATTATTCGAGTCCTTTATGCAATTGGAACAACGCCCCTACTTCACCAGAGTCTGGATCATTCAAGAACTTGCTGTGTCACAGAACAAGGTTGTACTCTTTTGGGGAGAGCACAGCGTGTCCTGGGAAGAATACCTCATAGCCACATGGACGTTCGCTTGCTTGCAAATTCAGAAACCGAACAGAGACAAACCTTTGGGCAACTTCCTCCATTTGATCAGGCCTGCGATAGAGATGGCGGTGTCGAACGTCAAGCTCATAGGCCTTTTGGATCGATACCGACAACAGGAATCCACTGACCCGCGGGACAAAGTGTTTGCGCTGCTAGGAATCGCTGATTCGCAAGACGTCGCCTCTCTAGGCTGCAACGTGGACTATAACATGACCACTGTGGAAGTCTATACACGCCTTGCAAAGTCATATATACAGAGAGATGGTAACCTTGATATACTCGGCTATGCCAAACACGGCACAAACATCGCAGGATTGCCTTCCTGGGCGCCCGATTGGACAAACCAGGGAGAGATGCCAATCAATTTACGGACTCCAATCCTGTCCGGCATTTCTCACAATCACCATGCTGGAGGCGATAAAGATTGCAGAGCTAGCGTGTCAATGGACGGAATCACTTTAAATGGCAAAGGTGTTATTTTTGACAAGATCGCAAGACTGTCTGGAGTATATGGCGAAGCATGGGGTGAAAACTGCTGCATTCCTCACGTCTTGGAAACAATTGCAGGATTAGCTGAGAAAAGCGATTACATTGCCGGAGGTACAGCTCTGGACGCCCTTTTCATCACACAACTTGCCGGGTGCCCCAAACCTGCCTATGATAAGCTACAAAGAAGATTTCATGAAGTATGGGAGGAAGCGAAAAGCCATCCTTCAGAAAAGGGGATCCGTGGCTCTGTCACTATTTCAACTGTGCAAGGCCAACAGGAAAAAAAGATCAGCGTAAGGCCAGTGGATGTCAGGGAAACGGGAGAGACTGAAGCACTTCTAACGGCAAGCCTCAAGTACACTTTGAAAAGGCGATTTGCAACAACTCGCAAGGGTTACTATGCGTTAGTGCCAGATAAATCTGCCGTTGGAGACACAATTGTCATTTTGAGGGGAGGGAATTACCCATTTGTCTTGCGTGCTCAGGGGCAAAGCTGGAGCCTTGTGGGGGAATGTTATGTGCATGGAGTGATGAATGGAGAGGCATTCGATGAATCTGTCTGTGAAAGCGTGGCAATAGTTTAATCTTTGAAAAGAAAAAGATTGTTTGTAAAAAACTGTTCTTTGATGGAAACACGCATGCATGTTGGCTATTGGAAACTATTGACTCGTTTCATGATCTGTTGGCGAGGATACTTTTAAACGCGTCGCATTTTAGGCTAAACAGAGCTTAAAACCGGATTATATTCGCACGAATGACTTTCTTTATGAATGAAACTTCAAATAGTGTTCAACACTTTGGTATTGAACATAGAAATAGTCATGCAAAGCGTTATAGTATCATCAATACTATCCAAGGCTAAAAGTCCATCGCCGAGCCCGTAGAATCTCTAGCCAATCCGTCTGGATCCTATTCTGCAACCGCTCTTTCCATACAGCTCGAAGTACCTCTTCTACAGACACTATATTCATCATCTTGCTGGCCTCCTTAATGCTCTTGAGCTTTGCTGCACACAATGCCATGTCCGCCTCAGAGTTCAGTTCAGCACCGGCCAAGAAGAGAACCGGAGTCAAAACAGAGACTACCGCGCTGGTTGGGGTTATTCTTGAAACGGTACAGATGATTTGTGATGCTATATGCGGTAAACAGTAAGATCGGCCGGGATATCGCCGATAGAGCAGGATCAGCGCGGCAAGACGGTGACATTCAGTAAGTGCAATCAGGTCCAAGCGGGTATTGAGGTCCAAAGTCGCTGCCATTTCTTTATCGTACTGCCAGTTTGAAAGGTCAGTTTCAAGCTTGAGGAGTTCAGGCGCATCCATGTCCTTAGAATCTCGGTTAGATAGATCTCGCAGCTGAGTAATGATGCCAAACAAGTCTCGGGACAAGCCAAGGAGGCAATCAACACCTTGAGAGATGTTTTCGCTCTGAAGAAACTCTGATGGAGAAACAGGTATCGTAACCATTGCCTGGTCCAAAATATCTTGTGTTCGTGATGCCGGGAGAGTGGCAGCGCAGTCTCTGAAAGGACCGCTTCTATTCGACAGATTGGCCCGCGTGTCTGGGTCCAGCACATCCTCCATGATGAGCGCCATCACATCATGATATAAAAAGTGCCTCTGAACACAATCCATTTCCCACGAACTCCACCTTTTTTCCATGGCTGTTGAGTAAGTCTGAAGCAATTGCCGTACGCAATTGACTCGCTGCATCCATCTCAGACTTCGACCTCCTGTCTGAGTCTCCAATCCAATCAAGAGCAAGAGGGTTACAACAACCTCGAGCTTGTACTCTCCTGATTCTGAGTGTTCGGGTCGCTCCGTATGTTCTGTAATGAACTCACGCGCTCGCTGCTGGCGCTGTATGGCCACTGAGTTGAGCTCTCGAGACTTTTCTGGTCCACGCACCGATTTTGCAAGATGAGCTGCAGCACAAGCAATGATGGCATCCATGACACCGGTGCAGTGGAAGGCCATTGGAATGTACAGAGATGTGAAGAAGTTCGATGATGACTGGACGACGGTTACTTGAGGGATGAAGGTGTGTATATAGTAGGATAACAGGTGGCGCTCGAGAGAAGCCTGAGTAGGGCTGGATTGACGCCCAGGCAGCGTTTCTATGGCCAAACCTCTGGGTATACTTTTATGTGCAGTTGCAAATACTGTGGGATATGCATCAGCCATGAAATTAACGCCCGTGTAGTTAGTCTGAGAACCGAGTAATTCCAAATTCGAACGAGTTGTAGTCGCAACATCTCGATTCCTCAGAGCCTTTGTGCCACTGCCGGAACCTGAAATCTGAAGCTTGTCTGGCCATCGACATTCTGCGTTAAGACGAGTGCAATTGCGACAATCAGGATGATGGGCATCGCAACGCTTCCGGCGAGCACGGCAGGTGAGGCAGCCTTGACGGCTTCGCGGAGCATAGCGTCGTTGTCGTTGTTGAGGAGTTACTTCTTGATCTGGAGTATGAGTGCTGGCGTCGATAGCCGGAGTGAGATGATCCACGGGTGAGGAGGTGGTTTCTGGAGTTTGCAGGAATGCATCGCACTCGGACTGCAGATTGAATCCCCCTTCAACATCAAACAGGCCAAAGAGGTCAGGAATGTCCATGGCTATTGATTTGGGAGATTTAGGTCAATTGCTATAGCGAGACAACTGAAACTTCATGTGCACATAGAGGAAGAGGACATCAGCAGAGGCAAGGCGTCTAGAGCGTCTTGGGCGTTTCCGGCGTCTATGGCGCGTGCCAATAAGATCTGGCACTGTGACAGTTGGTCCCGCTGATACTTGTACTTGTTCTAACAACCCTGGCAAACACATTAGATGGACTTAAAGGTTGGTGCTATGGTATATATGAATAGTGGAGCAAAGCATTTGTTTGTTTCCTACCGGTCGATTAAAGCACTCATACAATATCGTTCACTATTCTCACAAAGAGCATGTATTCATAGCGTTGCTTGACACTGGCCTGCATACATGTAGACAACGTCCATGGATCGGATATCCCGAAGCATCAATCTTTGACAGATGTAATCGACCAAAGGGCGCAGATTGACATGACACGACTAGGCCTCTCTACACGCCGCTAACGCCGTATTCGAGTCGAATATGGGTACGGCGTGTAATGATTGACATTATGTCTCCGTAAGGAAGACACAAGTCCATAACCAATGGATTCTCAGATTCCTTTCGATTCTATGCTCTTTAGTAAAAGAGAAGGGCCGTCTTGTTCGTGTTCTGTATATGAGCGCCAGAACTTTCTCATTCTCTCACGGAAACAACACAAGCGGCATACCCCGTGCCGACTGAAATCGACCCAAAATGAGTGAAACCGGCTCCGGCCACAAAGAGAATCATTATTCTGTTGATCCAAATGAAACTACAACAGCTCTATCACAAGACGATAGACAAGACGATGTGAAGCGAGACTTTGACACTGGAGCCAAGGCCTGGCTGCAAGTGCTCGGTTCTTTTTTCCTCTATTTCAACTCATGGTAAGGATACACAATATTGAGACAAGAGAACAATGACTCATGAATCCATGTTTAGGGGAATCATCAACGCCTTTGGAGTGTTCGAAACCTACTACGAACAACATATTCTATCCCATCAGTCGCCTTCATCGATTGCCTGGATCGGTTCGGTTCAATCAGCCCTTCTCATGGTAGTTGGAGTCGTCAGTGGTCCGCTCTTTGACGCAGGCTATTTCTATGCGCTGTTACCCACCGGCACTTTTCTCGTTGTGCTTGGCATGATGATGACGAGTCTCTCTACAAACTACTATCAGATCATGCTGGCACAGGGTATCTGCGTCGGCATTGGGGCCGGCTTCTTGTTCGTCCCATCAGTTGCACTCCTACCGCAATATTTTCAAAAGAGACGAGCTTTGGCAAATGGCATTGCTGCATCGGGAAGCAGTATTGGCGGAGTCCTCATCCCCATCATGTTTCGACAACTCGAAATAAAGATTGGATTTTCTTGGGCGACCCGCATCATCGCCTTTCTTTCTCTATCAACTTGCGCTATTTCGATTGGTGTAATGCGACAGCGCTTCAGACCAAAGGAGAAGAGAACCCTGTTACAGCTTTCTGCATTTAGAGAAGCTCAATATTCGCTCTTTTGTCTGGCCTGCTTTCTAGGCTTCCTGGGGTTTTACAACTTCCTCGTTTATGTGCAGCCTTATGCAATTGATGCCGGAATTGTGGATGCTAATCTGGGATTCTATCTTCTTGCCATTTTGAACGCTACGTCAACATTTGGCCGGTTTGGCCCAAATTTTGTTGCGGACTATATCGGTTCACTCAACGTACTTTGTCCAGCATTGACTGTTACGGCTATACTGGCGTATTGTTGGATTGCTGTAAAGAGTACGTCGGCTGTAATCGCGCTTTCAGCGTTATACGGCTTCTTTTCGGGAGGATTTGTGTCCTTGATAGCGGTGGTCATGATGGAGATCACTCCGGACATCCGCAAGCTTGGGACTCGGCTGGGCATGTGTTTTGCGCTTGAGTCTATTGGGTTGCTGATTGGAACTCCAATTGGCGGAACCATCATCAGTCGTACCGGATCATACCTTGGCGTGCAGCTGTTCTGTGGCTCATGTCTTGCTGCTTGTGCTGTGATTCTACTCACCATTCGGTTGCTGCGGAGCGGGCCGACACTGATGTATAAGACATGAATTCAGGCTTTGAAACCATTTCACCATTTCTTGTATTTATCTTGATATAATAGAGGTCACAAACTATCAATAAATGTTCGTCATGTATCATATATACGGTAGCAGCATCTAAAATAAAAAGAAAAAAAAACTGATATTCATTAAAAGACCCCGGCCTCTGCTGCCCAACGTAAACTGAATCTTGCAGCGATAGCGCCAATATAAGCCACAATGAGATTGGTAAGAAAGTATATCGCTGTAGCTCGAGTTATATGATTGCTTGGTATACACACAATACTCATCTAGGACTAACGAGAAGTCTTTGTGGCTGATTGGGCTCTTCTTTAGTCTATCATACGTTGGTTCTATACCCACGAATACCTGAACAGCACCTCATTGCAGACCATGATCGATATGAGAAGAACAGCTCACTCTGCAACTCTCTGACTCACGCCAGCTATAGGTCGCACCCAATCTACCCTCGAGCGTGTAAACACCTCTGCATCGAATACCGCAGCTGATATAGTTTTGCCGCTATCATCCAATGTCCCAGCTTTAACCACTTTATTAGGCCCGCAATTAGCAGATTCGCGCCATATTATACTGCCGCAATCGCCACAGAAGTAGCTACTGATACTGTCACCAGAATCAGCAACTTTGCTGAAGACTTTTGGGGTACCACTCGTGACTTGGAATACCGCTTCAGGGATAACAAAGTTGACACTGTAGTTGCTGCCACTAATTTTGCGGCAATCGCTGCAGTGACAGAGGACCTGTGATTGATAGCACTCAAGTTAGCCACTTCCAGTAAGCAGGCTGTAAAAAGTATGAAATAAGAAGAGCTGCTCACTTTCGCTGCGGGCTCTGCGTTATACATGTAACGAATGTTTCCGCAGAGGCAGCCGCCATTGTAGGCCGGCATCTTTGCACCTATAGGTATAGCTAGGCGTTTGGAGAAGTTTGAGATGGCTGCTTTGTTTAGTTGCCAAACTCTGCAAATGAAAGTGGTTGTGAAAGGAGCGAAGATATCTATGGCTTACTTTATCTGAGATCATCAGGACGACTTTGAAACAGCAGGATGGGCTGTAACATTTTAATATCTAAACACCGTAATTGAATTGCCCTAGCGTTTGATTGTATCTATCTGAAAAATCAATTTTCGACACCGCAGCGTGTAAGGCGTTAAGAGCGTGTAGAGCGCATATAGGGGACACTGCCAGCCCACGTTTACCAAGAATACGTCTCTGCCACAGAAGCCTATTTGTGAAGCGATAAACACGGATTACGGTGATCATAGGCTATAGTTTTATTATTCGTATTATGTCTTTATCTCGCAATCTTGTATCTCCATGGCCTCAGTATCGCCATATTCACTGCTATCTCTCGGAAACCATCAAACTCTCTCCAATCTTCTCCTATATCATCACATCAAAAGCGCCCATTATTATCGTCTTGAAAAAGTAAAAAAATTCTTGGGGGATTATAGTTGCTTGGTTAATAGTACTTCAGAGTTGAACATTTTTTTAAACCCATCTGTCGGTGATTATGAAGAGTTCAGCTATGCGGTGCTCAACTTTCGCAGCTCTTGTTTGGTCAACTTGAGCTTCTGCTGCAATGCTGCGATCGCTAGGGAGTTGTGTTGTTGGAGGCCTTCTCGGTTGTTCAACTCTTGAAAGTTCAATCAAGAATTTCAGATGTCCCCAAGCGCAAAAGGAACGACTTCGAAATGCAAACATCAAAGAGTAAAAGCCGCCCAACGTAAAAGCCAAAGCCTTGTAGATTACCTTAGTCTCATGGTCGCATACTTTGGCAACTTCATGCTGTCAGCGGCCTCAATCGTTGTGCTTCGTCTCTGAGTTTATCTCAAAGCTTTTGAAAGTTACCCGAACCTCCACGGGAAATTTCACATTGCCGGGACCAGAGTTGATGCGAGCTGGGGGCGTCTTGATTCAGTCAATCTCCGTCTTGGTGAAGCAGCCAAATTTCCGATCCACCCAGATAGTGCCTGGCCGCCACTCCGCCTTGTATTTGGTCCTCCATTTCATCTGGACCGACCACATCCCGCTGGCCAGCTTTGTAAAGTGCTTGGCCTTGAAACCCGTTTGTGAATAGCTTGCCCTGGTTGATTCCCTTGCAGGAGAACAAAGCATCTGCGTCCCAAACCATGTTGAAGATGACGCAGTGCTTTTGCAAGAGTCACCAGGCGTCGTCTAGCTGATCGAGCTTCTGATTGTACTCTCTGGTCAGCTCTTCCAAGGCGGCAGCGTCGTCGTTGTTTGCCTTTCGAGTCGACCTGATCTTCTTGAGCCGAGAGGAGATCGGCTTGGGTTCCAAGGCCTCTTGTTGCTCCTTTAGCTTCCTTAGCTGTAGGATTTCCTTGGTACCCGTCTCGTATTCGTCGCGACGAATTTGGACAGGAAGCGATAGAGCCGCTTATACTCTTTGTAGTCAACGGAGAGACTGTTCCTGTTGATGCCCGTGGCACCTTTCATAGCTGTGAGCACTATTTTAGAGCAGACCTGGTGAAAGTTCGCGAAGGCCTTTTGGTAAGGCCTCGTCTAAGGGTTTTGCGGATCCCATATCATCCAAGGTCGGTGCTGTGAGTCTCTCAATCTCGTTGAGTCTCATAAATGCTCTGATCCTTGTGTTGACGTAGTTTCGGTCATCCTTGCTCGTAAGGTAGCAGAGCTCACAGCTGGTGAGATAAGGGCATGTAGAATCTATTCGTCATAGTTAGTCCAACTGCCGACAAAGAAGAATTTAATAATGGTAAGACTGATGCGGAATAGAGTGCGCACCTTCACCCTCTTGTTTGTCTTTTATTTCCCCGAGATAGTAGCTTCCAGTGGGGACGGCTTGACGGAATATACTTGATGAGGCATCTTGGCTAAGCTGAGGCGAACTGGATGGTAAAAGCTGAGAGAGTTGTCAATGGTAAGCCGACAATGAAGTTCTGAGCTTCTGGTGGCAAGATGAGTGGTGCGGAAAATGAATAAGAGAACAAAATAAAGTAAGAGAGGTGGAAAGGCATGTTCTAAACAGACCAAGAGAATTTGTGTACATAAAAATCCTTGCTATGGATTCAATATAACTAGAAACGCTAGGATAGAAATTTGGGCTACTTTTACCAAAATCTGAATTTCTTTCGAGATTTCTGTCGTGGCGCTTTAGTCACGAATTTACATTTGATGCGGAGGAGACTTCGATACATGAGTCAACTACACAGGTTATATATCTAGTATTAATTGCAGCAGGATAATATTGTTAGATATACATTGCACGGCCTCTGGTTCGCAAGCTCTTTCAGAGTCCTCGAACGACGGGAAATCAGAATATAAATTATATGTAGATACACTGCCCACATGATTCATACGCGCAGTCATCTCCATAGACCATCTTGAACCCGCCCCTGACACCACCTCCTAACCAAAATCCGCCCCTCATCGCGGTGCCATCTGACATCCACCCCATCGACAAAATACTGAATAAACGACTCGATGCGTCTTTAGTATCACTCAGTAGCCTACCAGCTGATAGTACGTATTCAGAAAGCCAAACATGCTGCAAAAGATTAACTGGCGTTTTAACTTTGCGATAAAGGTATTGTTGAACTTATCTTTAATGAATAGGTAAAATTCTGAGATGCATTTTGTTAGATCTTAGTCTATTATTCCCAGATGGCATCTTATACGAGAACGAATTGCTTCTTTGGAAGACATATACCAAGGTAACCGACTTCTTAGTGACTTAATTGCTTGAGTTGTAAAGCATAATTCTTCTCAAGCCACGCATAAGAAGGACTTGATACCTAGGTGATGGAGCGTAGAAACTTTTTTTCCTGTTAGGATACCTTAGAAAGAGGTCTATTTTGCGAAGTTAAGGGATATACAGTAAATACACACTGCATTCTAATCCTTATAGGTTAGTTCATTTAGCTACCGCTGATGATGAAAACATGCCTTTCCCATCCATCCAATACCCTACCAACTGGTAGCAATTGCATTCCGATCATTGCCATGACTATAAAATGGCCAAGTCTATTTCTCGTAAATCAGTACCATCGTGGACGAACGAGCTCAGAAACCATTCGACGTCATACATACCGATCTACCTGGTTAGTTGACCACGCCCTCCCTGGCGAAGTCCAAAAACTCTTTGCCGTTCCTCGACGAAGAAATTCTATCTTAGACTGAAAAAGATGTTGGTGGAGCCTACTTGGACCGGGTTCTTCTTCTTGAGAGTTATGTTTGGCCCAAAAAGATGCGCGAAGCAATCATGGTTCCCAAAACTCGTCGAGCAATACCCCAAAGTAGCCAAAGACGCAATGACAGGAGTCATACCGTCCAACTACGAGAAGATCATGGACGGGACCGTGGCATGGCACCCAACATCCCCGAGATGGGAAACTTTTGCCTATAACCCCACGAAGCTCAAACAAGAGGCGGCGAGACGAGCCCGAACCAACAAAGCGAAGAAGATCTGACCCGAAAAAAAAAAAAACTATGTAGGCCCTCCAAAAAAAGGACCCCTCCCAGGTTCAAGGTAAGCGAAGGGAAAGATGTCCTGCTTTCGAATGATATGGGTATTGGAACAATAAAGGAAATGATGGCATTAAATCGAAATGCGTGTGCGCAGTCAAATTGCGCTAAGAGATGACACCGATTCAGACGTCGACGTCAAATTCTATCCAACACTCATTGTTAATCCTGTCAACACTATTGTTCAGACGTTTCAAGACACCAAGCAACATCCGACTTTGAACGTTTTGGTCTACTACTCCACGCAGGTGCAATTTCCTGAAAAGAGTGCTCGTGTTATCCAGCCTAAACACTTGGTTAAAACAATGAAGAGGCCTCAGCGGCCATGATAGCTGCGGTGTTCATTTATCGAACCGATATGGAGAGTGATGAATTTTACCACCCGATCGGAACGGTTCTCTTCAACATTCATTAAGTCATTAAAGACTTATTAGGGACGTTAATTGCGACCCGCCGATGGTAAAACATCTGAGAATTCCTCCATTGGTGGACTGGAGAGAATTCAGGCAGAAGGTCACGGGGCCCTCGTTTGAAGCAAAAGGAGAATCAGACGAACTGTGTCCGACCGCAGTCTCTGTTATAGAAATACTGACTGACACCCTTTCCACGATATGCATCGCGTAAAATTTAATAAGAAGAATTACTGCGTCGTTACTGCTTTTGAAGCGATGTCGTAAAGACTTCAGTGGGATAAGAGTCTAGTGACTTGTCCAAAGTGGGATGGCAAATAAACAGCGACGGACGGAGCCAATCACAGACGACATGTTTATATTTCACCTAATGGCAGATGTGTACACGATGTAAATGCTGCCATATTTTGTGTATGGGAATATTACAAGAAGCGAGAGTAGCTGTGTGTGTAGATTTATAATTTGGATGAGTGGAATACATGTAAGGAACAAGGCAAATGGAGGATAGGAAACTTTCGAAAGTCAATTTCACAATTAATTTTCATCTACTTCAAAATCACACTCGCAAGTTTGATCTAATCAGTCATCAATTCATACAACCTCCTAAGCTTCTTTTCAAAAACCCCTATAATCCTCCACGCCACCACAGAAAACACAAAAGCAAGCGCCGACATCACTCCAAACAGAATACCGCCGCCCACCAGAATAAACTTTAGTGCGATATTATCCTCCTCCATGCTTTCTATCCCCATAAATACCACACAAACGGCGTTTACCACAAGAATAGCCGTTTGAAGCATGACAAGTTTTCCCTGGGAGAGTGGACATATAACATGAACAAGAAACGTAGCGAACGAGACGATGAGCGCGACAACCGCTGTACTCAGGCGTACGATTTGTAGCCTAGAAGATACATTTCGTTAAACATCCCACCCGAAGAGGAAAAAAAAAGGAACTTGCAAAGTCAAAGGGGGGACGTACGTATTGCTAGAACCATCACGTATAGCCCCTTCGCCAGCCTTCCACCAGGCCACACACGACAAGAAGATCACAACCACCATCGCAAGACCACTCTGGAACAGCAACAATGCTCCATGTATCCCCCAATAGTGAGCCCGAAACAGCTCCATCTTTCTCACGTACGCCATATATTGCGCCGTCTCACGTTCTTCTTCTTCTTCTTGATCGGATGGTCTCATTCCAGGGCTAGGCAGTTCGAGACTCGAAATGTCTGAGACGAAAAAGCCTTCCCTGGATGATGATGGTGACTGAGACATCATTTTTGTTCTTGGAGGAGGTATACCGAGTCGAGGTAATGGGTGATGTGAATTTGATATGTCAGGAGAAAGCTGGATATGAGAAGAGAAGACGGACTTTTGAGGCGTAGATAAATTTGCCAAGAATTGTGATTTATGATGAGAAGTTCGAATTCGGAAAAGAAGAAAGAAAAGAGATGAAAAGATTGGTAATTTATGAGAGTCAAAGATAGGAAATCAAGTTGAGGCCGCCTGGCTAGATACACGTCGCAAGGTTCTGAGCCAGTTATAGTTTAACAGCCACCAGCCAGTTACTCCGAATATTATCACGAACTCGTATCAAAAGGGAAAAGCTTGAAGTCTCCACAAACGAAGAAGTAGTACATTCTATTTGGTACAAGAAACAAGTTCGTCATTCTTCATAGAAGCAAAAAGGTATGTATACCGATACCGTATCCGCTGGTACTCCCGCCAAAACCCAGTTAACCCGCTAGTCATGCTGCCCTGAGGGAGTTTAAAATTGTTGTTACAGTAAAAAGATAGAACCCCGAAGTCCTATGACCCTCCTGGAAGTAAATTGTTGAATAAGAGTCAACTCGAAAGCAAATAGTCAAGTGGCCATCCCACAACCGGTCATTCCAAACTCATACGTGCTTCATCACCGATTCCCCACTGGCCGCCCTCTTTGCCTTGCTTTTGCAGCTCAAGAGCAACTGAGAAGCCTAATCTACTAGGATCGTCTTCCACGGCGATGTCGCTAGCCACGTCGCTCGTCCTCCGCGGCCTCTGGCTGCCGCTTCGGCGTTTCTCTTGCTTCTGACTGTCCAGGCGGAGACTATCGCCTGATTGGTTCGTAGTGCGTCGTCTCAATGTTGGCCAGAATCGTGATGACGTTGAATGTAGTGATGCGGCATCGTCTGCGACCTTTGTGCCCAGCTCATCTGGAACTTGGTCTTGGCCTTCATCCGGCTCAACAATCACCGGTTCGGCTCGCATCTTTTCGTTTGCAGTGCTGTAGGACGTTGTATGAAGGGTAGAAGATGAAGATTCTGTGGCTTCAAGCTCATGAGGCAGCTGAGACTCATCCACTTCCACCAGTTCAGCATCTCGGTACCACTTTCTGCGGCGCGTCCACCGACCCCAGCCATCCAATCCCCGCCGTCCATTCTGCCACTGAAGAGATGGATGTTAGCTTGGCTGAACATGGTTCCAAGGGATGAAAGTTACTAGAGGAAGTAGATAGGAAGTAGATACCTTGTTATCGTAGTAAATCCACCCATTTGTGCCCTCGGGACCATCGTAATCCACCGCCACTTGCTCATCAGCCACGCCATCTACTCGCCAGCGGCTGCCTTCCACCCACCGCCACCGCATTCGGCTTCCATCCTCGACTTCTGGAAGTTCAAACTCGTCTCGTTGGGGGACCGCGTTGTTGTGTTCGTCTGTCCATGCAGGCCGTTCGTATGCAAAGAGACTAGATGTCCACCCCAAGCCGATCCACCGTCGCTGATTTTCGTATATGATAAACGTGAATTTCACGCCGGCGCTCTTACCGCCGTTTGCGGCACCGTTTCGACGACGGCTCACTTGCAAAGTAGAAGATCCTAGAAAAGATGCCTTGCTCATTTGCGATTCTTTTTCCTTTGTGCTGCCTTTGGCAAACGTCAATTTGGGAGGGCTTTCAAAGTGGAGGCCAGTGATGGCGCCAGCAAGCTTTCGAACAGTTGCGCTCCTCCAAAGAATAGTTCTAGAAACTCGCATCACTCTAGCATGCCATGTCAAAACAAGCGTTCCAGCCAGTAGCACGATGCGTCTCGTTGTAATGATTCTAAATGGAGACATGGTCAAAGCGACCCAAAAGGGCGTCACAATAAGAAGCCGCATAAACATGGCCGTAAGGGCTGGCCGGGTGGTTGCGCTGGTAGGGGTTCGCTGTGTGCTTAGGAAGTCGGTCATCTCGAGAAGAGGATCCATCAGAACATTGCATCTGCCAGTAAACTCCTTAAGTGTATCGACAATTTCATCCAGCGTCTTCTGATGTTTGGTACTGGTGATTTCGGATCTGGCTCTCGCATGGCCTGGCTGCTTTCCGTTGGGTGTCTCCTCCAGATGACTACCACCAGTGGCTCCAGCCTTTTTGGAGGCAGCAGCATCTTTGGTGACCCGGGATGGCTCAGTCCAGCCACTGGTGCTCAAGGGGCTATATCGTCGGCCATACATGCCCGCTATCAGCCCCATGCCAACGACGATGGGACCGGCTCGCATGAGCACCACATCGCCATACAGAACAATGGCCCAAAACGCAGACAGCAGCAGGAAGCTCTGCCAGGGGTCCCCGGTGCTCCATGTCAGCAGCCCGACAAAGGTATTGAGCGGCAGCAAAAAAGGATGGCTGTAGGCGAGTGCGCGTGTGATCTGCGGAGGGGTGGCTAGGAGCAGCGGGCTCTTCTGATGGACCAGGACGGTGGATCGCCGGCTGTTCCTGGAGGGAGTCGTCGCCGAGAGCGTGACGGGCGAGAAGGCGGCGTATGTCGGGGGAGGAGTGGCGCCGAGGACGGGGTGCGAGTCGAAGGACGGCGGCGAAGCGCCCAGAGAGGAGTCGTCGCGCGAAGACATTGGCTGGCCAAGCTGTGAGATCCACGGAAGGTCCTGCGAGATGAAGTGCGCCGCAGAGGGCCAGAGGTCAGCAGCAGTCGCAGACGATGTCGCATCAAGAGGAGAACAGGCGCAAGGCACCAGCAGATGGTTCAAGGGGAGACGCGGCCAGGCATCGAGTCTAAGCTTTGCGCAATCAAATCGTGGCGTTGAGAGCTGACAAGAGACACGAGCCAGCTAAGCCGAGGCCTCATGACATCACTCTAACGAGCCCTATTAAAAAAGGTGTGGGATGTCGATCCAATGGCAGGCAGCCTCGCATATGCCAAAACAGGGCAGAGCAGGGAGAGGAAGAGCCAATCTCATCAACAGTGACAGAAGGAAAATAACATGGACGTAGCAATAGGTAGGCCAAATTAAATTGGCATCCAGGGGAGGTGTACCCGAACCAGCGCGCAATGAGTGCACAGGCAAGGATACGAGAGTGCAGTGCTCGACAGGTGCTTCCAACACAACAGACAGACGATAGTGAATACAGCAAACTCACAATGGCAGCCATCTAAGGCAGTTGAACGTTCCGTCACCTCCGCCTGTGGTCGTGCACCCCAGCAGCCCAAAACGTCATTGAACGGCCGCGTGTCTGTCACAAGCAAGCTGAGCCGTGCTGCGCTGCACTCGAACTTATTCTTCACAACAACTTCGGAGCAAAGTGAAAGCATGAAAAGGCAGAATTGAAAAAGAAGAAAAGAAGCCAGAGCACGAGAGAGGGATTAATACCTGCAAGTCTTCCAGGCACAAGCACCGCGAATGGGGGTCAGCAGGGCCGCAATCGTCGCCTCTGCATCTTCTTTCGAGCTGAGCATGACAGCGGCGTGGCCACGTGAGACTGCTGGAGTCGATTTCACATGTAAAATCCTGGGCAGCATTCCCGAAGGGAGTTGTGCAGGGCAGGTAGCGGGTACCTGAATTGCGGTGAGAGGAGTCACTAGACAGGGGTACTGGCTACCTGCCCGTATGGATGCCTACAGCTGGCCGCTGAACGAAGCGTCGCCAGTGCCTTGCAGCGCTCCATTCTCACGCCTGATGCCCCGTAGCTTAGGGAGCAGTTAGCGGCGGCATCAGCTCTGGAGATTGCACTTGGCATGGGTGCCCTAGGACTTGTTCGGCTGACGGCGGGTTCCAAATCCGGGGAAATCCTGGCTGCAGAATGCAGGGTCCGCTGCTATATGTACATTGGCACATTCACGTGAAGCCACAGAAAGAGAAGCATGGCAAGAGTTTGAAAAAACACGTTGATTTTATATTTGATTTGAATGCAGTGTGCTAGCTAGTCAAAGTCCCTGAATAATGTGGTTGACGCCAAAAAGAATGATTCCCATCGTCAGAATGCAGTGGCAGGAGGATGCCATGTCGGTGTTCTCTTGCGAGTAATAGCTGTATTGGTGTATGTCGCGTAGCAGTGCTGCAATGAGCCCAGCTGTTGTTTAATGAGAGCAGTTTGAGCAAGAGCCTGTACAGGAATCCCAATTAGTCAGTTACTCCATCCATGGCTGATTTCAAAGGCGCTGACACATACAGCTAGAGCCACAGTTGCAGTTGGCGGCAGAAGAACAGCCACAGTTTGCGCCAGACATGTTGGATGAAGTAGTGGAAATGGTTATTTGGTAAAAGTAAAAGTAAATGGAGTTTTTGGAATTGGAGATTGATTGATTGACTGTTTGTTTGATGATGATGAAAAAAGAATTCTCTTGTTTCCAGAGAAGTCGCTGGTCTTATATACATGTACCGAGCGCTGCGTTATTTGTGCCGCGCTATTTGTGCTGCGTGGTTTGTGCCGTTGTCAGCTTGCTACAGTAAGCCAAGATGCGTGGTTTGTGCCTGTGGCGGTGGCGGAAACTGCGCATCAGCCTCACTTGAGCCTCTGCTCTATTCCGATCGTTCTAGAAGTCTCCGAGATGCATCTCTATAATCAATCTTGCCATACGATCCATGCTCAGATCATCCATCTAATCTATCTTCGATGATTCCACAAACACTTGAACATCTTATCAATCAGTGATTATGCCCCTCGTGCCCCTCTTCCTCGTCCTCGCCATCCCCTGCCCAATCCGGAAATCCATCCTCAAACAGCTCCTCCAGCATCTCCCTCCTTTTCTCTTCATCCACGCCGTCCCTCCTCATCACCCCCTTCCAGCTCTCATACTCCTCGTCTGTAAGCAAACACGCGTCAAGCATCGCCTCCAAGCCATGGTGATCCAGGCCCTCTCCTATAAACACAATCTCCTGCCGTCTGTCTCCCCACTCCCCTCCTTTGGCAATGTCGTGCTTGACCAAGGCGTCGACATCTTCGCTTCCGGTAGTGTATTCCTCTGCGGGCAAAGTGCAGAACCACGCTCGTCCACCGGTCAGGGTGAGCATGGCGCCGGCTTGGGACCATTCGCCAGCACGATGGGGTCTTGTCGCGAGGAAGTACTCGCCTTTGGAACGGAAGAGCCGAGCGAGAGTTGGGTGAGATCTCTTGTTGGCGAGAATTGTTTCATTTGAGGGCATGACCATGTCGAGATCCATGTTTTTGCTGTCTTTGCTGTCACCATGGAGGGATGGAGTGGTTGCGGGAGTTGAAGGGGTATGAGAGGGGGGTGAAGAGGCATGTGGCTCGGCGATGTCTCCCGTGGAAGAGTTTATGCTTGTGACATCCTCGTAGTCCACCATTTCAGCATCCTCAGTATCTGATCCCTCTTTTTCTTCACCTTCTTCATCATCGTCTTCCTCATCCTCATCTGGATGCTCCATCTGTAGGATAAACTTATCATACACGAGAGCATACAGTTTTCTCGGATGAAATGGCCGATACCGAGTGTAAATGAAGCTCTGAACATTGTACTCTTCCGTCTCAGGCTTGGGAGTCACGACATTTTTACCATTCACCTAGATGGCAGAATATCCAAATTAGTCTTTTTCTGACATATAAGAGACAATTCGCACACGTACCTCGCGAACAGTCATGGCATGCAAGTCCTGCAGCCAGCCATACCCTGCCTGCGCAACTTCGAGATCGAAAAGCCCGGTGCTGACCAGCTCTTTGACGTCCACTTTGCCGTACTTGGACTCCAAGATCTTGGCGCGGTGGTTTAACTGCCTGACGATGTCAAGGATCTTGGTCTTGACTTCATCATTAACCTAGCCAGTCGTTAGCACTCGAACAAATAATTTTGCATAAAGTCCAAGTTCTACCATGTCCATCTTGTTCAGAATAATCACATCAGCAAATTCAATCTGATCGACCATGAGATCTGATACGGTCCTCTCATCCTCTGGTGTAACGTCGTCTCTTCGGCCGGACAGTAAATCCGCCGTGTCAAAGTCATTGAGCATAGTAAAGGCATCAATGACCGTCACTGTAGTATCCAAACGAGCAAACTTGTCCAGTCCACCAGCTTTCTTCCTGCATGAACATTATTAGTATACTTTGATGGATAAAGAGGGGGGAAGAGGGTAGCTTACAATTCACTCAACACCTTGATCATATCCTTGTCCAAGCCAGCCATTCCCTCGCCTTCAGTCATGAGACTCATCTGCTCCGCCAAGCGCGCGTCAAACGTCTCGGCAACCTGTTCTGGCTCGCTAATACCACTGCTCTCGATGATGATGTAGTCGAATTGCTGTAGCTGGGACAAACGCACAAGCTCTTCTAGCAAGTCTCCTCTCAGTGTACAGCAGATACATCCATTTTGGAGCGCAATGACTTTTTCTTCCGTCTTGGTAAGACGATGTGTGCTTTTGATAAGAGAAGCGTCGACATTGATTCTGACAAATATTCAGTACTCTGTGCCTTTTTCCTATTGGCTAAAACCAGGATACTTACGCTCCAATATCATTCACTACGACAGCTATGCGAAGACCATGATCGCTTCGCAAGATATGCTGCAGTAGTGTAGTCTTGCCCGCGCCCTTTAAAAGACAGTTAGTTCACGTAAACCAGGCCATATTGGAGGCAAACGACTCACCAAGAAGCCCGATAAAAGCGTCACTGGTAGAGGTTTAGACGGCACGATTACATCCTTTTTTGCTCTCTTATCCTTATTGCTCTTCGCTTTGGAATTTCGTCGTAGCCCCATTGTGACAAGAAGCGATCAATGAGAATTATTAAGAGTTTTTCGGCCGGCAACAGAAAGGCGTCAAAGGGACGAGACAAGAACATTTGAAAAATTCAACAATAGAAATCTTGGACTACCGCAATATATACTACGAATAATAAGAGAAGAGACGATCTACTGTGAGCCATCAAGGTTGCGAGATCGTTCCATCAAGGTGTTGGTGATAGTGGAGATACCCTCACTTACATGCAGTCATAATATACGCTAGTGTTGCTATTGGACAGCTTCATGCAGCAAGGAATTCGGTCTTCGGTCTTGTCATAATCTAATACTATTGTATTTTCATCAGTGCACCTCCGTGCATGCAAATATCGCTACGCTGCCAATAACGAATGGCTGTATGTGCGTCCCATCAATTTCAAGCAAATGTTGGACACCCAAACTGGCCATATCTACTCCAGTCCGTATACCTGAGCAACTGAACAACTGGAAAAATTCATCAAATCATCCCACAGCGAACCAAAAACTCCACATCGCGCAGGTTTGCTCAGCGATCGCCGACAAGATATGCGTACTATAAAAGCTCAATGCATTCCAAACTCTTTGACACACAGACATATCCACACCTCGCTTCATTTTCACATAATGCAACAATTTCCCGCATTCGCTTGACACTGCTCCAGGTAGCCTGAGTCCTCGGGGCTGCCTTCGGCGACATTGTACTTTCGCACCAGACCTTTGATCGTCAGAGTCTGCTCTCCTCCAGGATGCCACCACTTGAGAAGCTGAAGCAGTGTGCCCTGGCTATTATCAAAATTGATCTCCCATCTGCCGGCTGAGACTGCAACTTCACAGTCCTGCTTGGGGAAGTGATATTCAGGAAGGAATATCACAGTAGGTGTATCGTCGGCTGCGGCCTGAGCAGCTGAAACTTTGATGTTAAAGGTGCATTTACGTAAATCAAAGCCAGAAGAGATTAATTTTCCAGCCACAGTCGTCGGTGTTGGTCGAATAAAGGCTTCTGCAGCACGGTAACCCGGAGCATTTGTCAACTCCGGATTCTTATCGGAGGGAGCAGAGCTGATTGATGGATTTGTAAGTGTCCGTTGAAGGTTCCCTGGAGTTACACCGACTTCTTCCAAACTTTCCGCTGCAACAATAGCAGAGCCACCTTTGACCAAGCTGGAGGTGGATTGGTCAAATGCAGGCTCACTAAGAATGGATGATGTAGCGGGAAGCTTATCATCCACTGAAATGATGGACAAATCTTCACCGTTCCATTGATCTCCTCTTTCATGGTCGTTTGTGCTGGAATAGACCCAGAGGCAGTATCCTTCCATTCCCGATCCTTCAGCCGCAAAGTAATTGGCATCCAATGCCGCGGATTGGCTCGAGTAGTCACCTGTCTTGTATGCCTTCTTGTCGTCCATGTCGTAGGGAATACCAAACTCTGTCATCAGGCAAGGATGGTTGCCCATCCGATCAATACCCTCCTGCCTCAGAGTTGCTAATTGATCCCTTAGGCAGTTTCGAATTGCCGTCTCACCAATTTTGATAGCAAAAGCAGGGTGCCAATATTTCCCTCGCAGGACGCCGACGACATCGACGTTCCAACTGCTGTTCCAATGCTTCGTCATAAGGGTAATACCATCATAGAAGTGCGGTGTGAAAACGAGCTTTGGGTCGTCATCTTCGGTACCCTTGATCTGGGGAGGAAGCTCCAGAGTCGGGTATTGCATCAGCATGATGCAGTCCTTGTGATGATCTCGACAGGATGTTTTGTATCGCCTCCAAAAGTCCATGAAATACGTATTCGTAAATTCCGGATAGTCAATCGTTTTCCCAGTATTAGGATTTTTGGCAAAGTAGTCCTTTCTCAAGATAGTGTCCGTCGAGAGATCCCATACGCCATGTTGTGCCCAGATGCACTCGCCCAACTTCCACCCAGCATCGCGCTTCCATCCGTATCTTGAATCGTCGTATCCTTCGGGCAACCATGCAAATTCGCCGTGCGGATCGACGAGCTTGGTTCCCGTTTTGTACGGCCCGAGTCCTCCCATATCCCATGTTTCGATCTCGCATGCTCTGCCCATTCCCGTGAGAAAAGTCTGCCACATGGTCGGGCAGGTTCCCTTTTTGAGAGGATGCTCTTTTGGAATTACGGTCAAATCAGCGTATCCAGTCATTCCCCTGTTTGGCTCATTCATGCTCTCCCAGCCAATGACAACCTCGTTCTCCAGGTCCCCCGCCTCATGGATACGCTTCGCAAGATGTGCGCATGCATTTATAAAGTGGCTCTGCAGATAATCTTGGATATTCACACCGTCAATGATGCATTTCGGTGCAAAGTCCTTGCCAGCAAAGAAAAGGGTGAATATTGTCCCAGCAGCAAGTCGATAATAGTTGGTAGACCAGATCATTTTGGGGAATTGGTCGGGCTCAGGGTATGTGTTGTGGACGATCGAGGCTTCTGTTGCAGCAAAGCTCTGGGGATTCAGCCCGCAGGCGTAAAGCGTCCACATGGGGGCTCCAGAGCCGCCGGTAAATCGTGACCAGACGTCCTGGTGAGGATCCATGAAGACGTAGAAGCCGTAGGTTTTGGCGATTCTCAGGACCTCAATGGTGTGCTTGATGTATTCTTCGTCGTATATCCCCGGCCCAGCCGCCTCAATGGCCTCCCAGGTAAACAGGTATCGGATTGTGTTGAAGCCAAACCGCTTGATCCTCGCAAAGTGCATCGGGGCATCCTGTCTGGTAAACGGCCGCTCGTGAAACGTCACATTATCGCCGTCGAAGAAGTCGTCGCCTACGTGAGAGGGCTGGTTGGGTTCGCTAGGCAGTTTGGTGTCTCCAGCGACGTTGATGCCGCGGAGAACGACCTGTCGGCCCTGGCCATCGCGGAACTGGCCATCTTCAATTGTCAGGCGAAAGGACGCCATGATTACCTTCCCCAGGCAATGTGAAGCAGTGAAAAGGAATCCACTCCTCAATAGCGACGATGAGAGATAAGAATCAAGCCGGGAAGAGAAGGGCGCAAAAGGCTAGAATGATGACGAAGGATGGTTTTGTTTGCTGGATCTCGCTGCTTGGAGCCCGAGCATGTCACTAACAGATAGCGGTCTCGCTGTCGCCACAGCGGCGCAGAAGAGGCATAGCGCTCACGATTCCGTCTCCACAGCGGGCGCCGCAGCCCGATCTAGTGAGATTCTCCAACTCGGCAGATCCGGCCTTGACGAGCGCGCCCGATGACGATTGCGAATACGAAGATGGAAACTCAATTCTGGTTGCAATCAGTTGTTAAGTTGAGAAACCCAAGGCTGAATCATACCACGTTTGGATATATACGAGATTCATGTTGATGCCTAAACGAGTAAAAAGTTGTTTGGGGTTAGCCATGATCCACCATCTACAGAGGTATATGTAGGTAAGCATCGCTGTGCTGTTCGATTCAATAGCATCTTGGGTATAATTAATTCAGTTTCATGTAACAAGTTATTAGGTACTAATGCCCATCTACTTTCCTCGTTATACACGGCCCAATAAACATTGCTCACGGTCAGAGTCAACATGACGTCTCTTCATCGCTTCATCCCTCTCATTATACCCACCTAGAATCGGTTGCTCACGGGACCAAAGTTGTTTGTTGCCTTCAAATTATATTCACTGGATTGCGCCCTTGCCTCAATTGGGGCAAACTCAAAACTGCGATGCTGGGCCAATTCCACCGCCGCTGGGATTGCTGGTACCTGATAGCGTCCCATAAATTCAGCATTCTGGAAAGGCGTCGAGTCGTCATAGTCTGCTGAGGCTGAGCCCCATGTCATGTCTTCATAGAGCTCCGGCTTAGGCTGCTTGCTTCCAAAGAGACGGCATCGGATCAGCCACGGGAGGTTGTCGAATAGTTGGTACCGCATGAACTTTCTCTTGGAAACAGCAAAGATGTGATCCAGCTCCTCGAGGGTGCGGCGCTTTGTCTCTTCGACCAGCAAAAAGACCAAAACAAAGGCAATGACGTTGAGAATTGCGAAGATGCACAGTGCGCCAGCTGCTTTGACGCCTGTATCAATACTTCGTAACGATCAGCTCAAGTTAATACATTGTTAGACGAAAGTTTTGGACTTACATTGGGAAGGCAATTGACAAGAGACCAGCGAAGCCCAAGTTAATCGCAATTGCCCAAGATGTTCCCTGAGGTACGAGTGGATTAGCTAGATGAAGTGTAAAAAATGATTTGGCGGCGGTAACTGACTGCTTCTCTGTGAGACAAAGGAAAGCTTTCTGACGCGAGAGTAAAAGGGATCGGTCCTAAACCCGGAGAGTACGCTGCTGAAAACACTGTACGGGCATTAGATCGAATCCCAGCAGACACATGGGAAATCATATACGCACTGAATAAGAAGAAAGCAGCAACCCCTATCCTGATGGTCGGATTTTCAATCATGAAAGATAAGCCGGCGCCGAGCATGAACAGCGCCATGAAAGGAAGCGTTACCAGGAGCCATCTGCGTCTGCCCATGGTATCGATACTTCTCACAGCCGGCAGTGCAAACAAGAAGTTGATTGCGCCTATCAGATGGAATCGTTAGTTTGATAGATTATGATGTGAGAGGCTAAGACAGGATTGTTTACCGAAGCCAAGACTATACACCATTGATATCATTTTCGAGTATTCGCCACCAGTCCCAGTGTTGGTAAAGAGGTATCCTATAATTTGTCAATATTCTCAAGGCCAATTTAAGCTTGTTCACTGGCGCGAGAATTACCAGAATAGAAAGCCATAACGTTAACTATAACTGTCAGTATCTTAATTCGCTTAACAAGTCGGGCTCGTTTAGAATTTCTTACTTCCACAAAGCTGTTGGGCCAAATTCACCGTCGAAGCAGATATCAAGGCGTTATACAAACGCCTCTGCTGGAACAGCTGCCTGTACTGTCTGAGGAAATCTCGAATGACCCAAAAGAATCCCGGCGATCGAAACGCGTTGGCGTCTAAGCTCCCTAGACCCATAGACTCATTTTCGAGCGACTTATACACAAGATACATATCCCGTAATGCTTGCAGCTGTGGATCTCAGTTAGCTTTTTACGAACCATGCTGAACGGGATCGAAGACACTACAAACCTCAGTGTTTCGCAGCTTGGCCATGCTTATGAAGGCCTTTTTGACATCATAGTTGGGGCCTTTTGTAAGATGGTATCGAGGAGATTCGGGGCAAAAGAATACGGCGATAATCAGGAGTGCCAGGCTGGGTACCATGGGCGCCGCATTGATAAGAGCCAGTGTTGTTCGTTTCGTTTCAGCCTTTGTGAAGAGAAGATTAAATGCGAAGCCAATCATGATGCCAAACGCGACCCTTTGAGTGTTTTGTCAGCAATTGAGTCGAACGGCAAGTTCAAAAACATTGCGTACCATAGCTGCCACAAAAGGATAGCGGATCCTCGCCAGAATCCAACAGCAGTCTCTCCGGCCAAGATTGGCGTACTGACGGCCTTGATGCCCATGCCTTGATAAATAGTTAGCCTTAAACATGAAAATATTGAACCGAGAAAAACGTACCGATGCCGTTAAATACTCTAACCCCTAGCAGACAATACCAAGATACTGAAAAGGCTGCTGCTATGGAGCTCGCGAAGATCAACATGGCGGCAGCGCAAATGCCTCCACGCCTACCAAACCAGTAATTGATTGGTAGAGCAAGAGGGCAGCCAATACATGCAGCAACAAAGAAAGGAACCGCGTTAACGGCTCCGAATTTCCAATTCACAGTACTGCCGATCCTGACGTGTTCTTCCAGCCCCCACTCTTGTCTATACAACCCAGCACCATTGAAAGATGATTGAACGAAGCCTGTTGGGTAACAGTGACGTTAGAAACGGATATAGGAGATGATGGGAATTCATGTGTCCACCTTGTAATAGAGCGGCAATGGAAACCGTCAGAATGACAATTCGCATGCCTTTTTCACTAAAGGGCACATCCCTTTCACGGCGCAGAGCTCCCTTCTCCTCTTCAGTGAGTTGCACCAAGAGGTCTGACTCGGTATGGTATCCCTCTTTCCTCGCAACTTGATCATACAAACGGGCGTCTTTCGCAACTCGAGCAGCACGTATAAGATCTTCGTATGCGATAGACGGTATGTGGTTCTCTACGAAAGATCGGACGTCCCGTTGCAATTCTTCATCCGTCAGATAGGCTATTGTCTGTTAAAAAAATCTTTCTTTTCGTAGATACTAGCGCCTTTCGCAGTCATACCTAGAGGATTGTCGATGATTGCTTTCTCATTGGAGCGTCTACCTCGCATTTGAAGAGAGAATCGCCCGTCATTGCGAGTCGACGCACGCGTGTTTCGGCCAGATGAGGCCATCACGAAGAGCAGGATATGCAGCAAATCGCACCGATTGTCCAAAAGAGAAATGATGAGATGTTTTTGGCAAAAAAACGATCATGAAGAAGAAAAGACTAGCTATTCTTGTGAATAGACATGGCACCATTTGTGAATATCAAAACGCTCGAGGCACGTAGACGACCGGGCGCCTCATGCATTGCCACCAACTGCATCATGGCGCTCTCGCCGTCGCATGTTTGCACGCCCCAGGTGACACGTCGAAGCAAACTGCATCCTCTCATATCTAGAGTTACTAGAATTTGGAATTTCTGCTTATGATATCGCAAAACAAAGCACATCGCCATCAAAGGCTTGACTAGGATCCCTTCCTGATTTATTTGCGTAATTACAACGCATGGAAAGACTCGAATTCAAAGAAAAGTACCAGTGTTAAAGAACAATACGCTCTGCTTGTGGCCGGGCCATGAAACGATCCGATATTTCTAGCGCAGTTTGGACCTCTATTGTAGTAGTTGGAGGTCTTTTTCTTATCAGACATAACAACTGCGCGGCAATTCGCGCTCTAAGATGGGGCAGGTGACAAACTCCGTTGGTTTGAGACAGACCGAGCTTGGATGAAGGCTGGTTCCATTTTTAGCCTCACACCAGACTACTTACCCAGGTTAGTTGCCTACTACTGTTCAAATCATTTAGTCTGCGCTCGTACCAGAGGCGGACGAGATGGGTGTCACGGATCTATACCTATTTACTTCTCTACAGCCAACAAGTCATACAATACAACTGTGGCTGATTTAGTATGGCGCCAGAGACAAAGTATTGCACGAATGCCGCAAGCGTCTTTGTTAAGAGTAAACTTAGTAGCTTCCTCTTTAGAACACTCTTTGTTTTTCATAGTCTTTGTTTCTTAGAAGAAGAAGGAAAGCTCGATTAGGATGCTTCTAGGAGCACTTATGTCTTGAATGTCGCTTAAAGGCCAAAATCGAATCAAGATACATGTACTCTAGGTGTGCCACAGCCCTATAGTCACCGGCAAACACTGGCAAAGACCCATCGAGAAAAACATAGTACTACATGTACTCTATAACCGGCCTAACATATGTCGTTTACAAGAAATCGCTTGGAATGGCTTGTGAATGATTCAGCACGAAATTGTTACTATAAAGAATTGGTACAGAGGAAACAACATTTAGCTTACCAATACAGATTATAAGTACGGATATCACTTTATGGATGTCTATCATGAGAATAGCTAGCAACATGATTTTCGTTATGTTCTTCTCCCACATGTTTTCAAGTTTCTCCATCCATTTTCTTGCGGGTGGTATGTACTATCTCTTATGCGGCATCTAGTTCTGTGCGCTCATCCTCTGCCTTAGACCAATTATCGTATGCTATCCTATTTTCCGATTAGCTCTCATCGTTAAGTTGAACTATTCAGTAATTTCCCAAATACTAGTTATCCGTTCCAAGTCAGCTAATGCACGTACGTTCTATCAGCGACGAGGCACCTATGACAACGGCCTACATACCCATACCCTAGAAGCAAAACTATGTATGTTTTATTTTTTGCAGCTCCAATCAAATTTTTACATAGTAAATATGTCATAACAAAGCACTGAACAGATATGTGCCTATTGAAATGTTCGGATATTACAATCAGGACTAAGTTTCATCTCTACGTTGCAACGTTATGTTGATTTTTGCACTGGTTCTGTTGCAATCATCACTCTTGTAGCAGGGCGATTGAGGAAATTTCCACCTCCGTAAGCCTTACAGACGCATGAGGCTCACTGAAGGAGCGATTAGAGAGAATTCCCCATAGACTTTTTTAGAACCCCCTTGGCCCACAAGTTGCATGATCTCTTGTTGTTTCATTGGCTGGAAAACTATCCGTGTCTTAGGTGCCCTTCAAGGGATGATTTACTTCATATATTGGTGCTACGGCTAACCCTGGATGTCTCAAACTCATCTTACATCTTCATAGTGACGATTTTCACAATCTTCTCAAGTCATTGCAGTAAGATACACTCTGTTGAGAATATTCCTGTGATATTCATGCTGAAAATAAGGGACGCCAACCTAGGAAGTACAGTACGTAGGCTAGCAAGCGTCATTCCAGTTACTACCTACCCAGGCATTAGTAGAAGGTCTGCACCCAGGTTGTAATAATAATAGTAATAGGCTAGGCCAATTGATCATACATACCATCAATTCAGGCTTTTCCTTTTCTCGATAGTCGCGTAGGAATTCTATATGATTCAAGCTAGGTAGGCATTCCTGTTCGAGGGTTCGGAGTAACGACCGTTACGCCATTTCTCATTCAATCATGATTATTTTTTAAGGTGTGATTGGTAAAGAAACAGAGGGTTGAAACTAGATGGATTGGGCCCGATCAATCTTCCGCGCAATATCTTCAGGCCGTAACACTGAGAGTATACTGTAAGTACTACTATCAAGCATGGCTGAACGCTGTGCTAGGTATATTTTGTTTGCCACCAAAAATCACAATACTAATCAATCCTAGCTCATCTTATAGGACTGCATGTAGACTCTGTTGCAAGAAATATTCAGAGTCAAATAGAAACCAGCATGATTACTTTCCGGTTGGATCCCAAGCTAGACGGATACTAATTGAATTATGCTAGAGATCCTAAAGAGATACTCACTAGAGAATAATTAGCGTAAATGCCGTATAGAAATCTCTGTCATCGTATGATCCGGTGAATGAAGGAATGTAGCTAGTGGGTAAACTCTCGGACCTATTTCCGCCAGGGAAGGCTCATGAGCACATCTGAGACTCAAAGCATTGCTTGATACTGCCGCATACAGCTAATTCACTAATTGTATCTTTCAAACTCACGCTTTTCTAATCTATGCTAGTGTAACGGCCAAGGATATTTGGGAACATGATGTCGTTTAGCCTTTTCCACAATTTTTATAAATATCCTCATGAATCTTCCCAATATCCATCCATATGAGCATCCTTAATGTAAGTTGCCGCCTTCTGCAACCCACCTAATACACTCGTTTCCTACCCAATACATTCTTTTCCCTCCCAATACACTCGTTTAGACATGGCCGTCATCAGCAAATTGCTGCCTGTGGCAGCCGTCTTGTTCGGTTGCGTGAGTCCCGCTACCGCTCTAGCTGTTCCTGAGCCTGCGGACAGATGGGACGTACACTATCATGTTGACCTTGGCTCTCGTTTGACCTCCAAAGGTCTTGCCCCGGTGTAAGTGTTTCAAGGATTTGACGATGTATGTTTTCTCAATCTAACAAATTTGGCAGCCCGGAAGAGGCTGGTAAGAATGCCTCGGCAGTTCTTGCGGAGCGCGGACAGGAAGACGGCGCGGATTGTGACTGTAAAGTTCACACAGTCTACATGACGCAGGAGCATTACGACCAGATTCAGCGTGAGGGTGAAGGACACCCAAGCCCGTCTACTCATAAGAACACTGGTGAGAACGGAAAGTACAGCAAAAATGGCGGAAGTAGAGAGTACAGAGAGAGTGCAAAGCACAGCGAGAATGGTGCAAGTGGAGAGCATAGAGAGGGTGGAAAGTCTGGAGAGAGTGCAAACTATGGCGGGAGTGGAAACTATGGCGGGAGTGGAAACTATGGCGGGAGTGGAAACTATGGCGGGAGTGGAAACTATGGCGGGAGTGGAAACTATGGCGAGAGTGGAAGATACGGAGACAATGGAAACTATGGAAAGATTGGCCATTATGGTGACAGTGGAAACTACAACGACAATGGAAACTACAACGACAGTGGAAACTACAACGACAGTGGAGACTACAACGACAGTGGAGACTACAACGAGAGTGGAAGATACGAAGAGATTGGCCAGGATGGAGAGACTCGCAACTACGGGGAGAGTGGAAAGTCTGGAGAGAATGGAAGACATAACGAGGCTGGAACGCATGGAAAGGGCGGCAACCACGGGGAGAGTGGAAAACGCCGGGAGAACGAAACACACGGAGAGAATGAAACATACGGAGAGAACGGCAACTACGGCAACAAAGGATATTACAGCGAGAATGGAAACCACGGCAAGAATGTGAATGGCACGGCCAGGCACCAAGTCCAACGGGGAGACCAGGGCGATCGAAGACCTGAAGGTCGGTACGGTCCTCAAGGCCCCCAGGGCGATCAAGACCGCCAAGGCTTTTGGGGCCCTAACGGTGGCCATGGTGATCAATGGCCCCAGGTTGACGAAGGACCCCAAGGTCCTCGAGGTCCCAAGGGCGACCAGGGTGATCGAGGGCTTCAAGGTTTGACTGGTCCCCAAGGCCCGCAGGGCAATCGCGGTCCCCAAGGTTTTACAGGCCCGCAGGGCAATCGCGGTCCCCAAGGTTTTACAGGCCTGCAGGGCAATCGTGGTCCCCAAGGTCCTCAGGGTCTGCCTGGCACAGATGGCACAGATGGTGCAGATGGTGCAGATGGAGCTGTAGGCCCTGTAGGCCCTATTGGCCCCATTGGACCTATTGGACTTACTGGTCCCATTGGACCTATTGGTCTCACCGGTCCTGCTGGTGCAGATGGTGCAGATGGTGCAGATGGTGTAGATGGTGCTATAGGCCCTATTGGTCCTATTGGCCCTATTGGTCTTACCGGTCCTGCTGGTCCTGCTGGTGCAGATGGTGCAGATGGCGCAGATGGAGCTGTAGGCCCCATTGGCCCTATTGGCCCCATTGGACCTATTGGTCTTACTGGTCCTGCTGGTGCAGATGGTATAGATGGAGCTATAGGTCCTATTGGTCTTACTGGTCCTATTGGCCCTATTGGACCTATTGGTCTTACTGGTCCTGCTGGTGCAGATGGTATAGATGGAGCTGTAGGCCCTATTGGCCCTATTGGTCCTATTGGTCTTACTGGTCCTATTGGCCCCATTGGACCTATTGGTCTTACTGGTCTTACCGGTCCTGCTGGTGCAGATGGTGTAGATGGAGCTATAGGACCTATTGGCCCTGTTGGCCCCATTGGTCCTATTGGTCTTACTGGTCCTATTGGCCCCATTGGTCTTCCTGGTCTTCCTGGTCTTATTGGCCCTATTGGACCTATTGGTCTTACTGGTCCTGCTGGTGCAGATGGTGTAGATGGAGCTATAGGACCTATTGGCCCTATTGGCCCCATTGGCCCTATTGGTCTTACCGGTCCTGCTGGTGCAGATGGTGTAGATGGAGCTGTAGGACCTATTGGCCCTATTGGCCCTATTGGCCCTATTGGCCTTACCGGTCCTGCTGGTGCAGATGGTGTAGATGGAGCTGTAGGACCTATTGGCCCTATTGGCCCCATTGGCCCTATTGGTCTTACCGGTCCTGCTGGTGCAGATGGTGTAGATGGAGCTATAGGACCTATTGGCCCCATTGGCCCCATTGGTCTTACCGGTCCTGCTGGTGCAGATGGTGCAGATGGTGTAGATGGAGCTGTAGGCCCCATTGGCCCTATTGGCCCCATTGGCCCTATTGGTCTTACCGGTCCTGCTGGTCCTGCTGGTGCAGATGGTGCAGATGGCGCAGATGGAGCTGTAGGCCCCATTGGCCCTATTGGCCCCATTGGCCCCATTGGTCTTACCGGTCCTGCTGGTGCAGATGGTCCTGCTGGTCCTGCTGGTCCTGCTGGTCCTGCTGGTCCTGCTGGTGCGCAAGGCATTCAAGGACTGCCGGCTGGTTCTGCCGATTATGACTATATTGGCTGCTTTACGTCACCCTTGGACGGAACGAATGGCCTGACGACGGCCTTTGCCTCTTTTAATGACATAACGTCTGTTGATGACTGCGCCACTCGGTGCGCTACATTTCGTCCCGGCAACCCTGCCCTGTACTTCACACTGGCAACAGTAGGTGTAAATTCTGTTTGCTCATGCGGAGACGCGATTGTGGCCGATGCCACCACCAACGACGGCCACAATGTATGCAACTCGCAATGCACTTTCCCGGGCCTTAATGGGCGCCCAGTCTTTTGCGGTGGCACAAACTTGGTATCCGTCTTTGCTTCAGTTTAGGTTCAGATCGTCGATAGACTTCAGATGATAGCCGTGGTGACTAGTAGAGGTGTTAGTCTAGGCCAAATACATGTACGATATAAGAGAGAATACAATGTCTTTTGAATGTGTAAAGATGATCGTATTGTGTATGAAAAACCTGTGTGTCTTGGTGGCAAGAAGGATTGAAGTCTGCAGCTTTCTGATCAAACAAACTGCATCGACGTTGCGCGTTGCGATGAGATCACGTGAACGCCCACCAGGCTCGAAGCTTCGTGGAAGAAGACCCAGGCATCAGTACCAAGACTTGCAAGACATATTTGACTTTCTTGATTTGCGGCTATGAATAAAGTCAATTTTCGAACTTTAGTGTGTACTCATATGGTAGGTGTACATGCAATAGCGACTGGAATTAGACGGACTGGAGCCTTTGAAGCGATTCGCGTCTCTGTATAAGGTACAGGTACCTGGTGAGTGACCGGCAAATCTTCGGCTAAGACAGATGGAGCTCGCTTTCTCGCTATAGAACTCTAAGGTAGGCACTGCCCAATACTTAGCACCGTCACTGCTGGCCACAGCTCAGCTTCATTCGTGGAGCATTATCGGGCATGATTATGAATGGGTAGAGCCAGAAACTGTCCTGCTATTCACTCTTTTGTGCTACTTGAAATCACTCCTTGATATTTGCTGCTTTCTGATCGCCTTTGCGGATGTTCGTTTGACCCTGGTCGTTTCTGGAAGACGTCAGGCATCATGTCGAGCAAGGCGGCTCTGAAGGCCATCAACGAGGCAGTCCGCCAACAAAAGTTTGACGAAGCAATTGAAAAGGCCCAGGAATTCTTGAAAAAGGAGCCTAAAAACCACCAGGGGTACGATAGATCTTCTGACTAGCAGCATATTGGCCTCCCCGATTGCTAACTGCCTCGCTAGACACATTTTCTTGGCTTTTGCATTGGATAAGCAGAATAAGTATGATGAAGCTGAATCCACATACAAATCAGCAGCTTCACTGCGCCCTCAAGATGCTCAGGCTTGGCAGGGCCTGATCAAACTGTACGAGAAGCAGTCGACCAAGAAGCTGAGAGAATACCAAGATGCAGTAGTCCATCTGGCCCCTATCTTCCATCAGGCGGAAGAGCTGTACAAATGCCAGGAACTTGTTGATAAATATATTGACTTTGTACGAGTTCAAGGGGATCAAGTGCAGTATGCCGATGCCCTGTGGATCAGGCTTCCCGAGAGCCCCCTCTACCCAATATTAGAAGGCTATTTCCCTCATCCTGCCAAGACTTATGAAAGCATTGCTCATATCATCGAAACGTTTGAGAAGAAGCGTATCAATACGCTCATCGGAGAACGGCGGACTAGACTGGGCGCGAAACTGAGTGAAGTCACTTTGGAAGTGAAGCGGGAAGTCTACAGCCAAAGCAAGTTGGAACACATTTATCGACAGCTCATCAATTGGACAACGGACGATGACCTAAGGCGGACTTATGAGGAAAAATTGCTTCAGTATTGCCACGATCGTGTTGCTGTATTGCCTGCTGGGCCAGCCAAAGTTGAGGAGCAAGAGAAGGTTCTTGGATTGGCGAATGACATGGTTGTCATCAAGCACCCCTTTCGGCTTGCTTGGGATATTGCCATCAATTGGCAAGACAAGAAGGAGATTCGCGATTACGACGTGGAACTTCTCAGAAGATACTGCAATTTCTTTCCAGAGAGCGATTTGTACAAGATTATCACTGCATACCTGACAAGCGACTTTTCTCCTTTCGCAGCTCCTCCAGCAGAGAAGGCGCAGACTCCCGCACCTGTTGAGGGAGAAACTTCTGAAGATAGCGACGAAGACGATGGCGGCGTGCCGACCTTTGTGGTCCCACTAACTGAAGAAGAGCGGCTACTAATGATGACTGATGGCATCACCAGTTCTGACTCTGTCTTTGGCTATAGATTAGCGGGGCAGTACTTTCTGCGATCCGGAGAATACGAGACTACCGTGGAATTGATGCGCAAGGCTATCCCATACCTCAACAAACAGAAGCAGAAAATCGGATTGGCATATGAAAACACAGAGGATGCATGTTCCATCTGTCTGGCAACTGCCCTCATCTACTACCAGTCTCCAAGGCATCATCAAGAAGCCAAAAGCTTGTTTGATAAGATTTTGGAGCACGACAAGAGTTCAACTCCCGCTCTGATTGGCGTCGGACTCATATTCGAAGAGGAAGAAGAGTATGAAGAAGCAATTGACTTTCTTAGTCGTGCACTGGCTCGAGATGCTTCAAATCTCCAAGTCAAATCGGAAGCTGCTTGGGTCAAAGCTCTTAAGGGAGATTGGCAAACAGCTCGGGGTGAGCTGCAAGAGTGCCTAGGGCCCTTGGAAAAGCAGGGTAGTACGGCCAAAGAGCTGTTGGCTGATACCCAGTACCGAATCGGAATGTGCATTTGGAACTTGGAGACTGACAAACAGGCCCGAAAGCGGAGGAAGGGTGATTGCGCCTATGCCTACTGGCTAAGCGCTCTGAGCAACAACTTGAATCATGCCTCAACATATACTAGCTTGGGCATATTTTACAGCGACTACGCCAAAGACAAGAAGCGGGCACGACGGTGCTTCCAGAAAGCCTTGGAATTATCATCATCAGAAGTCACGGCTGCTGAACGTTTGGCGCGCTCTTTTGCAGATGATGGTGATTGGGACCGCGTGGAATTGGTTGCTCAGCGGATCGTTGACTCCGGCAAGGTGAAGCCTCCTCCAGGATCGAAACGAAAGGGAATCAGTTGGCCGTTCGCGGCGCTAGGCGTTGCAGAGTTGAACAAGCAAGAATTCCACAAGTCAATTGTGTCTTTCCAGGCAGCCCTCCGAATCTCACCAAACGATTACCACTCATGGGTTGGACTTGGTGAAAGCTATCACAGCTCTGGTCGCTACATTGCAGCGACTAAAGCCATTCTCAACGCTAAGAAGCTGGAGGAAGACTCGAAAGAAGATGTCTCTGGCGACACTTGGTTTACGAATTACATGCTTGCAAATATCAAGCGCGAATTGGGCGAGTTTGACGAATCCATTACGCTTTATCAAGTTGTCCTAGAGACACACGGTGAAGAGGAAGGAGTGGTTCTTGCACTTATGCAAACAATGGTGGATAATGCTGTTACCAGTGTGGATAAGGGCCTGTTTGGAAAAGCCATTCATCTTGCTATAGACGTCATCAAGTTTGCTGCAGAGAAGAGTGGCAGTGTTTTGGACACTTTTAATTTTTGGAAGAGCGTTGCCGAGGCTTGCTCTATCTTTACTTCAGTCCAGAGCCGAGTGCTGGATTTTCCTCTGGATTGTATCAAGCCCCTGTTGGAATCGAGGCCCCAGGAGGCCTTTGATGTGCTGTCTATTGTCGACAGAGTTGGCACCGACATCGTTTACAAAAAAGTCGCCACGGATGAACACTTTGGTCCCGAGCTCGCGATGTGCTTGCATGCAGCTATTCTGAGTTACAAACAGGCCATCCATGTCTCGTTGAACGATATCCACGCTCAAGCTGTGGCCTACTATAACCTTGGATGGGCCGAGTATCGAGCTCACACTTGCCTGCCGTCTCATTTGCGGAAAAAGGCAAATCAATTTATCAGGGCTGCTGTTAGAGCTTTCAAGCGCTCAATTGAGCTGGAGGCCAGCAATGCAGACTTCTGGAACGCCTTGGGAGTGGTAACAAGCGATATCAACGCAGAAATATCGCAGCACGCCTTTGTTCGAAGCTTGCATTTGAATGAGCGTAGTCCTGTGTCGTGGACAAACCTGGGGACTTTGGCACTGCTTTCGGGTGATGTCAAGCTTGCCAATGAGAATTTTACGAGGGCTCAGTCAAATGATCCGGATTATGCGCATGCCTGGCTTGGTCAAGGATTCGTGGCGCTGCTCTGTGGTGAGGCAAAGGAAGCCAGGGGACTTTTTACGCATGCCATGGAAATTTCAGAATCGTCGTCACTGCCTGCACGCCGTCACTATTCATCCTCGCTGTTTGACCACATTTTGACGGCTCCGCTCAACTTGAATGTGGCATCGTTAATTCAGCCCCTCTTTGCTGTTAATCAAGTCCAGAGCTTACGCCCTGATGATTTAACATTCTTGCATCTTGGCACCCTTTTACAAGAGCGCACGGGTGAACACTCTCGCGCCGTCAAGACTCTTGAGAAGATTTGCGCAAAGGTGGAAACTGACTACGAAAAGACAGAGTCTGCGGATGACCTCGCAAGATTTACATTAGCTAGAATCGATCTTGCACGGGCACTTCTCGCCTCTGAACTCTATGAGCAGGCCGTTGAATGCGGTGAAATGGCACTGCAGCTGAGTGGCGAAGAGAATGAGAATGAGTTGACGAGTGAGCAACGCAAGAAGGCCAGGCTGTCGGCTCATTTGACTGTTGGCCTGGCTCAATACTTTTTGAAGAACTATAGTGAGGCAGAAAAGTGTTTTGAGTCAGCCTTGGAAGAATCAGACAACAGCCCCGATGCCACCTGCTTGCTAGCTCAAGTACTGTGGGCACAGGGCACTGACGATGCAAAGGAAAAGGCTCGCGGTGCTCTCTTCGAAGTCATTGAATCACATCCTAACCATGTACAAAGCGTGCTGCTCTTGGGAGTGATTGCTCTGCTGGATCAAGACGAAGCAAGCTTGGAAGCCGTAGTTGAAGAGCTCCAAGGCCTCCGAACCAACGACAAGGTCACCGCCACAGAACAGTCTCGCATTGGCCAAGTTTTGCGAGCCGTGGCCACTTTTGGTAAAGGCAGGACTGAACAAGATAAGATCTCTCAAGTCCAGAACGACATCATGCTCTTCCCCCATCTCCCGCATGGCTGGTCCTCTCTTGCCGAGGCGGTGGGCGAAGACGGTGACTATGCTGCCCAGGTGTCGCTGAAGGTTGCCGCAAGGGGCATTCCACCGCGGGGAGAGCTGGAAGCCCAGGACTTGGCCAAGGCGTATTCGTGCACGGGCAGGGTCGCAGATGCGCAGAAGGCAGCCTTTTTGGCGCCGTGGGAAGTGTCTGGATGGAATGCTTTAGAAGCCGGTGTTGAGGGTATTTGAATGGTATGCGTATAGAGGACAGATTATGACGAGTATTGTGTCAGAGTCTGTGAAGAAAACGACTGTTCACAGATGAATGTAATACAAGGGAAGGGCATTTGTACGGCACTACGATGTGTACTTACCGTACAGATTCTTGATATATTCTAGCAAAGAAGATACAAAACAAAATAGAAAGGGGGTATCACAAAACAGTTTGGTCTCCGGATCCAATCCAGGTCCTCATCGCGGCCGGTCAGCTCCCACACTCTCCTTCAGTCTCGCCAGTCTGCCCTCCATCCACGTCTCGTGCCATGCATCAATCTTGCCTCCCAGCAGCGTGCACGTCTCCGGCGTCAGAAGCACCGTTCCTCTGGCCACGACAGCTCCAGCCTTGAGCAACATCTTCTCCCCAATGTGCGTCTTAATAATCCCAATGCCGTTTATGCGCTTCAGTTCCACGGCAAAGACTCGTTTGCCCTGTCTATCCTGCAGCACTAACCGATGCACAGCGTTTGCTCCCCCCGTAGTTGTAGCAGCAGCAGCAGCAGCAGCAGCAGCCGGACGAGATGCCTGAGTCTGTTGTGTCGTAGAAGTATCTGCCTCGTTATCGCCGTCCTCAGGGGCAACCACGCGAATGACTTGTCTCCCGCGCGTGCGCTCCCCGCGCTCAATGGCCTCGAGCTCTTCGACCTGCTCCCAGCGGCTGAGGCTCAGATTCTCAATGTCGACGACTTGAACGTGGGTGTTTTGCGCGAGTCTCGTCTCCTTAACGGTTGCTGCATCGATGTTTGCTGGGAAAACGGGTGCTGAAGGGTCGATGATGGCAGAGGTGGATGTGTTTGTCAGGTCGGATGCGAGAAGACGGGCTTTGGCGGTTGCGAGGAGGGATGGGATTGGTGGGGGAGGCGAGCGGGCGGTTGTGAGGGTTGTGAGGAAGGATTGGGATGGAGGAGGGAGGGAGTGGGCGAGGATGGCTCTTTGGAGCTGGGGGATGAGGTCCATTGGGTTGTTTGTTTTGGTGGGACTTGGGTTTGTCGATTGTGGAGGGATAGGAGTTGAAGAGGTTGAAGCTTGTGAAGTTTCCAGAAATGACGTACGGGGGGTTGATTAGTGGGCGGGAGGCTACGCTGGACCCCTGTAATAGCTTGACTGGCAGCTGGGTGGGCGCTAAAGGACATGGCGTTGGGGCTTTCTCTTACGGACTACATGGACTTATAAGCAGTCTGGTATGTAGGTAATATCTCTGTCTGCTATTTATAGGTTTATGGAAAATCATCAAGTTACATCGCTCTCGCTTTCTTGGGGGATTTGATTGAGTCATCAATATCCTCAGAATCTCTCCTCAGTGCTAATTTCCTTCTCTCATTGTCTCGTGCATAGCTTGTTTAATGACGGTGTTGAAGCTTCGTGTTGCCTGATTCATGAGTTGTTCTTTAAACCACTCGATATAGTGGCGTATCTGGTTCATTCCTTATCATTGCTTTATTCCAACCATGTTCCCCTTGATAAAATTCGTAGGATGATTTCTCCGAAGGTTACGCTGTCTGTGCTGGCTGGACTGTTTGGTCCCCGTATGTGCTCTCTTGGCAGCTTTCATTGTTCAGTCAATTCATAACTAATGAGTCTCTTATGAGCCGGAAGGAAATCAAGCCCTGAACCCGCGTGGCAGCACTGGAAATTTCATGTCTCAATATAGACAACGTGATACTACTATATTCGATCTAAGAAAGGCATGTTAGCATCCAATATCCTTGTTGGCCGGGTATCTGTGAGATAAATTACCAAGTAGCCACTTGTAACAAGCCTCCAGTAACCGGCCATGCGTCCTCTGCTGCCTCTGCCTCCATTGAATTGTATATAGTTGAGCAAAGCTGCGAAGCAGATTTGCGTAGGTGCTAACCAGAGAAAGTCGCACTTGCAGCTTTGCTCTAATAAGCATGATCCAAGGGCATCACAATGGCTGTTTTGCTTCTCTGGGCCCAAATCTAGCGTTTTCCATGCTTAAATAATCACCATTACCAACAACTTCAAGAATTTGGGGTGGTTGGTCTTCATCAACGGCTTTGTACGGCCGTTCGCAGTCATACCGGTTGTTCCGATCTCACGAAACGCAAATCAAGAGATTGTTGTTTATCCACCTGTAGCGAATATCGTTGTGCCTAGTCCTCGCAGCGTTGTTTTTGCTCAGGGCTGTGGTTTGGGCATTCTGACTATCCGTGAATGGTATCGTTGCTTCCTGTTTCTCATTTCTAGATCCGTCATTAAGTTCCTAATCTAGATAGCTGACGGTTTATCCATAGATTCATGTATTCCGTTTCGGTCGGACCCGCTCCGACGATTGTCTGTTTCTTCGACTTCCAATGAGTGAGGCCATCGCAACAAACACAAGTCCGAAAGATATTATAACAGATTGGCACGACTGAAATGATCGTCGACGGCACTCACGAAGCCAGTAGTGAAGATGGAAGAGATTGAGACACTGGATGCGAGGAGGGTGAGGAGACTGACTGAAAAGTCGGCTGCTTAGGAGGTGCTCGTTTCAAAAGAGGTCTCGCAAGCTTGGCTGTCTTGCAGAAGCGGCTGAGGTTGCACAGCACAGCATAGAAAGAGGAGAGAGGTCAAGTTCGGCGGGAAAATTGGATTATCTGTATTGGTTGTGTGATCGAATCTCGCCGTATTACGCCGTTCACGCCAGTGTTGATTCGGCGCCTGGGACCCATCCCTCCGCAACCGCCTCGATCTCGCTCTTGTTGCATTTATCGGAATAGTCGGGGTTCGAGGTGATGAACTTCTCCAGGGCACTATATAAATGTCCTAAGAGTATGAGTTCGTCGCCGTACTTGTCTCGTGGCACTCTCGCTCGTGAGCATCTGTTCACTTGGTGGCCGAAATGCTCCCTAAGGATCTCGTGGGCGACAAGCAATCTCTGCTGGTCACTGATCTTCTCGTGCAACTTGATGCGGTTTCAACCTCTGTACGGGACGTTCTGGATATAAAGCAAGATCTGGATATCGCGAGTCTGCTGATAATCCATTTGTGTCGAGTACCAAAGCGCCTGCCCAATTGCAACACCAACAGATATATATCTTCCTTTTTAGACCGTTCGCTCTACTAGTATAGCGCGGCGACTTGAATAGGGTAAGTCTCCGCCATCTTGGCGTGATGTATAACGAGGTGGAACCATATAAGCGACTATCTTCGTTGTTGGCTCTTGCGGCGGCCTCCTACAGGACTGGCAAACTTTTGCTCCCTGTCGATTGACCATGGAGTTTGATCGTCCAAAACCAACCAAAGCACACCATCCGCACAACTGCTCCCGCCTCCTCTTTATCTTGAAGCAGCCGTCCACGTGTGTGGCCGCCTAGTTCCAGCATGTGTGTGGTGTGGAAGTCAAAATCAATGTCAGTCGGTAGTTCTTTTGAGTGCTTTGAGCGCTCGGACTCGCTCGGCTCGGGTTGCGCAACGTCACGGCCGGTGGAAATAGCCAGTTCACCCTCGTCGCTGAAAAAGATGTTCGAAGTAGTCGTTTCATCCCAGTCTAGGCTACCAGCCATTTGGGAGGGGTTGAAGCTGCCTAGGGCGGCATCTTACAGCTTTGGTTTGCGAGAGCGGAGATGGAGAAAGCGGCAAACTGCTTTCGATCCGTAGATCAGAGAAGTGTTGGCGCGGGAAGAAGAAAGAAGATAAGTTATTGGCTTCTTCTGCCTCTTCCTAGGGCATAGAAAGCCTAGGGCTGTGCTGTTTGGGGGAATTCGTGGAAGAGAACGAGCCGCTGAGCTGTTTGTGCCTGTTCAAAACGGATTGCTGTGGAGCGATCTGAATGGATGTTATACTCCAGCAATTCCATTGGTCGATGAGCAATTGCAAATCCTCTGTTGAATCGATTGTCTTTGTCTGCAGATCTGTGTTTGTACAGTTGGCCTTCGACTGATAATACGAGTTAAGCTTCTTCATCGTTCCTTATGCATATCCTTAATGACATAACCGCGGACCTTAACGCGAGATTCGCCTTTCGCATATGCCAGGAGTGCTCTGCCATTTCTATAAAAGAAGAAGGGCCTGCAACTTATACGCCGTCCCGTACTAATCGCTTTTCAGCGTTGGCGACTTGCGAGGCTCTTGCTCAAAGTGTAACTGCCACCATATACCTTCACCAGCTTTAGACTCTATGTGAGCTGGTGTAGCAGTGAGAAGGCGCTGTAAGAATATCAACTAGATAAACTCGCTCCAAAGGATGAATGTACATCTGTAGTATAGAGATGATCCCGTATCGACGAAGATCGACCCCATCTAGGTCAATATATATTGATGGTATGTCAAGCGGTAGTCCTTGGAGATATTCAATCATCTTGGCCACGTCCGGAGCGATATCGATGAGTGTTGGATAGGAGAATCAGCTCCTTTGAGTTAATGTAGTGGTTGATTCCAATATATCCGCATCTTGGCTATTAACGTATGCTTCTATAATCGTGTTGTCTAGTTGAGCAAAGCTATTCCTTCCAACCTCAACTGAAACCCTGCTAGTACCGATATCAAAGTATCGAATAGGCAGTTGTTGAGAGTAAGAGGTGATGTTAGGAAGCCGTAGTCCTCAGTGAAGGCAAGGCTGCTGACCAGAAACATCCGAATGTGCACATTATTCTTCTTCAGCCTGCTGATCATTGTGTCAGCCAAGCGAGTTACATTGTCTTTGTGTACGGCGTTTGCCAAGTAGAAGGTGTGTCTGTTGATCGCCTTGTGGTTGTAAATATATTCGCTCACTGTTGAGATCTCTGGGGGTCTCAACTCTCCAGATGGAGTTTGCCTGACTGTCAGTGCCATTGCCTTTGTGGTAAGATGGCTCTCGTCACATAGTTCCCATCTTTTCAGCTGCTGGATGCATACCCTCAGTAGGATAAATCGGGTCTAGTCTGCATCTTGCTGAAAATTTCAGGTCACTCCATCAGCTCCATTGGCCTCGATAGGAATTGGAAGTCGGTCATTGTTTTTTTTTTTTTTGTTTTTGGCCTCTCATATTTCGCAGAGGGCCCCAGTAGGCTAAGTCGTTTAGGTTCATCGTCAATGACTCGTTTGGCGGTCATATGCGGGTATGTGGTCTCGTTTGCAAGTTAGGGGATAAAGAGTTTGAAATCAGAGGGTTGTAGAGGCAACTGAGAATGTATACTTCTCGCATCGCGGAGAATATGGGCAATGGGACCGTGATATTGATACTGTTGTCTTCTGTGCTGAAGCATTTGAACGTGGACATGTACCCAAGCGATGTTACACTCTCGACATTTGTGGATGCCAGTTGCTCCAGCCCACGATCGGTAGCCTCGCGCCTTGACATATATAGCCATGTCTCTCGGTAAGGGATTGACCTCTGCAAGATGGACTAGACAGTGGCAAAAGGACTTTGTTCTCGGGATTTCGTTGGTTTGCCCGCTTCATCTTCAACGATGAGGTTAGGATCTAGTACTTTTGGATCGTTCGAGATATGGCAGGACAAGCATTGCCACCGGAATACCCATAGAACGTCTGCTGCTCGTACGGATTCCTCCTATTCCTCCATGAACCTTGTAACTTGTGCTCTAGTTTTCATAAGGTTGTATCAAAATGTCACTGGGTCGCTTATGCTCTAATCCGATTTGTGAACATAAACTGTTGCAAATCGAGATCATCCAGAATTCGTATGTCGCATGGCGGCAATGTATGGCGTGATAAGCAAAATTTTGAGTGTGTGGGCGTTACCGGAGCGTTCAGTATATACCAGTAACACCAGTGCTCTCATGTGCAAATAAATGATTGTGTATCAAAGCCGCAACAATAGTTTGTTGCTTGTTTCATCAAGGAATCGATCCTGGTAACTGCCCTGACTTTACCCTTTCTTGAAACTCGTTCCGTGCTGCTGGCTCTTGGCGATTGTAGCTATTCGTGGAAGCTTCTTGCGTAGAATCAAGCTCCATGGCGCTGTCGAGTTTCCGTTTTCTCGATAAAACTCTCTTGAGCTTGCCGCTGGTGTAGCCTTTCATTGCCAATCGACTACAAAGAACGCATGCCGCAATTTGTCTAGTAAGTCGAAATTGCACATCAAGACGTTGAGAAATGGACCATAGACGAGATAGGCGATGCGTGCGCGCCTCTCTTTGCGTAGCAAACAGATAACGTACTTTTCTCAAACCAAATTTGACGCAAGGCTCCATTGTTACATCTGCCAACTCTGCCCGACGGGTCATCCCATTAGCGCGAGAGACATCATGACTGTCTTCATCTGGTGGCACTCGTTCATCGTGGCATGATGGCGTCTTTGAGGTCGGTGTTAATAATTGACTGTCCCGTTCATAGTTTTTCGTATGGCGAAAGGGATAAAGCCCAACTGCCGGACATTGGCCATACAGATAGTGGCGTATCCTGTCAGTTGTCCAATGAGAAAGTCGGCATATATAAGCCAGAAATAGGTTCTCAATGGTGTAGAAGGTCGGCCTTCATCCTGTGCCTGCATAGCCGCTTTTGTTTCCTGTTGACCAAGGTCGCGAAGCCAAAATCGGCATCGTACAATCTCAGGCTTGAGAAGGAAAGCTAGGAAGGCACAAATTTCAACTTCGTATGAGTTTCGTTGAGTTGATCCCATATGCTCCAAGCTCCCTTTTAATGGTATATCAAAAGAAAAGGATAGGGGAGTATTCTGATACGGTCTTCGTGCGCTTTTCGTATGATTTGAATCATCATACAAAGCCAGTCATGCCCTTTGGGGCAACATTGAAATCTGGATATAATGCCATTGCCCCCAATGGCGATATCCTTTGCGATGCTTTGAGCTGTTTCTGTTGCCGGCAGCCAACCATGATCAGGACTTTGTCAAGCGGAGTAGCAGAACGATGATATTTCCTGCTTTGCCTTGACTTGGCTTGCCCCATCCATATCTTGGCCAAATTTGTGTAAACCGTATAGTTTTCCACATCTTCCATAGACTACTCAGTCTGTGACGTCCGAGCCTTGAGTGGGTTTTTGACCCACGCAAAGATGTCAAGGTCTACTTGCTGGAATCGTGGTTTGAATCCCAGCGCCTGGTATGTATTTCGTATTTCCTCTCGCAGATATCCATCTTGCCTAGCATCTCTAGCTGCCTAGGCCATTGCCATTCTCTTATCGTTAATAGGCTGCTGCATTGTCATGGACCCCAAGATGGTAAATGTCATGCGAAAATAGAAGAGGTATGTCGAATCAAAAAGTTTCCATAGCATTTCGAAAAGGTGTTCCACCATCTATAACGGATATACTCTTGTAGTCTAAAGTGGCGAAGTATGCATTTTTACTTCCTTGGTCTGTCTTGCAGATATACTTTGTCCGCGCGTGCTGTTCCTAACGGATCCGTGGATTGTTGGTTGGACAGAGGAGCGACTATGAAACCCTGGGTCTGCTGTAAAAGAAAATCGTCGATATGGCGATGCTCTCGCCTCAAATACCATCTCAAAAGGCGTGTATGTCGTTTAGTCTATCCCAATAGGCAAACCGCTGTTCTGGTGCCCTGAGTGGTTGATGTCGGCTTCAAATCCTGCCGTAGACGTTCAACCATCCATGTCAAGATATGACAGTATAAGTTTGCGACGCTTGAGCCAGTGGAATTGGACGATAATAAGCCTATTTGCACAATGGCTTCAAAGTCATTATGCCATTTCCATACCACCAATGTAATGCGTCGGTAGACGTGATTCGTTTTGTCGAAGCAATGTTGTTGGAGTATTGATGCGTCACATCCGCAAGTAGATCAAGGTATGCCCAGTCTGTATTGGCATGTTGTAAAGATCAACAAGGTCCAGATGTGTGCGCCTTCTGGATCTGTATGATAAAGGAGCAGATGTTGATATATTCAACTCGCAATACACCAATATCAGATGAGAAACACAAGTATTCCATGTATATTTCGAGTACGTACTGGCCAGCTTAGAAGCGTTATTCTTCCGGCTGCGTTTTGTGTTAACCCATGGCTTCTTTAATAACAGAAGACCCTGTAAGATGTCGGTATGTCTAATTCATGGATATGATGAAAGGTCAAGATGAAATGAGTCCATCTATGCCAGTTGATCGGCCTTTTATAGTAGGTTGGCCTTCGGGTGTGCGCATCTCGTGTATGCATGCCGCCGTTTCACTCAGATGACTTTAGGGTCTTCACCCTTGTGATACGAGGCCAAATTCAGGTGGTATTGAATAAATAAAGATGATAGAATGATGAGAAAGAGGAATCATTGGGATTTTACGACGGAGCTTGTTTACGTCAAGCGGCGTGAGGGCGTTTTGGCTTGCCTCTATGCACTTACACCGGCGCACCCAAAGCAAATGTAGATGAAGATAGACATCAGCGGATATAGACGGTGTTGAGATAAAGGAAAAAAGGCACATGTACCTATTAGGCCTTCGGCGATTAATTAATTAGCCCATCATAATCTGTAGGAGGTTATGAGATGTTTCGCCAACTGGTCAATTAGCGATACTGGCTGTCCGCTTACATCAAGTATTCTGTCTAACATCTAAAGTGGCGTGGGCACTTGAAGCCACTATAATCCTAGCACACCCCAGGCCTTTTTAGCGCCACTAGCCAGGTCCCTGCGAGGCTGTGTTGTCACCTCCTTCAGGCCTTCAGCCTCATCTCTCATCTCTTGTCCTCTCACACTCTCCAACATCACCACCAGCTTCAGCCCTCACCATGTCCACCATTGCCTCTTCCCGCAACCCTCCCGCTCCGCTGCGCCGCACGCCCTCCGGCACGCCCACGTCGTCCGCCCGTCCCTCGTCCGACATCTCTCGGTCAACCGTGACGTCTCCCGTCCTTGGCGCATCTCAGCCTCCCACAGGTGCCAAACGCTCCAGCAACCGAGCTGCCCTCCGCGAATACTACAACCTCCGTGCAGCTGCGGCTGCTGGCTCTTCTCCTACAACTCCGCGCATCATTGAGGCCTCTGATTCGGAAGTGCCCGCAAGCGAGATTGACGCGCCAGACTTCAACTTGGATGAATACCTTCAGAGGATCGTTGCAGAGAGCAGCTTACAGGATCTATTAAAGCTCTACACGAGAGTGCTGGGTGAAGTTAGAGCATTGGACGCAGAGAAGAAGGCTCTCGTATATGACAACTACAGCAAACTCATCACCGCAACGGAAACAATTCGAAAGGTAGGTATTTTTATTTGTACGATGCGACAAGAGGTTATAGGATTATAACAGCTAACCAATTCACCTTCCTTCGATATCTAGATGCGAGCGAGTATGGATCCCCTGAATCCCATGGCTACAACACTCGACCCAGCCATTGCACACATCTACAGCCAAGCTTCAGCCATACAAGAGTCAATGCGGAAATCGGTGCCTTCCCCGGATTCAGAGGAGGGCAAGACTCGGGAAGCACAACAGCAACGCCAACGAACGAGACAGCTGGCCATTGAAGTGCTTGCCACTCCGGAGAGGCTGCAAGCCCTGGTGAAGGAGGGCAGATTTGAGGAGGCGAGAAGACAGTGGGAGATGCCACGGAAATTGCTGGAGGCTTGGAAGGAGAAGGGAGTGGGCGGAGACGACGTACAGGCATGCATTGACGAAGGCGATGCAGCCATTGCTTTGACGCGAACGAGATCGCCAGTACCGGAAGCAAGGGCGCCAAACGACGGGCGGCGATATGGCCCATTGCAATCTAACATGCCACCTGCCATGAAGCAATGATTACCGGGTGCTCTTGAATCTATGCGGCGAGCCCAGTCTATCTGGCGCCGTATACCAAATCCTCCATACCAACTACTGGAGAGAGGCATTCTCAGTCCTCTTCCAAGGTGCCCACATCCAATATCCTGAACGGATCTGAGTCAAACTCGCTCAATAGGACCTCTGTCTCTGGCTCAACTTCTCTCAGAAGCGCTTCCAAGCTTGGTTTCAACACTTCTCGGAGGTAGCCTCTCTCTGAATTGCTGTGGAATACCTGGATCAGGGTTCTGCCTTGCTGAATGGCCCTGAGAGCAGAGTGATGACTCGTTTCGCCCATGACGAGCAAATCTACATCTGCTGACTTGAGGACGTCATACCCGCTTCCAGCACAGACACCAAAGCTACGCACCGTAGTGGATTTGATGTCGGAACCAACGGGAGAAGCAACCATGATGTGCTTCAGTCCTCCTAGCTTGATGGCCAATCTCTTGATAATCTCCGCTAGAGACACGCCGCCATTCTCAAATCGCCCTATGCTACCATATCCGGCCGGAGAATGGGTTTCAGGAGCCGTGGCGCAGGGGATAGCAACGGAACGAGTGCTCTTGTGAGGGCCTGAAACAATATCGGCGAGCCATGTGTTGAGACCCTTTGGTGCGGCGTCCACAGCGGTATGTGGGCAGTAGACTGCAATACCAGCTCTGACGAGCTGTAATAGGGTAGCTTGTTGAGGGTCGTTGTTTGTAATGGACTTGAGGCCGGAAAAGATGAAGGGATCTGGTTTGTAAGGGGCGCATTAGCATGATTGACGGATATATCGAAGTAACTGGGAGGGGAGAATAGGAGAATAAACATACGATAACTGACAATGACGCTGACACCTTGGCCAATGGCATCAACAGCAACCTGAAAAGTGAGATCGTTTGTCACCATGACCGTCGGCTGGCGTTTCTTTGCGTCGTCGTCGGAATTGTCAATCAGCAGCCCGACATTGTCCCACTTTCGATCGGCAAGCTCCTCGGGGTATCTGTAGCATCAACTGTTAGACGAGCCCTTCTCGATAGCTAGCCAAAAGATGGCGTTGAGCCTGTGCCAACGTACAGCGTCCTCATGGCGTCTACAACCTGCTGCGTAAACTTGGACGGCCCAGCCTGCCATGCGCCCCATGCGCCAACGCCATCGGAGTAATCGGTCATGGCGTTATTATCGAGATACTTGCTCGTGGTAGAAATGGTTCGTCGCGATAGAGGACCGGTCGACGAGAGGATGGCAGTGGAATGTTGCTGAGAGGCTGCGATTAAGAGAGAAGCGAGCTGCGAGGATGCTAAGCGGGGAGACGCTGTTCGTAGTGCTGGCGATAAGCTATTGCGGAAGAGTCTCGCCAATACCATAGCAAGTCTTAAAACAATAATCGATGAAGGAAAAGAGAAAGCAGAAGAGATACAAAGAGGATTAGTTGATGGTTGTAAAGATCCAGACAAGCCCAGACTATTGGCCGAGATCAGCCCCTCCACCTCAAAAGCAAGCTCAGCTAAGCTTCTTTTCCCCCACCACCGAATCAGAGCTGCGACAATGATTTCATACCGTTGCAAATCCACCAAAATACTGTATCGAGACACTGTCACTTTCACACCCCCACGATCTAGTATTATCTAATCAATCAGATCGTAGTCTGAATTACGTCTGTTCCGATTGTCGCTCGCAAAAGCTACCTTGCTGCCTCCTAACCCAAAAAGCTGCTGCGTCTTCCTTAATCTCGCATACCTCTCACAATAACCACATATAATACAATCCCCTATATACCATGGCCTCAATAACAGAAGCCTCCCTCCGCGAGGCCATCACCCAGCGCCTCGGCGCAATCCACGTCGAAGTCACTGACATGTCAGGTGCGTCGCATTACCAAGCATTGTTTTGCCCTTTCGCCCGCCAATAGCTAACCAAGGCATGATATAACTTCCAGGTGGCTGCGGCCAAGCCTTCACCTCCCTCATCGTCTCCCCCCAGTTCCAAGACCTCAAGTCCCTCAAGCGGCACCGCCTCGTCAACACCGCGCTCAAGGACGAAATCGCCGCCATCCATGCCTGGACGGCCAAATGCCAGACGCCCGCGGAGTGGGACAAGGAGAGGGATACTGCGGCGCCGTCGCTGGATGGTACAGTGGGAGGACATGTCGAGGGGACGAATCAATAAATCACAAGAAACGAAAAAATAATAGAGCAAAGGAAGATTGTGACAAAAGAAATATTTTGGGTACGGAAGTAAAGAGCATGTCATACAAAATCACTGACTGGGCTGAGGAGAAGATGGAATGGATAATATGGGCGCGATGAATGTATATACCCCCAAGTAAAGAGGAGCAGAAGACACAATGTCTACCAACTCAAAGGGCACGGCATCCCGACAGCATGGCATAGAGAGTGATAGCTCGAAGAAACATCTTTATAGCCTATATATATATATCAAGAGTCAAATCATCAGATATGCTTCACTTATTAACTACTATATTCCCAGCAGCCCAAAGACCTCTCTCCAGTATTTGCGCTGCTTCAGCATCTCCCATGATAACCCATTCCTTTTTCTCTTCTCTGCCTTTTGTCCAGTTCCTGCTCGTAAATATAACAAAAAGAGCATTGTAGGCATTCTACAACAGACCTAAAAGGTCATCGCTATCCTTTTTAGGCTGTGCGCCGCCCTGCGCATTGTGTAGCTGCATGGCCGCTGGCAGTGGCTCGCTGTTAGTCGCTCCTCCAAAGTTAAGCCCCTCAAACCCATTCATTAAGTCGTTCATGCCACCAGCAGGAGCAGCAGCCGGTGCTGCACTACCACCCGCGGGAGGGGCATCAAACATGCTCATCATATCAGCCATACCGCCCGTGGCTGGGCTCTGCACCCGGTCAGGCGTCCCTGTTGCGCTGTTCTGCTCGTGAGAGGCCGGGGCCGCGCCGTCAAAGTCGATATCGAGCAAGTTTTCAATGTTGTTCTGCGAGACGGAGCCGGATCCGTTGGCGGCGACAGAGACGGCGATGGGGTTCTCTGCCGCGTTCTGGCGCTGTTCCTGGATAGCAGCCCTCTGGATCTCGTCTGCGCCGAACCGACCCTTGCCAACAAAGGCTTCGGGGGGCTTGTGGTATACTGATGCAAGAGTCGAGAGCTCTGACAGGAGTTGCTCTAGCAGCGATGTTGGTAGGCTCGTCATTGTTGTGGAAATGGTTGGTTTTGTTGACAACACAATGTTCTTGAAGAAAATCAATAAGATGCACACTCTCAACGGGTAGATGCAGGTCCTCTTACCTTGGCAACTTCCAAATCTCCTGACAGTAATCGCCAGTAGACATAGGCTCTGTCACGGATATCAGGGTTATCGTTGTTGGTCGTTGCCTCTTGCAGCACCTTCTGGACTAGACTTTGCGCTCCACTAGGCTTCTTCAAAAAAAGCTTCACAACGGCTGTCAAGATCTGAAGTTGGGTCTGCAAATCGTGTAAGTCCATGGAGTTCTCAAGTAAAAGATTTCTGAAAAAATCATACCTGTGTAAATTCCTCTGAAAATGTGTCGACAAAGCCATCGAGAATCTCCTCAGCGTTGCTAATCTTCTCCGCGTACTCGCCTACAATCCAGATGAGCGATCCACGAGCATTGGCTTCATCCAGCTCGTCAATGTAGTCGCAAAGCGAAGGAATCACGCCCTCGTAACCAGGGTATTTTCTCAAAATGTCCTTGATGACCACAACAACCTCTTGCACGACGTAGTTGACTTTGGTGGCGAGAAGGTCTTCCAGCGCTTGGACGCACTTGGCACTCGATTCCTCGATCTTGATGGCCACTTGGCCGATGGCCTTGATGGCTCGGCGCACAAAGTCCATGTCCACTTCCAGAGCGTATTCCTTCAGCTCTGCAAGGAGCTGTTCGTAGTTCTTCTCATTTGCTATTCTGACCATGATTTCCAGCTTCTGCATTTTCACATAAGGCGGGTCGTTGTATTTGCAGAAGAAGACTCTCAGCTCCTTGCTCAGAATATCTGGCTTGGCTTGAAGAAGAAGATCAATGTTCCTGAGGGCAACGTACTGGACTTCTGGCTGGGATGCAACCAATGTGACTGTTTCACGTTCTTAGTGTTAGCAAGAACCGTATTTGCGAGAAGCTAGAAATTCGCAACTATGATATTAAAACGTACCAAGAGGGGGTGCCATCTTTTTAAGATAAGACCGCACTAGCTCAGAGTTGATTGCCTTCATGTGAATAAAGACAACCTTGACAGCAGCCAAGACCACACTAGGGTTGACGTGCTGGAATTGCGGGATGACCCTCTCGCAAATGTGCTCCGATTCCTTGACGTCGGCCGCGACATAGTCTGCTAACACGGTCAAAATGGTGATCCTACCCCATTCGGTGCACTCGTTCATAGCCATCAGTAGTTTCTTCAGGATCGGAGGAGTGACCAGCAGTGCTCTCGTTTCGGGCGCCGTCTCGCTGATCTCGGCCAGTGCCTGGACCGAGTTGGCGACCACCATCGGGTTTGGATCGCCAATCATCTCTTGAAGTGAATCGATGAATCCATTCTCAATGCACAGGGCCGGGTTCAGGTCGAAGAGCTTGGCCACGCAAATGGCCGCAGTCTTGCGCACGTATGGCGACTCATCCCTTAGCGTTTTCCTCAGCGGCTCTTCCATGTAGTCCACCATCTTGTCCACCCTGATACAGCCCATTGTGCGGATGGCGAGCGCTCGTACGAGAGGATTTGGGTCTTCTGAATCTTGCACAAACGTGTTGACGGCGAGAATGCAAAGGTCTGGGTGCGTTTTGGCGTAGTTCCTGAGTCACGCATCAGTAAAGTTCCAGCAGCGTCACTAAACGCCATGAGAATGCTTCGCCAGCAGCATCACAGGATCGTATATCCAGAGAACATACATGAGGTACAGATAGACCAGCTTCTTCTGATCAAGGTCGCCAGTCGCAATGTTCTTCAAGACGTCGGGGAACAGTGCAGAGACGTCCTTGCCCAGCGTCATGGCCATGATGGTCTTCTGGATCGACTCCTTTCGCTCGTACGCATACTGCGAGACCAAGCCCGCCCGCAGCTCAAACGTCTCTCCCTTCCGAGGCGCGGCAAAAGCGCCCCGGATGCGATTCACCGCCATCGTCGAGGAGCTTTAGGTGTTTGGAGGGGCACGAGGATAGTCTTGGATCCGGCGTCGAGATGCCACGGGGAGCGTCCACAGGAGATGCTCAGGCGGGAGCTGCTCTGGAGGGATAAAAGGGCTAACAGCTCTCCGGCTACGTCTGCCAGAGGAACCTCGAGTCGTGGCGCTCCGTGTCGTGGCCGCTTCGCCTAAGAAGTTGTCGTTTCGAGGGGGTTGCGAGTTGCAAGCTTATGGATTGGGACATATGGACGCTAATATTAGGACCTGCCGCTGCTTGGGTCTTCGGTGACCACAGCGCTGTATACCAAAAACTCCACTGAAAGGCGGCTCCGAGCGCTACATCAGCGCCAGCAAAGGGCCAGATTGACGGGCAGTGCTGAGTCATCCACGGGGCTTGTCAGGGGACACGGGCTGCTGGTAACATAGAACGTGTATACGAAGGGCATACTCCTGGACAAATTATCTGATGCCTAGAGTTCAGATTCCTACAGCGTATCATTATACAGGTGCCTGGTAGTTATTCAATCGTTAGAGGTGCAATTCTGCTGCCTATCACCTAACGGACTGCAATGGCAGTATCAAGCCTAGAGCCAAGCCTAGAGCCAAGTCTCGGATCATGCAAGAAACAAAGCAAGCCATGATCCACAGGCACCTGCATCGCCCAAACCGGGAGTTTCATGGGCCTGGCTTAGTTGCATTTAGTCATCCATTATCATCATGCAGTCTCATCGCCATAGTCGTAGCTCAAGTCAGTTTTGATTGCCTGTGTAGAGTCTCCTATATAAGGTACCATTCACCATCAATACACTGAACAGTGCCAGCAGGATAGCAGTCGCCCAGTGCACGGGCCTCCAGCAACAAACGCCATAAAGTCTATTCCTTAGTTCTCGCTCTGATCCTTCTTGTGTAACCGTCCCAGGCCCGAGACCCTCTCTTCTTCTCTTCTCGTTCCGCCAACATGGTAATACTACTACTATAATACACTCATCAGCTATGAATCTTCAAGTATCTGTCTGCTAAGAATCACATCTTCATGTCGCAGGCAAGCTTTCCCAATCTCAGGAGGCTATTCATCGAGGCCCGAACGGAGGATGAGGAGAGGAATATCTCAAGAAAGGCGGTATGTGTTACATCAGTAGTGATTTGGCTGAAGCTCTTCTCTGACGCCAACTGTTAGTTTTATCATGCCGTCTTGTTCATGGGGTCTGTGGCGGTCTTTAGTCTGATTGCGCAGAGGCTGAATGCTAGCAAATGAGTTGAGCCTGGTACTGTCAAAGTCAATGATTAACGATAATCTTCTTTGTTACACCAATTTCGTCAAGTGCTCTCATAATACGTGTCTCAGATGTTGATCATATTCTAAATTAGTCATCCAAATCGCCATCCTGAGCATCTTCCATTTCCGCTCCATCAGCCTTCGACGTCGATGTTTCTGCCTTTGCTTCCTGCTTCCTCCACAAGTTGGCCAGAAACTCATTTGTGCTGGCCTCATCAATGCTCTTGTCCTCTCTCTTCTTCAAAAAACGCGGAAATCGTAAGCTGAGCCCTCGCTCATCGCTCACAAGCCCGATAGCTGCGGTGTAAACCGGGCTAAGCGTGATGTCTGCAAATGCCATTTCCCAGACCTCTTGTGGCTCAAACCACACATCTGGACTCGGCCCGTAATACTCTATAAAACTCGGCTTCTGTAGCTTAGTATTCTTCGGCTCACCGCTTTCTTCTCCATCGTCATAAAAGTCCTTGTTTGCCTTGTAAAAGGTGTCTGTAAAGCCTGATATGCATTTGCACACCACCTCAAGTGTCCCGCTCTCTTCATTACGAACGGCCATTAAAATAGGAGACCACCATTTCGCTTTCCTGCCCTGGCCATGCCATCCGGCAACAGGAATCATGTCTAGTGTGTCAAAGGTTGAATTATAATCTTTCTTGACTTTTAGCCAAGAGTCTAGACGTTTGTCTGGCTCATACGTTGCTAAAAGCGGCTTTCGTCGAGTATTGATCGATTTTTCCTCTGCATCGCCTTTCGTAGATTTTTTCGATTTGCCTTTGCTTTTTGTTTTATTTTTCGGTAATGATAGCTTTTCTGTGTCTTCCACTGATTGTTCTGGCTCAGCTTCCCCTTCCACATAGGGCAGATCAGGTAAATTATCCAATATTTTGACCATGATGCCCTCGCACTTGTTTTCCAGTGCCGCTTTGAAGAATTCAAGCACTGTTTCCGAATCTCCGGAGGTGGCGTCCAGACTTTTGACCCATGTAAAATGATGCGGTATCTCAATAAAGAGGGATCGAAGAAGCTCTCGTCTTTCTCGAAATGGTCGATCCAAAAGAGATTGCCCGTTGAGGTACATGAGATCAAAGGCGAAAAGACATACATCAATCTTGATATCTCCAATCGCAACATCCTTTCGCGCACGATTGGTCAGCGTCTGGAAATTTTTCAGCTCTCCAGACTCTCGATCAACCGCGACAACTTCTCCTTCCATGATGAAGCTGTTAATTCCTTCTCCTCTAATCTTGGGCACAAGCTCAACAAGATCAGGATACTTTTCTGTCATGAGTTCTAGGTGTCTAGAAAATATCGATACTTTGCCTTTTTCATCGCAGTGGACTTGTGCGCGCTGCCCGTCATACTTGAATTCGCAAGCAAAATCTCTTCCCTGTAGCTTTGTGAGCATCTCGGAAAGGTCTCTAGTTATGCTTCCCAGCATGGGGCGCAGAGGCACATGAAGCTTCAAGCCACAGCGCAGAAGCAATTCTTCACAGACTCCAACCTCGAGGAGTGCCGGAATTAGATCGTTGTAATTGGGATGCCGTGCATGGCTTGCTTTGACAATCTCTGCTGCTTTATTCCAGACTTCTGCCAATTCTTCCTTCTTCAGTTTGCTTAGTGCTGTAATATTCCTGGTGCTGTATTCTGAGCCTGGAGCTTTAGATAGCAAGAATGCTCGAGATAATGCAATAAGCATGGTGGTTTTGACAGCACCAATGCGAAGCTACACACCATTAGTATGTGGGTTCAAGATAGTAGGTTGGACGGAGGACACGAACGTATTGAGAGACAGTTCGAACAATGAACCGGCTTTCTTCACCTCCCCGTGCATCTTGCAACAGCCGATCCACAATTCGCTGTTTCGTCTCGCCGCTCCCCTGCCCATGAGTAGTGGCAATCTTGACCAGTGATTGGTAAACACCCTTTATAGTTAAAGGTTTCGGCTTTCTCAGCGTAAAGCTTTGCTTCTTCTTTGCTTCAAAGGCAACATCACCGGGATCTCCGTATTTATCGTAAATAGCCTTAAGAGATCGGTTGTCTAGGCCACACACCTGGCGAAGGGCCTTGGAGATGGCAGACCCTCCTATACCAAGTTCCATGGAGATGTACGGAGGCGATATAGAGTTTGTAGCAAGCCAGACCTAGAGAACTATGAGATTCACGGTCACAACTATTGATACGGAGACTTACGGCGGGCAAGAGGCTGGAAGGATCGCTCTCGATTAATATACGTAGACAATTTACAAGGGTATCAACAATCTTGATACGGCTTGTTGTTCCGCTGACAAGCACGAAACACCTGGTCAGGAGAGCATAGGACGCATTTCCTCCTTCTGCCGCCCAGTATTCCTGAAGCTCTTTTATGTATATTGATGGGTCAAATATGAGCGGCGATTCATCGAGAGGAATAGATTCCGTTATTAGGTCATCAGCCATTCCAGTAGACTGCAAAACCAAAGTCTTCTTTGCATCTTGTTTCCGAGGAGTGATCTCAGCTGTGGATTCCACCAGTCGACTCGTAGAAGTAGGCGTTGAGTCACTGTCTGCTGTCTCCGCTATGGTTTCCGTACCCTCGGTTTTGGGTGTTGAGTTCTGGCTTCCTCGAACAGCAGCAGCTTCATTTGCTACTTCTTGATCCCATTCAGCTTGTAGCTTCCGCGCCAGCTCCTCATCTGTGAGTGCAGGTGCGCTGCTTGAGGCGCCATCTTGTCCAGTGGATTTGTTCAAGGTTTCAGACTGCTTCTGCTTAGAAAAGAAATACTCCAATCCCTTTGATTGAGCTGCCGGCTGCTTTGCGCCGCTGTTGAGCTTCCTCTTCTTTGATGGACTAGACATGCTGTCTTTGGTGTAGTTGTAGTTGTAGCTCGGAACGACTGGAGAACCCTTCAACCCCCCGAGCTATATTTCATTGACATGAATAAAAATTGAAGAGAAATATTCCAAATCATGACAGACCGTAAAACGCGTGATTCATGCAAAAGCCGCTTACACATACCAACCAAGACATGCCATTCACGCGGAGCTCTCATCATCCATGACGCCGTCCAACACGACGGCACGTGATCGTGAACTTGAGTTGCGCCCCGGTGCGGAAGATCAGGAGCCCCGTCATTTCGTCGCCGCTAAGCCCCTTGAGGCAATTTCGTGCCGCACAAAGCCAGCAGCCCACGATATCGAAATCTTTCCCTTTTGGCCCCACCATCTCGAACTCGAACATTCTCCCCTCATTCAACTTTGGGAATAGCATCCGCTACAAAAGCAGCCAAGATGAACGGCGAAGACCCCTCAGACCGCCCCGACTACATCACAACGGTGATCAACGGCCTCGAGCGATACAACCCCGAGGCCGTCGGCACCCTCGAAACCTACCTCCAGGAGCAATGTGACCAGAAAACCTGCGACTGCAATGCGAACCGGACACTGTTGAAGCTGTGAGTTGCCTAATTGCGAGCGCCTGAACTCTTTTACCTGGAGGAACTCTTGGATTTCATCTGCCTGTTATATGATGACCGTTTTTGTAAACGTTTCCTATTACCTGAGGCTGGACCTAAAACACCCAGCCACTTGAAGTCAACTTTAGTGGTGTCTGAAAAGCAAAACAAAGCACAGATTACTTGATGTTACAATCATTGCACTCTCGTTTTTCAATTCATCAGCTCAATTATGAAATTGCAATGCTAATTCAAACCGCACAAAATCACAGCTACCAGCTCAACCCTGACCGCATGAAGGACGAGGTCGTCACCAACATCCTCGTCAAGGCCATGACCCAGTTCCCCTCGTCCCAGTTCACCCTCGCCCTCCACCTCATCAACCCCTCGGCCGCCTCCACCGGCGAACTCCACGAGGCCCTCACCAAACTCCGATCCCTCAACTCCCAGCTCCAGGGCGCCCAGTACGCCGACTTCTGGGCCGACCTCGACGGCGACGACCTATGCGCCGACCTCATCGCCGACGTCTCCGGCTTTGAGGACCTCGTCCGCGAGCGAATCGCCACCCTCGTCTCACAGGCCTTCCGCGAAATCAAGCTGTCTCACATGGTCTCATGGCTGGGCTTTAACGAGGACAAGACACGGAAATTCATCACCGAGGTCGCTGGCTGGACCATCGAGGAGGACAACGTCAAGATTCCTTCCAACCCCGACAACGAGGCCAAGAAGTCTGAGATCCGCGAGGACGTCAACGTTGATCAGTTCGCCAGAGTGATTCGACGAGCCTGGGAGGAGACTGTATAAATTTTCGGTGTAATCGTGGAATGAGGCGTTGATAAACTAGTATTTTTTGCTTATACGGGGGAAGAAGGAAGAGAAGGCAATGGATATGTCGGCGGAACCAATGATGCGTAATATGACATTGGCATGGCATGGTGCGGAGATCTTAAAAATTTCGTCAGGCGTTTAATAGGACAAAAACTGCTTCATAAAAAGCGATTCAAGATCAGTCATGAAATAGAACAGGCTATCTTTCGGGCATCACATTCACTCGCACTTTTCTTGTGTTTGATATCATAAACTCGTCGAGGTTTTCTAAAGTTCCCTCGTAAACTTTTTATCTATCCACGCAAAAGAAGTAAAGAGAATGAATGGGCATCAGCATTATTTGTTCTTCGATAGCTCCTCCCACTGAACACCAGCCCATTCTTCCAAGTAGCCCGCCTCCTCAACAGCAGTATGTCTCAGCGAGCAGTCTCTCTCGCACACACCAACGATAATCGTCCCCCATTCCATGCCATCCAAGCTCAAGTCATCCTCTTCCAGCTCAGTAATAGCATTCGGCGTCAGCTGCACCTCAAACGTTCTACGGCCGCCGCAGTTGGGACATCCCGGTATGGTCCGCTTGGTCAATAGATCGCCAACAGCATCCGTCTTGGAATACAGCAGCGGCGCACCGCCAAACTCGTAACGAATGCACTGCTCGGGGTTCTGAGCCATCCGGTCGGCAAACTTCTGGAACGTGGCATCCATGGCTGATTCGAATGCCTCGCGATCAAGGGCAGAAGGCTCAGGAGCGTCGGCGTCGGCCATGCTCACGTTAGCCGGCGTCTTCATGGGAGTCTCGTCGAGGGTTTCGTAGTCTGCGTCGGCGAGATAGAGGGTCGGGTAAGGGGTAGGTTGCGAAGCCTTTTCAGGCCATGGCTCGGCGGGAGGTGGCGGTCCCGAAGGAGGGGTGTTGTTGTTTATCGCCAGGGTCTCAGCAAAGGTCTTGGAGAGGTTGTTGTCTGAAGCGGCAGCAGGAGCGGGAGCGGCAGCAGGCTTCTCTGCTGGTGTAGCGGCTGGTTTGGCAGGTTGGCTTGAAAATGGATTCGACGAAGAAGAAGAGCTAAAAGGATTGCTTGCTGAAGAACCAAAAGGATTTGCGCCACTGGAAAATGGATTTCCACCAGCAGCTCCGAGAGGTTTCGCTCCAAAGAGCGACTCCCCCAGGCCCGGTCCATCCTTCTTCTTCTCCTCTGGCTCAGTCTTCTTTTCTGGCACCTTTTCCTCAACTTGCGGTATCGTCGTCTCGGCAGCGTCCTTCCAAACTCTGACTCCCCTCAAGGCGCGAATGCTACCCGCCTTGCGCCGACATGTCGCTCTACGGCATGCGAAAACGTATAACCGCCGCTCGTGGGAGGGGAATTTCTCAGGGAGTTCGCCATTTAGCTGCAGCAGCAGGGCCATCATATCTTTGCAGACCTTGCATCTTGCCAACGCAGCTGAAGGGGCTTTGTCTGCGTCGAGCCAGTCCTGGAACATAAAAACTGTTAGCATGTCATCTGGCACAGCTTTACAGCTATCGAGGCGACGAAAGAAAAAGAAAAAAGAGACTTACCGGAATGCCTCCCAGCTTGCTTATAGTATCCTCCTCGGCTTCTTTAGAAGTATATCCAAGGAGGACATTTGTCTCTGTGAATTCTCCTTCCGAGGAGTCGGAAGCGTAATCTGCCATTGTCGCAGTACTGTAGATCTCTGGTTGTATTGCAGTTCAACGATGGTGGGGTCAAGATTTTTTTTTAGGTGGAAGATAAAAATCATGGCGGGGCTTATCAAGCCGATACCATTGAATGTCCCAGCCAGCTCTCGCCCCTTCTCTGTGATGATAGAGTAACGACGATCTTACAACTTGGGTTGTTGAAACGTACAGAAGATTGCAGCTATATTAAAATCCAGTATTACATGAAAGCGGCAGTGCCTAGATAGTTTTGACCTGTTCCGGGTGAATTTTATCTACCATAAATCTAAACAATTAAGTCTTTACATGTGATCATCAGGGCCATCCATTCCAGGACCTGGTCCCTTGGCTCTGCCCATCTGTCGGGCCTTCAACAACTCGTCGCAAAGCAACAGGTTGGACGCAATACCTGAGCTTGAAGCAATGCAGTTTCTCAGAACTCTGAATGAATCAAAGACACCTTCCAGCTCGGGATCCATGGGCTCGCCAGTCTCCAAGTTCAACCCAACGACCTGGCCATCTGCGTGCTCGTCTTGTAGTGCGGCAACTATAATTATAATATTAGCATCGTGCTTTCATTCAGAAGAATCTGGGGCTTGCAAGAACTTACGAGCATCCTGGACATCGTGGCCAGCATTGGCAGCCAAAGTCTTGGGGATGATGAGAAGAGCGTCGGCAAAGGCCTCCACACCCCACTTAGCCTTGCCCTTGACTGACTTCGCAAAGGCATCGCTCTTGAGGTGAGCGGCACAGGCAACCTGGAAAGCACCAGCGCCGGGAACAACGCTCTTGTCAACAATCATGTTGTAGACACTTCTTAGACCATCTCGGACAGCATCCGTGACTTGAGCAATAGTATGCTGGTTGGGTCCCTTGATCAAAAGAGTGACCGACTTGGGATCCTTGACCTCCTCGACGAAAGTGTACTTTTCCTCGCCCAGGGTCTGCTCGTAAACGAGACCAGCCCAGCCGAGGACGTCTGGTGTTAGGTCATCGACGCTGTTCTGAGCAACACCGCCGCAGATGAGCTGAAGTCTCTCCATGTTCCTTCTCTTTGCTCGTCGCAGAGCCAGAATACCGTTCTTAGCCAGGACGTCAAGGGAAAGGGGGTCGATACCCTTCTGGTTGATAATAACAAAGCTCTTCTTTCCGTCGTCACCACAGACCTGCTTCTTCAGCTCTACAATCTTCTTGAGCTTGGCATCGATGAATCGACGCTCACTCTCGACAAGCTTGTCACGCTGCTCAGCGCTTGAGTAGAAGAAGCCAGAGTTGATCTCAGTCTTCTCATACTCCAGGCTGACGTTCATCGTCAAGATGTGGCAGTTTTCCAGTCGCTTGGGCATGTCGGGATGTCTGGCACCGTGGTCCAACGCCAATCCTCGGATGAGCTGCGTGTCAGACGCAGTGCGGTGCTGCATCTTCATAATCTCCACCATGTGCAGGTCGGGTTTGGCAGGGGCCTGGTAGATGGCCAGCACGGCATCGACAATATCAGGAGTAAGCTTCGTGGCCAATGTTGAGTTGAGTTTTGTCGCAAGGGATGTTCGGGCAACGTTAAGCAACAGTTCGCGGTCGACCTCCTTGGCCAGCTTGAAGGAATCCAGGAACTAGCAGTATGTCAGACGAAAGGCTCTTCCAAAGTGACAATCACAGCCATCTCTTTATTCACCTTCAAAGCCTCAGCCTTGGCAATCTCAAAGCCATCGGTGATGATGCGCGGGTGGAGTCCTTCGGAAATGTGTCGGTCTGCCTGCTTCAGCAGCTCTCCCACCAGCAGCACGACGGAAGTTGTGCCATCTCCGCAAATATCGTCCTGTGCAGTCGCCGCTCGAGCAATCATGACAGCAGTCGGGTTTTGGATTTGCATTTCTCTTAGGAGGACGTTTCCATCCTTGGTGAGCTTGATCTGTTCGAGGGCATCGGTTGTTAGGAATAGGGGGCTTTGTCATTGAGGGGTAGAAGTTGGGCTTCGCGTTACCTGGCCGGCACCATCGACAAGCCTACACTGCGGTCAGCACTGATCAGACGTCTGTGACGAAGTCATTTCCCTTACATCTTTATCGTGCCTCGGGGTCCGAGGTTTGACTTGAGCACATCCTGCAGGCCCTCACCAGCACTGATGTTGACCTTGAGAGCTTCACCCCTCCTCTGCAAACCAGTTAGACTCCACAGCACATGCATAGCAGACAGACGAGAGACGTACTCGGGACTCGGCCTTGGGGTTGAGAAGTTGTGCCGCAGACATTTCGAACACTGTGAATTCGCCGGTCGATTAGAAATCTCGTGGGCTGCGGGATGGTGGCAGTATCGTGGTTTCGACAAGCTTCCCTCTGCCTGGCAGCGACCCGCATTGAGGTGTGGTGGGCTGGGTACTTTTTTCTGCCTTGTCGGGCAAAGGCGGTGTGGAGGCAAGAGTGGCAGATATTAGCAAGCCAATCAATCCACCGTGGACATCCACTCCTGGCTATAAGTGCCTGGATGATGAATAGGAGGTACCCAGGATGAGAGGATCCAGTCGGTGTAAAATAGATAATTATTAATCGAGGTTAGAATTTACTGTTTTGTTGCCCCAGAAGCTCTACAAGACTCATTTTCATCACATTTCTTCCCCGCCAAAAATAGCACATTATTTGCAGCGTCATCCTACCAGAAGAAATAGTGTTTGGGCACTCATTGTAGAACTACTAGTAGAAAACGACCATGCTTTCTCATTTTCTTTTTTTTTTTTAAAAAAAAAAAAAGAAAAAGAAAAAGAAAAAAAAACGAAACGAAAAACAACTAGATGAATGTCTATCGAGCTTTCAAAAGGAAAATGGAGTAATCGCGAATCGGAGAAGATAGGAGAAATAGGTATGGAATGTACGAGACGGCCAGAATGGAGGCGTCACGATATGATGTGACATGAATATAACACGCCAAATTTCGGACCACAAGGAAATATTTAAAATACACAAGACTTGGAGACGAAAATAAGCATTGGTGTATGTTTATAGCCTAAGCTTCCTACTATTATATACGTGCGTCTACTTGTCCACGCTTTGACTAAGACTTCATACAATGCGCCATTGACACTCTGCCGAAAACAACACTTTATCTTCTCACTCCTTACAGAAAGTTAAAACTGATTGGCAATACGACTCAACTCCATCTTTATCAATGTTCAGAAGGTTTTCAAGTGTCGACAACCATAGCAAGATCTTGTGGACTTATCGCAGCGAGCAATATGTGGCCACTGAGATCTCGTTTAGGGTATGCTGAAGAAGAGAGCACTTCGGTGTATCACAATCCACAAACATCGATTGTGTCTCGGTCAATGTCTGCCACAGGAATATTTGGGCGAATATGCCCGCCTTGTATTACTCAATGCTGCAGCGGTGGTGAAGGGATCGCTCGTGATAGGGTGCCTTTTCCTCCAACAGTCTTTTACCCTAGCTGCATGAGAAGATATATTTGTTTTTTGGAATAACCAAGTGGGTTCTCAATGCACTGACGTATTGCAGCCAAGGAGAAGATTTCGCTCTATCTCACTATTTAAGTAAGAGTTCTCTGCCAAAATTATAAACGCAGCTCCAGGATAAAACCGAAGCAATGAGTGGTGATTGTGTAAAGTTTCCCATCTAGAAAAAAATCGCAAGAATCCTCATTCAAATAAAAAATGCATGGAACATTCTCGAGTCCCGCAGCTGATTAATAGCATAATGTTACTGTGGCCGTGAAAAATGTCCTCGGGAAAATGTACAGCTAGAGTACTTATGATAATAGGGGACAGTAGGTACATGTATCAATATTGCTAAGCCACGAGCGTCTACCTAGTTATTCATAGAAAATGAGCGTTGAAGACTGGCTGATAGCAAAATTAATAGGACGGTCAATTAAAATAAACAAAAGATGCCCAAGACATATACTTGAGTGAAGCTGTGGGAAAGGAAATGAATTCAGAAGCGCGGAGGCTAAGGTATCCATCATTTTCATAATATTTGGCACGCCCTGCTCACATCTTATCAGCAAGACGTCGTGTAGCTCCCGGGATGCCATAGTAATCCTGTTGCCTCAAAAGGGCAAAAAATTATATGCGAGTAAATGTACTACTACACGTACTGTGACGTGAGATGCCGCTTACATTCTGTCCGAGGCAGCCACACTATTGGATTGAATGGTAAAAGAATAGCCTAAGGGTTTTACATATAAAGTAGCGGTAGGCAATTTTTCCATAAAAGACGGGCTCAAAAGGCTAACGAGCATCCATAGCCATGAGTTGGAACAGGGAGGATAATAAAAAGTCAATTATTAGCATAGAGACATCACAAAGGCACAAATCAACAAACGAAACCATAATAGTCCAATAGAATCCAAGCTCTCATTTGCACTCGAATATGTCCACACAACATCTTCTTCCCAACTCCGTAAACAAAGGAAAGAAGGAAAAACAAAAACATCGAAATAATAAACGGACCGGTGCCGGATTCCCGTCAAGAAAGCTTAGCTTCAATCGTTTCCAAACATATCAACGCGTTGTAAACATCACTCCGTATCCAAACACTTTCACTCACACCAACCTCCCTTCACAGAGACAAATGAAAAAGACAAATGAAAAGAAAAAAAAAATCCCTTTTTATCCCAAATCCGTTCCTCCCCCGTATTGTACAATTGAATTGACACCAAATTCCAACATGGCGGGTTGTGGGGTAACACAACGATATAAAACCAAGGAGATTGAAGGAAAAGTAAAAGTAGAAGCCCTGTGTAACTCAGGGTAGAATGAAACATTATCCCGATCACTATACCCGGGTTCCGAAATTAATGCGCCAAAGTAAAAGTAGGCTCGACAAGTATAAGACAGGCTCAGAATAAATCATGGCGTTATTAAGTTGCCGAACGCTTCAAGTATTTCCGTTAGAAGTAGTAGCCGTTTTCGTTGATCATGCTAACGGCTACGCCGTTGAACTCGTCGAATTTGGGCATCATTATTAGGCTCGGGTCCCGGTCCAGTGGAATGAAGCTGTCGTCGTTGGTGAATTGGCGAAGCAAGTCTTCCTCTTGTTCATTCATACTCAGAGGCATAGGTCCACCCATCGATGTCATATTCATCATCATTCCGGGGGCGGAGTAGCTGACGACGTCGTCAGTCCTCGCCGTTGTCGTAACCGGTTCCAAGTCGAAGAAATGCGTTGATGGGGGTGACGACGATGACTGAGAGAGACCCGGCGGTGTGTTGTATTGGCTTGATGTGCTCTTGCCAGGAGAAGACGGATGTGAGGCTCTCTCCATGATTGCTTCCGGGGACACGTATGAGTGTACGCTGGCTTCTGAAGGGGATGTGACAATGCTGCTGGCTGCTGGATTGGGCATGCTAGGCATGGGTGCTGATGAGAGCGGGCGCATTGGCTCTGCGTCGGCCTCGATTGCCATATCCAACACCTCGCTGAGCACGTCAAGTTCGTAGTTGGGCGAATTGGCGATGGAAACGTCCGAGTAAAAGGAAGAGATGGAGCTAATGGACATGTTGTTCTTTCTTCTGGTCTTTGAAGATTTTTCCAGGCGCGCATCCATCTCTGGGCGCATCTTCTTGGGGCGTCCGCGCTTCACATTCTTCCGCACAATTCCATCAAAAGCGCCGACACACATGCCTCGTTGACGGTGTCTGGTGAGAGCATCGTGGCGCGCAAATTTGTTGCCGCAGTCGCAAGGATAAGGCTTGATGCCGGTGTGAATCTTGGCGTGTCTCTTGAGATCGTGCTGGCGAACAAAGCACTTCTGGCAGGCTGGGCACTGATATTGGCGGTCGTTGAGATGGGTCTGGATGTGGGACTTTATGTTTTCTTTGCGACCGAACTGCTTCCCACAGTCATCAAACAAACAGGTCCACTTGCCATCCGTCGTCTCTGGTCCTTGGATGAACTGAGCAATCTCTTCGCCAGTGACGCCCGTGTCGGTTCGCGTCTCTTCGATATTGATATCGGCGATGCTAGCCGCGCTGGCAATACTTGCTGCGGATTCGGTACGACGATGCCGGTGAGGGCGGCTGATGGAAGAATTCAGGCCGCTGAGCCTGTGATCGAGTTGAGGCTGCGACGACTGAGCAGCATATTCGCCCTCGGCTATCGGTCTCATCTGCGGTCTGTCTAGCTTTGTCATGGGGGGGAGCATCCATTCATCAGTAGCAACATTGTCAGCATGCCTCGTTAGCTTTGCGGAGTCATACTCGTCCATTTTGTTCAAGTTCATGTTCATGTTCATATAGTGCGACGTCTGCATGGGTACAGCAGCGTTCGAGGGCTCCTTGCCTGGAGAGGCGCTTGGGCTTGCTGCACCGGTCACTGCAGCTGAGAGGCTCGGCTCGGCTTGCGGTTGCATTTCATCAAACATACGATAGAAAACAAGAGGCTCTAATGAGAAACAATGAGGTGGTGGAGGACGAATGGATTCCAGATCCAAGTTCAAACGCCAGCTAAGGTGCAGTAAATGGTCCCTTGGAAGCTCAAGTAGGAAGCCAGCGCGGTCGCCACGGCAACGGCCAGCGCAGACGTCTCCACCACTGGTCCGCGCCTATCACACTGACGCCGCAGTTTAAAACAGGCCGGCGGCATGTGCTGAGACAAGTCCAGGAACAAAGAGGGCTTGTGGCGATGCAATGTTGATTTAGAGCCCGGAGCGATCCGCAATTGGGCGTTGCCGGATGAGTTGTCGGTCTGCAGCCAGGCGGAGCCGAGCATCTCATATCCATGCTCATGCACACAGCTATGTAGCTTGGTCTATGAACGCGATACACTATTATTGTTGTTTATGGAGCCCTTAATACTGCTAATACAGAGCCCGTATAAAGCGTGCTGGGGTATAGCTCTAGCCCTAACATGCCAGCAATTACATGTATGACGGCTGATACTTTGATAATTGATTCCCTGATTCCATGTCTCACGGAGACGACGATATCTCAGATGTCCAACTGCATGCGTCTGCCCGCCCCTCCCTTGGGCGCACAAGCTCTCGAGATGATGTTCGAGCGCTGAGACGCCATTGACGGGTTTATTGTTTCTGGCCCTCACGCCCAGAGGAGGGCGGCTGACGTGCACCATGGCAACGCGGATTGGCCCGTTGAGTAATATGAGTCGCTACTAAGCGCTACTGCTGTGAAGAGTAATATTTGTCGACGTCAACAAACCAGCCGAGCGCGGAAATTACTGGCCTGCCAATCTCGCTCGGCGTCTGATAGTCGCTAATAATAAATCACGGGCAATCTTAAAGGAGGGTCGACGTCTCAATAGGGCGAGTAAACATTGTCGTTGCGAGCGCCACTAAGACGGCGTAGCGGCTGTCCTAGCTCTCGATGTGGGCAGCCAGCTTCATTAGGCGCCGCTCGATGCATCCATCAGTATCACCGTGACGGCACAGCATCCGGGCAGGACGGGCGCCAGTGGCTGGCTGAACACGCCACGGTTGAGCCACTGCCGGCCTGTGGTTGATGGGCTGGACTAACTACTGCACATGCGAGATGATCATGATGATACGATGCACTCCGACCTGCTAGCAGTAGCAGCAGTAAGCCGGTAGCTGCTTGACAGCCAGCCGTTCCCCGCTTGCCCAGGCTGGAGCCATTGAAAGCAAGGCGCGGGAATCAGCTAGCACTGCATAGATTGCTCTGTAGTATGGAGAAATACCACTGCAACTGCTGCTAGAGCATTGATGCCTCCCATGTTGCTGCATGTCGGGCTGCAGGCCGCACGTACATGAGAAAAATGGAGTTCTGGTACTGCTAGCCGGAGCAGCGCTCGCCGTGCTACTGCCAATACGCGCGACTCGCATCCTGGTAGTCATAACATTGCTAGGTCTAGCCTCAAAGCCCTTGTCGTGTTATGGAAAAGACAAAGATTTCCAAAAGGATCCACAGGCTTTGATTTGGTGGCTGAAATGTTAATTTAATCGCCAAGATCTTGGAGGTCAGCCCGGGTACACGTAGATCAGATGCGTGTAACAAGGCTTCGAGTCGAGATGAAACCGACGCCTTTGACCACTGGCAAACGCCATCTGAAGTCTGCATGCGCCTAGACGGCCATAGTTACAAAGTAGACGTAACGAAATTGAGAGAACAGAAATCAGTCCGTACTATTAGATGATTTATTGCTCCTAACGCGGCGATAACTCAGTCTTGTAGACGCCAAAACACGCATGTGACTTACAAGGCCTCAAGCTAAGGTCATGCCGTGCCTAGCATCTTCAAGTACGAAGCACCGCTCATAGTCATTAGTATTTTGTCCATAGTACCTGCGAACTAGAACTGCGTTGATGCCGAGTATTCATGTTATTCATGCGCCCCTCATTCGAAATTTGCAGCAGCTGCTGGCATCACATCAATTAATGGAGCCCTACCGCCAAACGCCGTGAACCAACGCCGCTAGATGTTTAGCACCTGCAGCACTAGGTCGGCCTGCGCTTTTTTCCCCCTCCAGCGGCCCACGATGGGTGTTTTCGGGGTTTCAGGCTGCGGTCTTCACTGCTCAGGTGCCCTATAAGCCGCCTATAATGCCCGCGCCAACCGAGGCGTTCGCCGCCCAGTAGGCGAGAAAAAAAGTGCCGGGGTGACTTGGCCAGGGCTTAATATCTGGTGACCGACCTTTCGACTTCATTCCGTCACCCTTGAAAATCCCTCCTCCACTGTCATTGGCTGCAACCTCTGGCTGACTCCGGAAAACTGGTTTTCGAAGAATTGAAATCCGTCTTTGATTTTTTTCTTTTCTTGCTCTCGACGAAACTTTGGAACGTGCATTCTTCGACGCCCGCGAGCCGCCAACCGCAGCCATGTCTATGGTCAACGCCTCCCGAGGGAACAATCCGAGCCGGAATCAGCCACGGAGCACCACGCCGTTCAACAATGCTTCCTCTGCTGCTGCGACTTCCGGCATCCCTCGACCGGTGCTAGACCAGCAGCCGCCTGCTGAATCCAGTGCTGCCGGCCTCAGCGCAAGCAGACAGAAGCAATCCAAGCGCGATGAGGTGAGTTAACGGGTTGATTTGTTTACTACAGCTATTGTCGGCCCCCCCTTAGCGCTGTCCTGGGTCAAGGTGGAGAGCTCTTGGAAAGAAGCTATACAGGACGACCCCTCAGTTGCGATGATATCGAGTGTATCTTATGGCTAATGCGCGCACACGCAGGCAATTCGGAGGAAAATGGAGAGCGATCTCTCCAAGAAGAAGACTCTCACGGGCCGGTCGCGACCGAATCGCAGAGCCCCTCCCGGTACTGTGCTTGCCCTCAAGCCGAGCCAGGCTCTTCAGATCAAGCCTGCCACGACTGTCTCCGAGGCTGCTCAACTCATGGCCGCAAAGAGGGAGGACTGCGTGCTGGTTACTGATGACGAGGACCGGATTGCCGGTATCTTTACCGCCAAGGATCTTGCGTTCCGTGTGGTCGGGGCTGGGCTCAAGGCTGCCAACGTCACTATTGCTGAAATTATGACCAAGAACCCTCTCTGTGCCAGAACCGACACAAGTGCAACCGATGCGCTGGATCTCATGGTCCGCAAGGGTTTCCGCCACTTGCCTGTCATGGACGAGAACCAGGATATCTCTGGAGTGCTGGATATCACAAAGTGCTTCTACGACGCCATGGAGAAGCTGGAGCGCGCATACTCTTCCTCGAGAAAGCTCTACGACGCCTTGGAGGGCGTGCAGTCCGAGCTGGGCGCCAGCCAGCCGCAGCAGATCATCCAGTATGTGGAGGCTCTTCGATCCAAAATGTCTGGGCCCACACTGGAGACCGTGTTGAATGGCATCCCGCCTACCACGGTCAGCGTCCGGACCTCGGTCAAAGAGGCTGCGGCCATGATGAAGGAAAACCACACCACTGCGGTGCTGGTGCAGGACCAGGGCGCCATTACCGGCATTTTTACGAGCAAGGACGTTGTTCTTCGTGTCATTGCTCCAGGCCTGGACCCGGCCAATTGCAGCGTCGTGCGTGTCATGACCCCTCACCCCGATTTTGCCCCAATGGACATGACCATTCAGGCAGCCTTACGGAAGATGCACGGTAAGCACATCTAATTTCTACCTCTTTTCAATTCTCCCCCACCTCTACTGCCCTTATTCCAGCTCTATGGCGATTTCGTTTTCCAGTGCCGTAAAAGCATACAAATCATGGTCAAATATGTGTCTAACAATCATATGTCAGATGGCCATTATCTCAACCTTCCCGTCATGAACGATGGCGGCGAAATCGTGGGAATGGTCGATGTGCTCAAGCTGACTTATGCTACATTGGAGCAAATCAACACCATGTCAAGTGACAACGGCGAGGGCCCAGCGTGGAATAAGTTTTGGCTTTCCATCGATCATGAGACGGAATCTATGGTGTCCGGCGACGGCAGCCTCAGCCACCACCCTCACCACGGAGGGTCTCGTATGATGTCGCCCGAGGCGAACCGCCTGGGAGACAGCGTCGCTCCCAATGACTCTGCATCGCACATCGGATTGGACTCACCTCCTCACTCGATCATTCCGGAGCACACGCCCGGCGATATTCCGTTTGCCTTCAAATTCAAGGCGCCTTCAGGACGTGTGCACCGATTGCAAGTTGTTGCATCGCAGGGCATCGAGTCGTTTGTGCACGCCGTCGCATCCAAGCTCGGAAATGAAATCGATACCCTTGGGGGCATGCCCGATGTCTATGACGGCAGAATCGAAGGCGCAGGCTTTGCTGTCAGCTACATGGACAACGAGGGTGATACCGTGTCCATCACCACCGACAATGACCTGCTAGAGGCCATTCTCCTCGCCCGCCAAGCGCATCTTGAGAAGGTTGATCTCTACGTGCATGACTCTGAGAAGCAACCTTCAGCCCCTTCAGTAGAGGCAATCCCTACCCCGGTCTCATCAACTCCAGGCCTCCGTGAGCGACGGAGAACTTACGAAGAGGAGTCGGAGAGTGAGGAAGAGGAATCAGAGGAGGAGGAGGAACGACCTGTTCGCCGATCGCGGAGATCAAGGACGGCGGTTCACCAGGAGCAGATTATTGCCGGTGTGCCCAACGATCTCCTGCTGCCCGGTGCTATCATCACTCTGGCGGTGGTTATTGTCGGAGTGTTTACTATTGCTAGAGCAACAAGCCGGTAAAGAATGCAGAGCATCTCCCCTGTTGTGTGGCGTTTTAATTCCCATAATGACCTTGACGAAGAAAAAGTTGGTTGGCATTGGTAACTGTAGATTTCTCAAGCACAGACAAATCGTCATAGATTTAAAGCTTTTCATCATACGAGTTTTACATGTAATTTGACATTGTATCACCAAGGGAAAGCATCGGTCCAAAACAGAAACGTGTGAATTTGAGTATTCCCGTAGTAAATGCTTCATTTTCAATGCATAATAGAGTAGCTCTCTACTGCATCATCAGCATATAAAGAGCACTTACATACTATATATGAGATCAAGTGTGCATGCAAGATGGCGTGTCCATCACAAGCCACTTCTAACGTGGGGTAAAATGGCTGCTGCCACCCGAAGAGATCTTTAACGACCGCGGGGTCATTTTAGTGCACAGCAAGAAAGCGTTAAGCGGCTTTGGTTCTGTAACGGAACCGGAAAATGTGCCTCGCCGCAGACGCTCCATCCATGGCGGCGTGATCCAAAATTTGGACTTGGACGATCTAGTCGGACGGCAACAGGAGCGCAACACAAGCCGCAATGAATGTCCAGAGCGCTGCTGTGCGGCATGGTAAGTCAATTGAACATGCAGATTCTGTCTAAGAGGACTCTAACCAGTTACAGGCCGCCGCGCATTGGCGTCTCCTCTGCCGCGAACCGTTCTGCGACAAATCTCGACCGAAGTCAAGACGGCGACAGCCTCAAGCTCGACATCCAATGGACCTGCCCAGGCGTGGCCGACACCCCAGGCTGCCGCTGCCGCTCCCAAGATGGTCTCTTCATCGAAGAAGAAGCAAAAGATTGTCGAAGAAGTCATCATGACGCTTGGAGCCAACTCTTCGCAGCAGCACCACGGAACCGCATGGACAAAGTCACATCAGAGGGGCAAGCAGAACTTGACTCCCTCCCAGCAGTATGCCGAGTTTCAGCGCATCCAGAAGAATACGAGGAGCCTCGGTTCGAAGCTCGAGAAGCGCTACATCCCCACGGAAATCATTAGCAATCCTCCGCGGCCAGAGGACGTTACGCTGGAGCTGTTGATGGCGTCGCAGACACACATGGGACACAACACCTCACTATGGAACCCGGCCAATTCACGATACATTTACGGCGTGCGACAGGGCGTCCATGTCATTTCTCTCGAGACGACAGCGGCGCATCTTCGACGGGCGGCCCGAGTGGTTGAGGAGGTGGCCTACCGCGGCGGCATCATCCTCTTTGTCGGTACCCGCAAGGGCCAGATGGAGATTGTCACAAGGGCTTCTGAGCTGGCAGGCGCCTACCACCTGTTCACAAAGTGGACCCCTGGAGCCATCACAAACCGAGACGTCATTCTCAAGACCCAAGGCATGAAGGTGGTGGATCACATGGATAAGGAGCTTGATGGATTCGACATGTTCAAGGGCACGGCGAGACCACTGCTGCCGGACTTGGTGGTTTGCCTCAACCCCTTGGAGAATTACACGCTGCTGTACGAATGTGGCCTGAAGAACATTCCTACGATTGGAGTCATTGACACAAACACCGATCCCTCATGGGTCACATATACGATTCCCGCCAACGACGACAGGTTAGTACAAGTTTTGCTAGATCCGTTTACTTCACTCTGACGGGTGCTAACTCTCTCTTAGTCTTCGTGCTATGGCATTGGTTGCTGGAGTCCTGGGTCGCGCGGGAGAGGCCGGCCAGAAGCGACGTATTGAAGACTCGAAAAAGGGCGACATCTCATGGAGCACCTCTCCTGAGCTTAGCCGCCACATGAGAAAGGAAGTGCAGGCTGCTGTCCTCAAGAGGAAAGAGGTCATGGGCAGGATGCAGGCCAACATTCAGGGATTCACAGATGAGGAGTTGAAGCTGCTGAGGTCGCAGTACCTGGGCGAGCAGCAGGAAGAAGTCACTGAAGATGAATTGGTGAATCTGATGGGAGAGACTGTCGCGAGTAAAGCTGCAGCGACGCCTGCTGAGACGCCGTTGAGCGCGCAGTTGGGTAGCATCGAAGCGCAGCTGGACAGTTTGAAGGTGAACGCGGCCGAGATTGAGTCCGCAGTCCGGAAAAGTGTATGAAAAGACAATATTAGACGCATTGTATAAAAGGGGGAAAACAGGGGATGAGAGGCATTTTTAAAACAAAAACTGTATAATAGACAACGGGTGTATATGCGATGCATGTATGCAGGTGCACGATTTGCAAACGAGATGAAAGTTTCCACCTTTTATTTGCTCATTTCAAATTCACTTCCGTCCCATCCCTTGCCCTTATTATCTTGTCCCAGTTTCTCTTCCTCTTCTCTTCCCTTTTCATTACTTCCCCCGAGCAACAGCCGCCTATGCCAATGACATCGCCAGCCATCCTAACCTAGAGGAAAACCCTCCGAGCCGAAGGAAAAAAAAAGACGGAGAAACTCTCGCTCCGAAAGGGGATTTACCTTTAAAGATAAGGTACCTCCGATACCTTTTTTTAGCTGCCGACCACCACACACACACCACCCTGCAAAAGGGCTTTCCGCCTCCCCCGAGCAGAACGTCGCACGACGAACTTTTCAGCACAGCAGCCAAGCACCAGCACCAGCACCAGCAGCAAGCAAATCCAGCAGACCAAACGCCCAGTGAAGGAAAAACAGCCCCCAAAGCAGGACGTCAGCAGCGCGAAACAGCCGCCGCCAAAACCAGACCGGCACCAATTCAGACGAAATAGGCTGCCATCACCTGAATCCTGGCCGCACAGGAAAACGAAGAAACTCTTAAATCTTTCTTTTTCTTACTAGGGGCGGTAAATAGTGAGGCTGGAAGCCCACGCAAAGGGGAAAGCAAACCACAAATTTGGAGGACGACCCTTGGTTTTTTTTTACCCTTCTTTCCACTTTGGGCCTTTTTTGCGTGTGGTGCTGCAGCTGCGCTGGGACGTACCTGCAGAGAGGGAAGGGGAAAATTTCCTAGGCGCTTGTTCTTTTTTTTTTTATCTCTTTATCACAACGTCACACCTCTCTATCGTGCAGGCTTATAGTGGCCTTGGCTTCAACCTTTTTTTTAGGTGGACTTTTTTTTTCTTCTTGGAGGAGAATATTCGGGTTCCTTTCTTTTCTCTCTTTTCTTTTTCGAGATCTTTCTTTTTGTCTTTCTTTTTTCTTGCTGCAAGGGGGAGGGAAATACTATTTCCTATCCTGAGGGGATATTTCCTTTTTTTTTTCTCTCTCTCTTTTCTTTTTTCCCCCTTCCATTTCCCATCTTTTATCCATGGTAAGTTGTCCTTTTCTTTTTCCTTCCCTTCTTACTTACCCCCCCATCCAAGCTATACCCAATTGGCTCCCCAAGACCCTTCCATCCTTAACGACCCTTTCTTCCTTTTCGGTCTGATGGGTGTGCTCCCCTTGCTTGGGATGACGTACCCCCATGGTGGTGATTCCCTCAACCCAGAACTGACTGATGCTGCGGCGAGGCTCGTGCCGTTGATGTTTAAGCGGGCCGGTGGCTGATCAAATATGCACAGAGCATCCTGCGTTGACCAACGGCTCTCCCCCTTCTCTCACGCCCCTCCCTTTTCCGAGCTTTGCCACGCACGCGCTACTGGTTTCTCCTGCCATCGCCTCTCGTCCCGGCTCAGCACAAACGATGCCGGCCGCCGTCGATGACCCGGCCAGCCCCACAATCCACCGGGTGTCCGGCCAGCCACCGTTCCCGGACCCGAACAACCCGATTCTGCCGCCGGACATTGTGCCTCGCCAGGTGACGCTGCGAGACCGCCAGACCGTGGCCACCATTGTGCCCTTTGCGTCACGCCACCAGATCCCCGTATCGCTCGTCGTCTACCTGTGCGCGCAGATCAACAAGGAGATTGATGGCGGCGACACGTACCCCCTGATGGACCCTTTTACGGCCGATGGCTTCGCCGACTTTTGGTTCCAGAACTTTGGCGCCGTCATGCTGCTGGGGAGCATCGAGGGCGCGCATCAGCTGCTTGACGGCAAGGATTGGGCCAAGGAGTGTCTGGGCAGCTTCTACATCCGGCCCAACTACCCCGGCCGCAGCAGCCATGTGTGCAACGGCGGCTTTCTCGTCACGGACGCGTCTCGTAACCGCGGTGCTGGTCGCTTGATGGGCGAGGCGTACATTGACTGGGCGCCGAGGCTGGGCTACACCTACAGCGTCTTCAACCTCGTGTACGAGACCAACGTGGCGTCGTGCAAGATTTGGGATGCGCTGGGCTTCAAGCGCATTGGACGAGTCAAGGGATGCGGAAACCTCAAGAGCTACCCCGACCGTCTTATCGACGCCATCATCTATGGGCGAGATCTGGCTCCTGGCGAAACCGAAGAGCTGGTAAGTGAAGAGCGTTTCGACAAGATCAAGTACTATCTCAAGTACGGCAAATATCCCAACGGCGCAGACCGCGCGGAGAAGAGCCGTCTGCGCAGTGCGGCGACGCATTACAAGCTGCTCGATGGGGACAAGCTCATGCTCAAGGACAAGGAGGTCATATCCGACCCGGCGCGGCAGTACGAGATTGCGCGCAGCGTGCACGTCATGCACCACGGAGGCATCAACAAGACGACGGCCACCATTGCGGAAAAGTACCACTGGAGCCGCATCAAGGAGACCGTCAGCGACGTGATCCGGGCCTGCGCCGAGTGCAAGGAGCTGGGCAAGACGCCGAACCCAGGCGGCACCAAGAAGACGGCTACGCCTGTCACCACCACGGCCGCGTCGGTGCCGGCGTCTACAATCACGACGCCTGCTCCCACGCCCATCCTGCCCAGCAACGGCCCTCCACGGAATCACTCAATACCGTCCAACATTGCCACGACGGGGAGGATCCTGGCTCTACAAAGCCACGATACGATGCTATCGCTCTCACCAAGCACCAGCCCTAGCCCAAGCGCATACGCAAACCCCAGCGACATCTCCGTCATACAACCATCTCAGACGTTCCAAACCACCCAAAGCCTGCACCACCACCAGCAGCAACAAGCGCAGCAGCAGCACCACCACCACGGCCTCTCTCCAGACCCTCATCACCACCAATACCAACAACAAACCCTGCATCACCACCAAGTCACCCACCAACAACCCTCCCTCCATCACAACCCCCATCATCCAGCCCACCACCTTCACAACCCCATGCTGCAAGACCAGCCAAACCACGAAACCCACGTCTACCAGCCCATCGACCCCCAAATCATCAACCACCACCACCACCCCCAGCAACACCACGACATCGCCTTTGAGCACTACCACCCGCACGCCGACTTCCAGGCCCTCCTCAGCGCAACCGAAGACGTCGTCGTGCCCACCCAGCCCGACGACAACGTCCCGCCCTCGGTGGACACCGACCTGGAGATGCTCATTGAGCACGACGCCGTCGACGACGACGACGTCAACGACGTGGGGCAGAGTGACCACCATGGGAATCACGTCCTCGGCGACGACGACGTCATGGATGGCTTGACGGGCGGCGCGCCGCAGATGATGCGCCGAATAGGACATAGAGATGGACGGAGCATGTATGACTTGAATTTTGGCGGTCCGGCGGTCTGATCTTTTCTTTGCCTTCATTTTTCTTTTATCATGAGAATAAATTGAGACGAGGCGTTGCAATGCGATGCGTTGAAGGCCTTTTCCTTTTTTTCTTTCTTTTCCTTCTTCTTCTTTTTTTTTTAAGCATAGGTAGGAGTATAAGAGTTGGAAGTATGATTGTGTGCGTCAGTGTATGTAAATGGATATATATGATGTATATACGGCCGTAGAACAAACTGGGTATGATATGATATCCCTTATAGACTCATATAAAAGGAAACAAATTTCTTTTTCTAGACTCATTGCTTTACCGTTTATGACTTTGACCGATATGCATTGTTATCTTTATCACTGCGAGCTTTTAATTCTGTGAAGTCCAAAAATTTCTGAGCTTATCAAAGGATTGACAGAAACACATTAGAATTTACAGTAACTCGTCGGAAAAATTGTCATATCAAAAAAGTCTAGTAGATAATAGAGGCCAAATTCTTTTTCTAGGTATCTTACAAGATCCTCAAAAACCTCCATTCCCCTTTCTTTCTTTCTTCCCTTAATTTTTTATATGCGAAAATGCTTAGAAGTCCCCTAATTTGCGCCTCAATTCTTCCACTCATGCTTTTCTTCTAGTCTTCCCTCCCTTTACCGTCGAGGCATGCCCCGTCCTCTACCCCTGATTGCCCTCTGAGCCGCTCCCGGGGGAAGCTGGCCCGGTGCCTGTGGCTTAGCGCTCTCCTCATTTCTGATCGTCTCATCAACACTTAAGATCAAGCAGCTGGCCTCAGTGGCAGCTTGCAGAGCGTTGGTCTTGATCAAGGCAGGCTCCCAGACAAATCGCTCCAGCATGTCGGCGGTTCCCTCATTCAAAAAGTCAACACCAGCCCATGTGTTGCCCTTCCGGTGCTCCACGCGGAGCTTGTTTAGGATATCGGTGGCGTCGAAACCGGCATTGTCGCACAGCTGTCGGGGGATAATCTCCAGCGCCTTGGCAAAGGACTTGATGATAGCCTGCTGCTTGTGAGGGATGTTCTTGTCGGCAAACTGGTGCAGGTAGGCAGAGATCTCCATCTCGACAGCACCACCTCCGCCAACAATCGTTCGGTTCTTGACGGCTCGCTTGACAATCATGATGGCATCGTGCAGTGATCGCTCGACCTCGGCAATGAACTGCTCGGCTCCTCCACGCAGGACCAGGGTGCAGGTCTTGGCCTCGGGGCAGCCCTCAAAGAAGTTGAATCTCTCTCCACCAATCTGCTTCTCCTCAAAAGTCTCGCAGGTTCCCAGGTGCTCAGCCAGGATGTCTGAGCATGTTGACTGGGTCACAGCACCGGTGGCCTGAGTGACGCGCTCCATATCTTCAGCGGCAACACGGCCAGCACAGAAAATGTCCCGGTCGGCAAAGTACTGGGTAGCCAAGTCACCGATGGGCAGCTTGCTGAGAACAACCTTGGCGCCAGTCTTGGAGATGGCCTCCAGCTTCTGGTAGATGATCTGCCACTCCGCATCCACGATAGCCTGGTATTCTGAAACTTGCTCAACGCGAACCTCGGCGTTGTCCTTCTCGGCCTTCAACTCCAGCTCGACGTTCAGACACACAATCTTGGGCTTCTGGAATGACTTGGGCTGCTGCTCGAAACCGGCATAGGAGAAGGTCTTCTTGAAGGCAACACCGTTGACGAAGCGAGACTCGGTCAGGGAACCACCGGGGATTTTCTTGATGCCGATGAGCTTCTCGTTTAGGTCGTCCTGGTCGAGTGATAGGACGGCATCAACCACCACTATATACTGTTAGTCTCCATGTAGCATCTCATATCATTTGTGTGCAGCCATACTCTTTGTGAAGAATTCTGTGTTTCGCTTGATAAGCTTGCTCGTCATGGCGGTGGCGGCGAGTTTAGTCAGGGTATCGCGCTGGCTTCCATCATCAGTGCTGACGGCAATCTCCTTGATCTTGTTGACGGCCATCTGCACCGCTCTCCTCAGACCCTTGATGATGATTTGTGAGCTGACACCCTGTTCGACGTGCTCCTTGACCTCCTTGAGGATCTCTCCAGCCAGGACGACGACCGATGTGGTTCCGTCTCCGACCTCAGCGTCTTGTGATCGTGCAATGTCGACGAGGATGCGGGCAGCGGGGTGGACGATGTCGAGCAGCTAATCCATGCACACTGTCAGTTTGATTCTCGTCATATTATAATGTTTCTCAAAAGAGATATCGTATATAGGGGTCGGCCGCACCTTCATGACAGTCGCGCCATCATTGGTAATCGTCTGCTTGCCATTCTCGTCCACCATCAACAGGTCACCGCCGTAGGGGCCCAGCGTCGACTTGATGGTGGCTTGGACCGCCAGACAGGCATTGATGTTGGAGACGATCTGGCCTTTGCCCTGGGAAGTATCGGTTCCTGAAGCCCAACTTTTGTCAGCGATCGTGTGTCTGTAGCCTCGTTGGATGGCGGGCAGCGGTGGGCAGCGACGGTGGGGTAAATTTGCGTCTGGGTACCTTCTTTCAGGACGATGATGGTCGGCGTCTGGCCTCCGAACGACATTTTGGCGGTGATTTTTGATTAACGAGGGGCCAAAACGCTTCACGACGAGGGGAGTTGAGATGCGGTGGCTTTGCGGATTAAAGGGGCAGGATCCGGCGTCTTTGGGGACTCGCTGGTGTGCGAAGCTGTCGAGCTCCGGAAAATTGTTGCAGCCTTGACGATTGGACTTGGGCGCACGGACCAGGGCCAGGGACATAGGAGAGTAGACAGAGCCCCTCCAACCCCTTTAGGCACTAGAAGAATTTGGTGGAAGAAGAACCCCGCCAAAAGACATTCATAGGTTAGATGAGGTAAGATATCAGCCATATATGGCAAGGAAGAGGAAAAAATATGGAAAATGCGAAATAAAACTGTGTGTATTTCAATGATTACTTGAGCTTGGAATAATCTGTGAGGTAGCATTATGTTGTAGTGGCCTCGTTGGGCCAAGTACTTGTTATCACCTACCACATACATCAACAGACAGTAGAGTGAGAATTCACTAGTTGAGGTTGTCTGGATACAATCTATCAGTACTACTTGATATTGCTGATATTATTTTGATACAAATATTGTGTTCAAATTCATTTGCTTGACAAAACCCTATATCAGATCTATAAAGTCGGAGAAGGCGGCTTTCCTTTGCCTCTGCCCGGCGCTGCTTCAAACTTGGCTTTCCACACATCTTCCTGCTGAAACAGGGCAATACACTCCATGGCGGTTGGTTTTCCGTAGTCTGGGTCTGCGCCACCCTCTACCAAGGCCTATCCATTAGGACTTAGCATGTAATCCAAAATTCAATAAAGGCTCATATCCATAGAGGTGTAAGTGTTCAAGCATACCTCGATAACAGCATCCTCCTTCTTAAACACGGCTCCGGCAAGCGGACTCTGCCCTCTGTCGTTGACGCGATTCGGGTCGGCGCCATGTTCTATCAGAAGCTTAACTAGTTCTGCGTGTCCATGATATGCTGCAAGCATGAGCTGGGGAAAAAGGTGAGTCGTATAAACATCTAGCAAGACATAGACAGACAATCCTGTTACAGTTCAACAAGACGGTTTTGCCTTTTAATGAAGCTCTTACCAATGTGTCTCCTTTTTCATTTGTCATATTTGCCGGCAATCCAGCCGGAAGAGCTTGTTCAAACACAGCGACGTCGCCAGCTCTGGCAGCATCGTACATTCGTCCAGCAAAGGCGATGACTTCGGGCGAGAGCGTCGGAGCGCCTGAAGATTGCTGTGAGGGGTCCATGATGTTATCAGCGATTAAGTGGTTTTAATATGTTTGATCTCCGTCAATTTTTATTATATTGGACTGTCCTTTGTGCAAGGTAAAAGAAAGATAAATATGACTTCGTATCGGAGAGAAATGAAGATGTAAAGTAAGATGTTCGTGAGTTATATGGAGTTGAGATCCCGAGCTCCGAACTGATAGCCACCGATGACGTGTGGGGTGCAGCGTCCGCACTGGTTACGATGCTGAAACTCGCTTCACATGCCGAGAAAAAGTCAATGAGGCATCAACGCCGGCGGACCGTATCAAGGCTTGGGAAAAAGATAGAGCACGATTCCAGATTCTACTATATGAGCACATATGAATCTTTACAGGTCTTATTGATGAGTGGAGTCTATGAACAGTAGAGACATGATCAACAACCCCGACCCTGTGCACATGCCATTGTAGCTCTTGACAGCTCACTCACCAAATCCTGGCTATTGGAAAAGTTGAAAGCAGTAATATCAGTGCTTATAAAATAACAATCTCATTCTCAGTTCCATAAAAGGTAAATGATACTATACATCGCTCGCTCGAATTCATTCCTCGTTCAATCTAATAAAACCGCCCAAGCTGCATATTTTGGTTGCGCAACTCGGAATAGTGGCGAATAGTATACAAGTGATCGGAACCGGCCGTGAGGAGAAAACAAAAAAGACAGGAATGTTTCCTCCATGCATCGCAGGCATGTCTATTCATTGTCATTTCACCTGTTTCGACAATAATTATTTTCTGAATCAAAGTCTCGAAATCGCTCGCCCGTCCGCGTCTCGGGACTCACTCGTGTTCTCGCAATCTCCGAGCGACTCTGTCGTCATCAGGTTCTGGCTCTCTGAAATGCCCCTCAGTAGTCTGCAGTGCCATCGCCCTCGCCGGTATCAGGCTCGTTGGGAATGGGGGCCCCTGGAGCCTCTGGTTGTGGCGTTTCTGGCCTATGCTGCGGCATTGTGATGGAAAAGTATGAATTGGTAGGTTTAGAATTGAATTTGATCAAGAGGCTGTTGGAATAATGTTGCCGGTAAGGTTGGTTGGAGAAAAGAGGAGACTTATAACGCCCCTTATCAAGGAAATTCTTCCACGGCACAGACTCCTGTCCTCGTGATAAGCATCGTTACGTCAGGAAGCAGCAGTTTGTGTAGCATTTGGGCGTCTGCCTACAGTTGGTTGGACAGGCATGAGCAGCAATCAGTGAGCGTCTGTGACAGGACAGCAGCAGATGGCTTGGGGAAAAAGAAACGCCACCCAACGAAGACTGTGTTTTAGCAGGAAACCAAGCGATAAAGACAAATTAGAACAGTCGTGAAGCTTAATTCTCCAACTCTGGCTGAAGACGGCTTCTTCAACGTAAGACCTACGGTGCAGTCTACTTCTACGAGGAAGAGAGCGAGCGTAAGGGAAGCTGCTCTCGATCTAGCCTCGGCTTCACTAGAAGAGTGAGATTGAGAGAAAATTAATTAATTGCGTACCTGTGGTATCAGCCAACGTGAATGTGATGAGATGTGACGGTTGCAGCACGTTACGCTGATGGCTCGCCATTCATACATGCTGCCAGTTGGGCTCACATGTCAAATCAACCGATCCAGCCAATAGCGCAGGCAAATATTTATCATGCATTGACATACACAGGCAAATAGGCACCACAAGTCGGCCCTTGTCAACTCCGAACACCTATACGAATTCTCGACTTGGAAGCGAATATTGATCCAAAGACAAAAAGTGATCGCCGAGATATGGCTAGACAGGCATACCACATGCTAGCGGAGTCCGATACAGGCCTTTCAGTGGGTTCTGGCTGTCCACGGCCCCTCCCCCGGCGACCGATAGGCTCTGAAGCCCCCTCCTCCAGCGTCTTCCCCGCCACTAAGGCACTGTAGCAGCCTCCAGTCGTCCGAGGGGTGACGTATCGATCACGCCAGAGCCAATGCGAGGGTGTGCCAACTTTTCACATCAGACAACCACCGCAAATGCTGGCGGAACTCTATCAGCAAACGAACCACCGCCGTAGAGATGAGACGGGACGAATCAGATTCGTCAATCTGGCGGACGCCATGGCCCCTGTGCAGCTCTTGCCCGAGCCATTGGCCACTGACACCCTGGTAAGCTGCGGCTGCATCCTGCTGGGCTCGTTCGATGGAACCGTGGCATGATATCACCCATGTTTTTGCTGCGTTTCTAGTCCATTGGAGCTGCAGATGGAGCTCTGCTTGCATAGTTTTCCCGTCTTCAGCTGCGTTGATTGGTACCAGCTCCTCGGTCCGCTGGTTCAAGCTCCGGGAGCTTGTGGTGGTGCAACCATTGTTGTCCCCCCCATATTATCCATTCCTCCAAACACGGGAGGGGCAAGAGATCGAAAGTATCGACGGCTTATTATCCTTGTAGACGGCTTTAGTTAGCATCCGTGTCGGCGGGAAGCCAGCAGAGCGAGCCGCGCTCTTAGCTCTTGGTCTTATACTTAAGAGGCGCTCGTCGCTCTGGAATACATCTTGTATCTGCAAGGCAATTCCCTTCTTCAAACCGTTAGAAGCCAAGCAACTCTTCAACAATGGCTGAAGCCAAATCGATCCGGGCATTTGGCCAAGCCCGCTCAACTGTTCAGGGTGCTCCACTGTCTGATGAGGAAATCAAGCAATACAATGACTATTTCAAAGCCAGCTGCTACCTCTCCCTGGGCATGATTTACTTGAAAGAGAATCCCCTCCTTCGCGAGCCCCTCAAGAAAGAGCATTTGAAAGCACGTCTTCTTGGACACTTTGGATCCGCTCCTGGTCAAATCTTCACTTATATGCACTTCAACCGTCTCATCAAGAAGTACGACCTGGATGCGTACTTTGTGTCTGGCCCCGGCCACGGTGCTCCAGCCGTTCTCTCACAATCCTATCTCGAAGGTGTCTACTCAGAAGTGTACCCAGACAAGTCACAGGACGTTCAGGGTCTCCAGAAATTCTTCAAATACTTCTCCTTCCCGGGTGGAGTTGGCTCCCACGCAACTCCCGAGACGCCAGGCTCTATCCACGAAGGTGGTGAACTTGGTTACTCAATTTCTCATGCCTTTGGCTCAGTATATGACTATCCGGACCTCATTGCCCTTACCATGGTAGGAGATGGTGAAGCAGAAACTGGACCTCTGGCCACTGCATGGCATAGCACCAAATTCCTAAACCCCATCACGGATGGCGCTGTCCTTCCTGTTTTACATCTCAACGGCTACAAGATTAACAATCCTACCATCTTGGCAAGAATTCCGCATGATGAGCTGCAGAAGCTATTTGAGGGCTATGGATGGACGCCCTATTTCGTCGAGGGGGATGATATTGACACCATGCACCAGGCCATGGCAGCAACGCTGGAACACTGCGTGAAAGAGATCAGGGGCTATCAGAAAGAGGCTCGCGAGAGCGGAAAGGCTATCCGACCAAAGTGGCCCATGATTATTCTCCGAACACCAAAGGGCTGGACTGCACCTCGCAAGCTGGATGGTAACTATCTCGGAGGCTTCTGGAGAGCACACCAGGTCCCCATTACCGATCCCGCGACAAACCCGGCCCATCTGAAGGTCCTCGAAGACTGGATGCGCAGCTATGAGCCTGATAGGCTGTTTGATGAAAGCGGCAAGCCAATCGCAGCATTAACTGCCCTTACTCCCACTGGTAACCGCCGTATGAGTGCCAATCCTGTTGCCAATGGCGGAGTTCTCAGAAAACCCCTGAATATGCCTGACTTCAAAAAGTATGGCGTTGCCGTTGAGCATCCTGGCGCTGTTACGGATGCTAGCATGAAGAAACTAGGAGTCTTTTTACGAGATGTTGTTGCCGCAAATCTGCACAACTTCAGACTGTTTGGCCCTGATGAGACTGAGTCAAATAAACTGTCAGCAGTTTACGAGGTGGGCAAGAAGGTCTGGATGGGCGAGTATTTTGAGGAGGATGAGGATGGTGGCAATCTTGCTCCAGCAGGCAGAGTTATGGAGATGCTATCTGAACACACATGCGAGGGCTGGCTGGAGGGCTACATCCTCAGTGGTCGTCACGGCTTGTTGAACAGCTATGAGCCATTCATTCACATTATTGACTCCATGGTCAACCAGGTGAGTTGAATACTGTGAAACCATTTTTTCAAAAACCATGGCTAACATTTGGTAACAGCACTGCAAATGGCTTGAGAAGTGTGCTGAAGTGGAGTGGCGTGTAAGAGTAGCCTCTCTCAACATTCTTTTAACATCGGTTGTTTGGAGACAGGACCATAACGGCTTTACGCACCAAGATCCCGGCTTCCTTGATGTTGTTGCCAACAAGAGTCCTGAAGTTGTTCGCATCTATCTTCCTCCTGATGGAAATTGCTTGCTATCTGGTATGATGTTCTACTTGCCGTCCCGTAAAGGTATATGCTAACAAACCCTTGCAGTCATGGACCACTGTCTTCGATCCTCAAATTACGTCAATGTCATTGTTTCTGATAAACAAGACCACCTCCAGTATCTCGATATGGACGCTGCAATCATCCACTGCACCAAGGGCATCGGCATCTGGCCGAAATTCAGCACCGATATTGGGCAGGATCCGGATCTCGTTATGGCTTCTTGCGGTGACATTAGCACTCATGAAACATTGGCGGCCATCGACCTCCTCCTTCAGCACTTCCCAGAGCTCAAGATTCGCTATGTCAACTGCGTCGACTTGTTTAAACTGATCCACCCCAGCGAACATCCACATGGCCTCAGCGATAAAGAATGGGTCAGTTTGTTCACAGAAGATACACCCATCATCTTCAACTTCCACAGCTATCCCTGGATGGTGCACCGCTTGACATATAAGCGCCCAGGATGCCAGAACATCCACGTCCGCGGATACAAAGAGAAGGGCAACATTGATACCCCCTTGGAGCTGGCGATTCGCAACCAGACCGATCGGTTTAGCTTGGCCATTGATGCCATCGACCGCATGCCCCAGCTAAATAACCGAGGCGCAGCTGCTCGGCAGGCTATGCTGAATGCCCAGATTGAAGCTCGAACGGAGGCGTTTGAGAGGGGTATGGACCCAGAGTACTTGACGAAGTGGACATGGAAGCGAGATGGGTTATGGAGCAAACATACTTAGGAATGTACTACTAATGGAGTGCTGGAGACGCAGAAGTAACTGGAGTGACAGATTTACCAAGTACAGAATTAGCGCTGTTCTAGGCACACTGCATTTTATCTATATAAGGTTAAAATTCTTTTGTTAACACATACTTACAATTACCGTGTTTTATTCCTACTACAGGTGCCTCGGTTATATTTCATTACTTCTAGTGAGCACTTCATTCCACTTCAATGTCATTGTGAAAATGTATTACCAAGCAGCTTTAAGATCCTATATTCCCATATTCACCTGTATGTTATTACCCAAACGCAATCCAATCAACGTCAATGCGAGCACAAGGTGGCGCCTCACAAGTCCAAGAGAAGCCTTTAACCGACTGCTTGGAAATTTTGACATGGAGACTTATGCTTTTCCCCGATTTCATCTTAATCCCGTTGCTGGCCACAAACGTCCGAGGCGTCCTTTTAAACGGCTCATCGAAGACTATGGCACGTTCGTCTTTTTCATCGTAGCACTCCTCACAGTTTTGTGGCTTTCTTTCAGAGTACTGCAGCTTAAACCCACATTGTCCAATATTTTCAGCACGGGCATGAAAGGAGCAGCCTCCTTTGCCTAGAAATTTCAGGGCAGTAAACCATACGATGATATTAGGACATCTATCGTATGGTCCTTCACACCGAATTTCGTCGACACCGGAGTTCAAGCATTCAGATGTGTCGACTATGTTTGTGTTAGAGAATATAAGAGGGCGGGTTATTTAAACCACACCGTACCTTGAAAGTCGTCCTCATGAGAAATCAAATTCTATCCAAACAACGCTGCTGGATTTAACAGTCAACTTGGAGCTCCTGGAGCCATTGGAGCCGGTCCTCTTCAACCCGAGTTGTTCTTTGGTAATGCTGCTTGCCTCCCATTGAACGCGACAACTAGAATGCCATTCCATATTTATGGAGCTAATGCCTAGCATTATACGAGGCGCTTTTAGGTAAGCAACGTCAAACTTGATAAGCTGCTCGTCGGTTTGTTTAAGCGCTGATTCCGGTCGAATATCCCAGGTCGAACAGAAGCCGTCGCTGCGATTGCGAATTATATCAATTGGTTGGCCGGAACCAAGTAGTCTTTCCGCTTCAGTTATCTGGCCTCGTATGAAGTCCGTCTGCTCCTTCTTCTTGAGGGCGTTCTTAAGCAGCTCCGCGACCCCTGCGTGTCCTCTTCACATAGCCCATATCAAAGGCGTGACCTGAGAGTTGTCCTCTTTGTCAACGGCTGTACCTTGCTTTACAAGAAGGTTCACTGCTTCTTCATGGCCTTTCTTGGCAGCCAAAAACAGTGGTGAAACCTGGTAGTCATCTTCTTGATTGATACCATCTCCGTTGCCAAGCAGCTCTGTCATAACTTTGATACTGTTCTGTTCAACTGCGAACCACAGAGCGCTTCTTCCCTTGGTCGTCCGTTTGTTACAGTCAACCAGGGTAGTGTTCAGCAATTTTATGACAACAGATGTCTGTTCTTTCTTGATAGCGTACATAAGCGGTGTGAGTTCTGCGTGGCCAACCATATTAAGATCAGCACCTTTGTCAATAAGCTGCTGAAGGGGCCGTTCTTGACCTGATTCGGCAAAATAAGATGCTGCAGTTCTTCCATCTTCTTCTTGCATATCGAGCTTCACACTCGTCTCCAAAGAAAAGTGACCACTTCAGGCCACCCATTGCGTGCAGCGAGAGGAAGGCATTTCGCAAGCTTGTCAGGGTTGAAGTCTCCCGGTTTCGTGAAGCAAAGATGAGCAAGCGCATCGACCCTTCGGCGGTCGTTGATTGCTTCGCTAAATCTGCTTGCTGGCCATTGATAAATGTCATTATCTGTATTGATCTTCTTGAAGATATCGTCATAGCGCGTCGAAATTTCGTTGCCTTTAAACTCGGATACATCCATTTGATACCACTTTTTCCGAAACCTCTATCACCAGACTCGAATGACCGGCGATAAAGTTCACCGAGCTCCTGTAGAGCCATTTTTTTATTTTCTTGAGTGTTTTTTGTCATAGCTGTATTCACACGCCCAGCGTAAAACCCTTTCTGCTCTTAACCATTCTGCTTTTTGCTAGTTGTATCAACATTGATACTAAATTATCGTGGTATGAGTGAAGCTAAGACCGTAGCAAAGGCATAACGCATGAAATTGCGTCGGAATATGTCCCCAACTCATGATCTCTGAAGAAGTTTGTAATGGCTGTAATAACTGTATCTTCTATTTGAAGATTCCATGTCGTTTCACGGATCGACATTGTTTTTATTTCAATTATCCGGAACTTCAAAGACTTCATAGAATGCAAAAGGGTAGCGTAAAGTTCTTGGACGCATATATCAAGCAATGGACATTCATTAGGATTGATTCAAAACCCCTGAATATTGATATGATCCTCTTTGAAGGTGTCATCCTTTTGTAGTAGGTCGTAAACTACATTCCACCCGCAAATTCTGTATGCTTTTTGAAGATTATTGGAGGTTGGGTTCTCGTCCGCTCTTCGAAACTTCCTAGTATCCCCGTTCTAGTCTCCGATCGGAAACCAAAAATCAGCGAGACTGTATTTATTCCTCTTATTTACCCTCAACGACAGCTTGTCATATTTGAGGTGGCTAGACCCTTGCCATAGGTTCATATCTGCCTCGATGGACTTATCCCACTCTTGGTCTCCGGAAGAAGCGGATATAATCTTGAACATCTTTTTGTTGCGTTTGAGGATGAGAGAGGAAACAATCTCATCATGAGTCTCTTTCTTGGAAGTCATAGACCAATACCAAAGTCCCAGAGCTGCTTCCAGCTGTGAGGAGTCGGTTCTCCAGTTGACATGATCTAAGCCATTTGGTGGCATCATTTTGATGGAGATAGTTTCCAGAGATTGGTCAAGAGCAGCTTCTTCAAGCTGAGAAGGATCAACTTCTTCAGGCGCAAGTATTGGAGACATAATATTCTTTACCATAACTTTAACTTTCAAATAAATGGGCTCCTTAATTGTAGAATCGGGGAAAAGAGTCTCCACTGCGTGAGATATTGCCGCACCTAGACCCTTGGCTTTAAGACGGAATTTGACTCGTTCACCTTGCCAAGACTGACAATCCTCCGGTTCCATTTCATTATTGGGATAATGACCAGTCAAAGGAGATAGACGAATTCTATTGCGAAAGAGGAGGTTTTCACTTGCCTCGTCTTTACCGGCCGTAGCATCTTCATGCTGTCCTGTAATATGCCAGATGTAACTCTTCTGACGGATTTCTTTTGATGTGCCTCCCATAGATATCTGTTTATTGGATATATCTTCCTTGGGTGTCTCGGAAGCCTCCACAGCCAACCAATCAAGTTCATGGCCAACAACCAAATCATCCCATTCGGCCGAATCTTTATCCATTCCAAAAGGGGATTGTATAAGGTTGTCGTCTTTATTCAGCCGCTGCATTCTCAAAGCACCACGCATTCAGCCCCCGGAGATCAATAAACTGGGCGACGTAGCCTAAGATGACCAATGAAACGGCGACATATGTTATAGCATAGTTTTTTTGAGGTATTTTGTTCGATGAAGTCCAGGTTTTAAGCGGTTTTCTTTCATCTGAGTAGATGAAGGCATTGAACGTTTGGTCTCCGACGACCTGTCGCCCTGGCTGCAGCCAGTAAATTCTCGAAGGGTCGTCTCCTCGCTCGTATGATCTTTCATTAGTTGTTTGTCCAACCAGTACCGCACAACTCCATATACCAAAGCATAAAGTGACTGTGCCGGCAATGAAGATTCCCGGTGCGTAATCTTCAGAAGCTTCGCTGCTGAGTTTTTGAGCGTTCCAATTAAGGAGCTAGGGGCTAATACCGGCGAAAACAATGACACCTGACTGCAGGATAAAATCAAGAGTGGCTACGATATAGAGAAATATAGTTGATTGCCGTTTAAGTCCCACGTTGAGAGAAATATTTGGCTTTAGGGCAAACTCCGAAGGGTTGGAATCTGAGTTGGCGCTATCGGAACCAACGTCTCTTTTTCTTTTTGAGATTTCGGACCAGCGAGAAATTTCTGGGTCGTTTTTCAAATATTGCGTGAATAGATGGAATCTCGGCTCGGTGTGAAGCTCTTCAGGGATGTAAACAATCTCCATAATATCCGGCCGTCCAAGAACTCGGGTGATGCCGCCTTTGTCGAATAATTCGCAAACGTCGGCACTGGTAGATGTGCAAAGCTCCGCCTCCACTGTACTTTCTCCTTCTTGCGCCTTCCCGATGAATGCTCTGAGGGCGGAGTTTCCGCATAATCGAATAACAGCCGTGAAGGTGCTGATGATACCGATAGAAGCCATAGCAAAGATGAAATAATCGATGAATCTCCTACTTTCGCTGAGATATTGGATAGTGGCGGCTTCTCCCAGCAGCGAAAGAAGAGGCCCTAGGTCTGATGCCAGGTTGTTGGAGAAATCATCGAGGCCACTAGCATTGACGACAATGATGGTGGTGGAACAAAAAAGAAAGAGAATTGAATGCTTCGACGTGGCGCCTGTGATTGACGAACAGCCACGGTGACGCCCAATATATTCTAATCCAATTATCTATAACCCTTGCATCAATATTTCTGAAAAAAGAATGCGCTGCGAAATTAAGAGCGCAAATATTGTCTGACCTTACAATTCAGCTACAGCCTAATAGTGTGGCTCCCCAGCCTTGCCAATGCAGCTAAATCAGGGGCATCATGCAGCCTCGCTGGGTTTTTCCAATCATCGTGGCCATTCCAATTCAGCTGGCGGGTCCAACAGCTAGATAATATTAGCAAAGCAATCTTATTCGCCGAATGCAACGCAAGTTATGATCTGATTTGCTGATTGTCTGCCTCCTTACAGATGCAATGTTGCAGTTTATATCTCGTATACTTGATACTAGGAGCAAATACATGGATGACCCTGGCTACTACGGCTGAAATTCTTATCTCTGCCCTTTTTCCGGCTTCCCATTCACCTGCGAAAAATACGGAAAAGGTAAGCATAGATAGAAGCGGTGAAGTGCATCCACGTTGATGCATCGTGGAAAACATATAGAGGCTCTTTACGCTTAGTTCAACCGCCATCAATATCATTGATGGGTCTCCACTGTTATATAATAGGAAACAAGATGTTAGATACCACACGCACTGATTGAATACATTACCATTGCTTTGAAGCTTACAATATTTTGGGAATTCCCACAGTGTTCGATGTTAAGTCATCCGCGCACTTGTACAAAAGATGGACTCAAGGGCGGAGCAAAAGAAATAGAGGACCACGACATTATGTACATGTGTAATGAAAGTAGGGATATAAACACTACAAACTCATAATACCTCCATTATATTGCATATATAAAACCACCTAAGTAGCTAAAGTGGTAGCAGTAGCAGCAGTAGCAGCAGTAGCAGTACATGTATCGACTAGGTACCCGTATACAATCAACCAGGTACTATCTGTCATGAATGTATCTCGAGTTTCCGGGCACCTTGCAGCTAGGGGGTGGTTTTGACGACGGTCACCTGCTGGTAAGTGGCCGCATCAGCGATGATCAGGGTCAGAAAAGATTCTGTGCCGACAAGAAAACTTTAGTTTGTAGAATACGCGTGTATACGAAAAATCAATCTTTTTGTAGATCACAGCCACAGGGCTTGAAATTCGACGCCATTTCTTTTTTACTTCGTTCGCTTAGGCAGTTGAAACCTTTATAATTTCTGCCTAATCCCATCCCTTCTTTTCTCTCTTCGCGCCAACGTTGAAGACTCGTTGCAATTTTCATCAAGAAAGAGTAAATGAATATTGCTCAATATTGGTACACTTCTTCATTAACAAAGCATAATAGTACCTGAGCTGAAAGACTATATGCAGTTCACCAATTATGGCGGCATCATCCACCGATATGGCTCTTATTTTTAGTCTTGAAGAAGACCAAAAGAAAGAGCTGATTGACATGTGCATAACCGGAGAGCTTCAAGGCTATATCAAATTACGCCAACAAAGAGGGAAAGCTACTCAAAAGATTCCCGAAGACGTTCCACCAGGATCGGAGCCCGTACTCGAATATATCGAAGACCTAGAGCGGAGACAACGCATATTTGAGGAACTTCATCACCTCCAAGTGCAAAATTCAGATTATGCAAGGTTAAACATGGTGGTATTTGGTGTCGTCATGATTGCTCCGATACCCTATTTAGAGGCGTGCCTTGACCAAATTCGACAATTCGCTCGGATGGGCGATCAGGGGTTCGTCCTGATGGGGTTTGTTGGCATGTTCCTTTATCGATGCGAAGGAACTTATGCTTGTTTGTCTTTCTTTCACATCATCTTGCTTTTTCTCTCTCGAATGTTTGTATTTGCTAACTGCTGTCTACCCCATATTCAGACGCTAGAGAAGTATGGCAGCCATCATATTCGACTTCTCAGCATACTAGCGCCCAATCTACGTCAGGAACGAGCACTCCAAGAGATTGTCGAAATGAGTCTGCTTCTGAGTTGGTTAGTATTTCGAAAAGGAAAACTATCCAGTGTCCCAGTTCTATTATCCAGCACTCCAGCTACTGCTACTGATGCTACTGATGCTACTGATGCTACTGATGCTACTGATGCTACTGATGCTACTGATGCTACTGATGCTACTGATGCTACTAAATATATTTGAGAGTAAGATATCTTGATAGATGGGCTAGCTGCCTTAATGTGCTACAGCTGGCGTGTCGGAAAATGGAACTGAGATGCTGGACAACATTTCCCTTTTAAAACATTCATTGATGTTAAACTTTTCTAACGATAACTCATAGTGCATACATAGGGATAATAACGAATGCATTCTCACTGGTACCTTGCATCCCGAAGCGGCTCAAATCTTCCCATTGGAAACATTAAGGCATATAAACTTTTCAAATTTTGAAAGTCTACTTGAAATATTTTGGGGCGAGGAACAAGCCAAGATTTGGCTTGACTTAGTTCAAAACACAACTATTGTTGAATCTGCCAGGAATTTGCTCAGCTTCAACCCCCAAATCCATTGGTGGTTTAAGAATGGGATTTTAGCCCTCAAACCTCTGCGACAGTTGGACGACGGATCAGTCGTTGTACAGTTCCATTGGCTGAAGCGTCATCAAATCAAGCCAACAACCAAATTTGAAGGCAACGTCAACGACTTTATGAAGAACGCCGGACTTGAAGTTAATTCGACTTGGGGAGATATTTTGGCATATGGAAAGGATGGGCTACCCCTAATGACTGGACAGATTTTTACTCTCAAGGCGGATAAGGATAAACCCGAGATGGGACCAAGTTTTGAACTACTGAAGCTTTCTTGGAACATGTTGCGTATCATTGCAATTAGTGGTGCCGCAGAGCCAAAAGAATTGTGGAAGGATGGTTGTGATACGAACACCTGGGCTGACGACGTTTCCTTTAAGTTACGAAGCTGGATGGATCAAAATCATCGAATGGAAGAAGATGAGGAGTCTGAAACTGTCGACTCTCGTGACTAGGAGCACTCCAGTTACTACTATTGCTACTATTGCTACTACTGCTACTACTTGTGTGAATGTCATTTTTGTCGTACTTAGTGTGTTCCCTTGCATGGCTTCAATTGGAGAGTTTTCTCCCGCATCTACTCTTGCTAGAACACATAATATCACCGAGTATTTGGTTAAAATCATCAATTGCCAATTTTTACAATGTTAAGCCACGCCTAAATGAGCCAACCTTGTTCCAACAGCCCAATGCCGCAGACATTGTTTTCCACTTAACGCATACCTACCATGGAAGGAGCATCAGCTAGCTTCTTCAAAATAGACAATGCGAGCGTACATGGCCCGTCTGGCTTCTCTTCGACCTATAGAAGGAGGCCCATTAATGCGTGCAGCTTCTGCTTCGATTCTTTCCAGCTCTCCAATGCCCGAAAAAACAATTCTGCCTCTGTTGGGTAGTGCGTTGTCCTTTTCTGCATGTTGTGGCTTGCAACCTTGCCTGTAGATGCTTGGATTGAATAGTTCAGCTAATTCGCTTCCACCCTCAATGCTCGTAGATCTTCGGTGCCCTAGGTGTCTGTTCGTAAGTGTACTATTTCCCTAGTCGGTAGATTGCTTGTGTAAGCTTGTTCGCTGTATGATATGGTCTGTAGATGTCTTGAACTTCTTGAACGGGTGTTCCTCTGTTGGGGGCTGTATACACATGTAGTAATCAAGTACGTAAGGTATTTATATATATAGAGCTGGAGTGTTGGATAGTGCAATTGGATGTTGGATAACTTCTCCCATATAATAACCACGTAATGGTCAATTGACCTTGCACATACAAATCATTACGGAACTCATTGTGAAGTTAAGTTTTTTTTTTTTTTCAATTCAGCTGGATGAAGGATCAACCCGCAGTTACTTGTTATCCAAGATGCTTTCATCCAAGTGGCAGAGTAATCGTCTACCGTCATTACAGTCATCAAAACGCATCCATCATGCTAAACTACAACATCATGATGTCCTCTAATGCCGTCCAGGCACCCGGAGAACCTGACCAGGGTAAATCATATCCGGGTTATCAATGCCATTGTGTCTCGCAATCTCCTCATAAGACGTTCCATAGCGGGCCGCAATGCCACGCAGCGTCTCTCCCTGCTGAACGGTAATGGTATGACCGCGAGACCGGGAGCCCGAGCGCCGGCGGTGATGCGACGAGCCGCTGGAGCTGCTGCTGGAGCGGCTGTGCGAACGACGCCGGCGAGAGTGGCTGCGGGATCGGCTTCGAGACCGGCTGCGGTGTCTGCGCTCCTCATATCGCTCCTCCTCGCGTCTTCGCCGCTGCTCGGCCTCCCAGCGCTCTGCGTCCTGCTTTTCGTCCTTTCGCTCGTGTCGCCAGTCGGAAACGCCGTCCTGCAGCTTCGAGCCGGCAATGGCGCCGACGATGGCACCGACAACGCCGCTGGTCTTGGCGTGGCCGGTGGCCTGGCCGCCGAACTTGGAACCGCCAAAGGCTCCGGCGGCACCGCCTGCCAGAGCGCCCATCAGGCCTCGCTCGCCCTCCTGGGGCTCGCCGCCAAAGCCCTGCTGGCCGTAGCCCTGCTGGCCATAGCCCTGTTGTCCGTGGCCTTGCTGGCCGTAGCCTTCATGTTGCTGGCCGTAGCCCTGTTGACCGTGGTTCTGCTGCTGGCCGTAGTTGTTGTGCTGGCCCTCCTGGCCGTATGGCGGCGGCGGCTGCTGGTATTGTGTGCGGTACTGGTCGTTGTTGCCCTGCTCGTAGTAGGAGTTGGCGGAGCCGCCCTGCTGTTGGTGGTGGTAGCCCTCCTGGGGCGGGTATTTGTTGTCTTCGTTGTAGTAGCCGCTCATGGTTGCGTCGGTGTGACAGAAACTTGAAGAAGAGAAGGAAGGGATTGGTGACTGAGATGGAGTGTCTAGTCTAAGCAGAGCAAAGCAGAAGCAAAGATTATGTGGGACGGGGACAACGGCCAACTTTATAGACTCGACGTTATACGAAGCACATGCAAACTAGCCACGGCCTCCAGCTCGATCACATCTCCACCCCCCCTGCGCTGAGAGCGTGGCTGATGGGCTTGGCCTGACCAGACACAGCCCCAATATCACGCTGCCACGTATGTGGGAATGGGTGGCAACCTATAACGTCCGAGGGCCAGGACGCACGGGGAACGCAGGTTGCCGAGAGTCCTCAAGTACGGAACCGACAATTGGATCGCCGGGTCCTGTCGATTCCTGTCAAAGGACCCTTGGTGTCTCCCTCAATGCGGCGGTGTATGGTGGGATGGACCCCTCGGATGGATACATGGCGAGCATCAGTGGGTGGTTGGACCCCTTTAGTGGAACGAGGCAGAGCTGCAGCTGGAGTTGACAATTCTGTTTAGTATGGTGACTCTGTTAAAGAGACTGGAAGCAGCAAGCAACTCAAAGCGGCATCAACTTTCAACCATTGGCTTTCAACGCAATGCCCTTGTCAACGATCTGATGGACCCCTCTTTCCTATTTCCGCCGTAAGATGTCGTCAACGTGCGGTTGCTCCACCTCAGAACGGATCCAGCTTACAGGCGCTTCTACAGGTCGAGCTTCAAGGTGGCGCGGGCGGTTTGTCGCAGCCAGAAGCGCCATGTTTCACCAATCGGTTGCGCCAATCCAATGGTGGGCCAGGAATATGGCAGCCAATGGCTGGTGGCCGAGAACAACAAGCATAGATTATAAGTTATAAAAGAAGGCATGTCTGGCGAATAGGAAGAGTTCCGTACAAGTGTCGATAAATAGAAAAGAGATCGGTATGGCTTGTATCGCTTGTAGCACGTCTAATTGAGGGCAATGTATTGAAGAGCCAACAGCACCGGCACAGAGGCACACACAAATCCCATGGCGGCGATGCCCCAAAGCGTGCATCTTTCTTCCACTATTTTGCGTGTGATGCCGCTAGTCTGGCCATGTTGCCCGGCTTCTTGCCCAGAGCGCTGTTCAAAGCGAAGCCCAAAGTGTCGTTTAAAGTATTGGCTGTGGTGTGGCATGAAACGCTGTTCAAAGCGTGATTCAAATCCAGGATATGGCACAAAGTACCGTCCAGAGTATTGATCTTCGTGACTCTCTCCACCATCTTGTTCCACACGGCGCCGAGCATCTGCATCTCCGCCTTCTCTGGCATCCTGATCGGTCGAATCGCCGAGTTCATCATCGGCATCGTTATCGGTGTCGTCTACCGCGATGCTGGTAAGGAGGGGTGGCGTATCGTCGTCTGAATCGCTCTGGTTGTTCACCGCGGTGTATCCCCCGGGATCGACGTCCGCGTGGGTTTGGAACGCATATCGGTCGAGGCAAAATACAACCGGCATTCGACGAACCGTGTAATTGTAAAAGAAGGACGAGAACGGTTTCCGGAAAGTTGCAAATATTCCAAACACGGCCAAAAGGGCAATGGTACACCACGCAATAAGCAGAACCGTGTTCTTCCATACGAGGAGATTGTCAAAGGCAATAAAGTAACCGCCTAGCGTAGCAAAATGAAACGAACTGAGGCTACAAGCGACGTAACCACTCCACGAAACATCGCCCTGTTCCCATTCTGTGTAGGGTTTGAAATCGAATATGGTCCACCACCCAAGCATCAAAGACAAGATGGTCATGCAGATCGTAAAGTACGTTAAATGGATGTAGGGAGCTCCGGCGGCCCATAGGCAAAAGTTGAACATGTAAGACATCAAGTTCAGAAGAGACGACCAGAAGACCACTTTGTGAGAGTGCAGGGGAGGAAGAAGAGGGAAAGTCAGGAGGGGAATCAGGGCTGCGGCCATGCTGAGCTGCTCCGGAGTGACGGTGTCATTTCCTGTGACGGCAACGCTGGATACAGCGCGGAAAGCTTGTTCAGACATCTTGTTGCAGATTTTGCAGACTTGTGACAGTATCAGGTTAGTTGTAGTTGTTGTATAGTTGTATGAATTGTGACGGTTACAGATTGAGATTCGATTCGATCTACAGTACGTGTAAGTGGATGAGCGAATATTGAGTGCCAGAGGTGCGGCAGAATTTTTGGCCAAGCTGCGTTTTTATATCTCGGAACACGGCCTCGTAAAAGCTTCGCCAATGGATCCCTCTTTGAGTTCTAGAAAAATTGGTGGCCGCGTATAGAAGCTTTAGAAGACACTTTGAGGCGGGCAAGCAGGGCATTTTAATGGGGCATTTGCACCGTGGCGTCGGGGCCACTGGGGGCTGTTGGAAATTCTGCAACTACAAAGGTTACTATCGTGAGATCAAAGTTTTATAGAATATCTAAAATGTCACTCAAGCCGTAGATGGAGATTCTAGATGGCGTTCTATTAGAACTTGCACCACCAATATTGTACACTATCATAATGGACATGAGGATATATTTGCAAAGCAGACTTCTGAGATAATAGCATGCGTGTATATATACGTATACTGTGGCTGTTCTATCGCGTTAGTTTACGCGTCCTAGTGTATGTAAAATGGCTCTATAGGCATTGATCAAGCCATCTCGTGCATCAAACATAATCGTACAGTCCCAAGCAGAATGCTCGTTAATTCCACCGCTTAAAAAACATACCCCAAACGCCTCCCATATGTACCAATGTTACACTTTCACAAGCTTGAACCCAACTTGTATATACCTCGCCCAGACAAACAGTATACTTCCTATCATCATAGAACAGCCACAAAAAAGCTGCAAACCCAAATAGTCGCCATCTTGGGCCGCCACTATCGCACCCCCGATAGGGCTTCCTATCAGCGCTCCAACAGACTCGATGGCAAAAAGTGTACCGACTCGAGTGCCTATCTGGCTAATGTCAGATATTTGCGCGACGCAAACCGTGCAAATGCCGATGAAGCCTCCAGAAGCAAAGCCGTATATAGCAACGAAAACAATAATGCCAGCGACGCTCTTGATGGGGATCCAAACCACGAGGCACACGAGGGCAGAGACAAACGTGATTGATACCATCATGTTGAATTTACCAACCTTGTCGGCAGTAACACCAGAAAGAACTCGCCCAAAGATACTCACGGCGTTGAGTATGGGTAGTAGATACGGAATCAAAGTCGGAGAGAAACCAGCTTTTTCAGCCTGAAGTAGGACGTAGTTGAATGGCAAAAACATGCCCAACATGAAGAAAACCGCAGCCACAGAAGTAACCGCCAAACGGATATCTTTAAGGTTGTCCAAGTACTCCTTTAAGACGAATTGGCGCGGCTTCGGTGGCAACCTCGACTTGACCGTCAAGCACGCAAAGGCAAGCAGAAACAGGAATATGAGCGACATGACTCGCATCATCCATGGAAACCCAATTTTTGCAATCAGTTTATCCATCATAAGGGGCCAGAAAATCCCGCCGAAAGAAGAGCCCGTGACCAGGACGCCATAAGCAGCGGCGCGGTTCTTCTGGAACCAGCTGGCGATGGAGGACATGGCCGCGTGGAACACGGCGGCGGATCCGATTGCCGAAACAATGCCCTGGGAGAGGAAAATCTGGGAGTACTCTGTGGAGAAGGAGAGCATCATGAGGCCGAAGATGAAGGTGATTGAGCCTACCCACAAGAGCCACCGCGGCCCGTAGTTGTCGAACATGAGGCCAAACTGTAGCAGCTAGATTAGTATCCATCTTGTATATACATTTCTTTCTTCTTTTGCTGTTTCGAGACTAAGGACTTTCACTTACTATTGATCCGCAAAAGATTTGCAAAAACACCAGCGCGGACAAAATCCAGCTCACAGTCGATTGGTTGTACTCCATTAAAGGCCCAGATACATAATACTGCTCAAACACCCCAACCGAATTGATGAGTCCAAAAGTGCACACCAGAGCACACCATCCACCAAGGACGACCAGCCAAGCCTCCAGCCCGCCTTCAGGATACGAGTCCAAGGCATCTTCCACCTCAGGAAGTTTGTAGTTTGACTCCAAGTCGGATCCACGTCGTGAAAGTGTCTCTATGCCGATTAATTCTTCAACTTTGAAATGTAGTTTAAAGTCGATTTCTTCGCTTACTCGCCAATCCTCATCAGCCACAGCTGTGACATCGGAAGAGAAAGAGCCAGAGCGCATCGTAAAAGTTCCAAAAATAACAATATCTGTTGATCAATTTGATATTGGAAAATGAAGAAGAGAAGAAAGGGAATGGGAGACAACAAAAGTAGAATGTCGACTTTTCCTGGGGGGCAAAACATGAGATGAACTGGGCCCTTTACAGAACAGACAGGGCACATAATACATGCAGACAGAACTGAGCACGAGCTTCAAAGAGTCATCTGCAGTTATGCATCCCATTGTGGTCGGATCCAGATGCAAAGGGGCACAAACCTGTGATATTCAGGTGCGGTGTGCCTTAGCCCAGATACCGGGTGTTGGTGTCTGTCGCTCAACATGGACTATCATCTTGAAAATCATGGCATTCTTTCACATCGGAGGAAACTAAACAAACACAATACAGCAAGGACACCACAGCGTCCAGTACGTTCAGTTTTTCCCTTTATTGTCTTCTTCTTTCTCTCTTCGGGGTTCCTCTCTTCGGAGCTTCGTTTCTCTCCTTTTCCCGCGTGTAAGTACCATGTTCCGACGATGTGGCGAGAACAGAAAGCGTGTGTTGGTCGCGCTTAATCGGAACAAACAATTGCCTTAGACTGCCGCTTTGATATTAGCCCGATATGTCTACAATGGCCCATTCGCTTTTACCCCGCGTCTGGCCAGGAACAATCTTCCGGTCAAAAGAGGCCCGGTCGTGAAAGACGGTCCGCTTGTGATAAAGTGCCAAAGCATGCATCATCTGAAGTGTTAGACGAGCAAAAGACTAGCAACATCAAAGCAAAACAAAGACTGTAAAAGTAGGGTATATGCTTTGGTCAGTGCAATGGCATAAACAATGAAAGCAAGCTCTGCAAGGATTTGCCATGAAAGCACTCATCCCGCTGTCAAACAGATGTTTCTCAACATCAAGACAGCACCGTCCTGAACCCCCTTGGTCTCATACGTACCCGTTTAAGAAGACAGTGCTCCACAAAAACGAACAGGGCATCCTGAGAACTTTCTTCAGTCGCCCACGATTTGGCGCGTGGCTTTCGCGCTCAGAGCAAACGCCACGACATCCGAGCATTGGTCTGCGCGCAGGCACAAAAGTCGCATTGATCACATTCCAAGTGGCAGCAGCAGCAAACCACACCATCACCATGGCTCGAAATGCGTGTTAGATATATCAAATCTTCCGTGTTGCAAACAAAGTGACTCGATACCATAGCTGAATCACCGAGGGTGATTTTCGTAATGTACAACATACAAGCTTGTTCCGCAAGCAATGGCTCTATTCGCCGTCCGATTCTTTCGTCTCCCAAGTTGATTCCTTTTTTTTAGACAAACTCTTTCAGATCTTTCTTATCCGCAAATGTTACTTTGCCATCCTCCTTTGTCAGTTTTACCTTGATTCCGGATTCGATGTCCTCTTTTGTAGTCTGCACGCTTTGAGGCTTGTTGGACAGCTCAAGTGCAGACGCCAATGTACCGGCCTGGGCATCGGCAATTTCATTGACCTGTTCGTTTGAAAGGGTGTCGACGACGCGCACGCCTCGACTTGACATTAGAATGGTGCTGGGCCCTTTGAAGTGCAAGAACAAACGGTCACCCCAGATTGTCCGACGAGATATGGTCCGAAGGCTGTAGAAAACACGGGCGAGGAACTTGTAGGCTTCTGATCCCCGCACTTTCTTCATAAATTCCATTTCGGGAATCCAAGACGTCAGAGACGGGATCTGGAATCGGAGACTGGCGCTCTTGAATCTAAAAGGCAAAGGCTGCTGCTTTGATACAGAGTATGCGACCACGCTGCCGGGATGAGCGACAAACTCTTCGCCCTCGGAGAGATGTAGTTGGTAGATCTGCCCAGGCGCCGATAGAGCCGCCAGACCACGCCCAGTCACGAATGTGCTTCCCCAATGGGCCACCGAAAGTCTCCTTTGAATCCGTGATGAGAGAGACAGGGTGTGGCCTGTCCAAGCCAGCAGAGCATTGCGCTGAGTCACCATCCAGTCGGTCGTTCCATCAAGGTGTAGAATCGAAAATGTGGTATTAGGGTTTTTGGTAGAGATCAAGGCCGTAATTGGCGAAGTAGCAGAGATGCGCTGGTAGAGGAAGGGGACTCCGAATGGGGCTCGGGAGAGAGGATTTAGCAGCGACAGTGTCGATTGTGCCTACGAAACATCAATTTGTCAATATCTCAATATCCCAGCCTTTATGTGCGGCCGCATCATCAGCGCTCTTACATTGTCTGGATTCCCCGCCACTGCGACCAGTGTCCCACGTCGTGTATATAGTCTCTGTGAAGCCGAGAGAGAAACCGAGAGCAGCGAGTATGGCGAGCCAATGACCTCGAATCGGGCATCTTTCAAGCACAAACTGTCAGTTTAGGTGTCGCCATACGCAAAAACAGCTTCTCGTAGAAGTGGCGCCATACCGGCCGAGTCTCGCAGATTTTCGACTGCGCCAAATGCATCTCCCCCACCAGTTCTCGGCGACTCAGTGCTGGGCGTCGCGCTGATCTGGATGCCTCGGCACTGGCAGCACACGTACTGCACCGAATTCTGGCTGCGCAATGCGCGCGCCGTCCGTAGCAGCGGCGAAGGGCCCCTCATTGTGCCGATTGTCGAGCTCGTGAGAGCTTCTCGAAAACTTGACGTCGAGCTGCTGCGAAGTCCGTCGAGGCGCTAAAATCCCGGCAATTCTCGCAATCAATGCCTGGCGGTCTTTCCCGGCCCCAGTGCTGGACATGGACTAGGCCTAGCATGGCTTCGCGCGCGGTTGCCGTGACAACGCAGCTGGAAATAGCTTGACGGGTACCTCGTTATGTAACGCTTTACCCCGTATTGCGGATGTACCAGCTGAAAACTCGGTCAATCTCGATGCTAATTAATCTCACATTCCACATGCGACAGATGCTCACTAAGCAGGACTAGGAGCGTCGATATCATCACCGGCTCAGTTCGTGTCCCGGCGGTTGCTGCCTGCTGTCTTGTCTTCGGCCCCAGACTCAATTGGCCGCCAATGTCGGTCCGCGTCGTCGCCAGGCTGCGGCCTCTCCTGTCCAAGGAGCTGGACAAGGACATCATTGTTCGAACCGACAGCGTCGACCCCGAGAAGCCGCCGACGGTTGTCAAGATCCCGAATCCGCGCAACGAGAGCGAGGAGTTTTCGTTTACTTTCAACGGCGTCTATGACCAGGAGACGTCGCAGGAGACCCTGTTTACTTCGGAAGGTGGGAGCTTCTAAACGCGTCTTGTGTCTTGCTGGACTATCCATGTTAACCTGAGCAGTGGCACCACATCTCAAATCGCTATTTCAGGGTGTTGATGTCACCATCTTCGCGTATGGAGTTACCGGTACGGGAAAGACGCATACGATGCGAGGAGGGATGAAGCTGGCCGAGCGAGGTGTCATTCCCCGGCTGCTTAGTGGCGTGTTCCGCAGAGGAAAGAAGATTATGAAGGAGTCAGAAGGAAGCACAGTAGTGGAGGTGGCCCTATCATACTACGAGATCTACAACGACAAGGTCTACGACCTGCTGGAACCCCCTGAGAAACGGACACCAACTGGACTGCCTCTCCGTGCAGAGGCCAACGGCAAGACTGTCGTAGTGGGCTTGACAGAGCGAGCCTGCGAAGATCTAAAAGACTTCGAGAAGCTATATGTCGAGGCCAACAACCACCGCGTAACGGCTGCCACCAAGCTAAACGCTCTCAGCAGTCGAAGTCACGCCATTCTACGGGTCAAGCTGACGCAGACAACCGGTAACATGGTTCGTGAAAGCACAGCATCCGCCATTGATCTGGCTGGTTCGGAGGACAATCGCAGGACCGATAACGACAAGGAGCGGATGGTGGAATCAGCGGCCATCAACAAGAGCTTGTTTGTTCTCAGCCAGTGTATCGATGCCATATCACAAGGAGCCAAGAGGATACCTTATCGCGAGTCTAAGATGACCAGAATTCTGTCATTGGGTCAGAATAACGGCATCACAGTTATGATCCTAAACTTATCACCACTGCGAAATTATCACTTGGATACTCTTAGCAGCTTAAACGTGAGCTCTCGAGCCAAGCGCATCGAGGTCCGCGAGATTGAGAATGAGGTCGTTTTCAAGCAGGTTCCTAGAACGAACTCTGCTACAGCTAACCAACGACAGCCATTGAAAAACTTGGCCAATGCGATCAATACTCACAACGTTAGCAGCGGAAAAACTGCAGAAAAACCAACGGAAGCAGCCAAGCCCGTCAAGGCATTTAGCGTATATACAGACAAGGCAAAGCCTTCAGGAATTGCGCGCCCTAGAACCAGCTCTGGCCTTACCAGCTCTGGCCTTACCAGCTCTGGCCCTAGAATCAGCTCGGGTGCGACTCGCTCCTCTTCCCAGACCCGTCGTTCATCGCTGAAGCGGCCCTCCGACACAGAATCAACCTCTCGACCCAGCAAGCTTGCTCGACCAATCGTCCATCAAACCCCTCAGCGGCAGGTGACTCAGCCCTCGCGACCCTCACTGTCCTCGCAACCTTCGGAAGCTTCACAGCCTTCACCTTTACAGCAAACTGTCACTGTAACGGCAGCTGAGATTGAGGCTATGGTTGAGAGGAAAGTCAGCGAGATACTAGCAGCGAGAGAAGCAGCTGAAGAATCTCTGCGGCGGACACAAATTACCCCAGAGGCCGGTGATGCGGTTCAAAGACGGCTGGAAGCTTTGGAGCGGCGGATTGAAAATGAAGAATGGAGAGAAGATGCCAAATCCGAGGGACTGCGGCTTCTACTGGCAGCAAGGCATCACAGAGAGCGCGGAGATGATGCTGCTGCGCTCAAAGCCTATGAGATGGCTCTTCCATATTTCCCCAATCAGCCAAAGCTCATGGGAAAGATTGAACGTCTACGAGCTCGTATAGAGGCTTCAGGGGGCGCATCGTCTCCTGAGAAGAGGGAAAGAAGAAGAGAACGCAAACCGAGACGCAAGACTGTGAGCTCGGCGGAAGATGATGATGATGCTGAAGCAGACGGAGAAGAAGAAGAAGAAGAATGTCAAGCTTCGACGCCAAAGATCAAGGCCAGCAAGCTCAAGGCCAGAAGAGCACCAAAAACTCTCCCCACGGAAGAAGAAGACGATGACAATTCACCTAATACTCAACGACTACTAGACGTGGTCAACTCACGGGACACAACTCAAATCCAAGGTCTTGTAGGATTCGGCGCGAAGAAGGCTCAGGATCTGGTAGGCTATCTAGAGCTGGCGAGCACTGAGGGCGGTAGCGACATTGAGACGCTGTCTCAACTACGAACGATTCCAGGCCTGGGCGGCCGAACAGTAGACCGCGCATACGAAGGATTGGTAGCGAAGGCATAAAGCCACATAAAGTCATGGGCGGCGTTTTTTATATAGAATTGGTGTGCATGTATTGCTACACTTGGATACCGGAAATGGCGATTTGCCATGTGCGTCTGCGAACGCATAATACGGGCGTTGGGAGTTGTCAGAGCAATATGAGGATCAACAGCACATTTATATAGCTGCTGTTTTGCTAATTGGCTTAGAAGCGCATGTAACAGCGAGCATCATCAAATGGATATTTGCCATGAAATAACATGCAGCCTGATCTTAATCTTGCCTTCTGGTCTTTGTGTTTACTGCCTGTGTTGAGCTCTTCTGCTTTTTACTATTGTATAAGATTGTGACGTCCCTTTTGTTGTATTCTAGCGCTGGCTTTTGTCGTTATGGAGATATAACTTTAGATTTTAGACTGGGTTTGCTATTATATGCTGTGAAGCGGGGCTTCAGATGGGCAAGTGATTTTTTGCGGCCACTCTGGTTTATTGATTGGCTTGATTATAAAAGTGTACTTGTATTCAATTATGTATAAGTTTATCAATATCAATTGTTTAATGTTTGGTTTAAACGTGGAAGTGCGTACTACCTACACGCATCAACCGTACTATATCTAGGGATGCATGAAGTTGAAACTGCATATTAACCGTATCAACTACTAGACCCAATGTCACGCTACCAACTGCCTCAAACAGCAACATCTCAATAATATATGACTAGCCAGTAACTGCCGACGTCATGTCCACAATGAATCGCATAATAGACGGCTCATACAAATGATTCATTTGTTCCCGCAGCCCCAAGTACCTCTACTTCCACCCTCGCCCAGTCCGTCCCGGATATCGCGGCCATGGAAACCTGTCAAAAACCCACGCCTCGTAGAAGAAAAAAAAAACGCAAGACGCCTCACCCAAACATGCACCAGAAAACAACTCAATTCGCCACGGTTTTTGAAATTGTCAGCAAATCAACGGAAATTAATATGTAAACTCTTTGTCAAACTTCCTTGATATCGACTAATCTTGTCTTCTGTAGCAAGTTTTCCCAAAATGTGAGATAAGTCTCATCCACCAAAAAGCAGATCACTCCAAATCTGGGTCAAAGTACACAGGGCCAATAGAAAATGAGTAATGTGATACTGTACGATTCATGACCGAAGACACGCGGACAACTTAATTAAAAATCTCCATACATGGCATTTTATCGCGCTCTTAGATGGGCAATGTTGTTCGAATCCGAGTTTCGTGTTATTCTAGATGATCTCGCCACCTCTAGTGAATGCATGTCATTACTCTTTTCCACTTCAAAAAAAAAAAAAAACTTGAGGCTTCTCTAATAGCTACGATCTTCACACAATATGCGGGCATGGACATGTACGAATGTTCACAGACACTAAGCCAAGTCTCAAGACCCTTCGGCACGCCGCGACATCGGATACTTCCTTAGTCCAAGCCACAGCCATCCTCTCCCATGTGGGAAAACAAGAAGAGGCGAACTTTGGATTTGGAGCTATTATCCGCTTTTGGAACTGATTGGTACTGATTGGTAAGATCTCTAGACATACAGCAGTGTCATGCCATTTGGTGTGCGTGGGTGGCCGTAGTGGCCGTCGACACCTACGTAATGCGCATGACGCGGCGGCGAAAGAGCTCTGAGGCTCTGAGGTGAAAAGAAGGTGTTCTGGGCCTGATTGGCGGGCGTTGGCTTACCTGTCTTTCCTGACTCTTCGTCACCGAGATGGAGACAGCTGGGGCGAATGCCGTATTGCGGCTTTTGACTTACACGTGGGATACGGGGTACGGAACTGCCGGGTTGTGGTATTCTCATGCTACTATATGCGGGAATAGGTCATCATGTGAGCAGTATGGAATACAGCTCCGGCAGCGCCGCATCGTCACTGTATCAAGGGTAATGCGTTCAGGGATCTCGAAAATTTTCGTCAATTCTTTTGGCATCTATGTACAAGACCGTATTGAGGAAATATGTTCAGCTCAACCGTCATAGCAGGCATATCATATGCTGCGTCCAGCTCCGTATAATAAAGAAAAGTAGAGTAAAGAAATATAAGAAAAAATGTATGAGGATGCTTTAAGCCGGCGATGAAGCGTATCCAGTGAAATCTGTCCAGGCACCAAAACTCATATCCAGACTCGTGAACAGAGAGGGTGTAATTCTAGAGCGGTAGAACGAGTGTGAAATAAAAAAACATATACTCTGAAGATATGCAAGTGATATTCGTCAAGACGACATGCGGTACAATCCTAGGATGCGTAGGGTTGCCATGGGATAACGTAACCAAAGGCCTCCCAAATGGTATCTTCCGCCCTTGTCGTCTGGTAATTTGAACCGTACACCATCCAATATGAAATGATTTTTGTCTTTTTTTGTAAAATGATCTGATTCTTGTTTCTGTTGTTTCAGAACCAATTTACCGAATCATGCTAGTTCGGCGCTGAACTGTTCTCTGCTCCTCTGATCGAGACCCAAAGCCAGGCATTGAGCTAAAGCGGTTCAACTTCTTGCGCTCAGGCAGTGTCTCCATGGTAGGAGTCGTGGGTTCAGGCGACATGGAGTGCATGGGAGATCTAGGAGTGGGCGATGCGCGGTCGCCGTGTAGGGCGTCGCTGCGGGATGCGTTGGACGACTCTGAGGAAGAGCCGGTGCTGTTGGGGGTTTGGTAAACGTACTCGCCGTCCACATAGACGGCATTGGAGACGAAGGTTGAGCGACGATGGCGGCGACGGGTGTAGCGTTGCTCAAGGCGGAAGAGCTCCAGCTTAGCCTGGATGCGTTCGAAGAGGCTCTGACCCATGTTTGCGGTGGAAGTAAGGTTTAAGTCGAGAGAAGACCAGAGGAGAGTCTGAGGCGGGTATCGTTCGTATTTCGAGGTTCTTGTTGCTCGTTTCAGGTGGTGTAAGACAAAAGGTGTTGAATTCGGATCGAGTAGATGTCCCCTGAGTTTGTTCGTATGAGGATTTGCAGTAACAAAAGCCGCGTGTGTATCAAATACAGGTCAAGGTAGTGTAGAATCAGGTAAAGGTCAAAGTAGAAGCGGTCTTGAAGAAGGAGATGCAAAGAAAGAAGTGGTACGTTGGCAGGGGACTTTTGGGGTTTCCGTCTGTATTAGTACCGTTGAATAAGTTGAGAGAAGCGAAGAAGAAAAAGAGTGACAAGAGGTTGGGAGCTGCAGCTACAGGGGCCCTGTTGGCTGTATGAGGACTAGAGAAGAAAAAAAGAGTTGGGAAGAAAAAGAAGTTCAAGTTGAAGGTAGAGACGAGAGAGAGAAGAGTGGAAGGTCAGTTGGCGGGCCGGGGGCAACGATACGGATCAGCAGGCACGAGGTATGAGGTACGAGGGTCGCCGGCGGAGATGACACCGGGGAACGAGGTAGCCCGTACTCTGCACCGCGGGCTTGTACCGGTACTCTCGTGGCAACGCTGCAGGCGGCACGCCACTAAAGGCCCGGGGTCAAGGGGGCGGCCACGCGCTGCAAGTACCTGGACCTTGCAGCACTCGTCGCCTGGCAGGCTGCTGTGGCCGAGCGACAGCGCGGGAGCAGCGGACGGGCAGGTCTGGATGGCCTGGGAGGTATCGCTACTTGAGGTGCCCCAGCGCTAAGGACGCTAATTGACAGAGGGCTTGAATGAGCTGCAGGGGACCCCACGTCGCTATGAGAAGGTGGTTACGGCGGAGCACTACCACCTTGTAGTGGGTGGCTACAGCTCCATGCCAGGTAAGGCGCTGGGCTCGAGGGAATAAGGCGAATTGCCAGATGCAGGCGTCTCCTGATGCTGCGCAGGACTAAAGAGTCGTGATTATGCTGAGCCTTTTTTCGGACGGATGAGTGTGTTGACTGACGGCTAGCGTGAGCACTATTGACTGCTACCTAGCGGGTAGAATGATGAGAAATGGGCTGGAGGCAAAACGGAAAAACGAAGAAGCTTGGACGAGGACAGCCAGCTGCAGAATTGACGTCTGGTGCTTACAAACAGGCCTTTCAGGTACAGACCCGGAACGTGCTGGGTGCTCCATATCCATGCCTGAATGTCCTGAAACTGTGGTACAGCATGCCTGTCCCTCTCTGTATCTCGTGTCTTGCTCATTCTCTTCCTTGTCTGCGTTCTCCATCTCCTCTTCAGCCCATCTGCCATGTTCCCCTGTCGAGTCTTCGAGTCCTCGAGTCTGATCCTGCTTGCAAAAAAGGTTCGCCCTCTTGCGGCTTCATGAAACACCTCTGCTCCATAATACGGACTCTCTAGCGCAGGGGCTTCCTCGTGGCCCGAGTGGCCGCGGCCCAGGTCGAGCCGTTGTGGGTGTCTGGGCTGCGCCAATTAAGGTCGCCGGCCCCAAGCCGGGCTTCGCAGGATTTGCCTTGGCCAGGCCCGGCGCAACTTCCAATAAGCGACATTGGCTGGTTGAAAACGGGAGTCTTGGCCGCCGTGATCGATTGAAACCTGCATGGTCGCCATGCTGTTTCTGCTGGGCGGCGGCAGGTCGCAAACTGCAACACCAATTCGCTGCGACTCAGTCTGGCTATCTGTCTACCTGCGAGTCTCTCCGTCTGCTGCTGTCTGCATGAATACAGTATATGCACTCCGTACGAGCAGCTCAATGCCTGCCTATAATTAGCTTTCGGTGTTGCATGCACGACAGTCCAGCAGCAGGATACGGCCGTACTCGTATTTGCAACGGCAACCCTGTCTTGTCCACTCGTTCGTCCTGCATCGGCGCATCCCCAAACCAAACCGCATCAGGCCCCCTCCACGACCATTCCGGTGGTACTTGTACCTGATAGCTGTCGTGCTACCTGCGGTAGTGCCTTGGAGATGCATGGCGGGCGCCTCGTTCCTGTAGCTAAAATGCTAACAGCAGTGCATGTCCAGCAACCCCTGCATTCATTCTTCGTCTCGACTTTAGCCGTCGCTTTCTGGCCAGAACGCTGGGTCTGTTGGCGACAGCATCAAAGAAGAGAAGGTCGCGCATTCGCCTATGATTGCGATTTGCGATTCCCCAGCCCAGCCCAATCTCCCCTTTTGATGCGCCGACAAGTCACGGCTCACTGGTGACATCAAATACATGGGTGCATACCATGTTTGCGCCTAGCACTCTTTTCCACGTGGATTCCAGAAGCGAGGCGCGATCTTGACGGAAACTGGGCCCCTGCACGGAGGAGCTGAGCTGGGACTCTGCAAGCAATCAGGATCTGGTATGAATGTAGAGTGCTAATAGTCCATAAACAGCGACATCCGTGAATACCTCTAGTACAGGTAGTTGAATTTGCGAGTCCTCTGAGCTCGTACGAGACGAAGTATAGCGAGGCGAAAGCTGCTCGATCTGCCCCGTGTTTGTTGCCATTGTCTCGTGTGCCTCAGACATGGCGCGAGAGGCCGTCTAGCGATCCCGTTGGTATCATCGGAAGCTCCCGAGCACACGGATCTTCCAACGATTTCTGCCTCTGCCTCCAGCTTGTACTCATTGTGCGCCCAAGCACCACTTTTTCTGTGGACGGCGCGCGGGTGTGGAGCAGCCCGAACAATGGTAGTTTAGAGGCTTAAATTTGGCTATATTCAGCTTTGATTTCTCAGGGGAAGCTAGCTTCGACCCAATACTTGTTCACGCAAAGCCTCATGCTGTTTCTTTGTGGCCCCAGCTCTTCAGTGAGCAGGATGTAGACCCTGGGTGTAGAAATTGGTACTTGTAATGTTACACTGCTAGAAACTGCTGCTATGAGCGTGTAAACCTGACGAGATAGTGGGCGTTTACTGCCTCCAGCCAGCAATGTAACTCACGGTTATCTCGTATACTAACTAGATCTCTCCCGAGTATGCATACTGGACGGGATCGGGTGCGACCATGACTCGGTTGAAGTGAGCTCAGATACACTCGGCAGTGATACACGATGCAACTCGCATCTACCTTAATATTACAAGGCATGTTCTGCATCTTGCCGATATCCGCATCAGACCCGCCAGGCACGGCAAAGAGCCGATTGAGCTCGTGAGCACTTTCTCAGTCTGGGTCTTCGCTTTAGATAATCACGGGTGTGCAAGAGCTCCATTGCGGGAAGGTGCGGATACCGTGATAGGAGCACTCCCACTGCCGAGGGCATTTTCTCGGCATATCGTATGTACCTGCCCAATGGGACTCGTTGAGATATACAATCTTAAAAAGAATATGTGAAGGAAAGAGAAGATGTCGCTACCCGTGGGGAAAGACCAAGTCGGCATGAATATGCCGTGCCATTATCCAAAAGTTTTTTCTTGACTGCAGATAGACAGCTAATACCGGCAACTGTGATAATAAACCGCCATTGGCATGATTTATGATCTTTTCATTTCTCGACGGTTTTTCGTTGCTGTAATGAAGCTTGAGTTTGCTTGATCGTGCACTTGTTCTTTCGACTGAGTCTCTTCAGTCTCTCTTGTGTGCTTCTTCAGCCCGAGCTGAACTTGGCTTTACCGATATCAAGCTTGATTCCAACACTATCTGGGTAGTAAGACTGTGCCAAGGATAACTTTCATCGTAATTGCTCTCCTGGACCACTTGCAACAAATCAGCATGCCGACTCTCAGCATTTGGAGCCTCGCCGCTCTCGTGATGGGGACAGCATCACTGAAACCCGAGCAGAAGAGCGTGGCTGACACACCCACCGGAAATGTCAATGCTGCCACAAATAGGTACATAATCGAAGTCGAACATGTAAGTCATGCTGCCGTGGCATTTCACTGCCTTCAAACTTGCAGACTAACATTTCTCTTCAGGAGAGCATTCCATACATGGCTCGTCTGTTTGCAGCACCGTCATCGAGAAACAGCACCTACTATAGACAATTCGACTGCGGTGATGTCTTTCATGGATTGGTCGTCGAGACTGAAATCGACAACGTCGACACTCTAAGCAAGTTTCGAGGTGTGGCCAACGTCTGGCCAATGAAGACTGTGCCCATGACCTCCGCCATACAGAGAGTAAAGGCCGCTTCTGAACCCAAATATCACAACTATTCGATGCATCAGTGGACCGGTGTCGATCAGCTTCACGCTCAAGGTATTCGAGGTAAAGGCGCCACCATTGCCATTATCGATACAGGCGTTGATTACACTCACGAAGCGGTTCGTAGACCTCTCGTTGATGAACTTGCCCCTTGTGCTAAACACATCTATAGCTTGGCGGGTGTTATGGCCCAGGCTGCAAAATTGCTGGAGGTTATGATCTTGTCGGTACAAATTGTAAGGATTTTCCGGGTGATAACACAGATATAATGAAAGCTGATACACATCCGAAGGGAATTCACATAACGAGAAAAGATTCCCAAAGGAGCCAGATCAGGATCCTATGGACTTTCATGGCCACGGGACTCATGTGGCCGGAATCATTGCAGCGGAAAATGAATGGTAATCAGCCAAAATACGCTCCTTATTTGCTCTCGTCGCTAATATCATCCCGACTTTCAGGCTTGTTGGAGTTGCTCCTGAAGCACAGGTTCTTTCATTCAAAGTTTTTGCCGACGTATGACCATCTTTGCTTTCCTCTGCCGAATCAACATCTCACTGACAAGCTGTCTAGAACCCTTTGGACACTGACGAAGATGTACTCATCCAGGCGTTTTGTGACGCATATGGTGCTGGGGTGAGCTTTCTTAACCTAGCCGTGCGTTCCACAGCTAACACCTCGATAGGCCGACATCATTACGGCAAGTATCGGCAGACCTGATGGGTTTGCTGATGATGCCTGGGCTCTGATTGCCAGCAGAATTGCCGACAAGGGCGTTGTGGTCACGATTTCAGCCGGGAATGAAGGCAACACTGGACCGTTTTATTCGAGTAGCGGCGCCAACGGCCATAATGTCGTGTCCGTAGCTGCCATCAACGTAACTGGAAATCCGAATATCAGCACTTCCGATCCCAACGCAGCGCCTATTCCCGCTCTGTTTACCTCGTGGGGCCCAACGAATGAGTTACTGCTCAAGCCCGATATTGGCGCTCCAGGTTTCGAGATCGTTAGCACGGTGCCAGGCAACAGCTACGAGTCTATGAGTGGGACATCCATGGCCGCACCATATATCGCAGGTGTTGCGGCGCTATACATATCCAAGCACGGGGGCCGAGAGCTACATGGTCCAGGATTTGCAAAGATGCTAGCGAACCGTATCGTCTCCAGTGGAATCAGCATTGGCTGGGCTGCTGGTGACGTTGATTCCCGGTTCAGAGCTCCTCCATTTCAAGTAGGTACTGGCCTTGTCAACGCTCTTAAAGTCATCAACCATGTTACTCAGCTATCATTCGAACCGTTTTCACTGTCAGATTTAGTACAGTTCCGACCTAAATGGAGTGTGGATATTAGCAACTCAGGGAACCAAACAGTCGCATATTCTTTTGAGCTTGAGCCTCAAGCTGGAGTAGAAATCCTAGATCCTCATTACGGGATTAAAACAGCCTATCAGCTTGAGCCAATTCAGATTGTTCCACCAGTGTCGCTGCCTGAAGACATCATATTGGCTCCTGGAGAGACGCGACAGGTCGAGTAAATTACCCAGGATCATATTTTACATTTCATAGCTGACAAACTCCGAGATTCATTTTCGGCCCACCAGAGGGTATAAGCGATGATTATCTACCTTTATACGGCGGAAAAATCTGGATAAGAGGAAACAATGGCGAAGATCTCTCCATACCCTACGGAGGTACATTGTCTGCCCAAGTTAGCTTGATTTGAGTATTAGGCTGATACACTTTTGCTATAGGGGCAGCTTACGATACCGAGAAAGCTTTCGACACCATGTTTCTGGGAGATCCTTTCATCACAGATTGGGGTGCGAATTGGACGTGAGTAGCGGTCACAGGTGCCCTTATGAGTATGTCTAATGCTATGATACAGGTGGTCTTTCAACCCGACCAGAAACCGATTCGACTTTATTGAGCTCTCCGCACGTCTCAATTACCCATGCGTTCATCTCCGCTGGGATGTGAGTATACATGCTTTTCCCTTATTATCTGTATAACTAATGACTAATTTGGCTCTATGCTTCAGATCTTCGATACATATTGGACAGAGAATCGCTGGCAATATCCCCCCATTGTCGGGAAATATGGCTACATAGGCTCTGCAGCTACAATGAAAGATGCTGATACCTTTTGGTATTACGACCCAAGCCGTATGGACAAGGACGACACGATATCGTTTCCGCAGCTGAGAGTCCCTCGTGGCTATGCCAAACATTGGTGGTTTGGCAAGCTGGCAAACGGAAGCCATATTGCGCCAGGCAATTATACGTGAGGCTCATGATCTAAACCTATGTACCATTATATTTCCAGACACACTAATATCGTCTTTACATACTAGGTTCCGCTTCGCCGCTTTGCGACCTTACGGCAACCCCAACATCTCCGATCACTGGGATATAATGCAGATGCCTGTTCGACATATCGGAGTGTTGCCACTTAATGGGACAAATTCCACCTTGCGCTGAAGATTTTTAGAGAGACGGATGCTGTTTTCATACCTGGTACGAAGTAACAAGGAACTGATTTTGGCGATCTTGGAAGATAATAATTAATCTACTTTTCAAAGGCTGCTAATGGTAATCATGGTGTTGGTCCAGCTTGGCGTACAAGACGATGCCCTATAAAAAATTGCTCGTGGTTGAACCATGTGACTACTGTGAATCCTACAGAGATCTTTTTGAGTGAATTGTTATTTAGTATCCATTTATCCATCAAGCTACCCTTATGTCTTCTGCTTCTTTATCTTGGCATCTGTACTGTTTTTTCTCGCCGCACGCTTGATCCCTGCAGAGTCTCCATCCAATTTCTCTCGATCTTCCTCATCTCCGATATCTGCATTCTCTCCATAATCACTCTCATACTCGCCCATGACCTCAGCCTCATCGGGAGATGGAAACAGTGACCGCCAGGTCCCATCCAAAACCTTTTCGTCATTACCATGCAGCCCCACGGCATAGGCATTCTTCATAGCCGACAAACAGATGCTTCGTCGCTCATTGAAGTCAAACATGGGTTTGGGATACGACCCTTCCTGACGCTCTGAAAGACCGTCGCCAGTTACCCTTACACCGGCCTGTTTTTGGTCCAAGAGGGGCATCTTCCACGGCTCGTAGATGTATTTTGCCTTTACTTTTTTGAGCTCTGGGACCCAACGGCGGATAAAATCGCCGTTTTTATCCCACTTCTGGCCGAATGTTATGGGGCTATAGCATCGGAAGTACTGCGTGAAGAAGGCCACGCAAGCAAGCCACTGCCAGTTGCCAATGTTGCAGGCCGGCTCGTGATCGATGAGCCACTCCTCAAAGACTTCGGCGCCGCGCTCCCAGTCGACGTAGCAGCCGCCGCGAGTGAGGAAGCAGGCGACGCTGTGTCTCCCGAGGTGATGGATCCAGCCTTCTTGCTTGAGCTGGCGCATCAGGGCGTCGATCCAGGGAAAGCCCGTGACGCCGGCCTTCCATCTCTGGAACCATTCCTCGGCTTCTGGCTTGTCGATGTGATAATCTCCCGTCGTAAAGCCCGTTTCTGGATTCCGCTTGGAGGGCAGATGCCACGGGATGAAGCGGCAGTAAGCGTTTGTAGCGGTCTGCGCAAAGGACTGGCCGAGGGCTGCTTGGGCGGCGAAATACATGTCGCGGAAGAGGACTTGGCCAATGAGGCTTTCTGGCGGCGTGGATGCGCCTTTGCCGAAGGATTCGACGACTTCGTGGACGCGCCAGTAGAAGAGGCGGACGGAGAGGGCGCCGAAGTGGAAGAAGGGGGAGAGGAGGGTGGTGGACTGGGGCTCGAACTGGGCTGGGCTTGTCTTGGGCTTTTCGAACGTTGCGGTGTATCTCTTGTTCTTGATGAGTTCGTCGAGGGCTTTGAGGGCGATGGATTCGCCGCCGCGATGGGGCGTCGTGGCGGGAGAGAAGCCGAGCTCTTCCAACGTCTCGATTGCGAAGTCGCCGTTTGGGCCTGCAATGGCATTGTATCCCGTATCCTTCTCCGATCTATACCCCGCGTTGAAGTCTCGACTTTTATCCGGAAAGTGCTGTTCAAAATCTACAGGCATGTCGCCTGGATCAGGCAAACTCTCAGGAGCAGGCAACGGTCTCGCAACAGGCCCAATCTTCTTCCCAGCAGCCTGAAGCTGGGTGATTGACATGGTGGGTTTACCGCCGTGCTTCTCAACGATTCCATCGCTGTCCCAGAGAGTCCGGCCTGATCGCACGATGACTTTAACTCCGGCCTCTTGGGCTGCTTTGGCAACGGCCTCGTCTCGAGAGCGGGCATATGCGTCAGTGTCTTTTTCGAAGACGAGATGCGTGGGTTTCCAGGCTTTGAATAGTTTGGGGAAGAGCGTCTGCGGGCCTTCTCGCAAGACAAATAGTTGAGAGTTTTTGTTTATTTTTTTGATGGAATTTGAAAGGTCATTTTGGCAATCTAACCTGTGATTGAACGAATTAGTATCTTTTTCTGGTATACTGCAAGACAGACAGAGATTCATATAGAGTTTTTTTTTTTTTACAAGAACTGCCACCTATTCACTCCTCCTCTCGCCTTATACACATAATGAGGATCCCACGTGAAAATGGGCCAGAGAACATCCGGCTCGAGATCTAAAGCTGCTTGAAGAGCGGGCGAATCGTGAAGACGAAGATCGGTCCGGAACCAATATATCACTCGCGGTTTAGCCATTATAAGTAGATATATTTTTTCTTTAAACAAACATTGAATTAAAAAAGTTCAATGAATGGATTTCATTTTCATTCTCATGAAAATAGAAGCACATGTGAAGAGGAGTGAGTTCACTGAGGCGTCGGTCATGATGTCATTGTTGGAGGTTGATGCCCGATGCTCTTGGACTGGCTGGAATGTCTCGATCGGGTAGCTGCGCTTAAAGAGACAACCACCAAAGTACATACAAGGCCACATGTTCTTGTGACACGTTTAATGTTTCGTTTTTCTCTTTTGATTCTTCAAACTCTGCAACATTGATGGAGATATAGCTTGTGACAGCTGCATTTCGAGGTACAATAAGTGGTGTAGCGATAGCTTCTATGTGCACTTGTGATGCAGGGTAGAGAGCTAATGCATTTGAAAGGGGTAAACGCCCAGCTATCCATAAGAGGAATTTGATTTCAAGACTAAAAAGCTATCGGGGTCCGACAAGTTGCTAAAAGGCAATCCAACGTCTAGTTTGGAGTTGCGGTCAGATTTTAAGTCAGCCTTTGTCAGATATGTGGGAACTCGAAATGGATAGTCTCTGTATGTAATTCCATTCTCAGCAACAGGCCATTCTAATACTATGGCAACTAAATCTATTTCTTATACCTTTCGTATAATCGAGGTTATTACTAGTATATTTACTTTCTCCGCTTCTTCAACGGTAGGCGGGGCCATTGTCTTACCGCCAGATGCGCCTTTCCCGGGATTGTCCAGCTGTGCTGCAGCTAATACCGTGATGAAAGTGTATAAAAGACAAGGGTTCTGTCAGGACAATGTGCCAGATGGCATGGCATTGTGTTTTCCTAGTGAATCAAAGCTCTTGTAATATCTCTCATCGACGCCTCAACGTCCAATATGCAAACAGTCTCCATAGACGACTTCACCCGCCAGTCCTTCGATTTCATTGTCGTTGGTGGTGGAACCGCCGGTCTTGCCGTTGCATCCCGGCTAGCTCAGGATGGCAAGTTCACTGTTGGAGTGCTTGAAGCTGGAGGGGTAGCAAACGGGCGCGATGAGGTTGATATTCCCGGCTTCTTTGGAAGAGCCTTGCAAACCGACATTGACTGGAAATTTGAAACGACACCACCAGGCGCTGAGGGAGGCGTCAAAGACAACTGGCCTCGGGGCAAGGCACTTGGCGGATCCAGCGCCATCAACTATATGGGCTGGACGAGAGCAGGCAGAGCGGACTATGATGCTTGGGCGCAGCTAGGCAATGCCGGATGGGGGTGGGATGACTTGCTGTAAGTGTTCCTTTTCCTGACGCAGCAAAAGCCATGATGTTGATTGCGGAATTTACCTCCCGCCATAGGCCCTTTTTCAAAAAGTCAGAAACCTTCCATCCACCAAGCTCTTCTGCACAAGACAAGTTTGATATCGGATATGACATCAATACCTTTGGCACTTCGGGACCCATTCACATCTCTTATGCCGAAGACTACTCGCAGGCCCATCAACCATGGCTCAAGGGGCTCAACTCGCTGGGCGTGGAAACAAACCCAGCTCATTTTTCAGGCTCAAATGCTGGACTGTGGGCAAATATATCCAGCGTCAACCCGCGCACAAAAACTCGAAGTTTTGCAACCGAGTATTGCTCATTGGCTGGCTCCAATCTCTGCATTCTGACTGAAGCGCTAGTTGAAGAGATTGTTCTTGGCAAAGCTGATGGCGGATATGTGGCCTCTGGAGTTCGATTTATTCACAATGGTCAGGAGCATACCGTATCAGCATCTCGCGAAGTCATATTGTCTGCTGGTACTATCAAATCTCCGCAGTTGTTAGAGCTTTCGGGCGTTGGAAATCCCGAGGTATTGTCTCGAGCTGGGATTGACGTCAAAGTGGACAGTCCCATGGTGGGAGAAAACCTGCAGGAACACAAAGGTATGTACACGGCCGTGCATTTCAACACCAGCGACTGTTCTACTTATGATAGTATGCAAAGCTGACATACCCGAACAGCCCTCGTTTTCATCGTGGATGTTGACCCAGAACTTGACAATCCGGATGAGCTGATACTCGATGCTGAGAGAGCGGCCGCAGTTCGTGAACAGTATTCTCGAGACAAATCCGGTCCTCTTGGTGAAATTGCCAGCTCCTATGCGATGGTTCCATTCACGACAACCATACAACAGGATGCTCTGGAAAAGATATATTCTCAAGCTCACGCTTTGACAGAGCTGTCTCCGGCGAAGAAGGCTATTTTGGAGCAGCGCCTCAGAGACCCCGACAACATTGGTCTGGTGGAGTACTTCTTCAAACTTGGAGCTGGTGCTTTTGGAGGAAAGGATAGCAGCCACGGCATACTTGCTCAAATTCTGCAGCAGCCTTTCGCCGCCGGCTCGATCCACGTACAGGCCAAGTCCGCTGCAAAGGAGGATCCTGTGATTGAGATTGGCTATTACCATGGCCCGGCTGGCGATGTCGATCTAGAACTGATGCTGCAGTCGACGCGGTTTGCACGCAACATCATGCTGGCTCCGCCTTTCAACAGCGTCGTGAGGCAGCCATTTCTCCCACCCGCCAGCGTGTTTGACGACGACGATCAGCTAAAGCAGCTTGTCTTGAACGGCACCCGCGCGGCGCTGCATGCTGTCGGGACGTGCTCCATGGGCGGCGACGCAGGCATTTCAGGAGGCGTCGTGAATGAGCGGCTGCAAGTTTACGGCGTCCAGCGCCTGCGAGTTGTGGACGCGAGCATCATGCCGCTGCAAATCAGCGCGCATATCCAGGCAACGGTGTATGCCATTGCGGAGAAGGCGGCGCATATGATTCTCGAAGACGCGGCTGTGCAGTGACGAGTAAGTCAGCCTTCAATGTTGGAGGTGAGGCGGCATGATTACACATCTAGCATAGAACATAAGGCACCTAGATTAGATAACAAGTTTACTTGCTTCTGCTAGACGTGTTAGGCACTTGCTTGATTCAGATTGTCTGCCCTGGCAAGAATTACATAGATTTGGTAAGTGTCTCTTGGGAAAGGAGGTAGAGCAACAGAGTTTTGGGCCCGATGAAAAGAGTTACTTTGTCTAGAGCGTCCCTTCCATTTAGAAAATCAATATTTAATACTCGATGCAAAACAAAGCCAGACCCTCCAAGACCGCATTGCATTCTTTTCCATCAACACCAACGGCAGCATCAGTAAATCCTCGTTTATGCTCCTCCCATCATGCCCAGTGTTATTCTCAAGCAGCTTTTCCAAGTCAACAATACTCAAGCGCAGATCGCATCTCTCGCTTTACATCAAGGCCAACAACACCATCAGCCAATGGACATTTTCAGCCCCATCAGGCCGGCCATCGCTCCTGGTACGATGGATTCCATCTATCATCTCATCTACATGTTCTACACCATAGAGACGAATGTTCTCCTCCTGCTAGGACTATCTCCGGCCACGGCGTTCCGAATGTTTCCTCCTCTGGAGCAATTCCCTGCAGGCAGCGGGGCCAACTTCGTCATCTTCATGCAATGCTCATCGCTCTTCGCACTGCTTTTACGTCTCCTTGTTGAATTATTTGCTGAATTATTTCCGGCCCAGCATCTGGACGATATCAATGCTGGCTTGCTGACCGTGATATTTCGACACGCGGCAGGAAACAATTCTGTGCTCAAGTCTCTTTTTAGGTTCATCCGCATGTGGCTGTTTATGGCGAGCATACACGTCATGTGCTTCCAATGTTATCAGGAGCCGGATATACTCTTATTCATGGCCAAGGGGCATGCACTGGTCGACCTTTTGTAAATGGCAGCTTTTGATGCGTGTAGCGACTCTCAGCGATCGATTTGCTTGCTTTATCATTCTTCTTTCATCAAGACCCTTTTCAGTTCCAACGAATCACCTTTTGCAATGTCGAAACAACATTTACGAAACCGTGTCCCTCTCATCTTCCGCATCTTGGAACCCGGCTCTGATCCTCGCAACAGCAACCTCGCTTGATGGCGTCCTAAATACAGACGTGGATGATGGCATATTTCGAAGAGAGATGCCATGAACTGGTTGCGTGGTTGAGTCTGCTGGTGGCTCAGAAGTGTTGGAAGACAGATCGCCTTCTACAGACGGCTTGCAGTTTTGTTTTATCCATGGGAGCAAGTTGAAATATCCTCCGCAAGCGAACACTCCTGTCCACAGGGCCAACTCGGTTCCGTAAATCACCATACCAAGTATATCTAGCCTGGGTTGGAAAAACACCGAGATCAGAGAGAAGAGGTCGCCGGCGGCGTCGATGCCTACAAAGATGAACGAGATCCCGCGCACCGATCGGTGGACATAGATATCCCAATAATGTCTGAGGACGCCAGCGGCAAGAAGAGCAGCCGAGAGCACTGCCATCAACGTGTCTGGCCATGTGAGATGCGAAGAGTGCGCGGCTCGAAGAGCAAAAATGAGGCCAATCTGTATGCCAGCCATGATGAGGGCGATGGGGATGACCACTAGAAGACAACGAAAGATGGGCCATTTCTAATATGTACCTAGATTAGCGGTTGCAAGCTTTAAAAATAGCTGAATGAGCGACAATAGAAATATAGTTTCTATACTTACTTTGTCATAATAGCGGCATTGAGTCCAAGTGACGAGGCTGAGGAATGTCAAGATCTGAGGCTGGATGCGCAAGGCCACATTGAACTTCTTGGTGATATTGTACACCCCCAGCGGAACACCAGCCCACGCCCACAGCATCATCATTGAGGGCTGCAAGCCGATGGTGTTGTGACGACGATAGTTGATGATGATTTGCGGTATAAGCTAGCTCTCATTCGTTAGCAAACCATCCATATGTACTACATTTATAAATGCAAAAGGGAATGGTAAGCCCATACCTGTACAGACCAACACACCTATGAAGCATGTACTGTTAGTCTACTTTTAGGACAAATCATTACGCATGTGACAATTGTAAATAATATGAACCAAAAAACTAGATGGAAAGACTTGCAGCACCAAGTGTCCCGAGGACATTTGCAGCAACTGGATTATCCATGTTGAAGTTGCCGATATTTAATGGAACGGGGAGAGAATTATGAAAGCGACAAACTGTGTGTCCTTTATCTCGACACCATGTTTTTGAGCTGTATTTGAGCAACCATCAAATATTTATACGTATCGTATCATTATAAACAGCACATTCATGTTCAAAAGCAACAGCAACGGCCAGTCTTCGGAATTGAGTTGTAAGAAGGAGCTAGAGTTGAAGTCTATAACACCGGCACTGTGTGTGGTGGATGCTTATCTAATCTAGGCTTTCGCGTCAACGCCAGCTCCAGCTCCAGCTTAATTGATTGCAGCAGAAAACGCGTCCCCCTCCAAGAACACGCGCCTGCAGCTTGATAAGGAGATTCTGCAAGCCACGCTTCTCCAACCGGCTGCTTTCTCTTCTCCATGTTTTGTCTCCTTCAATCCAGCTAGAAGGAGACTTTTGAGGAAACTTTGGGTGCATCAGATTGTGTTATTCATATTCCCTAACCATGGCTTCCAGACCCGAATTGAAGGTACGTGCGGCCAGCACTTATCATAGCTAAAGTTGCAACGATTATGGAACCTGACATTTTGAGGTACAGCTCGATGATGAGGGCGGCTTCATCCGTTTCTTCAAATCGCTACCAGATATCGGCGCCGATGCCGTGCGGATATTCGACAGAGGCGACTGGTACACAGCCCATGGCGAAGATGCCATGTTCATTGCCAAAACAGTACGATGCCAGCAACGCTCACGACCTCAATCATCGCTAATCTAATGCTTCCAGGTCTATAAAACGACGTCTGTTGTCAGGCAGCTCGGCAAGAATGACCACACCGGTCTCCCCTCCGTCACAATGACCATGACCGTCTTCCGACAATTCCTTCGCGAGGCTCTCTTCAAACTGGGCAAGAGAGTCGAAATCTGGCAGAGCTCCAGCGGTCGGATGAACTGGAAATGCATCAAACAAGCATCCCCTGGAAATCTCCAAGACGTCGAAGACGAGCTGGGCGGCCAGATTGACTCAGCACCCATGATCATGGCCGTCAAGATATCTGCAAAGGCTTCCGAGGCGCGTGCTGTCGGCGTTTGCTTCGCCGATGCCAGCGTGCGAGAGCTTGGTGTCAGCGAGTTCCTCGACAACGACCTATACTCCAATTTCGAGGCCCTACTTATTCAGCTTGGCATCCGAGAGTGCCTCATCCAGTACGACAAGAACGAAAAAGAAAAAGAGAGGGATCCCGAGTTGGCAAAGCTGAGGCAAGTCATCAACAACTGCGGTGTCGCCCTGGCCGAGCGTCCCGCGGGTGACTTTGGCATCAAGGACATCGAGCAAGACTTGGCTCGCCTTCTCAAAGATGAAAAATCAGTTGCTATGCTGCCACAGACAGACCTTAAGTTGGCCATGGGCTCTGCAGCATGCCTGATCAAATACATTGGCGCTCTACAGGACCCCTCCAACTTTGGCCAGTATCAGCTGTACCAGCACGATTTGGCCCAGTACATGAAGCTGGATGCTGCAGCCCTCAAAGCCCTCAATCTCATGCCTGGTCTTCGAGACGGATCAAAAACAATGAGCATTTACGGTGTGCTCAACCACTGCAAGACCCCTGTAGGCAGTCGCCTCTTGTCGCAGTGGCTCAAGCAGCCGCTAATGAGCAAAGCTGAAATCGAGAAGCGACAGCAGCTCGTCGAGGCATTCTTTACCGATACTGAGCTTCGCCAAACCATGCAAGAAGAGCATCTACGCTCTGTTCCCGATCTCTACCGCTTGTCGAAGAAATTCCAGCGCGGTAAAGCTAATCTAGAGGATGTCGTCCGTGCCTATCAGGTTGTCATCCGCCTTCCTGGCTTCATCGGGACTCTCGAGGGAATCATGGATGAGGCTTACAAAGACCCTCTTGATGAAGCATATACCAACAAGCTCCGAGAGCTGTCCGATAGTCTCGGCAAGCTTCAGGAGATGGTTGAGCAAACTGTCGATCTCGACGCTTTAGACCGACACGAGTATATAATCAAGCCCGAGTACGACCAGAGCCTGCGTGTTATCCGCAAGAAGCTCGATCGGCTCGATCATGATATCAGGCAAGAATTCCAGAGCGCTGCACGCGATTTAGGCCAGGAGGCCGACAAGAAGATTTTCCTTGAAGCGAACCACAAGGTCCACGGCGTGTGCATGCGTCTAACCAGACAAGAAGCTGGCTGCATTCGTGGCAAGTCAAAGTATCTTGAGTGCTCTACCCAGAAGAACGGTGTCTACTTTACAACAAAGCAGCTGCAAGCCTATCGTCGTGAATACGACCAGCTTTCTCAAAACTACAACCGCACTCAGAGTAGTCTGGTAAACGAGGTCGTCCAGGTAGCATCCTCGTATTGCCCAGTTCTTGAGCGCCTTGCTGGTGTGCTTGCCCATCTAGATGTCATCGTATCGCTCTCTCACGCCGCCGTACATGCCCCTGATGCCTACGTCCGACCCAAGATTCATGCCCGCGGTGAGGGCCAAACAAAACTTTTGGGTGCTCGCCACCCCTGTATGGAACTCCAAGACGACGTGCAATTCATCACCAACGATGTTGAGCTTACGCGCGATCAATCCTCGTTCATCATCATCACTGGGCCCAACATGGGCGGTAAATCTACCTACATCCGTCAAGCTGGTGTCATTGCCCTCATGGCCCAAGTTGGATCCTTCGTCCCTTGTTCAGAGGCCGAACTCACTATCTTCGACTCTATCCTTGCCCGAGTCGGCGCTTCAGATTCCCAGCTCAAGGGTGTATCGACCTTTATGGCCGAAATGCTCGAGACAGCCAACATCCTGAAATCAGCGACTTCCGAGTCTCTCATCATTATCGACGAGCTTGGTCGCGGTACTTCAACATACGATGGTTTCGGTCTTGCTTGGGCCATTTCCGAGCATATTGTCAAGGAAATAGGCTGCTTCGCCATGTTTGCGACTCACTTCCATGAGCTTACCGCCCTAGCCGATCAGTACCCTCAGGTGAAGAATATGCATGTTACGGCACACATTAGCGGGACCAATGGCGATGTCAATGCCAAGCGTGAAGTGACGCTGCTTTACAAGGTTGAGCCTGGCATCTGCGACCAGAGTTTCGGCATCCACGTCGCCGAGCTGGTGCGGTTCCCGGACAAGGTTGTCCGCATGGCGAAACGCAAGGCGGATGAGCTGGAAGATTTTACTACCAAACATGAAGACCTTGGTGTGAGCTACAGTACCGAGGATGTTGAGCAGGGTAGTGCCATGCTGAAGAAAGTCCTCGTCGAATGGAAAGACGCCGTGCAGAGCGGAGAGTTGAGCAAAGAAGAGCAGGTGGCGAAGCTAAAGGAGTTGGTGGCAGCAGACGAGAAGCTACTGGCCAACCCCTTCTTTCAATCGGTCAAAGCGCTATAGAAGTGCAAAATACTGGGTGAAAAAAAGCATCTATTTGAAGATATTTAGAGCGATAATGTCGCATTTAACAGCGTGCCGGGAGTTGGACTTGATGACATTTATTTGGGAAAACAGGTCCCGTCAAAGGGACGGACATGGCACGTATATACGATCACAGCACAATGATGCACCAGCATTAGATGAACATGACGCAACTTGCAATTTTTACTTGTCTATCTATGCGTTTTGCATGTCAGCGTATGATTCATGACATATAATCAATGTGAATGAAGAGGCTGAAAGGATTGTCCATCAGGGAAAACAATGTAGAATGGTGATAAATGTAATCAGGTGATATCATAAACAACCTCTGAAAGAAAGTTTCATCATGGAGAAAAGGCAGAGAAAAAAAGGGGGAGAAAGTAGGTGCATGTGTATGAAACAAACGTACCATTGCATTGTGGTTTCGTACTTCATGTATTTGATGTGGAGGGTTTACAACCTATGCTTCCAGCATGTTAGCGTTTCTTCTTCAACTAATAGCCAATTTAATGAAGAGAATGGAAGGATTGTCCATCAGAGAGAAAACAATGTAGAATGGTGATATGTGTAATCAGTGATGTCATAAACAACCTCTGAAAAAGTACTCATCATGGAAAAAAAAGGATAAAAGCTTGAAGATTGAAGATTGTAACACGACATACCATTAACTAATACCTTTTCACTGTTTGCTCGCCATTGAAGGCTTAAGAACCTGTGCTTTTGGTATGTTAGCGCTACATGCTCAATAAGCAGCCAATGTAAAATATTGAAGGATTGAAAAAAGGAGAGTCCATCAGGGAAAACAATGTAGAAATGGTGATAAATGTAATCAGTTATTTCATAAACAACCTCTGAAAAAAGTAATCATCATGGAGAACGTGAAAAAAAAAAAAGCGCAGATTGATGAGTGTAAAACGTACCACTACTATTAAGTGTTTCCCTTGTCATTAGCACATTACAACCTAGATATACTTTTGGTACGTCAGTGCTTAATTTTTGACAAATAACCAGTGTGAAGTAGAACAATTTGGGAAAGGGGAGTCCATCAGTCGAAACAATGTAGATATGGTGATTAATGTAATCAGTGATATCATAAACAACCTCTGAAAAAGATTTCATCATGGAAATAAAAAAGCAAAACGCATAGAGAGAGAGAGTAAGACAACGTACCTTTTTAAGCGTGTCACAACACACCAAAAGCCCAATCGCGAAGATACGCAACCCAACAACTGGTTATGACAAACGCGACATGGCAACAATATGCAACAAAATCGAATTATCTAGCATCGCATTTCTTCCGCACTGGAATGCAATGCGCATATATATACAAATTGCCGTGGACTCCCCTCAGTCTCTGGCAATTGGTTTTATTCTTGGTATTTCTTTTTCAGTTTTACTGGCTGCCCTCAGCTGTGGCGCTCACAGGGTTAACCTCGAAGCCATACTTCTCCTTAACACGCTCTCGTCTCCGCTCCTCATATCCGGGAGGACGAATGCCTTGTAGACGTCAGCACCAGTTCCCAAAGGACTTAATTTCAAAGGCAGAGACTTACCTCGTCCCTCGCCAATCTCGGCAATGGTCTGCTCAACGGGCAGACGGGTCGTCCGTCGAACAATCTCCTTACGCTCAAATTCATCCTCCTCCTTGTAGAAGCTGTCCAATCGGTTGCCCATAACGTGGAAAAGACCCTGAGCGGCACCAACAAAGCCACCAAGGGCAAACACGACGGGAGTACGCTTGACTGTGAAAAGATGGCAGGTCAGCATCCGCCATAGCCGAGCAATGTGTATAGTTTGGAATAAGAGTCCTTACAGGGAAGTCCGAGAACACTGCCGCACATGAATCCTCCAAAGGCGGCGGCCCAGGCATCCTCCTTTTCGCGCAGGTTCATCATCGTTCGGGAGAAGAAAGCATAGGCACCGGGACCCGCAGCTACATGAGAACAACATCGTCAGCCAAGAGCACCAGTTTCGCAGTTGTTTTCCCCCCTTCTGTCGAAGCCATCGGTCCAATTGGAACCGCATTCTTCCGGTGTCCGAGAATCCATACCGCAAATGCCAATAATGGGAGCTCCCCGCGTAAAGACGCTCAAAGCGCCGACGTTGCGCCTCGACATGGCATTCTGAATGGCCGCAATGAAGAAGCCGCTTCCCAGGCCGACTAATGTGGTCTTGGCCGTCTCGTCAAGGACGTCATGGGGCACGTAAGGCTTCGCCATGGCGTGTGATGGTGCGTAGCTCGCCGTGGTGGGAGGAGGAATATGAGGATGAGGAGCTGTTTTGACGTCTGAAGCTGCGCCGGTTCTTTGGGAACTGCGCGTCACGTGATTCTTGGTCAGCAATTGCGATGGCCTGATTGGATCAAAAGTCTCTGGTATCTCGGCTTATGAGGTACATGCATGGAAGTACACTCTTAGCCCCACCAGCCCACCACGAGGTTTGGAGGTGCAAAAGCTTGCTGGCTGCCGTGTAAGACTTGGAAAAGTTTCACGATAGAGGGCGGTTGAGAGGGATTCACGAGACTTCGGATATCAATCATATACGGAGGCTTAGCTATTAGTCAACTAGTCAACTGACTCTCGATTTCGGCAACAAGGCTTATTCAGTTCAGACTCTTGGGACTCAACAATTCTTTCATCCTGTCATCATCGGTAAAACCAAATATTGTGAGAAAGCAAGCGGCAGCCATATCTCATAACATCATTCGATTATTTCTTTGGATAACGTGTCTTCAACTCATTGACTGAGATATAAAAAGAAAAATCCACTCCTGCAAACATGAGTTCATCAGAACCTGCCGAGGCTTCATCCAAGCCCGAAGCAACACAAGTACAATCGGACACATCAAACCCACTGCCCATGTCCAAAAGCGCCCTCAAACGCCTCTGGAAGCAGGAAAAATGGGAGGCCGGCATAGACGACCGCCGCAAGCGCCGCAAGGAGAAGCGCCACGAGCGCAAAGTTCGCGCCCGCGATGAGCGCGCCGCCCTCATCGCACAGGGCGTCGACCCCGCGGAGCTGCAGAAGAAGAAGCAGGTTTCTACGCTGGCTCCCGTGGGCATCATTGTCGATTGCGACTTTGAGGACTACATGATGGATAAGGAGCGCGTTTCCCTGTCCAGCCAGGTCACGAGGGCGTACTCTGATAACAAGGCGGCGAGATATCGTTCGCACCTCTGGGTGGCTGGATTCAACAAGGGGATTGCGAAGCGGTTTCACGAAGTGCTACTTGATCAGCATAAGAAGTGGAAGGGCATTTGGTTCGATGAGGGCGACTACATCAGCTGTGCGGCTAAGATCCGCGAGCGAATGAGTGCCACTGATGGCAGCGGTGGAGAGATGATTGAGTCGCTGCAGCGCAGTCTCGATGAACCTACTGCATGGACCCGCGATGAGACGGATCCTTTCCCTATGCCTGGGCCGGAGCCTCCCCTGGACGAAGCGAACAAGGACGTTGTGTATCTGTCGTCAGACTCCCCTTATACGCTTGAGCGCTTGGAGCCAAACACATGCTATGTCGTGGGCGGACTGGTCGACAAGAACCGTGAAAAGGGCCTTTGCTATAGACGTGCACGAGAAAAGGGCATTCGTACGGCGAGATTGCCGATTGGCCAGTTTATGGTGATGCAGAGCCGACAGGTCCTGGCGACGAACCATGTAGTTGAGATTATGCTTAAGTGGCTAGAATGTGGTGACTGGGGCCAGGCGTTCTTGAGCGTGATTCCAAAGCGAAAAGGCGGGAAACTGAGAAGTGAAAACGGTGAAGCTGAGGCGGAGGATGGTGAAGAGGCAGAGGGAAAAGAGGACGAAGACGAAAACCAAGGTGAGGCTGAGGTTGAAGAAGTAGCAGAGGCGTCAGAATCTAAGGAAGAGAATGCCGTGGAAGTTGAGACATCAACCAACGTTGTAGACGAGAGCAAATCAGGGGCTGAAGAAGCGAAAGAAGCACAAGCATAGACGCAATACTGTGTCTCAAAATTTACACCAAGCAATGTTCCATACCCAAAAAGACCTGCTCGAATCATATGTCTTCCACATAATATGCAATTCCTCCCTTAGCTGTGCCATCATAATTAAAAATCCATCGAGTCATCCTCCCGCTCTCTCTTAACTCTTGCAATCCCTTCATCCTTGATAATTCCCGATACAAACGTTCTAAACTGATCGACATAGGGCTTCAGGCTGGTCTTTTCCCAGTCTGCAATGTTGACTTTAGACTTGTCATCGCCCTCATCGCCCTCCTCTCCGCCCTTCCAAGCATCAATCTCCGCAAGCAGGCTCTGTACCGTTGGCACGCCAAGAGGATCAAAGTCTTCGAGAGCCCTTGTGTCGATGGGTACACAGACTCGCCCTGTGCCTGGATGTACGACAAAGGGGCTTTTCAGCAAATGGTTTAGTTTCTTGCTGACTTCGATATCGAGGCGAGGATAGGTGTATTCCAGCACAATATCTTGTTTGGCTTCCAGCAATGCTCTTGAGTCCAGATTCTTGCTTGCACCAGTCTTTGCTACAGCATCGATATCGGCCCATTTTGATGTAGATGATCGTCCGGGAGCTGATTCCCATTTGCGCCGTAATGAATCATTTAGGTTCCGGTCTGGAAGAAGTTGTAGTAGCTTCTCGGCCTGTTCGCTTGTTCCCCAAGGATCCTGGATATCCAGCACGTCTTCTTGGAAATGGGTTTTGAGAATATCAAGACTCCGGCTATGACTCCCGTTAGCGTCATCCATCCACTATTACTGCTCATAAGATAGACATAGAGGCATCACCTACCTTAGATGGGGGTGCAGAGGTCTCCTGACATTGACCTTTTTGCCGCTTTGTGAGCCACCCTTAATCACTTCTAGATAGTTTGCTATAGCCCTGCGCTTCTGATCGTCCATTGAACGAGCCTTCTTATCGCACACCCAGGCGTGGGCACCTCTTCGTCCTGAGTATACCCACATGATGTGCTTGAAGCCAAAATCTTCTCTTAGGGCCACATCGACAACCTTGATGGCCATGGTCATGAATTGCCAGCATTTGTTGCAAATGGTCGCCTTGTCGCAGCAAGTTCGGATATCATCGTAATCTGTCAAATCGATATCAAAGCACAGCTCTTTTGCCAGAGGCTTGAAGGCGGAAGAGTTGCGCAAGGTTTTTCGATCTCGGGGGTTTGTCGAGTAGACGGGGCCGATTTCGAAACGGGAGGGCATGAGGCGGAGGACGTCTTTTCGTAGGCTAGAAGAGAGCAAGTAAGTATTGGCATTGGCTCTTGGAACTCTGTGCGAGGACCATGACAACTTACAGATCTGCGGTTGCAAAAGACTGGTAACGCAAATATGCGTCATTCTGGAGGGTAAAAGCAAACTCGCGGTTACCAAAGTCATTTGTAGGCGTCGGGCTATGGTTCAACCACTGAAAAAGCTGTCGCCAAGGGAAGAGTCGCTGGTAAAAGCTGCGCATGACTTCTGGATCGGAAGCAGGGATATCTCTACCGTTTCAAAACGGTTAGCCAGGTCTGCTCTCTTTCTCTGCAGAGTAGTTGGTGGGCATGAAGCTACATACGAAGGTGAAGCTGCTCGTGCAGGTGAGCTTGCACCCTCGCGCTTAACAGGTGCTGAGCTTGGAAACTCTTCGTCTGAATCCTCGTCTGCGAACAACTCGTCCAATTTGACTTCCTTCTTCGCCTCCTTAGCTTGGCCCGCAGGAGGTGCCTCTGTCTGCGGCCCATCATTCATATCTACATCGTCGCCTGTGGATGTCTTTGCTGGAGCAGCATCGCTCGGAATTCCTGCATCGGCGTCCATTGGCTCGTCTTTGACGGGATTGGGAGAGATTGAATGCGGCATTGTGCCAATTTCTTTGCTTGCGCAGAAATAATCGAGTCCAGGTTGATTGATTGGCTACTGACTGCCACCTCCACCAGAATCCTGTCGAGTTACTGCTTGGCCTGGCAAGTAAGAAACAAGGCCATGCGCGGGGAGATGCCACTCAAGCTCTGGAAAACGCGTAAAGACGCGTAAAGTGAAAATGCCACTTCATGTGCAAAGTAGCTCGTACCCAGTGAAAGCTGCGTCGTTTCACTGTATCAGACACGTTACGCGGACATCAGCTGCAGTTTTAGCGTACAGAGGCCGCCACGTCCACTGTAAGCTGCCAACTGAACAGCTGCCCAAAAGCCCCCGCCATCAAGCATCCTTCAACGTTCAGGCCCAAAGCAGCTGCTATAGACAGAGCCATGGATCAATGGATGCTATGTGGCGATATGCACCAGAAACGCCAGGGACCTCTTCCAAGCATACTGGCATAACTCCAACTGCCGACAACTCACCTCAACCCTGGCTGTTAATCGTCTTATATCACAGCACAGCACAACAAAGTTCAAGCTCGCCTCAGCACTACCGTAGCAGCTACCATCACAGCGATCCTCAAAAGCTCGCTCACTCGGATCGTCTCCGAGGCGCGAGACAAAGAAATTACCCCATATGGTAAGGATCTCCTCTTTTGCTCGGGGCTCGTTCCCAACTTCATGCGTCAAACAAGGGCCTAGAAAGTTCTAAAAAAATCACAAGCTAGGCCCAGGTGTCTTCCGGACGTTTGAATCCGGCGTGATTCCTCCACCGCAATTTTGCCTCTCAATTCCTTCTGACAATTGCTCTCTCTTGAATGTTGCTGCTTGTCTGTCTAGAAAGCCTGTAGTTGTTTGTTAAGATTGATAGTGGCTTACACTATTACTTCTATAATACATACCATCTTACTCAATACTTTACTAGCGAATGAGCAATTCATTGCCGCCGTGGCAAAAAAAGAACGAAGTGAACCAAGTCAAAAAGCTCATGATCCAATCTCATCCACGCAACACATACACTACACCACCTCGTGTAAGTGCAACGCCGCAACGCGCCCTTCCCATATGTTCATCGTGTCATGTACCACATACACACAAAAGGGGTACAAAAAAAAACCAAAGCTATTTACTCAATAGCCGACGTTTATGACTTTTCTCTTTTCATTAATACGAGGGTTTATGTTGCATCAAAACAGGACATTTTGCGAAACATAAGAGGTGAGCAGAAGATCCACGGCTGACGTCAAACTGCCGCGTGCATGAAATAGATTAGACCGGAGACCATGCTATAGACCAAGCTCTAGACTCTCTTGCCTGCTTCTCTTTTTGTACTCCATACTTTTCGATGAAATCAACACCTGTGCTCCGTAGTATGGAAGGGTCCAGACAGCTTTCGGGGGCTTGGCAGCGCTGTGGGCTGTCCAGTAGCAAACAAACAAACGCAACGCCGACCAGGGGCCGTTTTGCATGTTATAAGTAGTCTCTTGCGTCTGCTCGCGTATGTACGTTGCCGTCTTTTTTTTCTCTTGTTTTCTTTCTATCACAAAAGTCACGTCATGCTGGCACAGGTGAATCTCGAGCTCATGTCCCCTTGTTTCAACTTTTCTTTCTTCCTCGTACAAAATACATCCAATTCTCCAATCTCCGGGCCGTTCATTCCCTTCCATCTCGTCCCCCGCTCCCGGCATCTAAAAACCGCCCGCTGAGCGACCGCCCGTCTCCATTGTTTCCCACCCCCGGTCCAGACCTTCATGGAACGCTCAACGGCGCCTGGATCATCGGATCTAACGGCTACAAGCATACCAAGGTGTGATTTCCTGTTACATTTCCAATCTTTCTCTTCTTTCTTTCCTTTCTCTTCTCTTTGCCTGTCTCATTTTATTTTCTTCCTGTTTTCCCCTCCATCTTCCTACTCGCGCCCAAGTAGGTGGGCTTGACGTTTTATAAGATCTCGATCGTGTTCTATGTATAGTGGCCTCCCGCCACGCTGATATTACGAGGACTGCTCAAATCTCCGACCGTTTCTCATTCTTGACATTAATCCATGTTGACGTCGACTTGAGATTCGCAAATCGGATCTCATCGGGAGGGGTCCATTTTTCATCTCCCCACCGAAGACAGCATAACAAACAAAAGAGTATTTATGCTTGGAAGGCCTCCCATCTGCCATTTTGACTCTGGGGACCCTTACACTCCGTAACTCCGTGTGTATGCTGGGTTCATCAAGCGGTCTCTTCACCACCAGCTTTCTCTGGTCTGCACTCGCCAATTCTGATCTTCTGCGCAGCAAAGACAAATGTAACGTCACTTTTATAAAATCAAAAAAAAATAGTAAGCAATGTCAGATTTCTTCATTCAAAACAAATAGTTTGATTTACACCCCATAGATCACAGTCACCACTTCTCGTTCCCAATGCTTACAACTTTTCAGCATGGCGCCATCACAGAATGGCACAACCATCAGACATCTCTCTCCATAAATTCCTGGACCTAGCCAACATCACCGTTACAAATCCGATTTTCTCTCAAAAAGAAAACAAACCTCTTCTCCCCACGGGGGAAAATATAGTCGTGAAGCCCCGACAGATATCCAACCAGTGCGCGAAATCATCATCCCAGCCAAGAAACAATCCCAAGACAGCAGTTCAAAAAACACCCCTGAGGATGGACTATACGAAAAAGAAAAGCTCCTCCTTTGTTCAAACATGTCACAACGCCACATAGCAGAATTTCCCATGCAATGAGCAAGCCAAGAACCGAGAAGAAATTAGAAGAAGGAAACACAAATAAAAAGTATAAGGAGAAAAGGAAGTCAATCATCCGGCAATTTTCATGCACAGAAATTGGTCATCAGCTCCGGCATTAAGCATAAGTTCGTTGCGAATTATTCAAGCGCTGGCGCTTCTCCGGCGGGCTATCATGATCGGACAAACGGCCAGAGGATGCGTCCATCGTCGAATACGCGTTTCTACCTTGCGCCATGTTGTACTGGCTGCTCCCATCCATCATCCCGAAGCCCGAATCGACACCATTTTGAGACATGTGGCCAGACGACCAATTCGAGCCACCAGCACCTGCAGGCGGAGTTGGCGATTCGAACTTGATGGGGTTGCCCGACGTGCTCAGATAAGGAACATTCATCACAAAGGCAGATCCGTGCCCATTGTCTGACTGGCTGGGCGGGTTCTTCAAAAGGTGCTGGAGGTGTGTCTTGACAGACTTGAGCATTCCCTCTTTGGTGAAGGGCTTAGCTAGAACTCCGTTCATACCTGATTGGTGGTCAGTTTTGATGCCCAGATTACTTTTGGGTGTGTGTTATTATCTCACCATGCTCAAAGTAGCCATTCACCTCATCCGGTCGAATATTTGATGTCATCGCAATAATGGGCGTGGCTGGGCAGTGCTGGCGGATATACATGGTGGCCGATACACCATCCAATCTAGGCATGATGATGTCCATGAAGATCATGTCGAAATGATCACGACCAACGGAGCTGATTCTGTTATATGCTTCTGCACCGTTGATCTACACAGCTAGTGTTAGCTCACCATAACCAAGATTGGAACTCTCGACCCATCGATATTGAATTCAGTTCACTTACAGCATGCTCGACATCACAGCCCATCGATTTAAGGAATTTGATGCCGATTTTCGCACACGTGCCGTCGTCTTCTACCAAGAATACTGTTGGCTTCTTCGGTCCCCATAGAGGTGCAGGCTTGGCCAGTGACGGCCCGGTTGCACTGTTCATCTGATTAGGCTGTGGCGTATGCTGCTGATGCTGATCCAGGGACCCGGAACTGTTCTCGTTTGGCATGGCATATGGGATCTTATTGATGTGATCCGAGTGGAAGGGATCGATACCGACAGTCTGGCCTACGGGGTAGACGGGATAGCGGCTAATGTCATTCATGGGGTCATGCATCATGGGCATTGATACGGGGGTAACCATGGTTGCTGAGTCGGCAGGGGACTCATAAATGTCGTGCAGACGCTCGAGCTCACGATCAGCCACGGTATCGGGCGCGACGCTAGAGAGCAGCTCTCGCGCTCTTGTAAGTTCTGGCACGTTTTCGTTGTCATCCGACGAAGACATGCCGCCATTTGAGCTCAGTTGGTGGGCCATCATTCCATTGGTCCGGCTATGGTTATACGGAGAGAGGAAGTTGAGCATCTCATACTGCGCCTGCTTTTGGGCATTGAGCATCTTCTGCAGGGTGAGGACCTCGTTGACCAGAAGCCTATTCGTCTGAGAGATGTCGGCGAACAGCTCTTGAAGCTGCTGTACTTGCTGCTGAGTCGCGGTCAGCTGCTCGGACACGACGCTGACGTGCTGGCTGGTGGTGAAGTCCTCGGCGACCTGGGGTTTCCGTGTGGCCGGCGCTTTCCGGCGAATGTTGTCCAGGTCATCTTTGCTATCGACGCGGAAGTAGGGATGCTTGAACTCTAGGACCTGCATGTCGTGACCCAAATTCTTAGTCGTACCGTTCATGTGATGTTTTCAGCTCTGTAATGCGCCCAGCTGGGATACTTACGTTGCCATTAGGTGAAGCCGATTCGCCATCGGCAGATGGCTTGACCTTGTGGAAGTCATATTTGTTAAGCTGTCGGATAAAGCTGGACATGTTGCTGTGCTTGAAATGCTTCGGCAATATCGATCTCGTAAATTTCTCGCCCTATTTGAAGACGTAAGAGTCAATCCATGCGTAGAATGGAAACGCCGGGTAAATTCTACCTCAACCACGACAAATGAGTCGCCATCTTTCCCCCAACGAGCTACATCCTGGTGTGTCGGGTCTTCGAGCATTCTAAAGCAAGGTCAGCTGGATCGATACAAGCTGAATCTTGTTAGTGGGCAATTACCGAAATAGCTTGCGAACCTTGATATAGCATTAGCACTCGTTTCGTCATGTGTCGGGTTCACGTATACGTAGAGATGGCGAAATACTACTCACAAATTCGCTAGCATTGTTTCCCCCGCCCGGGGCATTGGTAGCCTCTGTCCCAGACATTTAAGCTAAAAAAATGCTGTCCTTTAGGTAATACTAGAGGCAATATGGGAGAAGGCGACGCGCCTCCAATTGAGGCTCCGGCTGGATGCCGCTGGCGAAGCCGATATTATTGGAATATGCCGTCGCAGGGCCTGCAGGAACCGGCACAGTTTTTGCAGCAACAAACTTTGATTCCCTTTAATATATGCTTTTCCTTCTCTTTCTCTTTCTTTGTCGCTCCTTCTCGCTTTCGTTATCGGGCGGTATGGTTTGGCTGGCGGCAGATCGGATCGACGAGCGGGCGGCAGGCCAGGAGAGGCGCTCCGGAGCTGGACGGAGGTTGCGAGATGCGGTGCGCCGAGATGACGGAGCCCAGTGTTTCTCAAGGCGCCCCGACAGCAGAGGAGGGGGTGACGTCGTAAGCTGGCAATCACAGAATAAAAAAGAGGCGAGCAATGCAATTGAAGGAGAACTCGCGGACAGACCCTCGATGGGCTTGGCTAAGGCAGGGTTCGAGGCTGCTGAATCGAGGTTGGACGATTTTCGATTTAGCCCAGATAGTCGATGGGCGAATGGATGGCCCGAGATGGGGGGTGGACCGGGGGGGGGAGAGAGGCACTAGGCCCAGGAGGACAAGATCAGAAGACAGCACAGCAGAGGCGCACGCTGGAGCAGCGCTGAAGGGCAGCGAGTTCAGCGGGTTCGCGTACCGATACTTGGGGTGCATGTACTTGTTCGCTGGAACTTGGGGCACCCGAGGATCAAATAGGGACGTGGAGACTCGATATCCAAGCCTTGAATTCTTCATGCAGCTAAGGGAGGACGCGGAGAGGAGACTGAGCAGAGGCCGAACCAACCGTTCAAGAAGGAGAAAGAAGAAATAAGAATAAGAACGCAGCTACAAGTACCACTACTAATATGACACCTTCACTCCATCTCTTTTCTTTTTTCCCACTACCATAGGAATCATTCCAGAAAAAAAAATGAAAGACGTATCCACAAGGGGGGGAGTTTAGGAAGAAAAAAAACTTGGAAAGAAGGGGGGTCCTGTCTCAAACTGCCAAAAAAGCACCGCGCCGCCAGATTCGGGGGCGCCCCCATATCGTGTACAGTCTGGTGGCTTTTTCCAAATGCTCTCAATTTCTTCTTAGGGCACTGCAGGGCGCGAGGGGCCGTGCAGCGCATCTCCCTTGACACAGTACCGGCCCGCCTAGCTCTGTGTTAGTCTTGCTGCTACGACGATGCTAGTGATCTGATAGACATTGGAAGCCAGTTCGGCTCAGGAGAACCAGGGGCAGGTTTTTTTCCTTGCTCGTTTCTTTTCTTTTCTTTTTTTTGGTGTGAGTGTGTATTGTTAGCGTGCAGTATCAGACATTTCGTTTCTTTTTTGTTCTCATTTAGCCAGAGCCAGCCAATCGCATCCATTGTTGCCAATTTAAACTGGCGTTTTCAGCTAAGCCATTTTCCATGAGGTATAAGCCATCAATGAGCGAGTTTGCTTATTAGGTGGTCCTTCAGTTGCGTGCCAAGGCCCGGCAGATTAGGAAACGACATGGCCGGTTCTTAGCCTCCATTGCCGTTTTCATTCTTTTTTCATCTGTTCTTTTTAGTACAATGGCATTGTACTAACGGTAACTCCCGTCTACTACACCGAACTACAATGTACAATATACGGCGAATTTACAGCTTTCGAAATAGCGTCAAAGCGGCAACGCAGCAACAACCGTAGGAAGCCGGCCATGTAAGTGTTCGGATGGGAACCGCCAATGTTACCCCGTATTAAGAGGCAGGCAGGCACGTACTTTGTCCGATATGTGAATGCACCTCGTGCTCTAGTGTTATGCCGCCTCCGCGAACTATGCTCGTCTTGGCCCGCGGGAAGAGCACGCCAGTTGTGATCTGAGTCAACCTGACGGAATTTTTACTCATGCTTGTCTGTCCTCTTGCATTCATTCTGCTGCTAGCATGGAGTGTTTAATGTTGGTGCCAGCACTAATACCTGCGAGGCCATCGCGGCTGTCCGTAAGCTGCTAGCAGCTTTTAGCCTCCATCAATCAACCCCTATACGATCAAGATACGATGGTGTATACGATGGTCTGCCTATCTGGCAATTACTCCGAACTTGGTATCTAGGTGGCTCACAGATACGATATAAAATGGGCCCTTCCAGTAGCTATACATGTGCTTCATATAGGAGCCTAGATACAGAGCGCCCGCTCAATTCGTCCCTCAGAAGGATTCGATGCCAAGGAAGCTCGTCGGCGCATACACTTGTGCCGCCCAATAGCAATATTGATCCGAAGCAACACAAGAGGCAGCACCCCGTCGTCGTAGCACTCCCGGACCGTGCCTAAGGTACAGCTGTCTGCGCTGCCCCATGTCCACCTGAACACCACACATGCAGGGAAGCAGGTGATGGAAGGGAGGCCGTTGTTATCCTGGGGGCGGAAAAGCGCAATAAACGCATGCACGTACAAGGGGGCATCCATCTCTGCTTGTTTTGGGCGCCTACCGCTTCAAGCAAGCATACTGATTACATGTCCATTTGATGTAAAGAGGACAAGTATGGCATAGCAGTAGTACTAGGAGTGGTAGTGCTCGTGCTAACAAGACACCATTGTGATTATTTTTTCAGCCGTGATGCGTGCCAGTTGGACGAATCCCACGATGGCTGCTTTGCGGGGGGGCTGAACACCGACATCGTGATTACACACGTACAAGTATCCGCATCGATCGTGTCATCTTCTGCGCATCGGCTGGCACGCCAAAAGCTCAGCAACGAATAGAAATGGAAGCCCAGGGCCGTCTCGCTTCACTATCGCGTTTGCAAGCGTAATTGCAATTCTCAATCGCCTCTATCGGGGCCATGGGCTGGCCTCCCTGCAGCACGCGGCTTATATTAGTGGCCTTGCCATTACCACGTCGCCGACTAAGATCAATGCTAAGATAGTTGGCCTTGCAAGCCTCCCGATCGAGTCGTCGAAATGTCATTGGACCCCGTGGCCACGGCACCAGAACAGCCACAGACGGCATCTTGTACTAGCCTGGGCAGAATGACAACTGGGCGTGAAACAGCAGAGGCATCATCGCGGGCCGTGAGGTTTCCAACACGCTGGGTGAATGCAAGTGGTGAGATGGCTGGTACCGCTACATGAGCCCGGGCCATCACCCGCAAAGGTGCATATGGTATGCGACGCTTAGGCTCAGCGGTCCGGCTATCCGCAAGATTACACCTCTCAGGGATCAGCTCTTTCGTCTCAATCGCTGCTCGGACAGGTAGCGGTACCTGGGCAGGCAAATCCTGGCGCACAAGAAGCACTTTCAACACCACCATCACCATCGCGACGCAGCTTGTACAAGCATGTACTGAATCAATGCATGGCGCATGTAGGGAGAGTCACACCTGGACGCTGGCGGGATGCTCTAAAAATAGGCGAATTCAGCTCTGAGCCCTCCTCTGAGACATGGCGCGGAAGCCAGTCCAGAGGCATGCAAGTCTGTGTACTGTATGTTGCCAGGAATAGAGCAAAACACACGTCTCGGCTTGAAATAATTAGCTCTTAGTAGCATCTCATTCTTGCTTCGAACCTAAACTCGACCACAGGTCAAGCAAGTGTCAGACATAGAAAGCAGCAGCTAACCAGAACAAGCTTCATTAGCTATTACAGCTGTGGCATTCGTTTGGCCCGATCTACACGCATCAGTTCAAGCATATCACATCCACCACCAGCCTTCCTTCCAGTATGAAATGTTTTCTCGTCATCTCCCACAGACTGTCAATTGCGGGTAATTCTTAAAATATCCTGCAATTGCAAACAGAACACGGCATAGCACATGGATTTACGAAACACTCCTCCCTCTGTCCTTCAGCTAGAGTTGTTCGGAATCTGAGCTGTCGTCGCTCTCCGAATCCCTTTTCCCCGCGTTATGCCGATCAATGCCATATTCAGTAAACGCGTTGAAAGCTTAATGCTTTCGATTTGGCCTCTCAGATGTAGATGCTTATATGCAAAGCAGATGTACAAAGCCAGGCGGGAATATTATGTACCGCTACATGCTGGGTCGCAAGAGCAAAGGATTCAAGAGATATAATTAGACGCTGTGTGGAATGCTACGCCTATCAGATGATGTCTTTTAATTTTTGGAGCCAAAATACTTCATATATCGGAAGACATAATGACCCCATTTAGCGTCAGGACCCTCGTTTGGAGGAGAGCAAGGAGCGTACTCGTCCAAATCCACATCCAGAGAGCGGATCACCTGGAATCCTGCCTTCTCGTATATCCTCCACGCAGGCTCCGACGAATGAACCCATGCGAAAACACCCTTTTGGTCGCAAATGTCCGTTCCCCAACGCAGGAGCGCAGAGCCAATGCCTCGCCTCTGAAATTTGGGTGAGACAGAAAGGCCAACGACAATGAGACATTTGGTGCCTTCGGGCATCACCTCCTTCTGCCATGCATCCAAGTCGCCGCTTGTGAGAGTCTCCAGCCGCTTAATAGGATCATCCTCTGGTTCCGTGGCATTTCGTTCAGTTGAAGCTGGCTCGTCCTTTTCTGATTGAGCTTTCTCCGACTTCTCTGTTGACGTTGCGGTCGGCTTTTCGGGGGGCTGAACCCTGCCTTCCAACACGGGCATCTCGTCGGGCGAGAATCCAACAAGCGCCCATTCGCAGAAGCCTGCAAATTCTCCGGTTTCATCGTCAACAGCTTTCAACACCACATACCGTGGCGATTGCAGTATCTGTGGGAGGCTCTCTGTGTGATACTTTTTCATATCAAAGGGATTCCGGCCAAGGGCTTTCATCTGAGTTTGGCGGTCGTCTAGGAACGCATCACTGCTGATTTGAGCCGCTTCGGGCACGTCTTCGAGTTGGAGGGCTTTGATGGTAAAAGTCTTCTTGGACATTGCAGCAATTTGCTAGTTGGTGTTTATTGACAATCTGTATCCGTGGGCTGTATGTTTCCGGGACCATATGTTTGGTTCCCAGGTCCCTTATATAATAACAGCATTGCCATGTTGAAGCAAAGCCAACATCGGATCTTGATAACGATGGCGGGGTGCACAGCATTTGAGTCACCGGCGAGCGTGATTTATCAAGCGACTGCTGCTATAAAAAGTTCCTGGACCAAACGGCGCCAGCAACGAGCATCAAGTCTCTGAGCTAGCCTTATGAAGCAGCTCCAGAATCGTCGCAGCATAGGCAGATCCATCGCCTTTAATCTCTTGTACAACCACAGTCTTGTCTCTTGACCTTGCGCCCTGAACCAAGCTCAACTTCGACTTTGGAATATCCAGGGCTTCGCTGAGAACCTCCATCACGGCTTGGTTGGCCTCACCATCCTTTGCTTGGGCCGCAACGCACAGCTCAATCGCCTCTTCAGTCACCGCCTGAATGCCCTCTCTGTTCTTGCTGGCTCCGGGCTTCACATGCAGTCGCAATTGCAGGATGCCCTGAGGCGCCTTCTTGGAGCCGGCTAGGAAGCGCACGGCGGCACTAGCTGGGGATGCCATGGAGGACCCGTGGAGATATGGATTGTTGCCTTGCGGGTAAGATCGAGGAGTAACTCTAATTTCACACCAACTCAGCGCCAGGATTTGAACTCTGCCGCTATCATGCAAATAGAGCGGGTGGAAGCGTCAACGCTGTCGCCACCTCATCACTGCACAGTCGCTATCAGCTTACAGCCTCGGCAGCTAAAACAGCAGCAGAGTTGATGAGATAATCTCACATCAGACATAAGACTCGAGGACCAAACTCTAAGCTCTCAAGACTCCAATCGCTTTCCAGATCTCAGATCCTCGGCATGAATTGGTAGGGAAAAGCAATGGATGCAGGGTAGGTCTGACGGGGCCACAGGAAGCCACTGCCGTATAGCTGCTGACGCTTCAGTGCATAGCCCGCTGAAGCTGGTGCCCTTCAGCAGGGCCAGGAGCTGCCGGCGGCCAGCAGGCGCCTATATAAGAAATCGCAGTTTCGTCATGGAGCCCAACCTGACCCGCGACAACCACCTGCAGGCCCAAAATTCCTGCATCACCACTTCGTCCCCGCCAGAGCACACGCCGTCCATCTTTCACCCTCGCAGAGCTGCGGCGATCGCTGCTCGTCTTCGCAGCCCGCCCGTCCCTCGATTGAGCGCCATGGCGTCGGCATACAGCGCATACCATGGCGCTACCCGAAATTCGCAGTTCACGGTCACGGCACTTGGGCGATGGTCCGTTTTGCCGAAGCAACTCCCAGGTTCGTCGCCCTGCATGTGCCTATTTCTGCATTGACTAGGGAGGTTTGGCGAGCTAATTGGTCCGTATAGCTGTCGACAAAGTCCGAGTTCTTCACGTCTACGATTTCGACAACACATGTGCGTTGCTCTTTTTTCTCTTTGCTAGCTTCTCATTCACCTGGGCTGTTTTGTGATTGCTGACTTTGCAAATGTTCAGTGTTCAAAACCCCCATGCCAAATCCAGCATTGTGGACTGGGCCGACGATAGGATTGCTCGCGACTCAAGAAGCATTCACTAGCGGTGGATGGTGGCACGACAACAGGATCCTCTCAGCAACCGGCGATGGCGTTGAACTGGAAGAGGCGCGTGCTTGGGAAGGATGGTGGAATGAAAAGGTCACCGAACTTGTCAAACTGAGCTCGAAGCAGCAGGACGCTCTCTGCGTGCTCTTGACTGGCCGTTCTGAGCATGGTTTCGGCGAGTTGATTAAGAGAATGGTGGCAAGCAAGGAGCTTGACTTCGACATGGTCTGTTTGAAGCCCAGAGTCAGCCCTTCCAACCAAAACTTCCAAAACACAATGCACTTCAAGCAGCTCTTCTTTGAGGCACTCATGGAGACATACCGAGACGCTACCGAGATCAAAGTTTACGAAGACCGACCGAGACACACAAAAGGATTTCGAGACTTTTTCGCGGAATATAACCGGCGCCAGGTGGCGGTACCAACTCGAGGGACTATAACTGCCGACGTTGTCCAAGTGTATGATGCTTTACGGCTTCTCAACCCTGTCGTTGAAGTTGCGGAAATTCAGCATATGATCAACCAGCATAACGAAACCATAGTCAAAGACTGTCCTCCCTCCCGGTCCAAACTTGTGATTAAGAAAACAGTCTTCTTCACCAGCTACATGATTGGTGCCGAGGATATTAAAAAGCTTCTGAAGCTGGCGCAGATTCCTCCTGGCATATCAAACAACGACCTCAAGTTTCACGCCAACAACATCCTCATTTGCCCTCGGCCATGCCCGGCAAGTATACTGGAAAAGGTTGGCGGCATGGGAAGCAAGATGCTGTGGGAAGTGACTGGCACCGCCTGCTATGACAACTCCATCTGGGCTGCTTCGGTGCGCCCCGTGCCGCATACTGCCAAGTTTCACACTGACAATCCCGTACCACTCGTGGTGCTTGCCCTCAAGAAGGGGGCACGCCCTGTGGATGCGGGGAAAATCACCAGCTGGCAGCCTTTGCCGATTGAAGAACGCTTTACATTCGAGACGACAGTCGGAGAAAAAGTAATTCTTCGTATTGAGCCTGAAGACCCCAAGGAGGATGAGTACCAAAGCTTGTTTGTTAACAAATCATCCAAGCGTAAACATCCTGCAGAGGATGAGTACCCAGGCAAGGCGCCGGCGCAGTACGGTGGCCGGAACGAGTCCAGAGGCTTTCACTCTGGCAGGGGACGAAACAAGGGTGGCAACTCGCGCGGCCATCGCGCTGCTAGGGGCGGCGGACGAGGCGGTCGTAACCGCGGCCATAACTACCGCTCCTTGGACGACGTTGATCCCAAAGGCCAAGATGCCGCCGGTTCAAAGTCGTTTGGACGAGGTCGGCCCATGGGCGGACAGCCATCCGGCGGTTCAGATCTACAGAGTTACTATTAGAAATAGGATGGCGGCGCTATTATTATTGGTAAAACGATATCATTGTGGCATAGCATACCAAACTTTTGGGGACTGGATGAGCTGGAGAAGACTGTTCACAAGGAAAATGGGTAGGAGGAGGCACATACTTTGTTTTTTTTTCTCCCTCTTTCTCTGGTTATTTGACGTTATCTTGCGTCGTACGGATGACAGGCGGAGGATCATCACCATCATTGAAAGCGCATTTAGGGCGCCTGGGAAGCATCCCAATGGAATTGGGGCGAAATGGCGTATTAGGCACATGGTATATTGAAATGGAAACAAGGGAGGGCGAACGAATTTTCATCTTTCCTTAGGTATTGTCGGATTAAAGCCAGGTAGCTTATGTACGAAAGTAACATGTAATGAATGATACCCAAGCTTGGGTTAAACCTCGCCATCTAGTTGGTGATCTTGTTTAGAGTTTCATTCTTTTATATCGGCATTTTACTTTATTCATTTTGATTGTGTCCTGCATGTCCTACATGTCCGTTATTTGCTTTTATCTAATCACTGTCATCGTCATCGCTGTCATCTTCATCCTCTGAATCCGCATTTTCTAACCACTCCACGAGCACTTTGCATTTCTCCTTCAATGCAGCCATGGACTCGCCATCCACCGCACGGGCATCCTCCCACCAGCCCAGAATGCCCTCCTCTTCCAGGATATCCAAGGCATACAGCTGCTGCAACATGGCCGGCAGCAGCGTAGCGCTCTTGGCCTGCTGCTGCTCCTGGCCCTTGGAGTAGTGCTGCAAGGCCCGCTGCAGAGAGAGAATGAATTCAATCTGCGCGGGCTCGCCGCCGCCGACGCCGACTTCGTTGACAAACTTGGAGGCGCCCTTGCACGCGGTGAAGGCCCTCTCCGCAGCCTTACTGGCGTCGAGGCCGCCGTGCTCGGGGGTGACGAGCTCCACGGCGCGGCGGGTAAAGGCCGTGGCGACAGCTTTTCGCATCATGGCGTCGGAGGCGTTGTTGGCTAGACGCAGACCCATGAATTCGAGCTTGGCGGAGTCAAAGTCGCCCGAGTCGGCGCGCAGAGCATCGAGAAGACCGTGGACGGCGTCGGCGTGAAAGGACATTTTGCCGGCGGAATCGTCAGAGGCAAAGGATGAGAGGCGCGACCTTGAGGAGTGCGCGGGGTCTGCGGAGAGGAGGTTGCTGTCATCATCGTCGTCGGACTCGTCGTCGGAGTTGAAGGTCGAGATGGAAGAAGTGGACAGGTTCCAGTTTGCGAGGGAGTAGATGAGGGACTTTTGGAGCCTCGAAGGATCTTCGTCGTCGAGCTCATCGTCCTCGGGGTCGTAGAAGGGGGCTGCGTTGCTGTCGGGGCCGAGGAGGTTGGTGTCCTTTGCGACTTGCTTGCCTGTGGACGTGACGGTCGATAGCACGGCGGCTGTGGAAAAAGATATGTTGTCGCTAATTTGGACGCCATAGGAAAGGAGTGATCCAGTGGGTATTGAGCAGCCCTTGCCGATGACTACGTTGCCCGCTAAGATGGATTTTGATACGGCTGTTCCATCTCCGATAGTGGTGTTGTTCCAGATGAAGGAGTTCTCCAGCGTAACATTAGAACCGATCTTGCAGCCAGTGCCGACGATGCTGTTGATGATTTTGCTTCCGGAGCCGATGCTGGTGTCGGTTCCAATGACGGAGTTTTGGAGCTTGGCGTCATGGGCGTGAGACGCCCCAGTCTCAATAATGACGTTGTTGATGTGCTTTTTGAATGTCTGGTTCAGGAAGATGTTGTTTTCGGGGATGAAAGGGAACGTCCATCGGCCAAGAATGTCCCTGCTGATGGAGTCGTACATCTGCAAGTTGCTTGCTCGGGCAGCGTAGCCGTCTTCGAAAATCTCGGCGTAAATCATCTTGCCGTTGAGCTCCCAGTCCTTGAGCACTCCGTGCAAAAAGTTTCTCCTGGGGAGCTCATAATCGAAACTTTCTGACCAGAGAGCAAGCACTTCGGGGGTGCAGATGTCGATCTGGGCATCTATCAAGTCGGCTCGGATCTCAAACTCCGTTGACAGTTCATCGGCAATGGCAGGGTCCATTGAAAGATAGTGGTCGCTCTGTAGCGGGTTCATCTCGTCGTAATGAAGGCATCGTTGAGTCTTGGTGTCCACCACAAATACGGGAGTAATTCCATTGGTCTTGGTTCTGTGCTCATCGGGTCCGCCGCTGTGCAGAATCATGGTCATGATGTTTGCGGCGCTCGCTTCTCTTCGTTTTCGGTGCGCTGCGAGGGCGTCATCCAGAATGAGATTTGACACGACATCGCCATGCACCAGGAGGAAATCGCCGTCCACCAGTGATCGCTTGTCCATGTCTCGGAGAACGTCGCCTACGGAGCGAGCATCGGCTACTCTAACAAACTGGAGCACTGAAAAGGGCGACAGTTTTGACGAGGACGCCCACTTAGAGCGGCCGATGTAGTCTTCGACCTGATTTGTGTGTGCGCCACAGTAGATGTAGACTTCCTGAACACCATTCATGGCCAGGAACTCGAGGGTGTATTCGATGAGAGGGGTGTTTGCCAACGGCAGAAGACACTATGAACGCGGAGAGTCAGCGTGCGGCCACGGCTTCAAATTAGCCCACATCTGCTTACTCTTGGCTTCTCTACTGTGAAAGGCTTGAATCGATCTTGAAATGAGTCTGCGAGAACCTGTATCGTGGCGGAAGCGACATGGTTAGCTGCTGGATGCGAACGAAACCCCGCGATAGATATTGCCTGTACGCACCACTGCCTGCAGGACATCTTCGGCCTTGCTCTCAGCGTTGGATTTGGCAGGCTTTTTGCCCTTTGCCGAGCTGGCGCTGTTCTTGCCCTTGTGAGACATGTTGTTGGCCAGGCGCAAAGATGAAGGGCTGCGGTGTGCGCTCGGGATGAAGGTTTTTGGTGGGAAGGTTTTGGTTTGCGACAGCTTATGGGTGACTCAACTCTACTAGCATCGAAATTTCTCACCGCGGTGTAGCTTCGGTGTTGGCGGGGTTCAAGGTGGGGTCAACCCGCCATAGAGCAAAGCATAATTGACGGTTATAAATAGACAAGGCTTGGTATTCAGAGGAATTAAATTTAATATTAAGAGTAACAAACTACTATAAGTATATAAAAGTATAAGCATATATGGGGCTGGGTATATCGATCGTATGATAAAAGATCACGGCTGTTGAAACACATCGCTGACGTAACGCATCGCTGCTGATGGCTTTTCGTTCCTCCCTTTTCCTTTTCCCTCTTCCTTCGCCTCTTTTGTTGCTACCTCTTCACCGTCACTCATTCTTCACAGTGGCAGTGGCTTCTTTTTTCTCCTCAACGCTGTGAGGCACGCTCTCGCGTCTTTCAGATGCACCGTCTTCGCTGTCCGTTTCATCGTCGGTGCTGAGATCATCGTCACTCGCGCGTCGTTCAGCATTCTCCGCCTCACGTCTTGCACGTCTTGCACGTCTCTCATCGTTTCTAGCTCTTTTCCGCTCCATCTCGTCCAGCTCATTTTGCAACTGTTGAATGACTCTGCTCTTGGCTCGAATCTTGCCGCCATACCGCCAGAACACAAACGGAATCGGGATGCAGATCACTTCGAGCAAGCCGAGTAGGGTTCCCGCCCACTGCGGCGATAGCGTTTCGTACATCTTGGGCCCAGCCAACGGCAGAGTTCCTCCAACAATGCTTCGGAAGACGGCATTGCTAGCAAGCGCACTGGCTGCATAGATACTGTATGAGCCGGCCAGGTAGTTGTTGCCGTAGATGAAGCAGAGCGTGTTGCCCGCGCCAAAGGGAATTCCAAATATGATGGGCGCAATCCAGTGGATGTGTGTTGGTAAACAGGTCCAAGAGAAGCCGAGTTGGCCAATGCTGGTTAGAATGGCTCCCAGGCCCATTATGAGGGCTGCAGCTTCTGGGAGAACTTTCCCAGTCACCGGGTCGCGAGGCTGGCTGCAAATAAACCGTCTAATCACTGGCTCGAAAGAAATGGCGATGAGGATGCCGCAGCCAATTCCGAGGAACGACAGTCCCGAAAGCCCATATCCCCATCCGCGATACTGAGTGAATACAATGGGATAAGCGACGAAGCAAAGGTAGAGAATACCATAAATGAGAGAAATCCTGCTTCTTGGTCAGAATATAATATAACACCACCATGTATAAGCTGAGTGGAAGATTATTTACCAAAAGTTCATGAACCACAGGATTGGCTCAGTAGCAGCCAGCACAAAGGGGCGACTCATGTTGATCTTGAGAAGGCTCAGCGTCGAGATCTTTTGGTCGTACTGGCACCAATATCGAGGGTCGTCTTTCTCCTTTCGAAGTCGGGCAGCCTTTTTCTTGAGAATGGCTGGAGGGTACGTCTCCCTCAGTGAAAGAATGGCGAAGATGGTTGCGCCCGCGATGATGAGGCTCACCCAATTTGTCCATCTCCATCCCTTATACTGGAAGATAAAACCACCGATCAGAGGACCCAAAACAGGGCCGTTGAGCGGAGCAATGCTGTATATGGATATTCCGAGAGAGAGATATTCGGGGTTGCTAATGTCGACAACTGTACCCGGGGTATTCGAGATCATAACAGCGCCAAAGAGGGCTCTATGATACATGTTGTTAGCTTCGCAAAACTCAGAAACTTGTCGGCTTCTCAAATTCGCATGCACTCACCCAAAGAAGCGAACGACGATAAGGGTCGTTAATGAAGGCCCAATAGCACAGGGGATAATGAGGATGGTCCATACAGTCATGCAAACAATATACACAGGCTGTCGACCGTATACCTCACTCAACGGCGCTAAAACCAAGCTTCCAACAGCAAGACCCAAGAGATAGGTTGTGACACCCAGAGTGGCGACTGTTTCTGAGGCATCGAATTCTTCCATCAGCCCGGGTATGAAGGCCGTGTAGCTGGTGCTGTATAAGACCGCAAGCCATGTAGCGAAGGAGACGACTCCGATTGTCCAGGCTCGATAAAGCAAGGACCAGTTCAATGGATTGTCGGGATCGTTATCCTCAAAGTAAACTTCATATTCGGGAGGCCTAGACGCCACGCTGCTCATGCTGGCTCCTGATCTTGTGTAAGTGATTGGCTCGCGAGCAGCGCGCTCAATCTCTGTTTCGACAGTTGCCGTAGCGGCACGCTCCAGGTTCCAGGTATAGTCATCGTTGTTGAATCTGCTCGAGGTGGCCGAGTGCCGGCTGCGACTCCGAGTTCGATTTGTCCGATTTGTCCGGACTCCTCCAATTGACTCCAAGATGGGGGACTCCCTTCCCGACGAGTGACGGTCCTCGCCGGACTCAACCGTCGACAATGTTTTCTCGATATCCACCGCCATTTTCTCTTCCTTTGGCCGAAATCAATGAATCAGCTGTAGGTAGCAAGCGGTGTCGCTATATTCTACAGCAGCTTTCACTTCTGAGGATAATGCAGCATGTCAAAGCTAAGCTAGAGCAGACTACTCAAGCTTATATAAACGGCAAGACTTTTTCTTCTGGTCCTTTTTGCTTTTCGCCTCTTACAGCTGGCAAGGGGGGATTTATTGAAATGCCGTGTTATCACTAAGACGGAGCGAGTGGGCCAGATTATCAACTCGGCCAAAAGAAAAAAAAAAAAATCTTAGCTGCCCCCTTAACTAATATTTACACAGATCAGCCTAGCAGTGGAGCGGGCCAGCTGCAACAGGATATAAAGCTAGGAATCTCAGTTTACGGGAACAAGAAACAAACAAGAAAAACTGGGGATAAAAATGGCAACCTGGAACGCTATCCAGAATACGGGCAATCTGGAGACGGACACGGCGAACAGCCTCCACTCTTTTCTCTACAGCCACGATCAAAGCTGATACCAGCAGAAGCACTAGTCATTCGCATTATGTTATACCGAAGGCAACTTGGCAAAAACCCAACGACGACGAGCCGAATCGGATGCCCAATGGCAAACAATGGATGGGTCTTTGCTGGAACATGCCGAGGCCAATAGCCGGCGACCCCTGCATTTACGCGGAAGCCAATTCCGATTCCATGGACGCTATTTATCGGCTTTTTTTCGTGTTATCTCACGAGCAAGCCAATAGATGATGCCATGAATCGCACGATATAAGCAATGTCCAACAAACAAAGCTCTTTCGAGCAATTGCTCAAAAGTGCCCTGTGCCCTGCTTACTCGCCGCATTTTGACACAGATTTCGCCCTTCGACAACATCACCTTTCCACAACGATTAATAATTCAATCGTGAGTCATCCGATGTCGGCTTGATTAGCAGCCCAAAGTGGGTGACTTGTAGCCGCGTCTGTTCGCAGGGCGCGCCCGGCAGGTCCACTTCGGAATCCCACTTTTCGTCTGGAGGGCCGGATCCGGCCCCGCATGGGACGGGATCTTTTCCCACTCAGAGTCATAACGGCGTGGGACGCCTGGAGATGAGGAGATGGGGAGATAAACTATGGGGTTTGTTGGAGACGTGCTGCGCTGCTGTGTCTGATGGAGTGTTGGTATACGTGTATTGACGAATGCCTTCTTCTTCTGCCAGCGCAATTACTCTCGATCTTACGAGATGCTTCAGCCGTGACCGCTAACCAAAAGTTGGTTTGACCATCTTCCCCTCAGTGTAATTTAGTTCGGCATTTCCATCCCAGTTATTGAATTATACGTCATTCCACCATCTAATGACTCCACCTTCTATGGACGGTCCATGGGCGAAGAAATTACCATTGGAGAATCTAGCATTCATAGCGCAGCTTGCAGAAGCGGTTATGGGTAGCCTCCGTTAACGGCCAACCACCTACGCTATATCTTATACAGCTGCATCTATCCTTGTAGCTCGGGAATAGCAGTGATTTCTTGGTACAACGGTACCGACATTCTCAAATAGCATACAGTCTTTGCTCTCTAATTGTAAACTGAAGCCTCGTTCTTAGATGGGAACTTCATGTTACTGCTAAAGATGAAGGGAGAAGTATATGTGATACCTCGGATAATCACATAAGCGCAGTCCTTCTACCAAGGAATAACTTCTCGGTCACCAAAAGATCTTGAGCCGATACTTAAAGATTTTACCATTCACATACAACACAATACACGGATATACTGAGATTGGCTATGTTCAGTCCATCCGTGATGTCACAGAGCGTATGATCATGCTTCTACGTTGGTCGATCTGTAGCTCTGTAACCCGGCTGGAGTCTGCAGCTACGATCACATTGTGTAATAATATTGATAACCAGTATTTCTATTGACCAAAAGCAGCCAGCTTCCTAAGAAGCTGGCATGCCTGCTCGTATAGCCATGTCATTGCGGCTCTCGCGCCGAAAATAGTAGAGCTAATCCATGACTCATAAACTGGGGAGAAAGCTTGGTGTTGGTTTATCCACTTATAGAATCATAATGGCCCACATCAGCGGCAACTTGCTACACCCTGTCAAATCGTTAATAACGGGCACACGCTGTTGTTGATTCGTGATAAACCTTTGACAACAAGACGACAAGACAAAACAAAAACAGAAATAGAAATCAGATTTCAAATAAGGGAGACGAAGTACTGTCAGATAGAGCCAACATCTAAATTTATTTATGCTATTAACTTCGCGCCCATTATTCTTCAGATTCGGAATCTGACAGTATTTACGCTACGTCCAAGATCTATAGAAACGTTCCAAAATTCTAAGCATTTCAGACAATTGAGCAATTACCGCATGGGCGCCGATTAGCAAGCCAAGAATTGATCAAGATGCAAAATGCTCCGGCTTTGGCGGCCAAAAATGAGCGAGTAAATAAGTACTACTGATGAGAGAAATGGTAGCTTTTAGCGATTGTAGACTGCCCCTGATCAAAAGACTATTCAACACACCAGTGGTAAGTTGACGAGGTACCCAACTAATCTCTGTAGATTTTTTAATCGTTTATCGAACGTATATTTAAAAATATCAATAGTAGCAGCAGAAATAGTAGCAGCGCTGATCCAACTTTTCGATTCATGTACCTGTGCCGCCAGCTATACCCAATATCCTCGTTGGAGACCCTGTAGCTCTGATGGCCTTTACCCCCTGTGTGTCTGATCTATCGTTACCCATTCCCATTTCTGCAAATCATATCCTGTAGCTTGATATTATTGTTGAATTCTTGTGTTGTTCTTGAATAGCACTTGTACCGATGCTCTGTTCTTGTTGCTTGCGTTCTTTCGTAGCACTAATAGCGATGTCCTTGTTGTCGAGTTACTGCATGTTTGTGAAGACTTGTCCAACAGCCATGACTCAGATGGCAAAATGTCTGCGTCATCTAATCGTGTAGCTCATACTCGCTTTATTCATGCTGCGTCTGAATACTGCATTGAGCCTGTGAGCACCACAGTTGCTGCAGTCAAGAGCTGCACCGGAAGTAGTATGTCAAAAACTATCAGCACTTCACTGAAAGTAACGGTTTCTTCACTGGGGTATAATTTGCCTGATTGAACTCATATACTCTTTTTAAGTTCTCTCTGAGTCTCATGGCAACCCCCAAACCCCAAGCACATCCTTCCGAACTGACCGACCATCTTTTTCAGCTCCATGCTGCAGCTGCCTCACTCGTTTTACAATAAGCCCTAATGACAAGGGGCCTATGATTGTGCAGAGCATGATGGCCCAAGTGACGATGAGAAAAATTTCTGAGTTCTTTCCATCATCAGCTCGAGTTGAAGAGAATATCTTCTTGCTCTCCGCGATTGACGAAATTAGGAAACCGATTTCTCCACGCGCTGTCATTGCACAGCCTATAATAGCAGCGGGATAGATTGATTTCGGCTTTACTCCCTCTGGATCTAATTGCGGAGCTGTCGCTTGCGTGGCCGTTTCATTGCTTGATTGCAATGTTGGAGACGTCCCTTGAGGTTGGCGTGCGAGTGCAGAAGTCGAATCGCGAGATACTTTAGGCTTTGTGTGGCCTCGGCCCCAAAAGTGGGACATTTGTAACCTTGGGTGCTTCATGAAGGTTATAAATCTGTTGAGAAGAGATGATAGAGATGGTATGCGAAGGAGCCAGATCCCGCACACAAGCTTGCCAAGCATCATTAGGCTGGTGTACACGATTCCTTTCCAGACAACTGAACCGTCGAACATTTCCGTGATGGGAATAGAGAAGCCAATGGAAGCCTTGAAGAGTCAGATACAAGCTTGATCGTTGGGATATGATACTTACAAAAAAGAATGGCTTTAGAATTCTCTCAAGTGGCTGCAGATAATACTGCTCAAAGATAGCATGTCCAGATGGCCCCGCCTTCCTAGGCTCTGAGGCGGCATCGCCAGGAGTCTCTGTGTTATTCGATTCTAAATTCTCAGAAGCCTCACTCTGCGCTGGAGAGAAATTTCCCGTAGAAGATGCCCTAGTAGAAGGTGTTCCTGTAGATAATGCCTCACTAGAAAGATGAGGCACTTCTGAATCCCACCAACCGATAGACGCACCGGCAATATAGGCGGCAAATAAGTTGGAGGTGCCAGCATATGTTGAACCAACGATGGAACCAATTAATATGCATGTATGAATGATCCATGGTGCCCTCTCCTTGCTAAGAAGAATATTGATAGCCCCTTTTGGGTGCGTCACCCGCTGAGAGTTTAACCAGAGAGTGAGTGGTTTGGCCATCCAGACGCATACAAGGGGCGCGCACACCGCAAAGGCAAGAGATACTAGTAGTGGTCTGATGATGGTGACAGCACCGATGCTCGCGCTGGATGGCCCCAAGTTGGAAATAACCTGGACCATGACAAGGCCAACTACATCGTCCATCATGGCTGCACTCGTGAGCACTACGCCGAGCCTCGAGCTCATTAGACCAGTTGAGCGAAGCACTGTGAAAGTAGTCCCCAAGCTTGTGGAGCACAAGGCTGCGCCCGCTGCGAAGGACTGGAGAGGCGTGGCATCACTGAGCTCTTGGAGGATGAACGAAAGTCCCACTGGCACACTAATACCAGTAACAGCAATGCACGAAGATAAGAAAAAGTTGGCCTTGAGAGCTTTCAAAGATGTCGAGAGTCCGCCTGATTAGACAAGTTAGCCTCTGATAATCGAAGAAAATGTAAATATCCTGACAACCCTCACCTTCATATACCAAAAGCAGCAGTCCAAGGTAGCCCAGCTGGACAGCTGTCTCTTCGGCCTCTATGCTCAGCCATTTCGCGCCAGGGGTTCCCCAGGCCACTCCTATGAATATCTGCCCGATAAGACCGCAGTACACGGCCCGATCAAGCAGGAAGTTTGTGATATTGAGAACTAGCAGGAACGATGCCTGAATGAGGATTGTGACAATGTCCGGCTCTTGGTATGGGAGTGAGGCGGCCATCGTAACGGCTACGGCTCTATGCTACTTGAGCGATCCATCGGTTAATGTTTAAACTCTTTAAGGAGCAAATATTGATCGAGTTGTATTAAGAGGCAGAGGTGTGGGCATGTAGAACGTGATGCTGAGTCTGACTAAACAATGTCGCGGGAGATTTTCGGTAGTAGAGTCAAATGGCGTTCTTTGTCTTGGCCGAAAATAGCAATGATCTGATATCCGTCTGCATATAATTTAAGCCTTCCGTACATATCACTTTATCATCCAGGTGACAGGTGTGAATGAAATAGACAACTCAAAATCCCTAGATGATAAGAATGCCTGCCAGCGAGAAGCTTGGCTGTAATACCTGTAGCGAAGCCGAGCGAGGGCATAGACTATGGTGGTTTGGTAAATCAAAAGGTAGGCTATTATCGGCTCTAGCATCAATCACAGGTTGTCTCATAACGCCTTACCTTGCGTGGCACAGCCGTTTGTCAAAGCAAAAGCAAAAGCAAATGGCTGCGCGTCTTTGATTGTGTAAGTCTCGAATAGTTGCGACGCGATAAGTTTAGACTATTAGTTGCTATCCCAAGCCATGTCGACTTACATCGGGTGTCAAATGGGCCGGCAAGCAGACTGCACGTGTTCTAGAACAATAGATCGACAGTACAGGGATTAAGAGGTGTGTCTCGTTGCTAAAATGAGAGAAGATGGGCATGAAGATCAACCTTAGTTTTGGGGGATGAACGCCTCGCGATTTAAAAAAAGAACATGTCAATATAATGAAAAGGAAGCTATCTCTTCAAGGATCAGTCTACCTGTACTCATAAACACTGCATGTACTAGCAACACTTTACCTTACGGAGCAGTTTTCAGCCTCGCACACTACGGACCTAATCTATACTTTCAACTTTGTACGCGCGCTCCATCCAAGATAATTCTGCAGGACACCTTACCGAAGCATTGATGCCCGCTACGCCACAGTTTGCCACTCTTAGAGCCCGGCGAGGCCTAGCACTCCCGAATCATACGATATCCACCACAGGCGGCCGCGAAAAGTTTGGTGCCAGCACAAGGTGGCGGCTAGAGGCCCAACGGCGGTGCTTCTTCAGCAGGCATTTGCCAGGCGAGGTTACACTTTCGATGCCAGAGTACTACAGTACCGGTACTACCCCACTGAGCGAATGTGACATGCCATGTGTGTTTTACAGACGGTAAGCCCTATGTCTTTGCTGATCTTGCTGCCTGCATGCTATTAGGGGTGCGCAAATTCGATCCGAAGCCGAAGAGAAAGATGTTGTTTACTCCAAGTAGCGTAGGTGGTTGTCACCAGTATGTTTCTATGTAGAAAGATTTGGAGCTGCAGATCAGCGGCAAAGTATATGCAATGAGTTGTCCTCGATCGCTTAAGCAGTCTCCTCGATGCGCTGTAAGCAGCTGTAAGCAACTAAATTCTCGGGACTGGAGAGCGGCAGAACCCATTTGCTCAAGCCGCCCCGGCACTTGCTAGGTATGCTGCTGCCAACATATGTGCCTGCTCCCAATACGCTGTAAGGAGTTGGAGCACACAGCCAGTGGCATCTCGTATGGGATGCCGGCAGGTAAGCTCAAACCTCCTGGGCTAGCAATGCAAGGCAAGGAACATGGATATACGAGTTATGGGAGCTGACAGAAGCGTTTCGTGCTCCTTGCATGTCTAGCAGTCGCATGGGCGCAGCCACACAGCCTGAGACGGGCATGTCCTCGCCGTAGATGCTAGAAACACCTCCCACCAAGAATGTCTTGCCTTGGTTGCGTCGGAATTTCGACACGCACTTTGCTGTTCCACGGCGGGTGGCTTTCTCCGGGAGGCCCATGCCATTATACATGTACCTAGTCACCGCATTGCCAGCACTGTATCTTTTGGCAGGGCATCGGATGTCGGCTGTTGCCGCAGCCAAGGGATATAGAGTCGGTATGGAAGCAATGCTGGGATTCAATTTATTAGCAGAGGGGGCCTGTACAAACGATATCCGATGCACCTGCGTATCGCTCCCGACCTGCTGGGTACCAGAGACAGGACCACTGAGCATGACTGACTCGCTTGTAGGGTTCAAATTGAACGCCGGCTGGCGCTTGACGCTGCTTTGCCCACCTGGACGACTCGGAGAAATGTCAGGTGTTCATATTGAGGCGACGGCCAACACCGGCTCGATCTGATCTAGATCCAGGAGAGCGCCTGACAGAAAACGCAAAGTGAACCGCTCGCCCATTGTACCTGGTCGCGCAGCGATTATTGTCGCTAATATGGAGTATAGCAGTGCTAGCTGCTTGTAGTACTATGCCGCTGCCAACGGAATATTAAAGCGTCTTTGCTCGGCTGGCCATGTGGACAAACGAACCAGAGGGGCGTTGCCTTAGCAGAGAGCAGAGCGAGGCTAGCGAGCTGTGGATCAAGGCCACCGCCGTGCGCTAACAATTAATTTGACGGCCGTAGCGCCGACTGGCACGACAAGTATGCTGCCTCGCTGCTCCATTTCGCGGGTAGCACTGCAAATATTCCATATCGAATGTCAGTACAGGTAGGTATAGCCGCGAGTGCAGTGGATAGAGCGCTGGTACTTTGACGGTCACGGATAGGTGGCAGTACGGAGGATTGCCCGGATGTAGCATTGGACGCTGTCTGACGAGTAATGATTCGACCACCAGGCGGTGCAGCATCCGTCTCCCTGCACTGTCTTTCGCACGGTGAATCGGCATCGATCGATGCTTTGGAGCACCGCTGCTCATGCGCACTTTTCCAGTCCAGCAGATTGCTTAGTCGATGCAAGGTAATCTTAGTGGCCGCTGCTCCTCTCACAGGGAGCTTCTCATAAGTGATTCGGTGTGCGGCGCATGCAGCAGCTGATACTAGTAGCGAGGCATGGGCTGACTTACAGTACGGTGCAATATCTGCAAGCATCAATGCATTGATGCAAGTATCTTCAGGAGAAGCAGTGCGGCACATGCACTGGCAACAGCCCACGTCAGCTTTGGGCTGCTGGTATACCACATGGCACTGTACGGCGATGTACTTCTGTATTGTTGGGCAGAACAGCCGCAGCCGCAGCAGGAGTAAAAGTAACAGCAACGGCAGCACTGGAACAGCCAGAGCCAAAGAACCTGGTCCCCTGTATTCGCAGGACATCAATTTAAAGCAGCATTGCATGTGAGATGTCTAAAACGAGATGCTACTACTGCTAAGGCACTATTATTCGTACCGGTACCAATACCAGCCCTTCTCTTGGCATGCAGGCAGGTGCTTGCTCCGGCGGTGCCTGCCTAGAAGGTACACGAGCATGAGGAAGGAGAACGTGCGAGAGCAGGACAAATGGCGAGAGCAGAGCATGAGAAACAGAAAGAGCTTCTACTGTGCTACCGCCTGTCATCCAGCGCTATATCCCGTGCTGATTAAGCTTCTTTCATTCTTGTCACCATTCTCCCCTCTTTTGTCCATCTCCAGCTCCAACCATCTCGCATCGTCTCTCTTCATATCATATCACACCACATACGTCTACCTCGACCCCTCCCACTCATCCCCTCTGCCGAGGCGATTAGATGAGGCAAATTGCTTAGGCACCACGGCGGCCCTTTATACAAACATCCACATACCGAGCGACCTTGATACGGTACAGTAGAGTGCCTGAGTCTTCTTGTCAGCCACTGCTGCCCCGGCGGCTGCTAGATTCCAGGTAAGCTACAACGACTAAAGCCAATTCTCCATCTACAGCACTAGCTCCCTGGCGCTAGCACTGCATAAAGCTACCTCGGGGGGGCTGCCGCTAACGAACTTAGGAGCGCTCCTTGGGGTGTGTCGATTCACCACAGACTTTTCGATCCGCTGTCGCATCTGCCCCATGCAGCCATCAATTCGCGGCACCCCCTCCCCAGTACACATCGAAAAATCACCTCGAGCAGCGAAAAAACTCTCCAGGCCACCCCCAAAGCACGGAGCCACAGCAGGGGACAAGAGCGAGCCACAGCGTCGCAAGACACGCACAGCACAGGGGCTCCACGCCTAAGACGGTCCAGAACATCAGGCCTGCTGCTGCTAAGGGAAAAAGCAACCAAGATCGGAAGCTTGGCCCCGCCACAAGTTGCGTCTCTAATTAATACACAACCGACCCAGCGCCTCCATCACCAGGCGACGGGGCTTCGAGGCAACATCCTTTGCTCACCCGTTTGGCCCTCATACTTTTCTCTTCTTTTCACTTCGTACCATCGTTTTACCCGTTTTGCCATCTCCGTCGCTCCTTTTCCCCTTCATTCCGACCGGCGCGCCGCAAACCGACGAGGAGTCGACTTACAAGCATCATCAGCCTGGCAACCCGAAAATCTGGACAGCTACGACGGTGTCGAGAGCGCCTCCGTTCCTCTAGCATCGTGCTTACGGCGGCAGAGAGCTCTCTGGTGGTGGACGTAGACCGCGGCGACGACCACCTCGCTCGGTTTTGCTGCGCTTCGATATCCCCGTCTCATCCCTTTCACCCTTGAAAGAAACGCTTTATGCGACACGCCTGTGCGCCCTAGTTAGCAGTAGCCCAACTGCTTGTGCATTGCGACTCCTCCTGAGAGGCAGCCGGCAGTGAGTGACGCATTTGTGTGTAAGGAAGAGGCAATAGGGTCACTCCTAGATCGGGACCAACTCTCACCTTTTCACTTTCGTATAAGCGTCTGTGTGCACACAGGCGCCTCCAACCGCAACAATCATGTTTCGTTCTAGGTACGGCAATTCTTCATCTGTCCTCTGCCTCATGTCACGGTCCCGTTGTATTTGTCTCCTGGATATGCTGTTCCCAGGCGCTTCTCCGAACCAATCTGATATTAGTCCTATATTTCGACTTCTCGCCGCGGATCTTGCTTCCATATGGGATACGCCTTGTCGATTCATTCTCTCCCATACATAAGCATTTACTAACCTTGCATGTTGACTATAGAACAAGTGCGCAGAAGCCCGATGATGGGCTGTTGGCAGACTTCAGGCAAAAGTTTCCAGAAGTCTCTACTGGAGTCACTGAACCTACCGCTCCAGCCATCTCTCAAGCGGCAACAGCAGCTTTCAATCCCATTATCAATGCACCGACTCACGAAAGGTAGGCAATTTCATTTTCAATACAAAATCAGCGCCTCACAGCGATACTGTCCTTTTGTTATGCTTTAAAGATCAAGCTCATCAACACTTTACTATTTGTGTCAACTTGGCACTCTCGAATGCTAACAAGGAAACTGATAGAGTACATGTCGAACATGAAGCCTTTCGAGACATGGACCCAACACCTCGGGCTGTCAATGACCCTTGGCGATTTACACCATCGCTCTTGGACGCCAGTGCCTTCTCCTTCAACCCTCTCACTCCTGGTGCTACTGGTGTCACAGGTGTTACTGGTGTCCCCGTTGCTGCCGGTGTACCCGTTGTCACCGGCGTCCCTAGTGCTCAATCCTACTATCCTCCTACTCCTGGAGGGTCTGGCACTTTGCTCCCGCAAGTGATTGAGATGCACCCTCCTTCTATGGCTATCAGCACTGGCCTGGAGACCCCTCTATCGGTACCCACAACACTTGATATTATACAACCCAGTGTTGAAGTTTCTAGTCTGGCAGCCTTTCCTGCGATAGAAGCTCACTCGATACCTCCATTTGTTGATCCTTTTGTTGTTCGGGGGCATCCGCATCCAGCGTTTGTACCGTCCGAATTCGTACATCATGATACAGGATATGAAACGATGGAACCTGACGGATCTCCAATGGATTCTGACCCATCAGACGAACGAATGCCGACGATCGCCGCTGCGCTACCCCCGCAGCAACTGGCAGTAGTACAAAACGTCCAACCTCTTCCGCCAACCGCCGAAAAATTCCGTTTCCATTCGACTTTGAATGCCCCGACAGCCATGGTAAAGCATGCCACCGAGATTCCAGTCACTTACCTGAACAAGGGGCAAGCATACACCTTATCTGTCGTGGATACAGGGGTTCATCTTCCGGTTAGCCCTGGTACCCGATATAGGACGTATGTGCGCATATCTTTCGAAGATGAACATCAGCGACAAAAACCAGGTGTTTGCTGGAGCTTGTGGAAAGAGGGAAGAGGGACAAATGAAGCCCACCAAAGGGGAGGCCGGCTCCAAGCTGTCGAGTATGTCGAAGCCGGTCAGCCTGTTGACGGCGACGACAAGAGAACTCGCATAGAGCTAGAGTCGTCTTCCTTTGACTGCTTTTCTGTTATCTGGACCCCAGGCTTGAATGGCGCTGCTGAAGCTAATATTCCCGTTCGCTTCAATTTTCTTTCGACAGATTTCAGCCATTCAAAAGGTGTCAAAGGCATTCCTGTACGACTTTGCGCAAAGACTAGCCTCTTCACTGCCGATTCGCTACCTTCGCCTCCGGAAGCCGCTCCTGAGATCTGCTATTGCAAAGTCAAGCTTTTCAGAGATCACGGTGCTGAGCGAAAGTTGTCCAACGATGTGGCTCATGTGAAGAAGTCGATTGACAAACTGAAGCAGCAAATCGCGCAAGCTGAAGGTGGACTCAAAGACTTCAAGCGAAAAAGGATGAGCGGCTTAGGCAAAGCAGGGATGCCCGGCAAGATACACAAACACAAGAGGACATGGTCCATGTCTTCAGCTAGCTCTGCTGGCGGCGCAGCTCCTCGACTCTCGTTGGAAGATGACCTTCAGTACAAGTTACAGACACTGCAGGACATGTTTACCAGCACGAGGCCGGTGAGCGTTTTGTACCTGCGGGGTGAGGAGCTGGACGACCCTGACTTGCACCCCGTATCGCTACAGGGCGACGCGGCATCTGGCAAGGTCGAGTTCTTGCGTGAAGGAAGCATCTGGCAGGCTCGCAGCACCCACAGCTCTATAGCTGGCTCATTGGTGTCTCCCTCCCCAAGCTCACTCTCTCTAGCATCTCAAGCATCCGCTATCGGCTCTGGCGTCCAGTGGCAGAATTTTGACTCGACCGGCATCAAGAGGGTAGAAAACCCCACTACAATCAGCAAAACGGAAGACGATGGTACCTTGAGTGGGTGGATTGAAGCCCTGGGCGTCGACCCGTCTTACCGACCTCCTTCTGAACGGCCCGCGAAACCGATTGCATGCCTCTACATCGCCCGCATAGGACAGGCGGAGCCTGGAAAGAAAGAATACCACAGGGCGATTTACCTTTCCGCGCGTACACTCCAGGAACTCGGCAACCGGATCGCCGCCAAGTGGGGTCTCGATTCATCTCGCATCATTCGAATAGTACATGCGACAAAGATCGGGATTGAGATTGAAATGGATGATGACGTGGTCCAGGAGCTGAAAGAGGGTCAAGATATGCAGCTGGAGATTGAAGAAGTGATTGAACAGCCAGACATGAAGCGGGAATGGGAGATGTCGATTGATGACGAAGACGAGGCATCTCCATCGACAGCGGGCCTAATTCTCCGGCTTATTTACTGAGATGATCCTAATTCTCTACAGCTGAAAAGCGCGACTTACATTTCTTCTCTTATTCTCTTTTTTATCTTTCTCCTTAGGAATTTAGCAATCGAGCGAGATGGACTTTGGAGGAGGATATTGTGCTGGCGTTGGACGGTGTTGACGATAATTTCAAAGATACCAGAGCGCTTGGATTTACGACGAGATTATTGCATCTCTTACTTCAAAGCAGCTGATGGGACGGATACAGTATCATTTACTCGCATCCTGCTGGGCGGGAGTGGGCCGATGATATAACTGCTTTGGTTGCCTTCGAATGCCCCTCTGAGCCCCCATCATTCGACAAACTGCTCTTCTTTTTCTTTTTTCTTCTTTCTTCTTTCTTCTTTTCCCCTTTGTCAATTTTCTTTTTCTGCTTTGTCAATTTCATGGAATGGTTTAGGACTCGGCTGTACACGCATTTAGCTGGGATAGGACACGAGTAATATCATTATTGGATAGTTTGTTTGAATTTGAGTTATAATAGTGGGCAAAAGGTGGCAGGATGTGTTGGTACACAATGGATGATACACGCTATGGGTAGGAAGAGGCATTAATGGGAATACGACCAAACACGCAGCATTATACATTTTTGATATCCCCATCTGGAGTTTTGGGCTTAATAATAATGGCTTACAGTCTGAACCTATGATACAGATGAGAGAGGTGTTCCCCCGTAGCAGTGTAGGTATTTTTGGACCCTGATGAAGCACCGTTGCTTGTCTGGTCCCTGGATTTACTTACTAGATCGAGCTCGGCTGTTCATCCTTTCTGGTTTCTCTCTAGGGAAACCCACTCTCAGGTACCATCGGAGCCTTATCGAAGCGGGAAATAGCTCGGCAGGCACCGGAGACAGGCGCCGGAGACAGGCATTGGGCAGAGGGACGATCCTCGTCCGGCTAAAAGACGGCGTTTGAACGGCCAGATGCCATCTCTCAAGCCCGAATACGATGTCTGCTCGAAGGAGTAACGCAATTACGTGGCTTATACAAGATCATTACTGCTTTTTGCTTGGTGAGAAAGCTTAAAGAGCGGGATTGAGATTGGGCTGGTAAAAGGGGGGAAACGGTACAAGATACCTTACATGACATAGAATGGAACTGCTGGTGGACTGCAAGATATGAAGGAGGAGCAAGTAGCTCCGCAGAAGAGGCAGTGGTCGTTACGAGGTACTTGCATTGGATTGTAATTAACTGTTCCTTTCTCCTGAAATATAAGTAGGTAGGGTTTTGTCAATACTAGTGACAACTACCTACTAGCTGAGAAAGAAAACGAAAGCCGTTTAATTAAAAAATGATCAAAAGGACTGGGAGCGGTTGTTTCTATATAAAGCAGTACAGTACCTATCTAGGAAGTACCCACCGACAATCATTTACGCGATTGAGACAAAGACAAGGACAAAGAAAAGCCATGTGGATTTTTCCCGAGCATGCTAGGCTTTTGGCTTTCTCTTGGGCTACTATTCATAGGAAAGGGGGCTGGGCTGGCGTATCCGCTGAAAATGCTTGTTTGACGAAGAGGCAACTTCGTTTGAAGATTGGAGGTTGTGGTTCCCAAGTCTCCGCTAATACACGACAGCCACAACTTGACGCCTGTGTCGGAATACTTGGTGTATGTGAACAGGTACAGTGTTTACTTACTGTACGGCACATGGCGCATCAGTACATAATACGAGCCGCGAAGATTAAGGGACAAGTGGCAGTGTCAGTGTCGTCCCGTATGAGTTTTATCTGAATGTATGTATGCATGTATACTTTGTTATCTTTTGGTGAGGCCCGGCGCAAAAAGAGGCCGCTTTTCCCCGTCTTCAGCCGTGTTGATGGATGCATACGCGGCCTAACAACGGCCCTTGCTTTGTGGGAATTGGGAATAGAGGCAAGGTTCAGGTCAGACGGCACGAGAAGTAAGTAGGTAGGTACTACTACTGTACATGTCGGTAAGAAAAAGCGAAAATAGCGCATGGCAGCATTGCCACTTTTGCGCATAGAATGGAATGGAAACATTCGTCGTCGTAAATGCATTTGGCTATGCATTCTTCTACCGTCTCGCGATGGCATGTCTGTGTCTACTGTATCTGTCCTTTGTTATTGGCATCTCTCTTCAATTATTCTATTCGAATGTCTTCTTTTCTCTTTTCCCTCTTTATTAGCTCCCCCCCCCCCCCTCCTCTTTTCCTGTAGGCTCAAGCGGCCGCTGGGTGTAGCTCGATGCCATGCATTATTTCCGCCGCCGTAAAAATAAAGGGCGATGCGGGCGATCGCTCTGGCTGCGTCTGCTGGCGGACATCGGACAAAGACATCTGCGATCGTGTTTTTTTGGGCTGCTTGCTTTGTTCGGTTCCTTTTTTTTTTTTTTTTTTTTTTTTTTTTTTTTTTTTTTTTTTGCCGGGTTTTTCCCGGGGCTTTGGGGGGGCCCCCCGGCCCCT